CAACACATAACTGGTCACAGAGTTTGTGCTTCGGGTTTTAAGGCAGCAGTTTGAGTTATGGGTGAACTTTGCAATGAAACCAAACATCAACAAGGTGTCAACCAACCTTTCCTTTCATTTGCAAATACATAGTTTATTGGGGTGATCAAATTAGTATAGACAGTAGACACACGTGCCTAAACAAACACAAATTTACAGTGTGAGGACATTTCAGCAATCTTTTTTGAGTCGTTACCCAGAAACACGTGAGCCTGATTAAGAACTGTCAAAGGAGCGTAGAAATGACTTGTAATGTGCAGTTTAGGTCCAAGGCAGTGATACAGCTTTGCAGTTTAGCTTCATGACATTAAACAAGCAACATACTGACGTTAACATGACAGACAACGTTTTCCATCTTCACCAAGACTCCCACATTTCTACATGTTTTAGGAATAAAGTTTTTTTTAACAAATTGATTCATACTGCCCATCTTTATACCATCATTGATTTGAATACTTTTAAGTGAGTTATTTATGAGCTATTCATTAAGTTTGGAAATTCTCCACAGCTTTCACAAAACTAATACTAACAAAAACTAACATTGCATTTCAGCTTCAGCCTTTTAGAATTGCTTAATTCACTCACATCTCATCTTGGAAAAATGCATTCTAAGTAGTTAAAGTGATATGGCACCTTGTCTCCAAATGTCTACGGTGTTTGCTTGGAGTGCCCGTCATTTTAAGAGGAGATATGATAAGATGTTTTGTGAACAGCAGAGAAAAGAGTTGAAGAGTGTTGAACTCACACTGAATGAACCAAGCTCTCCAGATGGCATTGTTCAGACGGATCTTATCCCTCCACAGCAACCGCAGACCCTTAAAAGATTTCCACTTTGGAGAGACAATCTTACCACTGCAGAAAAATAAACAAAACACAATTATTTTTGGTTTTGGTTCAGTCGAATTATAACAGTGATTTATTTATCTAAAAAAAAAGTATGCAAGAGAATCCAGTAATTTATTGGCACTGAATCTGCACAGACAAAAAGTAATGGCTTCACACTTTTGGGAAGAAAATGGACAGTGAAAACCATTTACTATCTTGCTGCCTCATCTCCCTGTTAAATATCTGTCCTGATTTTGACTAATAGTGTCCAATCAGCACATTCAGCATCACACTGTCAGGCTGTTTACACTTTTCCAGTGTCCCTCAGCCTGTTGAGTGCAGAGAAGAGGCCACATAATGTGAGCTGCACTTAGAGTTGCTAGGACGCCACAGGCTTCTCATTCAACATGCTTTAATGGAGTGACATCTCTGCATGTCACAAACTGGAAAACAGCAGCATATTACAGAGAGCACCTGTCAGGAGAGAAACCAATTAAAAGCAGAGTGATTAATGATAATTACTGTGCAGCAGCAGTTTGCAAGACAACAGTGTACCTGCTGCACATAGAACTGTACCTTTGAGATTCATGAAGGGGAGTATCTACTTGACGTGTGAATATTGATGTTTTTGGCATGTTGTTTTTCTTATAACATAGCAATATAGTTAATATAGTAGTTCTTATAGTTTATGTCTTTGAAGCTCTTTATATTGTTGTCATTATAACCATATCATAAAAGTGTAAAAGCTGTGTTGTGTTGTGCTGGTATCCATGCCTGGCTCTGGACTTATTGTGCAACTATCATCAAACTATAAAAAGAAAATCACATTTGGCACACTGTCGCTGGCTACAAAAATGTCTTCTTCAGGTCAAAGGTCGATGAATACTCCTATTAAAAAATCATGCCAAAATAAACAGTTTTCTCATGCAAAAGCACTTCTGCAGAAGAGGCTTTTCTTGTTTGTGCCTGTTACGAATGTCCATAACCTGTGATATTTTGTCTTAAAAACACCACATACTCAACTTGTTACCTGACATTTGATCTAGCATAAGTATGTCTCATCAAATATGGACATTTAGCATGATGCAGAGTCAAAGCAACATGCTGACTGAAAAATAAGAGTCAAGGCCATCATTTCTGGCTTTTCTCTCTTTTTGCTCAGTTATACTATAATCCCTCCACTGCTGCCAACTAGAATCAAAGTCCAGCTTTCAGTGAAGAGTTTCCAAGCTATTGCACAAGAGACTGCAAAGCTGCTCTCCCAGGACTACTACACACATTACGAACCAATAAACCAACAGTTTTAATGGGGAACCCTGCACTAAACACATCATTTAAAGCTATTTATGGCAGGGAAAAAGTCATGTCAGTTATACCCTGCAGGTTCAATAATTTGCACAATTTTTTTTTTAAGTTAGTGTAAGTTTACTTTGAATTTTAAAGCCATTCTTAACTTCAATGTGTCATTTAATCCTTGTGCATTTTGTAATAAGCATAATACGGAGAGCTGAGGATGTTAAAATGGAAATAAGCAGAAGTGCTGAGTCAGCGTTTCAGCTTGATAAAACAAAGATACACGTTAGAAGATGAATTCTTCTCAGTTGGGTGGTTAGACAAGGGTGAAGTGGGTTTTCCTCCCGTCTTGGTGTACATTGGACCCACCTGTACGCCAGGGACATGCAGTCAAACAGGCGGGTCAGAGTGGGGTCTATGCTGAGGCTCCCGGAGCTGAGCGGGCCGTACCGGTACGTCTGACACCACGTCCTGTTCACCGTGTCAAAGTCATATCTGAGCGAGCCGCCGCTCTTCCTCCGCCGCGGCGTGGAGTCACTGTGGGGCGACGACACCATGAAGTGTCCGCTGTGGATGACCTGAGAGCCGGGGAGGGAACCGGCGGAGAGTCCGGTGCCTGTCACCTGAACGGGCTCCCCCTCCGCCTCCGAGTCCGAGTCTGAAGAGTCCTGAAGCTGGCTCTGTCCGGCTGAACACACCGGTGCCGTGACTTTGCCCGCCATGCTGCGTGTTCAGACAGTTGACCGTCCGACAAGCTGTGAACTTTCTCCTGAGCTGACTCCCCCTCCTCCTCCTCCTCCTCCTCCTCCCTCTGTTTTCTCCAGATCTTCAATATTTCCTCAAACAATGTGGCGCGTGCTGAAGGGAGGCCCCTCACCTGTCAGCTGAGACACTCTGTGAATCTGTGACCCTGCATAGCTCTCACTCAGTGTGTGTCTGTGTGTGTGTTGTGAAATAGCTTCAAGGCTACTATCATTACACCAACATGCCACAGTTTTAAAGTCCTTCTTTCCACCAGCCATTAAGGGCGGTAATTATTGATAGACCAATCTACCATGTCTGAAAAGCAGCTTAAGCCCTATCTATCTATCTATCTATCTATCTATCTATCTATCTATCTATCTGTGAATTAAGATATGACAAAGATATTTGTTAAAGGTTTAATTTTAAAAGTGAAAAAAGTAAGTTCATCTCATGATCAATCAAAACAGTTTTGAAATACTACTCTTGAAAAGTTTGTGCATTAGTTTACAGTAAAGCCCAGATTGCTTAGATAGCAGCTGTCTCGTTTATTTCAGCTCATAGTATCTCATCGATTCTCTATGGTGTTCATGTTTTAGTTTTGCTTGTTTTGATCCTTTTATCATTTTTAGGACCCCCAGTGTTTCCTCTGAGGGAGCCCTTGACTGTAAAGCACTTTGAGTTACATTCCTTGTAGGAAAAGTGCTTTATAAATACAGTTTGATTGATTGTTGTCAAGCAGGCTGGCTGTCCAATCAAGCACACTAATGTCATGGTCATCAAACCACTTGGTAGTAGTTTTGGCGCTGTAGGCAGATGCTAAGTTCTGCTTAAAAAAAAGAAATCAGCATCTCCTCAAAGCAGATGGAAGCAGAAAAGTGCTGTAAGATCTGCTGGTAGATGCTGAGTTGACTTTGAACTTAATAAAACTCTGAGGACCACTACCAGCAGGAAACATGGCACCCTGAATCATCACAGACTTCACACTGGACTTCAAACACTTCAGATTCTGTTCCTCCACACTTCCCCCAGACTCAGGATCAAATGAAATTTAAAATTGACTTTCATCTAAAAAAAAAAAAAGGGACTTTGAACCTCTGAGCAACTTCCTGCTCCTTAGCCCATTTCAGATACTTCTGAAGTCTTCTCTGGTTCACAAGTGGCTTGATATTGGGAATGTGACACTTGTAGACCCTTTCCAGAGAGAGGACACAATTATCAAAGGTAAGTTAGAAAACTGCTCAAAACATTTAAGTTTACGTGCCATGAGTGAATAATTTATAAATATATACAAGAATATATATATATATATGTATATATATATATATAATTTTTTTTTCACACCTTTTTTTTTACACAACAGACTGAAAACATTGACCCCCTTCAAGATTTGTTTATATGCACCTGTAGTTTCACATTTGAGTTGTGTGGGCTATTGAGGCCGTTTCTAATAACATGCATAAACAGAGCCTCTCTGAAAACCTCCTTTTCATAAGAGCACAAGTATCTTGTGTTTGTTTTAAAATGCTGCACTTAAGATAGCTCACCAATACTCTCAGGTGCTCATCAGTTAGTATGCAATAAATAATCTGCCATTCATTTGCAGGAATAGATTTATAAATTCAAAGAAGAGGTTAGTCTATTGGCGTCTCCTTCTAAAAAGCAGGTTGTTTTTATTAATTTAGCATCTACTCCTCTAAATAAGATTTCCATCTGATCACCTTTTGCAGCAGTTTTATTTGTGGACTTGGTTTTCAAGTAACTGTGTTTTTTTATAATCTCCCATATGATCATTAAGAGATGTGAATTTGTGGTAAATTATTAAAAATGACTTTTTTTCCATTAAGAATAAGCTGACTATAGAGAAGTTGATCGCATATGAGGTCAGCAGCCAAACCACAGACAGAAAGGGAGCGTTGGTTAAAATTCCATTTCAACAAGGAGTACTGAATCATTTTTGCTCCCTAAACTGTCAGGTCACTGTAAAAAATGTTGACCATTGTAACAGCTGTAACAATTATTTGTTCCACCTCACCCTAAGATGTTCTTTAGGGGCAAACAACCATCCACACAATGACCCATTAAAAGCAACAGAAAACACCTTGAACTTGGCCATGGGTTTTATTATAATGAACACACAAAGAATTAAATGATAAACAAAAATTAAAGTATGGACAAATCAACCACAGCACAAAGAACTAAACACCTCTGGTTACTGCAGGCAGCTCTCAGACTATAAACACTCAGAACCAGGTGATTGGTACTATGGATGTATGTTTGAAAACCTTGAAAGCTACCTGCAGTGTCTCAGGGCAGAAGGAGGGGGCCTGCTGCCCTGTAACCTCTCATCCAGGGGATTCTTATGTTTAGGTTATGTTGTGGTTGTCTTGTTCAGTTATTCTTTAGCTGATAATTATTTCATTCTTTGTGTATTTATCATGAATCCCATGGCCAAGTTTTGACTGTGTTATAGTTTATTGTATTGGGTCACGGGGCTGCTGTAACAGTAAATATCAGTAAAAAATGGAAATTACTAATCAAGAGATGCCATGCATTGTCATCTTCCTTACAAGTAGTATATTTATTTTGTTCATCTGGAGCTTCCATTTGACTTTTCTAAGCATTAAACACAAAAGTTGAAATCATCTAAAAGTAGGTCAAACTTATGTGGGCTTGTATTTTTCTGGGTCCTTGCAAATCCGACCTGGTCCCAAACCAGGAGAAGGAACTGTTAGTCTTTTTCTACTCAGGGATTGTTGGCCTTGTGGAAAAATAACTAATTCAAACCCACCACTATAAATATTCCAGTATTTTCTGATGTCACTCATGAACCTTTAAAATCATCCTAACTCTCTGCTTCGAGTGGGGTTAAAAAAGGCTGCTAACAAACTCTTATATCAAACTGCTTTTATTAGATACTGATCTTTCATTCTCAAACCACAGTCTGTTGTACACCATTCAAACTAAGTCCTCACATAATACACAGTCAAATCAGTATGTGTCAACATGAAGTCTTCAGCCAAAAGCAGCAAAAAAGAAAGCTCAAGCAGGACTGTTTGGACCATCGGAGTGGGGATTGGATTTATTGTCGTTTTATTCTAACTTCTGATTTGAGTATACATCGACGGACTTTTTACTGGCTTCAGGGCTGCTTAACAAATATTAATTAGACTATGTTTGAGCATTGCAGGGAAGACTTTATGTGGAGACATTGTATTGTAATGATTGTTTCTGACCTGCACTATGTATCTATATATGACCTTCATATATTTAAATTAAGTTACAGAAAAATAAACTCACATTTCAACAAAGAGAGAACATTTGCAGCTGAGTGTTAATGTGACCACTGCTGGCAGTATGGCTCACAGTTCTTGACACTAAAGCAAAGGATCGAAGGTGTCTTTAGAGTGCCAAAAGTATCAATCAATCATCAGTGCTGCTGAGTATAATCACACCTCCAACTTCCCAAGGTGTGCTTTCATGAACAGGGCATTAGTATCTAACATTAGTTACATTTCACAAAGCCTTGGAGGTCTTCCAGGAACTTGATGTACTCCTGATGTTCCATAGCAGTGCTCAGCTCGATCAGCTCATCAGCAAACGTGTTGTCCACCCCACGGTCAGCCAGGAAGTCCATCAGGTGATCGTAAAGAGCCTGGAAACATGAGTTATTTCATTCCAAGTTATTTTCATTTGAAAGGTCTGATGTTATTAGCTTCGGGAACTATTATTAGCTGTATTAACTTTGTATTACTCTGTCCCATGTCTTACCCAGTCCAGAGAGTCTGTGTTAAGTGTGTAGCTGGTCTCCTTCCAATCAGAATCTCCCTCTGGCTGGAAACTGACCTCCCGGATGGCGAAGATGTCGCTCTCCTCTTCTCCCTCACCATGACCCATCTACATAAAAAGAGACTTTTTGAGTATGACTGAAACAAACACTTCTACTGTGAGTTTTCTCACATCAAATAAGTTTATAGCTGTAAATTTAAGTTGTTTTTAGTCACCTCATCTTCAGGGAAATGGCAGTCAAACACCAGGGAATTTTTTGCCGCCTGTTTCGTAACTTCAACCACAAAGTTGGGTGATGACACGATTTCTGGCTGTAAAGAGAAAAACAAATTTTTAATCCTTCATCAGCCATAAATTAGTAATGGGCTGTGTCAAACATGGTTTTACAAAGCCAATGCAGCCACGACTCTTGAAATTCCACACACACCTCTGAAAGTTTGTGGGGACTGAGGTTGTAAGAAAAAATTTAAGCCTTGCATGACTCAAAGCTCCAGTAAGGCACTTTCTGTCCACTTTGGCTTAAGTCATATCTCCTCCTGCTGGCTTGTGATGGTCAAATGTTTCAGTTATAGTGAATATTTTTGTGAAACTTGTAAGAACAGTGCAGTCTCTACAGCAGCATGGCCAACACCCACTAGCACTAGTTTCAGATATTAAATATTTAAGAATAAAGGTAGTCAATCTTGTTGCTGACGGTTTACTCTCTTTTTTTCATGGAAAGTAGGAATTGCAATCAATTCATTAAAGTAAAAACAAAAAACTCCCCACGGAGACTGTACAAAAACTGAACCTCAAGTTGTATTCTTAAAATGTGCTCACAGATCTGATAGTTCATCACCTTCACCAGGAACTGTGTCTGGATTAAATTCACTGCTGCTTCCAGGTACTTGGGGGTGACAAGGGCCCAGTGTGACGCTCTGGTAGCTAGGCTACTTGGCTCAGTAACAAGATTTCTTGGCCTCTTACTTTTGACAATTGAATTAATCAGCAGAGCTAATGTCTGCTTGTCTTTGGTCAGTGACAGTTTCACTCTTTCTAGCAGCTCATGAATGGATTAGTACATTCCTTTGAGCAAATTAAAGAGTTGAAAAGATGCCGAAATTACTATTTAACAGCAAAATATTGCGGGGCTGTTTGGATCAGTCATTTCTACTGCCTTTTGAAATCTTTTAAACTTTTTATTTTGTTTTCTAAACTTTATTCTTCAATTTACTGCTTTTATTACATTAGATCATTTCTTTCTTTTATTAATTTAGTCTTTTAAAACTTAACTTATATTTATTCATTACTTTTCCTTGCTTTTACTTTTTCATTCATTCTTTTGTTTTTCACTCCTTCCATACTCTTCAGTCTGTCTCCTCTTCACTGCATTTTCATGTTTTTTCATCTTTTATCCTGACCTGTTTTTGCCTTGCTATGTCTGCTCACATGGTCCTTTCATTGCCTGCTGTGTTTTGTGACTGACATGCTCATCAAACCACTTTTCAGGCTTGTACTTATTGGTGCTTCAGAAATAAAGACATTACTTTGATCATACTGACACAAGGATGTCAGAAAACTCTTTCTCACAGGACTTTATTTCATAGCATCACATATTTTTCTCTTGGGTGAAGTAGCTTCCTCCAAATGACGCCCGTTACGTTCTCAACAAGGTGTCAGACTCACCTCTTCTTCCGCAGGCTTCTGCTGTCCCTGCTCTGCCTCCTCCTCAAAGTTAGGAGGGATGCTGTTGTTGACGTTAAATGAGACAGTGACTCTGTAAATAAAAAAAATGTACGGATTAAAAGCTTGTCAAGGTGCACACAACCACCAACAACATCAAAGAATACCAACACAGCAAACCTTACTTTTCTCCTGCCATATGCCTTGAGAGTTTAGCCTCTGTGCCGTTCATCTCCAGTTCCCATCCTCCAGACATTTTAGGAAGGCTTTTACTTTTCTGGACCTTCTTTTCCTCTTTGATTTCATCAGACAGGAACTCACCGAATGCTTTGTCACCTGTGTCAAATGTAGAACAAAATACTACAATAAAAGCAAAGTACAGTAAGTTTTACAAGCTTGGCTAAAACTGTGTTTTTTTACATGAAGAAACTCCTTGCTGTCAACACATTAACTACACAGAAACTTTCTCCTACAAAACTGTTAGTTTTACTGTTAAGCAAAAATTCCTGTTTGTTCAAAATCGTGATGTTTTTCTTTTTGTTAAACTAATTCCTACACATTATATGTAAACTGAACTCTGTTGTAAGTTTAAGTGCTTTATGTTGTTATTTCAGTGCTTAAACATGAGTTATCTACAGATTTCTACCACACCAACTGCACATTTTTTAGGCTATTTATATTTGTAGGCTCACGTGTTAAATACACAAATACACTTTTAAAATGCCTCGAGCAAAACTACATCCTCTATCCCCTGGTTTGGCAAGTTCACTCCCAGAGCACATACTCACCTCTGGAAACGCTTAACCTTTACACGTTGAATCATTAAAGTACCTTAAACCTCCACATTTTAAAGTCAATATCTTAAATACACACATATAACTTTGTGTGATTATTGTTATACTCTTATATATTTACATATGAACAATTAAACCTAACAGTTGGAAGCATGGTGAACAGTTTCATGTTATAATTTAATTAGAAATGTTGACTATGGTGTGTATGGTGATTGATTTCATAAGTCCTCAGTAGACTAAAACAGATTAACTCATTCAATCATTACGTGTCGACAAAGACACTGAGTAAGAACATCTTGAAGCTCCTTGTGTTTTTCCCTGCTCCTCCTGCTTTTACCCACTCTGTACCTAAACGCATGAGTCAAGGTGAAAGCTAGCTGCTCACAGTGAACCTTCTAGGCTCACAACCTTCTTGGCCCTCTAAAGAATAAAAACCACACTGACTAGAGTCGAACGGTTTAGATATTAGTGAAAAAAATAAAACCAAGTCATCTGTAAACTTTAGGTCTTCTCAGAGCAGCTCAGATCAATCTCTCTGTTCTCATGTGATATTGCCTCATGCTAGCCCAGCTAGTCCAGCTAGCCAGCCTTAGCTGGTCTCCGTACATAAATAAAAACTTTACCTTCTGTGTGAAGTCCTCCACACCCACATGAGAGTGAGGGATTCAACACATTGGAACTGAAAAGTTTTGGTCTGTATCCCGACGAGGCTCCGCTGTTACTGTACATCCACAGAGACCGGGTAAAGGGCCGAGTCGTTGCCGAGCTTGGAGCGCAGAGGGTCGGGCAGCTGAGCGGCAGAGCTCGCGCTGTGGATGTGGTGGCTGAGGAGAGACGAACAGCTGCTCCCACCGCACGAACCACCGACTTTAGCATGACTGTGATTAAATATTGAAGGAAAAAGTAAGCGTTAAAGGAAATAGGTTAAGTGTGTGACTGCTGGCAACAGCCGGCTAGCTCCCTGTCACAGTCTCTACTGAAGATTACAGAAAACACGTGTGGAAGGACACATTGACCTGGAGTAACTATGACCTTTGAACCGGAAGATATACTTCAGGAGCAAAAAATTATGATATGCGTGTTGCGTTTATCTTAAAAATGTCCAAACTCACACGAGTTATAGCACACAAATAATGATTTAAAATAAAAAATTAAATTAAAAAATATAGGAAGGTAGGGGTGTTTTAAATCTTAACCGATAGCCCAAAAAGATAATGGATCTTTTATGGTCCCTCTCATTCGAAATGAAAAGCTTGAAATGAAACTCACGGTGATCAAAGGTAGTGGTTTCAATAAAAGTTGAAAACTATTACATTGTATTTTTCGAAGCAGGACCTAAAAGGTTCAAGAGTACCCAGATGCAGCGCAAGATGGCGGACCCAAAGACAAAAAACCAAGAGTACCCAGATGCAGCGCAAGATGGCGGACCCAAAGACCAAAAACCGCAACAAAAAACCGCCATAAGTTTCCGCATTACCTCCGATTGGCGGACCCAAAACATGAACTTCTGCTTTGCGATGCCAGAACAGTAGGTGGCGGTATGTACCTACACTTTCTGACGGCAAAATTTACAGAAGAAGAAGAACTCAATCGACGTCGTTACAGGAGCACACACCTTCCAATGCGCATTTGTACAGCGAAACAACGGTAAGGAAAATATTATTTTAATCACCGTTTGACGAGTATGGCATGGTCTCAGAGATTGCATTCGTGCTATTTACAACGGCGAAGAACTTGTTTCATGCGTGTGGAATTTAGTTTTCTTTTCCTGTCGGCTCTGCGCTGCGGTGGATTTGAAAAATTTGCGGCCTCTTAATGTCTGTGTTTATGCGCGTGTGTTTTCGCCACGTGAGTGTATTCTTTTCTTTTCTTCCAGATGCATATTTCCGTTGTGAGCGAGGGCAATTGCCTGCAGCCGACTCTCTTGCCATTAGGCTTTGGCTGTCCACTTTGCCCACGATTTAGCACAACAGCACAAGCCTCAATCGACAGACACTTTAAACGACACTTGGCCAGTGGATTTTCTTTCGAAGGTATGCCATATTGGGAGCAAAGGCGCCTTGGACACTCACACCTTTCCACACAGATAGGACTCTCACACATGCACCCAACCCCCAAATTCACACACCTACTCACACACACACACACTTCTGTCATCACATGTGGATGCATGTTACCCATAGATATTTTATATCAATATTCCTATCTTATAATTATCTTATTATCTTATAATGTTTGCCAAATGCAAGGGACTTCACAAAAAATAGTTTCATTTATACATCTACTTGGAGATCTGGCATAATTTGTAATTGTGAATAGTCATATCAGTGAAATACATCACACATAATGGCTCTCGATGGAGCTGTTTCATAAGTGAATGATATATTCATGTACTCAGTGTGATAAATATTTGAGATATTGATTGTTTTTATTAATACTTACTCTATCCATTTCCAGGAAAGGTCATCTGCATATGCCATTTACCATGCAGAGACAAAGGCCATTATCACTGCCTGTTTTGTGAGGCCACAGTTATCCAGAAAGCCACTTTCATACGGCACATGCAACTGTGCCTCAGGAAAATATATGCCACCCGAGACACCGCCACAGCACCCGAATCCACACCAATGTATGTACATCGTTCTGGACTCACAGTTTGACTACTCAGTTGTAAGTACTTTTCAACATGCAGTGTCATCCTCAAGGTTGTATTTTGTATTGTGCACTAAAATGAAATACAAACAACAATTTCAGCATGACATGCCTGTTTTGCGGCGATGGTGGTGCCTGTTGCTCCTGGAGAACCATTCTTTGAACAGGTAGACAGTTTAAATAAACTAGATGCCCTAATTAACTGGAAGACAATCAATATATTGTACTTAAAGATATATTGTCATTACAGTTGTGGGAAAATCTTCGCCCACTGGACCGAAGAATGTAAACAGCTCATTGCTGGAAAGCATACTCCAGTCTTCAGACTAAAGAGGAAGGCCGAGCAGCAGGACATAGAGGTTAGAAAATTGCCTTCTAAAAACAGTATTATCTCAGTGGGAGTCCTTCAAAATGCACACAGTTGTATGGATCAACATTGTCTCGATGTATTTGGTAATTGATGTTACTTTTCAAATTGCCTTGTCAAGGAAACCATGACGCAGACGGCATCGGATGTCCGAAGAATGTGCATGGCAGAGTCGATGCAATTCTGTGTCTACCAGACATCCGACAACACAGGAGAGAGGTGTGTTGCAGACTCAATTTAATAAATGCAATTATCGGGGCCTATTCAGTGATTTTCCATGAAGTGACCACTTTTACATATAGTTTAAATGCACGAATCATGTGGTAAAATTATTTATACATTCAAATGTGCTGCAGAGGTATAATCAATTGGACAGCGTGTTTGTTTAATATTATGTTTGTCTCTCATTTGATCAGATTGCTTTACCCTGAGGTAAAATTGATCAAATGGGTCCAGTGCAAGACGTGCAGGGGCTGGCTGCATCAGGATTGTGCTGGGATGGAAATGGAGCCGTTTGACTGCGGGTGCGAGGACTTAATTGAGCATCCTCGGTATAACATAATTTATCAAGGAAACATAGTATCAGTCAAAAATACGAGGCTCAAAGGATGAAAAAATGAGGGCTTGCTCTTTTTCTTATTTCTCTGCAGGATCAAGGATGCTGTCGACAGTGGAGGAATTCATGCTGTCTTTTCTAAGACACAGATCAAGGTTGCTTTTGAATGCACTATCAGTTGTTAAAGCCACCGTTTCTTTTTCAGATGATTACATTTTTGTCTCTTGCTCTTTGGTTTCAGACATTACATGATGATCTCCTGTCCGGAAAGCTCCGCTCAAACCGAATGTTCCTTTGGAGGAATCCCGCCACCTCACTCCGACTCAAGCAGCACCTCAAGATAAAGACATTAAGTTGGAGTGAGCAGCGCGTAAGTAAAAATGCCATCCATCATGAGTATTTTTACTCTCAGGGGTGTTACATTTGAAAGGTGTTTACTTTGTGTTTTTCTTCAATAGATGTACGAGCTCCTGCGATTCATTGAGGAGGCAACAAACATTGCTAAAAAAATTAAGACAGGCAATATTCATCTGCTTGATTTCGTTTTTGACGTCATGCTCCCAGAGGTGAGTAGATCAAACTATATAGCTTGCTTTGAAAATTGATGATATTGTTAAGAGGTTGTTCTTATTCATTTGGAAAGCTCAAGAACAACAATTAACCCATACTGCATAACTTCAATTGTTCACATTATTTGCCTGTTTTTCAGCTTTTGATCAAAGCACTGAAGGAGCATGGCATCAGCCGGTTCAGAGCGGAGCTGATGATGGCCTGTGGCAATGTGTTTTGAGCCCCCCACCACACCGACGTGCTGAATTTTGTATATTTTTTTTTTTACTGTTCACAATTTTGTTTGAAAAAAATTAAAGAAATCTTCAAAGCAGTTGTATGACAATTTCCCATTTCTTTACACAGTCTGTAATGATATCGCTATTCAATAGTTTTTGCTATATGGCTCTTCTGAACCTTAAAGAGATCATGTGACTTGTGTCTCTACAACTATTGTATACTTGGATTTTGCACAGTCAAGCAATCCTGAAGAGGTTCACCAGGAAGCACACCATTTCATAAATTATGTCCCTGGTTACACAATGTTACTAAAGGATGGGGGGAGTAAATTTGTGCAGCAACATAAGCACTCTCATAAAACATAATTATGAACAACAGAAAATATGTGAGGGTCAGGGCAACATTGTTGACATTAAACGAGGTCCTAATAGGAGTGGAGAAACAAGGTCACAGAGAAGTTAAGAAACATTGATGTGCTGTGTAATAAAGCTATTGGAGAGAAAAGTTAGAAAACACTGTTATATGATGTGTAACGAGAGGTTAAAACAGTCCATACTTGTAGCAAACTCTTACAAAAGAATTTAAGTAAGATGATAACTTCTACATACATTTACCTATTCTGACAAATTATCAGAATATGAGGACATCAGGCTATATATACATATTACTGTAAACTTCAGAATTAAATCAGAACAAAACAGTAGTCATAATTAATACATAAACGTTTTATTTTGATTTTTAGCTCAATAATAAATTTAATTCGATTCTTATGGAATGAACGGAGCAAAAAAAAAAAAGGATCCGGCGACTAAATCCGACTACCTGAAGTATTTCGGCGCCGGAAGTCCGCCAACGAGAAAGCCTTTCCACCGGAAGTAATTGTTTTGGGTCCGCCAATCGGAGGTAATGTGGAAACTTATGGCGGTTTTTTGTTGCGGTTTTTTGTCTTTGGGTCCGCCATCTTGCGCTGCATCTGGCCTCCTCTCCGTCGAACGGCGCCAGAGCAGTGCTTTGATGTTGACTAAAACCACAGGAAATTACACAATTTTAACCCGGAAACGCCATAATATCTCAACTTTTTACCTGATTAATGCATTCAAAGTTATTTTTAAAAAATTTTTAACCTACCTTGAGGTATATTTGAAATTAATGTTTGACAGAAATGTAGAGTTCTTCAACACAGAGGCGTACTGCATTTATTTGAGGATAAAACTGCTCTTGTTTCCTGAATTAACAAGAATTATATCTCAGAATTAACTAAAACATTTTCAGGGGGAAAAAAGTTCTTTTTTTTATATAGTTAGCAAAAAAATTCATGTGAGAATTAAAAGATTAACTTCAATTTGTAAAAGAAAACATTCTTCCCAGTTTTTCTGTGTTCAAAGATTGGTGTCCTAGCTTTAAAGGAATATTCAGAATAAAAATAATGTCCCTTTTTCTCTAAAATAATGACATAAAGCAGCCTTATTTGTTTTTATGATCTGGATATAGCACACGCCATGTAAAATTTTAGCACACGGGTGTCTAAATTCAGGTGAAAACTGCAAACATAGCTAGGGACAAAATAAAATGTTCATTTCCAATTCACTGTAGTGTGTGATCAGCACAGCTGATTTGTTACACTAGATAAAACTATTTTACGACTGTGTACATTATTTTTTTTATTAAGATACAATATTTCAGCACACCTTTTCAATAGCATCTTATTCGTGGTCCAGGTGATACATCTGTCCGTACAGACAGGCGGTCACCAGTCCAGCAGTCATGTCTGAGTGTTTTAAAGTCACTCTTCCATCTGCAGATTTGTCAAAATGCTTTACTTCCTCTAAAACCATTTGACTCGCCAAAACTGATGGGTACACATATCTGGTTCCAAACTTCCCCACCATCACAAAGTCCATTTTGGTCTCAGCTTCTTCTACTCCCTGTCCACAGAAGCTTGGGTCCGACCCTGCACAACGGACTAGTGCACACACCTGCAGAAGGAAGGATACAGGTGAGACATGTTGTAAAGGACAGTGTCTATATCCATAAACCCTTTAGTTCATACCTGCAGGGATAGGTCTCCATCCAAAGTGTGCAGCCCAGCAAATGCACCAAATGCATACAGCTCCTCACTGTTACCCTGTGAAATTCGCTTGTACTGCAGGTGACAGCAAAAGGAGCCATTGCACACCTTCACCCTACCCTCTTTTTCATTTAGGAGGACAAATGTGAACGGGTCACCAATCGTGAATGATGTGAATGTGGCTGATGATGAAGGGACTGAAGATGCATCAGAGCAGCTCTCACTGTGACAGAATCCAGAGTCTGTAACAGGGGATGAAGTGGACTCAGACGCCAGTTTCTCCTCCTCTGTGGCCACCCTCTGCCCCGACCACTCTGGGTCTAAGACCGGCACCCTGGCCACCAGCAGCTTGCCCTCCTCTGGGTCTCCCCTCTTTGAGTGATGGTAGATGGATGAAAAAGGTGTGTAGATACCACTCCCAGCCATGTTCTTATTATCATGGCAGAGGTTGGCTGCTAGCAGGGTGACATTGGTGCTTCGGCTTAATGATCGAAGGTACTGGACAGAGTCAAGCAGGGGGAGGGTGTTAAACCAAGCTGTAGGGAAGATCAGCTGATGAACACCCTAAAAGGAGCAGGAAGAGAGTCTGCTTTTAAAAAAGAGATCCGACACAGGGACATAGAGCTAAATACATAATTGTGAGTGGTTTTACCTTTTCCACCAGTGCTATAGTGGGCTTGTAAAATAGGATGTCAAAGCATATCAGCAGGCCAAATTTTCCAGCAAAAGGAGTATCAAATGTGATGATCTCAGGCTGTGGTGGAGTGTCAAAGGACTCCTCAGGGAAAAGGTTGTATTTATGGTAGCGTGCCACCAGCAGGCCATCAGACCCAGAAGATAATGAAATTAAGAATTCATGTGTTGATTCATTTGCTGGAGTTTAGCCAGATGTCTCTATTTTAAGATCTCAACTTCACCTACAGGCAATATTGGTGTTGAACTGCCAGCGTCCATCAGATGGACAGGAGGAGGTGGGATCTGTAGACAGGGGGCAGGGCTGCCGGTCAGGCATATTAGCTACAATGTAGATGTTATTCCGACAAGCCATACAGCTCAACCGCTGGAGAACCTGTAAAACAACCATTCTGAAATGTAATTCATAATAACAGACCAGTGTTGGCTGCTTGTGGGTATCTTTAAATCAAGATAGACATCAAACATGAGTGTATATCTGTGCACCTCAGTGTTGTCGTGTCTCCTGCTGGGGGTCAGGAATTGTTTCAAGATAACCTACAATGGATGTGCGGGTGAAGTTAAACCCATGTAGACCATCTTCTGGAAACACCAGGATCTGGGCACCCTGATAAAGACAAGAGAAGACACGACTGGAAAAACATGCCAGGATTCTGAATGCACAGTCATTTGCTGTCATATAAGGTATGACCCTTTTATTGAATAATACACTTACTGGTTACGCTACGGAAAAAACCTGGCACATGGTGGCTCATTGATTTTTAGTAGAGCAATAAGTAACCCTTTTTATGAGTCGCTACTAAGCATTTATAACTTTCCAATAAATCATACCTGCTGAGCGGCTCCTGCAGTCTGCACTTCGTAGATATCCAAGTTTTTCTGCATGTGTTGAAGGGCAGCCTGCCGCGACACTGGGACACGAGGGTCTGGGTTGGTGACCAGCTGCTCCAATCAGAAAAACAATTGACTTAACTCTATGTGTTCAAGATAACTCTCTGGTAGAGCCAGGGATGCTGAGGAGCTCTGAACCATTTCTCCTTTTTTTTGTCTCTATCTTATGGCTTTTTCGCGGGGGTCATGGTCTGCTCCAGGTTTTCTGCCTTCTTAGTGAGAAGGTTTCTTCTGTGCCACTCTAACTTTCTAAATGCTGAAAGGTGCTCTGCTTATGGTACATTAAGATAAGACTGAGACTTATGGTATAAGATTAGAATGAATCTTATCCTACAGTGATGTTGGCATGACATGGAACTGATTTATAACTCCACTTGCATACAGATATGTGAATAAGGATGTCAGCTGCATAAAAAAGACTTTTTTATCCTTCACACAATACTGTTAATAAATCAAACATAAAATGTCTTTCTTTCTTTCTTTCTTTCTTTCTTTCTTTCTTTCTTTCTTTCTCTCTTTCTTTCTTTCTTTTTATGTTTTTGCTGAGTGGCAGAAGACACAGACTCAGGATCATTCATGTAACTCAGAAAAAGCTCTGATAAAAATAATGATCATGAGGGCAAAGTTGCTTCATTTTTTATCTTCCCTTCTTCTTTTCTTTTCTCCCTCTTCTTTTTATCTTTCTTTTAAACATTTCTTTCTTCTTTCTTCCTCCCTTAATCCATGTTTGAATTGTTTTTATTATCACGAGTAGTGCCTGATACTTCTGCCAAAGCAGTTTACCAAACAATTAATTACCTTTCAATCTCAAAATGTTTAACTAGGATGAAGACATCCAGTTTACAGTATTTGATAGATAAAGTTGATCATATTTTTTTTTTCTTTCTGTCCTTCTTTTTTCCAGTTCTTTTCTTTCTTTGGTTATAAATCATTTTGTAGTTTGGCCAGTAAAGGTGTTGAATAATCAGCAGAAGAGACAGGATTCATTCCTTCTGATTACTAACACAAGGAGCTTGAGTAAAAATGATTATAAGTGTTTAGGCTTTTTTTTACCCCCCTTCCTTCCGGCCATCTGTCCTCCCTTCTTTCTTTCTTTCTTTCTTTCTTTCTTTCTTTCTTTCTTTCTTTCTTTCTTTTAGTAACTCCTGTTGTGGTTTCAGCCACAGTTTTTTTTAACCCCTAACACACCTGAGAACTATGACGAGTTTTTCTTTCACCTGAGCTGACCCACAGTGCTGACATAATAATAAAGACTGTTTAAAAGCATACTCAGCACTAAACATAAAGCGTCCTCTAGTGACTGTAACAAACCACTTGAGAATAAATCAGTTTGTATTTAAGAACTTAGTTTTACAGCCTCATCAGTCTTAATATTTTACTAATCTTGTGTTTTTCTGAACTCTTCTTTTCTTCTTCTCTGCACATATGATATGGTATCCAATACAAATAATTTTAAATGCTGTGAGGAGACAGGCTGTAAGTGTGTGCAAAGGGTTCAAGAACTTTCATCTTTCGAAAACACAACTCACGTTTATTTATATAGCACATTTATAGGACAGGCCAGAGAAAGTGCTTTACAGGAGAAAAAAACAAAATAATAAAAGCTACAAGTATGGCAACATTAAAAGGTCAACATACAATAACAACAATAAAAGAAAAGTGTACGCGAGTAAAAGCAGGTGACAACTCAACCAAAAGCTAGGGTAAACAGGTAGGTTTTAAGGTGCATTTTGAAGGAGGTGAGGCTGGTTGCAGAACGCACAGACTGAGGCAGGGCATTCCACAGAGTGGGAGCAGCAACTGCGAATGCCCGATCCCCTCTGCTTTTAAGCTGGGTTCTCGGCACATCTAAGACCATCCGGTCAGCAGACCTCAGGGATCTGGCGGGTCGGTGTCATCTTTGGCCTCCTCTGGAGTCATTTTAGGCGTTTGACTCTTTGAAGTTACCTGAAACAAACATGAATTTCAGCCCTTCAGTTAAAATTGTCTATTTTTTTTCTTCAAAGCTGAACCTTTTAAGTATTTATAGAGTTATTCACCTTCAAATTCCCAGAAACACACAGTACATCCGTCATTCATCTTTCCTCCGTCTCTCTCTTCATGGGCCTGTCTCTCGTATGTTTGGTCCTCCTGCGTCTTCTGTCTCGTGCTCGGCTCTTCTGGGGGTTTCTTCTCAGTTGAGGTCCTTTACCTAAAAAAAAACAAAAAGAAAATGGGTCCTACACTGACTTTGTTTCATGTTAACAATGACTCTGGAGGAACCAAACTCACCTTTAGACTCACTTACCCACTAAGTGAATAAATTAAGTAAAGAGGTCACGCGAAAGGACGTGACACAACACAACACATCACAACACAAACACACACACACACACACACACACACACACACACACACACACACACACACACACACACACACACACACACACACACGACACAACACACAGAAGAAAACAACACATCACAATACGAGGTAAAAGAGCACATAACGACACATAACATCAAACATGACCACACAACACAACACATTAAAAAACAAGACATCACAACATAAACACATGCATGACAACACAACCCATGAAACAAAACAACACATCACAAGACACTATACTAAAACTGCGCCACTACACAAAACATCCCAACACATAACATCAAAATAAATAACCACACAACACAACCAAGGACTTTTGAAGTTCTGCCCAATGAGTCCAAGGTGAAGTCGTTTTTTCTGCCTTTAATTGAAACTTTTTTGTTTTTTTAGGAGCATGTGAGAGGAGGAGCTGGAGCGGAGCGAGGGATTCGTTGTCGTTGACTAAAATGCAGAGCAGGATGCCGGAGGCTTTTATTGGAGGAGAGGAGATGCTGCTGAGGAGCTGAAGGCTAACTAAGACCGAATTACCAAACAACGTTATTTGTTTTTTTAGGAGCAAGTGCGAGAGGAGGAGCTGGAGCGGAGCGAGGGATTCGTTGTCAATGACTTAAATGCAGAGCAGGATGCCGGAGGCTTTCATTGGAGGAGAGGAGATGCTGCTGGGGAGCTGGAGGCTAACTAAGACTGAATTACCAAACAACCTTATTTGTTTTTTTAGAAGAGAAAACTTAACTTACTCTAACTTATCTTAACTAAAACTTAACTTACTCTAACTTAACTTATAACTAAAAAACTTAACTTATATTAACTTATCTTAACTAAACAACTTATTCTAACTTAACTTATAACTAAACAACTTAACTTACTCTAACTTAACTTATAACTAAAAAACTTAACTTATATTAACTTAACTTATCTTAACTAAACAACTTATTCTAACTTAACTACGGCACAACGTGACCCCCAAAAGGACTCTTGCTTGGACGGTTGTTTTTCATCCGTCCAGCAGGCCTCTTGTGAGTCACGTTACACCACTGGAACCTGATCTTCATGAGGCGCTCAAGATTCTTCTTCCACTTGGGCTCAGGACTGGTGGAGATGAGCTTGGTGGATGAAGGGAGCGCAGGTTCCTCCTGAGTGGTCCTCAGTGGGGCCATCCACCGTCTCCTCCGTCTGGAGAGCTCCTCTGGGTCCTCAGGCTCCAAGCCTGGCCACTGCTCCTCCTCTGACATCAGAGGGGGGAGGCAGGGGAAGGGGCTGCGGGTAGGTCCCGGTGACCTGGCTGGAGAAGAGCACAGAGAGGAGCTTGGGGGAGGAGAAACGTGGAGGGCCGTCCATCGGTGGGACCTTCCTCAGTAACAGCCAAGGAGTGGACTCATCCTGGTTCTGGACGAGGCTGTACTGCTCCACTCGGACCTGAGACAGAAAAAACGACGAATAATAAAATCTGAAGTCTGCAGAAATGATTTTTCCAGGGGAAGGTTTCACATCTTTGAAATAAATTAATGAATATAATTCAGTAAAGAAAATTAAAATTAAAAAAGACAAATTCATAAACACATTTCTGTAATTAAAATCATTCATGCAAACACAGTACATTAAAATGGTCTTTGGTTCCCAAACTGGAAATGTCCCCTTGCGGGACAAATAAAGGAGTATTTTCTCTGTCTTACCTGACTTCACTGGTTTTTGACTTAAGAGTCCCCGTCAAAAACTCTTAAATTCATTTTGGCTTGTTATTCCTAAAACAAACATAAAGACAGTTAATGATCTCTGTTTGTGGAGAATTCAGCTTATTTAATTATAATCTATGTTTAACAATTTTTTCTCACCATCTTCTCGTAGAAGAGAAGATATGCTGACTCCTCTGATCTTTGGCATACATCCTCTCTTGTCATATAGGTGACCATGGAGTCATTATAATTCAGCCAAAGATCACTGGCAGTCTGAGGATCCACATCAGGGTGCAGCCCGCTGCTGATGTAGTGTCCTAACAGGAGAGGAAGAAGAGTTTGCATCAAATGTTGGATAAACCCAGCTGAACAGAATTATAGCCATAAACATGTGAGTCTTTCGTGATGTTTGTTGTTTGTTTTATGTGTTGATGTAAAGACGGTCATGGAATAAAAATTTTCCGTTACTGTGAGCAAACATTTGATCAAAACTCCAAGAAAGTCAGGGTGAAATAGTCAAAATGCACTGCAGGAAAACTTGATTAATAACAGCAGCCTACATTTGTACATTATAGTGACAATTAGGTATTATTGCAGTCAGCCACAGGGGGCAGTAGTGGACCATAACATGAGCGCAGAGCAGGTTTGACTAAAGAACCAGAGTAGAGTTAATTTCACAACTTGGCTTAATGTCAAAAAGTTATTCTCTTGTAAAACTGATCACACAGATTTTCTCAGATGTCTCAGTATTTTCTCTGAACATTCAAGGTAACGCTGCATGATGGCTTAAAGACAAATCTGGAGAGTGAGCCCATGTCTGCAGACACAGCAGACTCTGGGATCTCAGCTGTCAAAGAGTAAATCAAGTGATCTCATCATCAAAAGTTGTTCTGCTGTGTGTCATTTCATAAACTTTAACAGTTAATAGGCTCTCTGAAATTTTAATACAATGAATTGCAAAGTCTAGAACAGTGTTGTACAATAAGTACGCAGCATTACTTAAATATAGCACTTGAGTATAATTTTGAAGTGTCTGTACTTTACTGTAGTTTTTTTGTGCCCGCGACTTTCACTTTTATTTGGCTGCATTTCTAAAAATAAAAGTATACTTCTAATTCTAATTCTGGTGCTTTAGCTTACATGTTAAATTATGTGATTATAAATCCTAAAAATTGGTTTATAACAAGTTTCTTCAAACATTCTTAGGAGTTCAGCAGTTCTTTGAAAGTAAAATGATGGAAAATGTTACCAAGATCCAAGAGCAGGCTGCACTTTCTGCTGAATGAGACCGATCCAGTTACTTCATAATGTTTTATCTTTCTTACAAAGACATGGTTTGAAGGCTAATGTTAATTTGATCTTCCTGAGACTTTAAAGACTCTAGCCTTTGATTGGCATTTATCTATCTGTTATGGATCTGAGGACCTAACAGAAGACTGCACTGGCTGATCTGACCCTCACTGAGTGAATGTTTTACCTGCGTTTCCTTCACTGCCTAAATGACTGATGACACTAACCAGACTGTACCAGCTCGTAGCCTGAGAGCAAACACACAGAACAACTGTTAGAAACAAGCACACACACACACACACACACACACACACACACACACACACACACACACACACACACACACACACACACACACACACACACACACACACACACTTCTACACTCTTACACTTTGGTGCATAAGTGTCTTACCTGGCTAGATGTCACAATCAGTTCCCTGGTGAGGTCCACGGGGTCGTGACGTTTCACAAGCTCGTAGGACTCAGTGAATTGGAACCTCTTAAGTTGGAGCACCAAGAAACTGTGGAGAGCAGCAGAGAGGGAATGACCACAGGATTATTAAACTGAGGGAATTTCTGAGCATGAAAATACTGAGGATAAATTAACAGAAAATAATCTGTGCATGTGTCTGCAACAGGGGGAAACAGTGAGTCTGGGATGGATGTAACGTCACCCACTTTGGCAGGGTTGTGAAGGTGGAGCACTGTGCTGAAGTTGTGCCTCCACACTCGCAGTTGAACTCCAAGTCTGTGTCCTGCAGAGAAAACATGCTGTCAGATACTGTGTACATTAAAATCAACAACCAAAAATAACCGCAGAGTGAAACATTTGAGTGGCTTCATGTCAGACAATGTGGATGTTGATTAAAGAAGTCCAGCTTCTTTACCTTCTCATATTCCTGCAGCATCTGCTGCACCGAACCCCCAGGAATCAGGTCCAGAGAGAGATTCAGGAATTCTTCCTCTCTCACTGAGGCGGAGCCACATCTGCACGTTAAAAGGACAATACATATGATTATATACTGTAGTTATACAAGTTGTGAAAAGAAAATGTAAAGATAAAAGAAAAGATTACTGTAGATTTGACCTGACTTGATAAAAATGAGCAAAAAATTAAACACATTAGTCAAACTGGAGGTAAATTTGTCCTGCAACCATCTGTATGTTTTTACCTCTTGCATTTTCTGCGGTTCTGCATCCTGAACTCCAGGTTGCTTTCCACAGGACACCTGTAGGACCTCCCCAGGATAGAGGCAACATGCCTCAGTGGCGCAGCCAGGTCCCTCATCTGACCCAGAACTGCAGTCAGGAACTCATGGGCATCCTGAGCAAACAGAAACACAGGTTTGATTGGATACGCAGACAAGGAGCAGTTAGTGAAACTTTAAAGAAAACGAGCTGACTTACTTTCTGATGGTGGTCCGCAAACTCTGGGGCCTCGATAGAGAGAAGCCACTTAAATTTACCCAGAGCACCAAGTTTTAGGAGAGTGTCACCACCGTCACGGAGACGAACAATGTCCATGAAATAACTGCAGAGGAACAGAGAGGAGCTTGTTTTAGTTTGATTTAAAGATTTGCGGATAAACTGAAGCCTCATGTCTCAGCAACAAAAAGTTCCTGACATCCTGAAATGAACTTATCCTTGGCAAAAAATCTGTCATGAAATAGTTTAACATGGATATTATCTCTTCTTTTAATGGGTCAAATCTTTTAAGCAGATTTACTGTTCATTTATATATTAAATGTTGAATCATTTTTAGACTTTAAAAAAAATCTCTTTTTATAGTACAGGACAAAAAATAAGTTCAAAGCCAAAAACTGACATAAAATTATACATAAATATTGTTTTCAACTTATAATGAATCACATTTATTTCAGCAGCTTCAACTTTGTTTATAAATATCAAATGATAAACAATTTCCAGAATTGTAACCCTATGCCAGTCTACATACACAATGCATTGAAAAAAAAATATTGTTATCCAACATTTTACACTATGAGCTAACATAAAAAAAAAAACAATCAAACTCAGATTGGGACATTTTTGTGATCACCAGTTAAAATGATTTGGGGTATGTTAGTTTTTTTTAATATGTCAGATTTAAAAACCCATTTAATTACAATACTTCATTTGAATTATCTGACATTGACATATTTCTGTCAATGTCACATAATTAAGTTTTTATTATTTATTATTTTTATCTTTTCCTCAGTTTCAGTCCTGTATATTAATATATATTATTAATAATTAATCATTAAATGCTAGTTCATTAACACAATAAACCAGATTTCTCATTTTAAAAAAAGACAAAAGCTTAATATTTCTCATATCCTGAGGACCAAAAAAAGCTTTGGGTCAATTTTGAATAGCAATATTAATTTTGATGTATTATTCCTTTTCTTTCTTGTATTTCAGTTTTTAGTTCACGTCAAAAGTTTGACTCGTAGCTTCAACAACACGTTCTGTTGTTGAAGCTGTTTGAGAGCATGTAAAGATCACAGTTGAATTTTAATCCAAGCCACGATCTTTTCTGAACCAAACCAGGAAACGTTGGTGTACAAAACTAACAAATCAGAGACCATTTCTCAACGTAAACCTTGTACTTGGCATGTTTCGTGTGAAATTATTCAAGGATAGTTCAGGTGTTTGAAGGCGATATATAATAATCTAAAACAAAAATAAGAATATACATTTTTGACTCAAAGTGGTGTAAGTTGCTTCTTGTGACCCATCTGCAGTGCATAGCTTTGCTTTAACGTAGGAACTCCCGCAGACAGCTATGCTGGCTGTTATCTGCGGTGTGTACCACTCTTACTCATGCAGTCTGGCATAAAACAACCTAACCCTCTACTTTAGTCATCTTTTACACTTATTCTAAACAGTTAACTGTGTGTGTGTGTGTGTGTGTGTGTGTGTGTGTGTACAGATACTACACCTCATCAGCTGGGCCCCTGGGATCAGACTCCAGACCTCCTCCTGGCTCCTGATGTCCCTCACAAACCGTGTGAGCGTGAGCAAGCTCTGGAGGCTGGAGTTCATGTAGCAGATCTGGGCTGGGTTTGGAAATCTGACACACAAACACAACAAATGGAATCATATCTTAATATCACAGCTCCAGACACAAACTGAGGATTGTTTTTATCAAAATGTAGCTGCATGGATTTAAGTGATGAATCCAGAAAATCACGTGTACTCACCCAAGGTTGATCTGCTGATAGGCGAGACTCAGTTCGCTCTGTGGCACGCTGCTCTGAGAAACCTCGTCAGTGCTGCAGTGAGACAAAAACAAACTGTAAATAACAATGAACAGCAAAGAGCTACAAGTGTGTGGGGCTAGTAATCTACTTGTACTGAATCATATTTTACAGTTGACCTCATCTATGGAAAAGAAGGTTATTTTAGCAAAAATCAGTATTGAGATCGAAGTGGGATTGAATTTTAGGAGACGAGATTTGACCAACACAACACTCAGAGTTTTTAATACACATTACCAGCACTGCCAATAATCCTTATTGACTTTCAATGCCAATCAAAACATGTCCCAAGTAAGAACATAAAGTTAAAAAGGGGATGAAAGCGATAACCTCAAGCTAACTCAAACCATAACTTTCTTTATTGAGATGTCAACCTCCACATTAAATCTGGTACAGAAAGTGTGTATTAAACTGCTCTTTTCATTTAAATTTAAAGTCAAAAAATCAAGTTGGCTATTCTACAGTATTACAGCGCTTCTTGATATAAAAATGAATGATTCATAGACTGAGGAACAGACTGTGAGTGTGTTTCAAGGGGAAAAAATAATGTGTCAGGACATATTTAGCAGATATACTGATTTTCATGTACAAGTGACTTCATGTTAAAGCTACTGTGGGGAATTTTCAGCCGATTATAACTGACTGATATTGATAGGGATGCCTCTGTGTGGCCTTAAAAAGCAAATCAGACCACCTTTGAAGGGTTTGTTCATCTCTACAAAGTTATTTGTGAGGTTAGAAACTGTTGTCAGGGGTGTAGGTGTCAGATGATTTAGCTAAATTGAAGCTTTTTAAAAAGGCTTTTTCAAAAATATCTCAGGTGAAGATGACCAATGACTTTTAAAATTGAGCAGGGAGATTTTTTGTTTGAAAACAAGACTTAACACAATTTGACAGAGAGGTAATGAAAGAAGCATAAGAAGCAACACAAACCAAAAATTCCTCACGGGAGCTTTAAGAAAGAATTGATAACACCTGATTTGTGTCACGTGATGATTTAACTCATCAGGTGACACCAAAATTGATCCATCCTGTGAACAAAATGAGTTTGTTACCTTCTCTGGAGTTCCTGAGGAGGCTTCTGCTGATCTTTAGGATCAGAGAGAGGAGACACACGCTTTTCTCTCTAATGAAGTAAAAATAATTTTGATTTGTCAGTAACAGAATCAACTGAAAGATAAACCAAAACTAATGCTTATAACAACACTGAAGTCCAGACTGGTATTCCTATGCTTTACTTACTCTACAGCACTTCAAAAACCAAGAACAACCCCATTTCTTCTCCTTTGGTTTCTTGATTTTCTCCCCAGGTGGGGGTGCTGTGGAGCCAGCCAGACCGTTGGAGGTGACATCTCTGCAGACACAAGCACACACCATTACCGTGTGTTGACATATGTTTTAACAACCTGTAGTGATGTTTTTAAAGGAGTCTGCAGTGACTAGTCAACATTTATCAGAAGCTTTTGTGGCTGCACAAATAAACAGCTGATTGTTGGAGCAGTTTACTCACCTCCGCTGATGGCTGATGGGACTTCTGACTTTTCTCTGTGGAGTAACAACAAATATAAAAATGAAAACCCACTGTGTCAAATATTTTTAGTGTCTGATTTTAAATGTCACACTTATAAAATGATCTTATTTTAACAGCTCTGAAACATACCAGAGGTTGACCAAACAGCCTGTGCAGCCAAAAGTTCTTAGGGCAGCAGGTTTCTGTGTTAGAAGCCTCTGACGCAGTGTTACTGGTCAACACAGAAACACAGGTTGGTTATTTTAATGAACAAAACAAATCAATAAACAGAAATATCTGCAGAGACACATGACAGTCACACAGACTCAAACCATGGTGATATTCAGACGATAAAATACAATAAACACGCACTGGATGGTCTTTGAGGAAGTATCAGAGTCAAACTGAAAAAGTGTCTTTATGTATCAAAAATAATACAGCACACTCACAGTGATTTAAAATACCTGAAGGTTATTCCCTGTTTTTGTGTTGTTGTTATTGATAAATGAACCCCCTCTTTGTTCACACTTATTCATTAAAAACCTAAGTGCTGAATCTCTTGAAGTTGACACAGCGTTTTTAAAACAAAGCTTTTTTAATGCATATTATCCGGGAAAGGCCTCATACAAAACATGTTTTTCCTTCAATTTCAAACACAGTAAATTAAAATGGTCTTTGTTTCCCTTACTGGGAATTTCCCCTTGTGGGACTAATAAAGGAGTATCTTATCTATCATACCTGACTTTACTAGTTTTTGACTAGAGACTCCCAGTAAGAGCAAACAATGATAAAACTTCTTTATTTCATTTAGTGTTTTTACATATTTCCTTTGTCTGACTGATTAATTGATCAGTAAATGTCTTATGTGAAGCCTTTGAATTGTCTTATTCAGCTAAAATAACCACTGAAATGTGTAACATAAATACATGTGTCTTGTGACAAAAAGAGTATGAAACACAGTGTAAGTCCAAAATCAAATCCTAAATTTGCGAATCTTTAGATTTTTGCTGGCACTGTCACAGATTTAACTCTGAACTGTCCCAGATTATAATCTGCTGGGAGGTCTCTGTCATGTTTCAAATGTTACACTCTGCATATTAAATGCAAAAGAGGTAAAAGATTGTTTTAGAGACACATTGTTAAACTACTGTTTAATATCACACCCCTGTAAATTTGAGTTTGCATTTTACTGTCATCACAAGTTAAACGTGTTTCTTACCTCATGTTGAAGCTCGACCAGGCAATTCTCTGAGCTTCTCCACTTCCAGGAGTGGGTTGACTCCTCTGTGCAGATTTAAAGGAGAAATAAGAAAGCATTGGTTAGTATAAAAGAAACTGTCAAATAAGTTTCAGACTGACGGCTTTAAATAGCCCAGAAGACATAAAAAATCTCTTATAGAGATTTCTCACAATAACATGAGCTTTTCTGCTCTTAAGCACGTAGAGTCTTTGACATGGTGGGCAGGACTTTCATGTGATGTCAATGCATCACTTTTAAGATAACCATCCCAACGTCTCGACTTTAACTCGCTGTTGTGGCCACATTTTTTGGAGTACAAACATGAAAAACAGATCATTATGTTCATGAAGGGTGGAGGATTCGTACGATGTTCTTATTTTCATTCTGGGATTTAAAGAAATCGTGCTATGTGAAGAAGTCCAGAGGCAGCTTCTCATTCAAACAGTGGGTCAGTTAATGCCTTTGATCTCACAGCTGTTTAGGATAAAATCATTAATGTGACACACACACACACACAGTCTGACAATGTGTGTGTGTGTGTGTGTGTGTGTGTGTGTGTGTGTGTGTGTGTGTGTGTGTGTGTGTGTGTGTGTGTGTGTGTGTGTGTCTGTGTCTAAAAGACCTGCATGTACACACAGTTAATATGTGTCTGCATCACCACCTATCTCCACCCACAAACTTTGAGCTACAGAAACTATTCTGGGCTTCAAAAATTCAGCTCATTGAGGACATTACGGGGTGTACTCAGTATTTTATTCATTTAACTTTTCCCCACTTTAAAAGTATTCTCATTATTCATGCTTTATTAAATTTGTCAGACAAATCCAAACTCATTCAAACTGATTCAAACCTTTCTGATACTTCAAACCTGTTTCACACTTGAGAACTTTTAATTATTTAAAAATTTTCCCACAAAATCATTCTCATTATTTATGTATGTTTTTATTCTTCAAACAAAATCCCAGTTCTACCACCACAATTACTACTTATATCACTTTAACTTGTATCTTCACTCCTACCTCCACTGCTCATGCTTCTCTTAATATTTTTTTTTACTTCTACTCTTACTTCTACCACGAGCTCTACTGCTTTGACTACTACTTCTTCTATTCTAAAACTACTTCTACTGCTTACATGACTACTAATATCACTAGTACAACTACCTATTATCATACTTCTTCTAGTACTTCAACTTAAACTTATGCCACTTCTTACTTTTCTGTGTTTTAAGGTAATTTTCTTCCATATCCAATTTTTTTGCAATTTCAGACAGTTTTTCTAGCCTTATTCAGCATGAATGCAGTTTTAATTTATGAAGCACATTCATACTATATGTACTTTAGCGATTTTCACTTTCATCTAACTTCTACTTTTCTTTCTCCAGCTCTTTAACCAAGTTAACATTCAAACCTTCCTCCATTTTTATTTAGCAGTTTAGCATTGCTTTTTCAGCTTTCAGCACTCAGCATTTCCACGCATGTTCCGCAAGGAAATGCAATTTTTCTAGTTTTGATAATGCCTGTCACATTAAAGTCATAAACACTGTAAATATCCATGCACACATTTAATCCTTGTCGATGTATCGCTTAACCATCACGAAAGTCTCGACAGTAACACAAGTTTGTATGCTAATATTGTCATGAAATCTTACGTTCTCCATCTCGTAGATGTTGTCCTCTTTGTTCAGGTGTTGGTTAGAGGTGTTTTTCGGAGTCCTTCGTCGTCTGGTGAGGTTTTATTTTCGATGAAGCCGTCAAAAGTTGTAAATTCGTGAGCCACTTAAGTTTTTCGTGCTGTTCTCTTCAGATTTGATCTTCAGAAACGACCGCTCTCTTTGGCTTTTGATGATTTAAAGTTTTTACATGGTTACAGGTTACCATGGAGATTTAAAATGCTGTTTACCTTAAAAACCTTCCTTATTTCGGTACAAAACGACAACTTTTTTGAAAACTATAGCTTAGTAGGCCTATGTCTCATAGGTAACCCAACAAAAACTGGAAACTTTGTGTTTCATTATAATTTCCACTGAAGCCTTTACTTCAATTAAATTGAGTCGATTTTCTTTAGAAGGCTACTAAAATAGTCTATATATACTCCTATCATATCAATATTTTAGAGCAATAACTACATCTGTAAAGCACTTTGTCTCCCTGTTTTAAAAAAAAAAAACCTAAAGTTGATCATTATTTGACAAAGCCCATTATAAGGCATCAAAAAGGCCATAAAGATATCGAATTTTGAACTTATCACATCAGCTCTGAGCCAAAATACCTTTTCACTTGAGTAAAAAGAAGCCTATTTTCATGTGATGGTACTTTATACTAATTCACACATAGAGTGAAGTCATTACATGCTTTTATTAACTTGAAAAAATCTTTCTAAATCGGCATAAATAATAAAAAAGATGTTTGGCTGAAAAAGAGATTTAACAGAATGTGAAATATAGGCTGATCTATACTTCAACAGGAACCAGAGGGTGACAAGATACATCCTTGTTTCACACAGCCCATGACTTCGACATATTTAGATTCTGAGGTTGGAAAAAAAGAGATAAAAAATAACGAATGCATCTCTGTTCTTGGGTTTGAATGCAGGCAAAAGGACTGTGTTAGTTATTTGGTATCACTACTTTTACAGCTGTGGTTCTTAATCTGATGACAGCTCTGGATGGTAATTTACGGAGCCAACTTTTACGAATCATTCATCAAATCTGATATCTGCAAAACGAATTATTCATCATTGTAAAGTAAAGTCCGATTTCCATAAAATCTGACTCCTATCAATTTTGCACTATTTTGGTTGCAACCCCATGTCCAGCTTTGAAAATAAAAATTGAGAAGTGCAGCTTTTGTGTCGCTGGGTGTTCAGTTCAATTTGGATGCAGCAGAAGAATAATGCTCAATATTGTATTTGAAGCGTGCATGATGTCATCACGCGGCGCGAACGGTGTCCCATTTGGCATGAAATGTGCCTTGTCTGAAAAGTGCCATAAAAATAAAGTTGAATTTGAATTGGAAAAAAAATATTCGTATAATAACTGAATCCGCAGTTTTCAAACAGAAAAATCAAACGCATCAGGGAATATCCTTGATAGAGTAATAGGAATATTATAAATAAGCACATTTATTTCAGTATTACAGGGTAGGCTGTGTATTTTTTTAGACTACCTCACAATGGTTGGAAAACTATCAAAAATAACAGCATCTGTCTGTGCCCACTTAAGGGAAATGAAGATAATGAGGAACATTTATTTCCAAGGTATTATTAATAAAACAGATCAGTTAATTATTTTCTTAACAGTTAACCTAACTAACTTACAAACACTACATCCGTCTACCTTATCTACTCTACAAGACTGTAAAAGAAATCAAAGTTTTTTTTTACCCCCATTTGGCTTTGTTTTCTATGTAAGTACCTACTTAAACTGAAGGATAGTGAATAGCTTTTATTAAAATTTGACCAATACTGGTTATGTAAGAATTTCTACAAATCAAAGAGAGTATATTTAAACTAAATGTATTTAAAGGCGTGTGTTTCATTATCCAAATTTCATGACATGCAGATCTCTAATGGTGTACTATTTTTACAATAAAATACAAAACAACTCATAAAGATCATGTGCAGTATCATAGCTAAGAGATCCAAACGCTGAACATACAACCATTTTGTAATAAAGTGTGACATTCCTCAACAGCAAATGTTTTTGGTGTTTTCAAAAGTTATAAATTCTTTATGTAATTTATTCAGGTTACATTAAGTATTGTACAATCCTGAGTCAAGTGTAAAAAAAACAGAGGAGCAATAACCTTAGTCATCTGTGTGGTATTGAATCTACAAAATATGAAAGACCTGAGAGGTCAGATCATTTACTCTTATCTGCGTGCATTGCATACGTTTGTCATCAGCATACATTGATGGTCGGTCTGTGTAGTGACTGAATAACATACAACAGCGAAGAGTAAAACCTGGAGAGTAATGCATGCGACTTCTCCTGATATGCATGTACTAGGACCTGGTGTTACAATCATAGACGTGAAAAAAGGCATGCACAGGCAAACGAGATGAGTAAAGAAACTTTTAAAGTGAAACCATGTCACTGTAACATGTAAACCATCATTTTTACACTGGCTTTTGTGATTCTTGTTTTTTAAATATTTTTTTTTTTCATGGATTAAGACAAATTTACTGTCCTTTCATATAAAAACACTACTGTGTATTAACCAAAAAAACCTACATTTGCTAATAATCAAGGCTGCTTTTCTAAGGTCCATTCAGAGAACGTGAATTGGATAGTTAACAACTACAGCTTCTACTATAGTTTGCTCATCTGTGTAGCTTTAAAATCAAGTTTCTTCCTTTAAATCAATATAGGGAGGAATGTTACTGTAGCATGCCTGATTTGAGTTCTAAGAATAAATATAACTAATATCAGCCTGAAACTATGCTTATTTGAAGTCTGTGACTTCATCCGCGGCGTTAAAATACATGCAAATGTTGAGAAAATTGATGCATGACATGTCAAAAAGACTGTTTTTTAAGGTGTTAAACAGGCCACAAAATTTCAAGACAAAATACTGTCAGGCAGAAGAGAGATACTTTATAAAATGTGAAAGTTGTGAGGCCTCAAGTTGCAGATTTCTGCTGCAGTGACACATGCCAAAAGCTTGTCAGCTGAGAGGTAGTGAGATCCAGAGAAGTTAACTGTGCAGAAAGTGTTCAGGTGTGATTTGCACTTGTTTAAAATTAAGAGTCTTCATCCAAATTCAGAATACATTTTCCAGTTTTTTAATTCGTCTCTTGGTGATTTGTCCTTGCAGAGTTTGACGTCAGTCCAGTCTCACTCTCGGTTAGCTCTTGGTTAGGTGGAGTTTGCGTCCAAAGTATTCTGGCGCTGCGTCCAGCAGCCAGTCAGCGTCCACCAAACACAGGTCTCTCATGTAGCAGCGGGATGTGTGCAGCAGCTCATTGAAGATGACATAAGCTGGTTTGGCCTGGAAAAGGACAGACGAGGGGTGGATGGCCACAGGCTGGTGGGTGTCCAGAGCTATGTAGCTGCCATCAGGTTGAAGCTCTGCCGCATTGACAAACATCCCATGAGCAAGGCAGCGGCGTACATTCCCTGTGTCCGCCCCACATGACTCCAGTTTTAAATTTAGCTGTTAAAACAAGAGCAGGACACTTGATTTATTCCTTCAAACAGGCTGCAGTCTATACTTTTAATCACAAAAACAAAAATACCACCACTCAGCTGCTGGGGGTGGATTGTCTTGGTCGTTTTGCATCACCTCACACTTTAAGTAAAGTAAATATCAAAGAAATACAGCTGTGAATGGGTGCAGATAAAAGGGAGCAGACTGGCTTCAGATAACTTAAAGCAGGGAACTTGATGAATATAAGTACAAGTAAATTCAGTTGCACAACTTTAAGAGCACACATTCAGCGAGATGTACAAACTGGTGTGGAGTCAAGCTGGTCTTCAGCCTCTTGACACCAGCAGGATTAGACAGCTGTGTGATGTAGTAAGTAGGAGTTCAACGTGTGATCAACTGTCACGCCTAAACGCGAATAGAAAAACATTGCAGTGTGATGAAATGGTGGACTTGTTTGGTTCAATAGTGAAAAGTAAAGCTGGCTCAGATACTTTTCAGCCGCATCTGTTTGTATAAAACGTCAGGTTTAACAGTCAACACAGAACTTTTCAATATCCATCTCTTTTCTTTCTTCAAACTATTTGTCATTGTTGGTTTTTAGCTTTCTTATGTTTTGCTTACTTCTTGTTTAAGAACAATTTATTCTGCAGCACTTTAGTCAACGATGGTTGTTATAAAAGTGCTTCATAAAAAATTTGATTTGATTTGAGCGGTCCCTGGTTTCCTCCAGACATGATGCTTGGCATTCAGGCTAAAGAGTTCGATCTTCATTTCATGTGCTTTTTACTGAGGAGTGGCTTCTGTCTGGCCACTCTACCATAAATGCCTGACTGGTGGAGTGCTGCAGAGATGGTGGTCCTTCTGTAGGGTTCTCCCATCTCCTCAGAGGAACGCTGGAGCTCTAAGAAGAGTCCTGGTGGTTCCAAACGTCTTCCACTGTGCTTTTTGGGATCTTCAATGCAGCAGATATTTTTCTGTAACCTTCCCCAGATCTGTGCGCCAATACAACCCTGTTTCGGAGGTCTACAGACAATTCTTTCGATTTCATGGCTTGGTTTGTGCTCTGACGTGCTCTGTCAGCTGTGGGACCTTATATAGACAGGTGTGGCTTTCCAAATGATGTCCAATCAGCTGAATTTGCCACAGGTGGACTGCAATCAAGTTGGAGGAACATTTCAAGGCTGATAAGTGGAAACAGGATGCACCTGAGCTCAATTTTGAGTTTTATAGCAAAGGGTGTAAATACTTATGTATATTCAACATTTGAGTGTCTTATTTTTAATAAATTTGCAAAATGTTCTAAAAAAAGTTTTTCGCTTTGTCATTATGGGATATTTTGTGTAGAATTTTTGAGGGAAAAAAGGAATTTAATCCATTTTGGAATAAGGCTGTAACATAACAAAATGTGGAAAAAGTGAAGTGGTATGAATACTTTCTGGATGCACTGTATGTGTGTTACTCTCACTACATGGCCTTGTTCATGGAATTAATACAGGCATTTCTATAAATAGGTAATTTATGATGAGATGGCAGTTTTCAGCTGAACTGAAGCTCAAACTCTGAACAGAACATGCTCCTGACCTGGTTATGTGTGCTTTCTGCCACTCACTTGGTGTCCCTGCAGTCGCTACTGCTTACCATGATGCAACATGCATGCCTTATGTTAGGTATGCATGTTGTGCAGAGGGGTCACCAGGAGCTCAGGTGTTCAAAAAGTCTCTGCTCTGCCAATTTAGCATTGCACTCCTTTTACTCTTCCTCACTTAAAGAGACTATTTTTATAAATGTAGTAAAATGCATAAAATAGATCAAGAAATCCTTGATTTTCTTGATTTCAGCCTTTCTTCCTGCATGCCTGCTTTGTTATCTCTACTCTCGGTCTTCTCATGCTCTGATAAAGCATAATGCCACAGAAAAATATTACTGTATAACAAAGCTATAGCCTTGAGCAACGGAGGAGTCTTCCTATGCTTCCTGACCACAGTCCAGACACAGCAGTCTGTTATGTAACTGTAATTATAAAAATAAAGTCAGACCAAACTTTGAAAAACGCTTTGATGAAACGAGATAACAGCAGCCACGTTTCTTTTTATAGGCTCATAATAGCTGTGATTTTCCTTCTTTAAAAACTACTTCAAGAGGAAGAACCTCGTGTATAAACTGAATCTGGTGATTGAGGTATTTTTGGATTTGTACCTTAAGGCAGATATCTCTCAGTTGAGCCTGGACTTCTTTCACCAGACCCATGTTCCTGCTGTTGACAAAGTTTTCTCGACACCACTCCTTCGAAGACAAAAAAACAGGATTATATTTGTATTCATTGCTTGGTCATGTCTATTTGTTCCCATTGTCTTGACCTTTACTCACCTTATTGCCGCCAACTTTCTTGAATGCCCTGTAAATGTTGAGCAGCGTCATGTGGTCTCCTTCGCTGGAGCTGAACTTCTTGCGTGCAGCGAGCACCTCATCCCGCCGGGCAGGAGGGTTATACAGCACAGTGTCCACTGAGAGCAGAGATACGATGCTGAGAATCTCCTCCGAGCAGGAGAATTCAGGGGAGAGGAGGATGGTCTGTGAGATGAAGGGGGAAAGTGTTACACCAAATTCTCTCGGGGTTGTGCCTGTGACCCCTGTGGTGCTCCAGACTGTCACATTATGTAAAAGCAGCACAACGCAGCATCAGCTTATGTAATAGTATGCATTCCCAAACACTTCTTACCTTGGCGTATCTGGGCTCCAGAGGAAAGCTGGCCATCTTCTTTCCCAGAGCGGTGAGGAGGACCTGGCCTTCCTTTCTCTCCACAGCCCCCAGCAGCTCTAAATGCTCCACAGCTGAGCGGACGGCCTCTGGTATCAACACAACAGGTTAATACCAGCGACCAACACTGCTGGGAGCACAGCTTTCCAAAAGCATCAGCACACAACTCAAATGCTTTGATTTCCTCTGAGTATAGATTTTATAATGCCTAACCTTTCAGTTTTAAAACAGTGCAAGCAATATGATGAGAGAGAACAGAGCTCAGGGTCTGTATCAGGGTCTCTGCACCACATGAGTGTGTGTTTGCATGGACTCAGTGGAGAGAGTGGACTCTACTGAGTTAAGACTATCTTCTTATTCCAGTTGTTGGGCAAATGTTAGCTTCTTCTTACAAAAACAACACTTTCATCAAATGCAGATGAATGATCTCCCTCGGATTAGCTACTTCATAGAACGCCAATCATCCTAACTTGCTGAGTGTGCAGTAAATATCAAAAAGAAGTGTGCAGACAGTTGTGTACTCACACACTTTACAGACATATAAGGGCTTTATCTTTATTCACTCTGAGAATTTTACTGCAGCTCTATCTCCACAGCACTTCTCAAACACATTAAAACAGACTTTATTGACAAATGGAGGCAGTAAAATGAGGAAAATGAGCCTTTTTTTCCCCCCTCAGCCTCACACTGACTGAAACCTTCCACTTACAGACCTCAACCTCACATTAAGTGCTGCTTAATTTTTCATTTGTATGCATAACATCAACATTGTAGGTGTTACTAAGACTTTTGGACAAATTTTAGCACTGCATCTAGACGATCATCTTGCTGAGGTTTCATTCTCTCTTTGTCTCTCAGTCCATTTTCTGTACAGCAAATAATTGCTCTTTTTTGAGAGGATGCACACTATTGGCATAATCTTGGTATGGGAAAATAAAGGCATAAAAAGTTATTTATCAATAAAAGCAGATGAGAAAAATCCTTAAGACCCATGAATAACGTATGTACACAGAATAACTGCTTAAAAGCATCACCAACATGTCAGCTACTAAAAAGCATTTTGACGTGTCTGACACAGACAGCAGACAAATCCCTGCATGTCTACATTTGACGAAAACATTTATCATTTCTGCTACTATCAGATACTATCTTGTTTTGCCATCTGATTCATGAACGATGAGAAAAGCTTTGGATCTCTTTTAAAATGATTAAAAATTAGAAAGACAGAAAAAAAGTTTGTATATTTTGCTAAAATGAGTTTGAACACATCAGCACATGTGATAACAGCAAACGGCAAATAACTTTAGTTGTGCCTCCCTAGTAATTGTGGTTAATGGCTGGACAGATGGCAGCAAAGAAAGGTCAAATGGTTTGAGCTCTGGCTAAGTTAAAGGCCTGGCTGAATCAGTTGGTAGTGCGGTAAAGTGCAGGATAGTGTATAATAGTGATTATGTTTATTAGAAGACCCCAAACTCTTACCAATTAAGTGGATGATTTACTGATTACTTGTAATTACTTGTGATCAAGTAAAATAAATGTCAAATAGCCCAAAAATAATGTTTAAAAAATGAAATGTAAAAAGAGATATGATCATTCTTCCTGCATTTTTTAAGAATGCAATCAAGTGGAAATACCCCTCATCATACTGTCTAAACATTATTATTATTATAAATCAGACCTGTAACTAAGGTAATAAGGAAAATGCAAAGGTGGATTAAGAGTAATAAGACATCTAACTGAGCAGGCCCTGTTTCCCCGCTGGCTGGATCCATATCTCTGTAAAATGATCAGCAGCCTCTTACCTGGAGAGGGCTTGGACATGAAATCGAAATTCATCACATCTGGAATCCCCAGAGCCATCAGCTGCAGCATTACCCCGGCCAAATTACACCTATAGATAGAGACGCATACACACACGCAGTACAGGAAAACATGAAGAAGCGCAGGCCGTTCAATCATCTTGACCTCAATAAATCAACCTGCAGAGGATTCCTGTACACTGCAGTCACGCTGAGCTTTACTATCTGTAAGAGGACAAAGAGGAAGCTTCTTTACCTCTGGATCTCAGGCACAGTCATGGGGATGAGGTTGTCAAATTCTTGTTCGGTGTAGAGACGGTAGCAGGAGCCCGAGTCCTCCCTGCCGGCTCGACCCGCTCGCTGCCACGCCTGAGCTTTAGAGACCCGCTGCACGGCCAGAACCTCCAGCCCGCTGTCTGAGAGGAGTATGAGGAGCGTTTAATACAAAGAGAGCAAAATAACAGAACAAAGACCACAACAGCCTGTTTTTCCACAAAGCGTATTTTTGCTGTAATGACATTAACGATTTAATTAAAAGGGATTTGTTACAGTCAAGTAGAGGGAAGTAGACGGGAACCTCAAACATGTCAAAACTAGGGCATAGTCAGTTAATTAACTCATTAGTAGAGTTATAGCTGGTTCATTGTATAAATTTTAAAAGCTGAATTCTTTAGAAAAAAGCTGTAATTTATACATTTTTACAAGCTACTGTTAGTAGTAGACGATACTCTTTAATATTCATAGTGGTACAAAAATTCTGATCCTTCACAGTTATAAAATCAGAAATCCTCAGATAGTCAGTTATCATTTTGAAACCATTTCTCAAACTCCTCAAGTACTTCGGTTATCTGAAGGGGGGGTTGAAGTTTTTTTGAAGGAAACTGTTTTTTTCAGTCTTGATTTCAAAACAAATCATCTCTATAGTAAGCTGACTAAAAATGTCAATGTAAGGTAAATAAACCACAATTAATATTATACAGGGTCTCCAACACGGCTGTCCAAGTATGATGACAACTGTTTTTACATTTCCTTTAATCCATATTTGATCACAATGCCTGATCAGTGATTTAGGTAATCTCTCCCAAAATATTAGCACTGGGTCAGGGGTTAACTGGCTAGAAAGAACATTTAGAGGTGTTAAATGTTGAAAAAGGTTGAGAACCGCAGACATGACTACAGCATTGTTAGTATAATGGCAGACTTCGCTGATTCTAGAATTTCCTCACCAGGGTTGAAACGTTTGGCCTTCACCATCCCTGTGTCTATGACGTATTTAATCCCAGAGATTGTGACTGAGGTCTCAGCAATGTTGGTTGAGAGGATGACCTTCCTACACCCCTGTAAAAAGTTGAAGTACATGTGAGCTTGTGTGACGTATACAGTATGAAATAACAGGAATCTCACGTTTGTGGCTATTTTCCTTACAAACAAACCTCTGTTCACTTCTCACTTTAGTTTGTGTGTACCTTTGGAGCTGGCTGGAAGACCCGGAGCTGCTGCAGCGGGGGCAGTGATGCGTACAGAGGTATAACCACCATGGGACTGCAGCCGTCAGGGAGGTGCTTGGCGATGTCTCGACACGTCCTGGCCAGAGCCTCGATCTCCTCCTGACCCGTCATGAACACTAAGATATCATGGGACGGAGGTGCCTCCTGTGCACAAACAACAAGACCGTGTTCTGTTATCGCGTCAGGAGTGATCATCGCAGAGCATGAACACGCACCCAGAAAATACTGACTCACAGGTTTGTGTTTCCTATAGCTCTACGGGAAAGAGAGTCTGTGTCTTTTTGTTTAGCTTTGATTAATATATGAATGATTGCATAAGAACAAATGTATGTGTCATGGTCCTTTGCAGTCAACTAGATGGGAATAAGGAGAGTGTGTACATCTCACAAAGATCAAGATTGTGCTCCTCTATGATGAGCATATCTGCATGAACAGCCACCATATATAGCTGACTATGATTGTAGAAGATATGGCAAAGTATATATGCGACTAGATTAAGCATCATTATCTCTGCTGAGCATTCACAATGTGCTTCCAGACAAGAAATATAAAAAAACCCTCAAATTTCTTCTGGCTGTTTTATTACATCTTTAAATATTAATCTTTTATCAGGAGTCTTAAAAAGGCTCAGTCTCTACTTACTGACACAAACTAGAAGCCGTTTATGGGGACTCCACCTGGGTGTAGGACAAACACTGAAAAACTCTATCACCTCAATTGCTTTTAAAACAGCCCAATGTGAGATTTATTTGTGATGTCTCTCATTAATTTTTAAATAATTCAATGTATAATTCTGTTCCTGCGTATTTCCTCTCAATTCTGCTGTCTAGTAGAGGTATGAAGGTCCACATATTCATCCTGAACTATTCTGGTTTCACAGTTTAGGTTTGATGCAGCTGCACACGGTTCCAGGTACTCGCAGAAACAAAGGTGATTCAAATCTAAGGGTCCTCATTTGGACCAGATAACAGGAAGTTGCACTACACACAGCATCCGGGGCCAGAATGTAGGCAACTGAATAACTTGTTTTCAGTAGAGAGACTTTCTCAAACTGCTAATTTTATTTTTTTATTTATTTATTTTTACCTGTGATCAGTTTTGTGCTGAGAACTCAAACAGAGGTTACCTGGGATCTGTTACAGACATAGACAGTATATACTATGGACAACTATGGGTGAGCTACGCAATCCCTGAACGCCCATAGGCTGTATCAGGTGTCAATCATAGAAAACACGAACCCCCTAATAACTTTTAAAAACAGAGCTTCACAGAAAAAAAACAGTCTTACAATAACTACATGTCAACATCACAATCAGGAGGGAGAAAAATGTATGTTCTGTGTAATAAATTTCTAAAGTTTGTCCACAGCTCCATAAGCTTTGCTGGCGGAGGCGGGATTTATGACCTATACAGCACCCTATACAGGGTGCTGTTCTCGGAGTGGCTTCACTCAGCAAGGAGGCAGACTCTGTCCATTCTATATAGTCTATGGTTACAGAGAGAGACGGCAGGGACAAAGCAAGTGGAAGTTGTGCTTTAATAGAGTGCTGATCCTTGTGCTGATCAAACCTCTTGCTGGGCCGTAAGAAACAGAACTAAAACAGGCTTTTAGTCGGTAACCCTGTCTTAGGGTCTTAGTCCCAAGGGGAGTTGCTGATGCCCAGATTAATTGTTGAGAATACACAGAGCAGGTGGACTGTGCAAAACACAAATTTAAACTTTAATATAAAACTGAAACTAGCTTATTTAAGAGGCCAGTAATGTTTTATCTGAAGGTTTAATCTCTTTATTAAAATATGTTCTAGCTTTCTTATCTTTTCTCTTGAACTGTTAACAGTTTGACTTTGAAGGATGTTTTAAATAGGTTACAGAAATTAGTTTTACTTGACTTCCCTTCATCTGACTTGGAAGGATATTCGGTAAAAAAACGACAGTATCCTAGAACCTGAATGAATACTCCAATATTGAGGACAAGGATGAAAAAGTACCTGATGGATCTGGAAGACAGAGACGAGTGCTGCTTGCAGGTAATCTGACTGTGGCTGCTTGGTGTAGTAGATCTGAATGGGATGCTGTCGACCCTCCAGGTAGAGTACAGGTGACTTGTTAAAGTATTCAGAGAACAGATCCACATCCATGGTGGCTGACATCACTATCACCTGCGAAGGTTCAAAGCAGATGACAGTGAGCACAGCCCCTGCAGAGAAATACTAGACGGGTGTTTCAAGAGAAGGTAACTATCTCTCTAACTGCCCCCTTACCTTGAGTGGGATCTTACTAAGCTCCCTGCGTCGGCGCTGGGCCGTCTTCACCACCCCAAATAGGACATCAGTGTGCACTGTGCGCTCATGAGCCTCGTCCAGGACGACCACGGTGTAGCGAAGCAGTAAGGGGTCTCCGATGGCCTCACGTAAGAGCATGCCATCTGTCATGAACTTCAGCTTTGTCTCAGGAGAAGTGACATCTTCAAAACGTACCGTGTAACCAACCTGGAGAGAGGTTTGTTGAATTATTACAAACAGCTGAGCACTGATCAAGGACTGAGCTGATACCATGATGTTAGTTTCAAAGAGGCCAGACCCGCGGGGGAAAAGGTTTATTTGCACTTATCATGAGAATCGGGTCGATACCAACACTTGAAATAAAAATCTGATGTGTTTTGTATCACTCCCTTTAAATTCTTGGTCTCTTCTTTTTAATTCGGCTAAGACATTTGTTATGTTAAAGTAGTTGCTTGCATTATTGCCATGTCCCCCTCCCCCCCTTCTCAGTCCCTAAAATGTTACAGGAACTTGTGTCTCAACTACATAACCCTTATCTTTCCCAGAGACAGTGCTTTATCAACATTTTCCTTCAAAATTAACCCCAAAAACACATCAGGGTTTGTGCCATAGATGACTTCATTGCCCAAATGTTATATCTCTTCTCTGAATTACCTGTTATGTACACTAGCTTGTCAAATCAAATTGATGCAATACAAAAGATATTTGTATATTAACAGCAGTGTAAGAGTCTTTTGATGATAGCAATGCAGTAAGAAAGGTAAAACTGCACAAGCTGGTAAAACCTTTGGTAAAATCAGTACTTTGTTTTTATGACAACATTTTAGGATGAATTGAACCCTTAAGTAAAAACAGATTATTTATGCCTGTCAGTGGTTCATACCAGCTTGCCCAGCTGAGTCCTCTTCTCCTCCGCCACTCTTCCAGCCAGAGAAATGGCAGCGACTCGACGAGGCTGAGTGATGGCGACAATGCCTGATCTGCCGATGCCAGCCTCATACAAATACTGAGGGATCTGAGTGGTCTTCCCAGAGCCGGTCTCCCCTGATGAAAGAGAGAGTGAGACAGACAATCAGGTTAGATAAATGTGGTCCATAAGTAACACAATTACCCTCTTGATTAGGTTACATTACTTTACTCATTTCCAAAACCTATAATTTGAAAAATGTGCTACTTCGTTGCTGCTGCCCCTTTAACTGGTTTGATTTCTTGCATCACTTAGTCCCGTCTAATGTCTGTTCACTCCTGTATATGATGTTGAGCGTTTCAATTTTGATTGGTGACACATGATTTCAAACCTTTTCAAAGGTATTCAGGCAAATCTTTATGCTGGAGTTTGTAATGTTTTAAATTCTGAATTTTGCCAACGTTTTTCCTTTTTTACTGCCAATGGATACAGTAGTCACTTATTTGTCGCATCAACAATTTGAATAAGTCCTGAAAAAAAAATCTGTCAACTCCATTAAACAAGACAGAAAGTGACAACAATGCAGATGACTCTCCCAAGGGGTTGACAGTAGTTTAAAAACAAAGTCATTATTAAGAATATACAACTAATACTGTCCGTAAGTGAAAATAAGTCTAAAAAATGACCCTGAAGTTCGATGAGAGGTCAGGTCCTGACCCAAACCCCAATAATTTCACCTGTCAGGTCTGGACTTGAGTGTGAGACAAATAGGGATGCACCAATCCGATATTTGGATTGGATATCGGCTCAGATTTTGACAAATTAACTGGATTGGATATCTGATGAATGATGCAGATTCAGCGTTCTGGTCCAGTATTTTTGTTGTTGTTGTTTTAACTATTTTTTTAATACATGGAAGTCTTACTTCTTTTTGCTGTGTGCTAATGTGCAATTTGTTATTTGTTAATAAATTATATTAAATAAATTTATATCTGTGTTGATTTGTTACCTTTTTCTTAACGAGGCTATTGTCAAGCCTGATGCCTTCACCCACAGGGCAAGGTATACAGTTGATTCATTCATTCAACAGTAGTATTGGATCGGTATCGGGTAACTGCTGATATGCTCAGCCCAGGTATGGGTATCCGATTGGATTGGGAAAAAAATGGATCGGTGCCTCTCTAGAGACAAAGTTTGAATAAGACGGTCCATGTTAAGTTTGAAACAGAGAGAGTACTAAAAAGAAAATATAATATTTATATTAAAGGATTAACAAAACTAGCACAGTGCTAGTTCAGGCAGGCCATCAGGTCAAGCCCTTCCTGAATTGCCTCAGCTATCTCACACCACAGCTGCACCATCAAACAGAACTATGTAAATAACTAAAACTCTTTGACGAAAGTGGTCCTGCCTGTGGAACAAGATAAAAAATGAACAGATGTGGAAGCTTCTGTACTTTTTCTAGATACCATTAAACTCAAGTTTTAATGTCATTTGAGGTTTGCAGAGGGCAAGAGATCCGTTTACATGCACCACCCAAATCTGAGCAGTTTACTGTTCCAGAGCTACCAGCATACTTGTGTTTACTCAGTGTCTTCCCCTTAGAGAGCTCAGGGTTCAGCAGTGTTAGCCACCTTTAGCTCGTGCTGAGTCTGTCTTACCAATGAGGATGGCGTTGTTCAGCTGTCTCAGTTGATTCAGTAGCTGAGGTTTGGCCTGGTAAATAGGAAGCTGTTTCCTCTGGACTTCTATCGGAGTGGTTGCATTCCCCTTTCTAGGCAGCAGCATTCCAGGCTTATTCTTATCGAGACGGAAGAAAACAGACCCCGGCTTGAACCTTTTAGCCGGAGGAGGGTCGGGGTCGTGGGGCATGGTCTGGAAGAAGTGACGCTGGTAGCTAACCCTTCGCGCTTCTTTGTTGAGAGTATTTTGCCTTTAATTAAGAAACAAAGAAAAAGTTTTATCCACGCTCACTGACAGCCAGGGAAGTGTCACTGCGGATGTTTTGCTACCTCTGCAAAAACGTCCCCACGTGGTAAAGAGCGGCGCAGACGTTTGACGTCAGGACGTGTGTAAAATTAACCCCGTGTAAGGACTGTCAGGTTGTGTGTGCGTGTGAGAAGTGCTGCTGATCCATTCACCAAGTCGGTACAACTGATTCTAAAGACTCTGACACAGCAGTACAATTATTTAGTTTGATTTGTTTTTTATTTTATTTTATTCTGCGGACTTTAAAGATGCCTTGCTATTTTTTATAAATGTATCAATACGTTATTAATAAGATGCTATGAATCATTTTTTTATTTGCTACACATTTTTTGTCGTAAAATTCGTAGCTATTTAAAAAAAATATATGTCTATTGTTTTACAAGAATTCAAAGTTGTTACCTACAAGACGTTAAAATGCACGACAGTTTCTCACAACAAAATATCCCTCATTTGTGCTCTCTTTAAAAAAAATAATAATAATAAAAAATAAAGAAACTTGTCCGAATAAGTGGTAACTATTATTGTCATTGGACAGATTAATTATATCCACTATCAATAAAAAAGACATATGAGTAAGCACTTGAAATAAAGCATATTTTAAACACTTTTTTCTGTCTATTGAGCTAACCAAATGTACGTGTTCACATCTTATTTTCCTTGAGAACAAGTAATCACTGACTGTTTCCCTGAGGTCTTGACTTATTTATCTTATATTTTCTTTTGTTGACAGCATTATTGTCCAGTGATCTACAGAATAAAACATGATCTAGTCATCACAATATCTTTGACCATGACATGCCATTTTGCCAATGCCAACACTGTTAATGTGAGTTAGGCCTATTTCTGTATTTGTTTTTTTTCCTTTTATTACTCTGAGAATATGGTACAATCATGTGACAGTAAGTCAAGATATGAACAAAACATCTTAAGTGAACTGTTTTCATGGGAAACCAATAGATCAATATAAAAATGTATGTTTGCAGAGGACTTGCTTACTTTTCAAATGAAAAACCTATCACAAGTTTATGTTATTCAGTTTCAATCTTTTGTCCTTGAGCTAGAAGTTCATACTTGGACTTTAAATTGAAAACACTTCATTTAAAACAAAAGTAAAAAATTAAACTGCATGTTACTAATGTTCAGCAGAGAACAGCTTTGACGTGCAAATACATAATTTAAAGAGATGTCATTGTGGCTTCACCATGAGGTGCATGTAAGCACTCAAGATCAGAGTCTGGCTGATGTGGGCTTTTGACAGAGTGACCACAGGGGGTATTATACCACACAGGATCAACACGTGACCTGTTATTTTTCACATACAAAAACACAGGGAAAGAGCATCTGTGAAACCATGTAATTTGTTTTTCATCTGCTGAAAATTTTACTGTTATTAAAAAAAATATTTTGACTGATTTTAAACCTTTCATGAGTTCAAGGAGCCAACCAAAGAGTGCCTCAAACAAAAATAAAAAAGCATATCTCTGTTGGATGAATGTCAACCACACAGAGGTCAGGAGAAGAGGGCTTATCAGCCACAAGCCTTTGGTAGCACTTTAGTACAGTTTCCGGTGGACCATCATGTGCAAAAACAGCCCTCGTAACTGTATATTTAGCTCCATATACAGTATGACTGACTGACTTAAGGCAGGAACTGTGTGACAGGAAACTTGATGGAGGGACGCCGTCACAATATGTTTGAAAACTAGATATGCAATGTGCATTATTATAATATACATATTTTATCCCGCTTTTTTAAAAGTATTTCAAATCTTCACTCCGTTTGGGTTCAACAATAAAAAAGCCACACTTCCATTGCTTGTCAGAAAAAGCTTCCCCTTACATGACTTAACCTCTCATTCAGACAGACTGTAAATCAGCTTTGTGAGAGGCTTTCCTGTATATTGTCTGGTTTTACATGACCTATTTGGAGATGGTTCCTGTTTCTGGTGAGCTTTTTATGCTAGATTTAGCCTTCTATTAAGCAAATGGTAATGGATCTCTAAACTCTCTGAAGAAAACAACTAAAATATGTAAATAACAGCTTGTCATGACATTGTTGTCTCAATCAATCCTTTGGAAAAACCTATAACAGTAATATTTGATGGCGTTGTCAACTCACTAATGGGTACATACAGAAACACCATAACCTTTGGTAAGACACAAAGACACATGAGACACATATACAATGCCTAGCTGGTTTAACAACCATTTTTACATAAAACTAAGAAAAAAAAATCTCTCAGAAATAAATAATTTTCTCAAAGGAAAAATAAACACATGATTCAGAATGTTTATGAGACATCACAAGGACAAGGTAATCCACTGAGCAATAAATATTTCAACATTTTCAATAAAAGTAGTTCAAGCACATAATTTTTATTTTTCATGAAAAACATTGACTCTTAATCAAGGACTTTTTGTTTCTTTTTGCAGGAACTTTCAATACAGAGTGTTTGATGCCCACAACTGTCCACTCTTTGATGTACAGAGATTTGCTGAATCTTTTAATGATATGATGAAATCCACTACTGAATCATAATTTTGCACTTAGGTGTGTTACTCTGAAATCGTTGCACAATTTGCTCACGCAGGCTCTTACAAAGTGATGAACCTCTTCCAATGTTTTTTTCTTGATAGACTCAACTTCACTGAGATGGCCTTTTTATACCCTTACCCTATTTTTAAATGAAACATGTGGGTTAAATGATTAGCAAACTATCAAAAACCTTTTTTTTAATCAACAATTTACACAGCTGTTTTGGAGTTGTAAAGTGTTTTCATACGTTGACAGTGAAATAAAGTTACCATGTTGTTGTTTGATTAAGAGCAGTAAAAGACTCTGTGTACACAGTTTTAACTCAAGAAAAACTATTTAATTTCAAAGCTGGGAGGCAGAAAGAGTATTCAAAAACAGTTGTAACTCAGCAACTGTGAAACTCTCACTTTCGTGTTCCTCCCATCAGACGTGTACTGATCCCAGTTCTGGATTGCATCAGAGGAAACATTTCAAGTACCAACATGTTTGTGTGAAGAGGAGAGATTATTTAGCAATACACAGGAAATTATGCAACCAATTCTTTGTAACTTGGCTTATTTCAGATGAATATGAGACATGATTAATGCCAGTGATGCCAGTGATGTGAGTTTGAATCATTTTGCTAACACCTACCATCCTGACTCGAGGATTTAGAAAAAATATCTTTAGAGCTCCTGTGAGGAACTTTAGGGTTGTGTCAGTTTTGGCACCCCCTGTGGACAAAGCAGTCTTTCCTATCTTGTCCTCTACATGCTCATGTGGTGTCCTGAAAAGACAAATCAGTTTGACTTTTGACAATCAAATGTACATATTCCATATGGAAATTATATGAAGTGGAATGTTTCTTTAGCTGCTCAGCTGACACCTATGCCCTCACACCAGTTTCAGGCATTAAAAGTGACAATCTAGAAATGCTCAATCTTGTTACTGATGGTATTGTTTGCTTTTGTTCATCATTAAACTGTATCAATATAAAATTAAGTCTATTTCTTAAGCATCAAAAACTCCTCACAGGAACTTCAAAATATCTGCAACTGCTTGATTGATTGATGAGTCTATTTAAAGAAGAATCCCTCTGGTATATTGTCTTTTGTGTTTCAGAACAATTGGTTTCATGTTGAAGATGTATTCAAGACACTAACCTCACCTAGGGTCACAGCCATTGACCATCCATTAGGGAGCATGTTAGCGTGCTGACATTAGCATTTAACAGAAAGCACAATGAGTCCACCACTGTGGTCGTAGACTCAGTTAATAATCTATTATCTCACAGCAATCCTTTATAAATAGCATCTAAGTCCAGATGGCCCACATTTTATCATCCATATCGGAGTATCTCTGATTATTACTGAAACTAACGCTTACTCTCTTTTTTTGCAATCCATGAAAATTCCCAACAATCCCACCAAAGCCTTGCAATCCCACCAAAACCCAGCCACTGCCATTTAGTGGTGATTTTCATTGTATATTCCCATGTTTGATGAAAAAAAGCTTCAGCCAGATTTAGATTTGGATTTTAAACATGATTCCCAGATAAGATGTTCCATCTGATAATCTCTGGAGATTAGGAAACTGTGTTCAAGAGAGTGAAAAATATGATCAGAAGCCTTTCATGTAATATTCTCCATATTCCTCTTACTGAACCATTTTTATGATAATTGTGCTTTTTGCAGCTTTCTCTCTTTGGAGAATAAGGATTAGAAATTCTCTAAGCACCTCTCGGCACATTAAAGGAGAGACAGGCAGTGAGAAACCCCAAATGTTTCCTGGTGTGCCCCCCTCACACCAAACGATAAAACTTAAGAAGGCTTAATGTCTGCAAATGGTGACATGAGGGTGTAGGCAAACAAGCTGCACTGTGCTGTGTGTTTGTGTTGAGCTTATGTGGTTTCTGTATCTGCCTCTCATGCAGGAAGAGAGTGGCAGTGGACGCGATAAGGTTTGATTGCACAGAGAGAGGAGGAGGAGGAGAAGGAGGAGGAGGAGGAGGTCCGGTGCTTGTTTGGCAGCTGTTGAAGTATTTGAACCCGCATGTCATGAGAGAAGTTGAAATAAAAGTATTCTAACAAGTGAAAAAAATAAGAGAAGAGAAGCTGAAAAGGCAGGAGATGAATAAAGGATGTTGATATGGACAAATGGGTCTGAGTCAAGAGGTAGTGACCCTGCGCAGAGAGAGAGAGAGAGAGAGAGGGAAAGAGAGAGAGAGAGAGAGAGCACAGAGGGAGGGAGGAAGTCCTACTCTCCAGGACTCCTCATGAAGCGCGTCAGACGTTTCTTATGAGAGCAGGCGGGGGACCTTCACCACTGTAGCAAGGGAGCACACAGAGGAGACCAGGAGCCGTGGGACCCGGGTGTTTATATGTGAGAGGGGTGAAAACAGGGAGAGACCCTCGTCTCTGTGGGTCAGCTGATGAAGAAGATGAAGAACCAAATCACCAACGCCATCTCTGACTTCTTCTTTGAGTACGAGACCCCACGCCAGGTGCTGGTGAGGAACAGGAGGGTGGGAGTGGTGTGTCGTCTCATCCAGCTGGGGGTCCTGGCTTACATCATCGGGTAGGAGCCAAATACTCGTGCTTTTACTTTGTAAACTTTTAAAGAGGGGCCAACAGGTTGGACAGGTAGAAGGACTGCATTGTGCTGCATGTCTCATCTTGTATAACGACCCCTCAGAGCGACCCTTCAAATTCACACAACTTGTTCTCTTACTTGATGGGTTGTTCATGAAGACACAAAGCTGCACTGACTTATCAATTATAAAAAGATTAATCATCAAACAATGTGACATTTGTTGGATCATTTGGGGTATATCTCAATTAAAAACAACAAAATGTGCCTGTTACTGCTTGTTAATATAAGGGATTTGCTACTTTTTGTAACTTTGAGCGTAAAAAGTCTTTTGACAACTTCTTACATTAACTGAACAACTGATCATATAAATGATCAAATTAAACACATCACAGAATATTGTTATATTCAGCAGATAATTTTAATCCACCTTTTGTGGGACAATGGACAATGTCACAAAAAAAGGTTTTGTTGTTTTCTGTTACTCTGTGAAAGTTTCTGTTTGTCAAAATTCTGAGATTTTTTTTCTCACAACTCTGCGCCATTGTTGTATCACTCAATTAATCGGTCTATTAACTAAATAATGAATTAAGTGCAGCAAGTACTAAACGGATATCTGTACTTAGATTACAGAAACACTGTCAAAAATTTGTTTGTTCCAGCTTCTTGCTTTAACTTCAAGCATAAAAAATCCCACTTTTTGACTTTTATATGTGGTTTTTTCACAACTTGCTCTTATTCATTGACTAAATGATTAATCAATTTATCAACAAGTTGATCATAAAAGATGAATAACCTTTGATAATTGATAAAATAATTTGAAGAATTTCTGCACAAAATTATCACATATTTTCTGGTTTCAGTTCCTTTATTGTAGATCTAAGCTGCTTTTTAATAACATTTCATATGTAGAAAATCTGAGGAAATGGTAAAGATTAATTGATAAATAAATCAAACCCTGGTTATCAGTGAACTATTTTTGGGAGTGAAAATGTTTTATCAACCAGTTAGGTTGTTATATCATAAGAGATATCAGGATAATTTACACAAAACAAAAAATAATCATAAACTGTAGCCCCTCAGGGACATTACCCTGATGTCTGTAGTTTTCTCTGTATGTACAGTGGGAGCCACTGACAAAACATGACATGTTTAGGGTGCCGCTGAGGATCAGAGATAGGACCTAAAACTGTCCAGGTGCTGTTGACAAAGCAAATCTGCTGACTGAAATACTGATGTCAGACAGGGCGAAAAATGAAAAATCAGAGGGCAGATAATCCGAGTCTCTGCCCAGCTCAAGTTGAGACAAAAACAGCAGAATGTTTCTAAACTTACTCACACATAATCTCCACACACAGGCTTTGACATGTTGGAGCAGTTCACTCTGAAGAAAGCAGAAACTGTTTGTTATTTGAGATCTGCTCTCATATGGTCAAGGTTTCTGTTTGAGTTAGTTTGTAATTACTCATAGACTGTTTGTTTCTGAGTGTGTGTTAATGTGAGTGTGTGTTTGTGTGTTACTGTGTGAGTGTGTGTGTGCCTCTGAGCAGCAGAACCTGAGGAGCTGAGTGTGATGAACACGCTGAGGCATATGCTAACACATATAACAATCAAATAACGCCACACAGCGCATTGAGAGTTACCTTCTGCTGGTGACGTTAGAGGTGACTAAAAGGCAATTGAAGACAATCCTCTCCTGCTTATGGCAAGGTTTTGTTTCTTTTGATTTCAAGTTGATATAAACTAAATGAAAATAGCTTTCTGTTGTTTGCTTTTGGGGTTTTCATCTTGTACTTGAAATCTTGAGTGAGGCACAAACAAAAAAGGATAAGTCTGCAAATTACCAAAGTTTTAGACGAGGAATTTTCAGTGACCTCTGCTGCTTCCTCCCACATTGTCACCTGCCTGTTCCTGCTGTCAGAAAAGGCAACATTAAAGATGGCTTGTGATGGGCATGGAAGGAGATGTGATTAAAACGCTGTTCTGACTCTAGGCTTCAGGACCCGAGCAGATGGCTGACGGGTCAGAGCAGAAGTCAGACTGTCTCTGAGGCAAATTTCATTATTACTCACTTCAGAAAGCAGAAATGTTTTACAGTTTCTTTTTAAGTCATCTGTGGTTTTATTTTGTAATCAGACAGTTTTCCTCTTTTTCATGAGAAACAATGCAGTCTTGACCAACCAGACAATGCCCTTTATGAATCTCTCACATCAACATCGAACATGCCTGGTTTTGAAAATATTTATTATTCTAAATGAATCTGTTATAAAGACAAAGACTAAATAAAGAGAGCATGGCAGCTGCACAAACCATAATGAGTTTCTTTCACTCGATTCCCTTTAAAGTCAACACAAATTAAATCTATTGTTTTCTGTTTCATGCTGATTAATTGAAGGTTGATGTATTTTTTAATTCTGATTTGTCTCCACAAATTGAGCTCTAATCTCAGCTCTGCAGCATGTGGATGAGAAGAAAAGCTCTCCCAACATCAAGGAGCTTCGTCGCTGCTCTCCCTCTGTCACAGCAGATACAGATCTCACTTAGACTGCTGTTTTGGGAGATCCCGCCGTTATTTCATGCTCATGCTTTTCTTTATTTCATTAATGTTCTCTATTTTTCTGAATGTAAGTTCCGGCTTGCATAATTTGATTTGCCCGACAGATAGAAAGCTATGGCTTTTGGCTAGTTGTGAACACTTTATTTCACTTTGAGAGATGTTTCTGCCTGTCTGCTGCTCTGAGGTGTTTTCTCTGTACGCTGATGAATGAATGTGTGCTGCAACACATGAGTCCTGCAGGCCTTCTGCCAGCGGGTAATTGCTTTTCCCACCCTGTATGAAATAGCTGCGACTTCATGTGTGTGTGTACATACAGTATCATCCAAGTGCATACCAGCTGTTAACCATTCCCCCTAACCACACACACACATACGCACACACAGATAGGGCGACACAATGAGGTGCTTCACTCAGCAGAGATTAGAAAGTACCAAGTCTGACGTAGTTTTCAGAAACTTGTATTTACACTTAGTCAGCTTTTGCAGATTTTTAGAGGTAATAACATCCAGAGCAAACCCTAATTTTACAGTTTCGCTAAATAAAATAAAAATGCTGTTAAACCAGTGTGTCATTCCCCTCTAAAGACTATTATCATTGATGTTAGAGGTACTTGAAGTCTTTGCCTCTTTAAAATACTGATAAAACAAGATAAACTATCCTTTTTACATCTGAAAATGCTGCTTTAAAAAGCTCCTGTGAAAAGCGTTTATCTGGTTTTAAAATAATAAATCATACGGAAGTCTTGATAAAATTAAATAAGGCAAACTAGACCATCCACCTACAGATTTACTACGTCCATTTGGTTTTAATTGACTCTGATACCAGTGGCTGGGGGGCAGGTGTCAGGTGATTAACTGCAAACTGTTTATACATGGACCGGACAAAATCAGTAAGAACAGAGAGGTACTGTTTTGTCTACAGGGGAGGCGCCAAAGTCAGCACAAAATGAAAGTTCCTGACAGGAGCTTTAATAGCACTGTGAGGGGTTTTTCACCTGTGTTGAAATAGTGCCACTCCTGTACTGATGTTCTCTCATTTTCTACATAGTAAAATGACATTATCTGCGACAAGGTGATTTCTTTATTTTGAATTCAGTGTGTGCTCAGGCCAGATTAGCCCAGTTGATATTTAGCATTCACCCTGAAGTGGCACTGTCAAGAACTCTGTTGGACAGTGAGAATCAAGTAAGGGAGTAAGAGGACATCTGTATTCATTCATCAGCTCCTTCAACAAATACACACTTTCCTAACCCTTGCAGGGGCATTCCTGTGTAGAGCTTGGAGAGCTAGCTCTGGGGTAAAAGCAAGTATTTGCATCACCATTATTTTCAACCTAAGACAGGCCTGGACAAGTTAAGCTTGCATAGTGACATCTAAGTGTCACAGGGAGCACTGATGACAACAGAGTGACAAACTCATATAAAGCTATTATGGCCTGGTTCATATTACTGCAATTGTAACAATGCTTTCCAATCAACACTGTGCAACTTACCTCATGGTAAGCAGAATGTTAAACTTTTTTAACAACCCCAATCAAACAACAATGTTAAAAGACCCGCAAAAGCGAGCAGGACCAGGCTTTCCAGTGGTGAAGTGAAGAAGACTGCTGCCGGCCAATGCACAAACTTTGGGTTTAGAGCCAGAACAGGGACTTTCCATGTAAGCCAAGGTGATAGTAAGGGCTGCTGCCATTAAGTGCAGTGGTTCTGGGTTCAAATCATGTTAAGAGACCCAATATATAAATATATATAGACTTGAAATAAAACAGCAGTTTGAACCCAGCTTTTAAATCAACTTAATGAATTCACAAAATACAAAACAACTCCAATAAACTCTAGCAGACAGTCCCAGTGTTGCGGTGCTTAGCCTTGCTGTCTCTTAATGAAATAATTCTGGGTTCAAATCCTTCTTTGTAATTTTTCATGTGATGTAGATGAAATGTTTTCTTCACTCTGTAGTCAAAGCTGTGTTGATTGATCATTAAGCAATGGTGAAATGAGAGGACCTAAGCACTACAAGACTTGACTTGTGGTGCGTTTGTTTGTGCATCTGCCTTTGTGTGAAGTGGTACATGGTTCAAACCCTAGCTTGGGACCTTCTACATAAATGGAATGTAAAATAAGGAAAGGAAAGAAAAAACTAAAATTGATCTGCAGCCTCAAAGAGTGTAGAGGGGCCACCTATGTCCATAAAAGAGGACTTGTGGAAAACACTACTGTTTTTTATCAACCAGTTACCATGGTTATTAATGTGACATAGTTGTTTTTGAAGTCTTGCATGCACCAAAACTTTGAGTGATTTTGAACTGCATCAGTAACCAAGAGGCATTGTTCTCTTTTCTTGCTGATGCATCAACGTACAAGCAGCATTTTGCAGTTGCAGATGCTTGGACTGGCATTAGCTTTAAATACGTAATAGTCTAATAAGGCATTTAAGTCAAATAGTTTCCAAAAGGTCAGCAGATAAATGTGAGGGGGTCATTAGATGATTCATAAGGGAAGACATCCTAATTTAACCCATCCTGCTCCACTGTTCCCCATGTTTCTTTAAATGTCTCCAAACAAGGAAAAGGTATCACACTCACTGTTCCCAGAATCATACGACTTTCCACACCACATCTTTCACATCTGAACCACCAAGTTTTTTGTAGCTGACTAAAAAAATGGCACAATATACCTAACAAACGGGACTTTTGATGGGCCAAAGCTTTGTTTTATGTTTTACATCAACAGGAATTTCTGCTATTAAAGCCCTTTACAAACTACCTCCCATGTTTTTTTGTAAACATGGATACTAAAAAGGCCTGCGTTAAGATATGATGTGTTGTCCTTATCTGCTTGAGAAACGAGACCCCCCTCAAAGTATCATTGTAGCTAGACAACATATCAAAATCAACATCAAAGCTCCTGTGAGGGAATTTTGATAGTCATAGAACAGACTAAAACTAATGATTTTATTAAATGAGCCAACAAACTGAGCAAGACAATCAGCAACCTGTTTGCTTTTATGCAGTAATTTTAGGTGTGTAACGTGGCAACTAAAAACACACTGCAAAAAGTCTTTTGAAATGAATGCAGAGAAAGTTACAATTACAGGTCAGAAACCACCTCCATTTGTGCTGTATAAAATCAGTGAAGACATAACTTGTCAACAGAGACAAAACCATGTTAACTTAAAGATTCATAACAGGAGCTTTAAAAACTAAAAACAAAACTCTGCTGTGCTGATTTGAATTGTTTTAGTTCCTCTTTGACCTCCCCCTTCCTTTTTTATTAAAATGCTCTTTGAAACGTAACTAGTTAGGGTTAAAGGTCAAATTTTAACAATGTCCCTTTACGCAAAAACTCCCGGAAACTAAGTTGTAAAACATGGAAGGGCCTGCAGAGAAGGAACAAGCGAAAACCATTAGTTGATATTGGTTGATATTGAGCAAAGTAAAAAATAATTTAAAAGCATGATAAATGTTATGTAACAAATATAATTCATCACAATCACAGTGAATTAAGACCTTTAGCTCTTAACACAGCCTCTTATCGGCTGTTTTAGTTGGAGGAGAATTGTTTATCTGTTTGCTCTGATAAAAAGCCACACTGACGTTTTAAGATGACTTTTGCCTTTTTCAGATGCAATGTGGGCTTTATCAGCCACGAAAGTTTCATCATTTTTGATGGGCAGTTTTATCTCTGTATCTGCAATCACCCATAAAAGTGAAACAGCATATTTAGTTTCTGCTTGAGCAACTTTGAGTTCCTCTGTGAAACCGATGAGACGCACCCAGTTGTCTGTGCCATTATCAGAAGTTATGTGCTAAAGACTGTACAAGCAGGTATGAAGAGTTTTCAGATACTGTCCTAAACTTCAAGCTACAATGAGGATTTTCTTGATGTTTGGGAAATGGAAAAAAAAATCACAATGATGCCAATCAAGACCATCAGGGGCAAGACTGACAATTTGTATATTATGATTTTTAAAGCTTAAAACCAGTGTTAGGAGGGGGGTGTCAGCTGACGAAAAAGCCCCGTTGATGACATAGGTGGAGTTTGGACTTGAAGTTTGGGGGTTCACAAAGATAAAGGAAGTGTGATGCGATTAACAGAGCAAGACTAACATACCTCTCCTTAAACAAAATCAGAATCTGATAACTAAGTAGGTACGGATTCTTCGCAAAAGTGCTTCTCGAGAGCCTTTATAAATCCACCCATTGTATCTATGAACTTCAGCAAGTTCCTCTTTGTGTCGAAACACACAAGAATATTTTTTTAATTGAGGACACATGAGCTAGTGTTTTTTTGCTTTTGTGCACCCTTTATACACAAAACACTCACAGATCACTGTATGAGTTATGTCATAGCTTGCTGTTATGTCACCTGACACAATCCTTATTTCTGTGAGTGTAAGAGTGAGTGTGAATTTGAGTCATTGTGTCTATGTCAGACAGCTTGTCAGTTTCAAGTCTCAAAAGGAGCTGCAGTTTTTGGCCCATACAGGACTGAGATGAATCAGGTGTGTGAGGAGACAAGAGGTGAAGGTCTCCTCTTTGGTCTCACACTGCAAACAGTAACATAAGAGTGACAAAATCACGCCCTCTTTCCTTTCATAAAAAAGGTGCAAAACTCAGCAGCTTGACCTTGAACTAAAACTAAGAAAAGACAGCAAATAACTCCTGTTTTTGTAACTTTTCACTGACTACCAATTTCTAAGGTTTAACTCGTGACTTTGAAAGCAGTCCATGGTCCTCCTGCTCCAGAATCCATATCAGAGTTGCTGTCCTCTCCACCAACCTGTGTGCAGCCTCACATCATTCAGCAGAAACTTCCTGATTGTCTCTGGCTCAAACTTATTTATGTATATATTCAGGACAATGGACTTTAAATGGAAACTTATTTTTCTGATGTTGTTTTCATTCATGGTTCAACTAGCAGCTTTATCAGTGGAGTTTTATTGGGAAACCACATTATAGAATAGACAGATAGCTGCCCTCACATGTAGGTCCAGTTCAAAGGCATTTGTTAAAACTAACTAACAGTAAATGAGTCCCAGGATTTGTGAAATACCTGGTGTGTTCCACCTCATTTCTTCCCGATAAGCTGTTTTCCTGCGTACACCCAAAGCCTGCCAAGCTATCAGTGAACCATTGACACCAGAGCACCATACCAAATTCTAGTACTTTATTTTTTAACAGAATCTGAGCTACAGATCTTTTTGTTGTTGTTCATACACACTGTAATTTTACACTTTTACCTAAGAAAACGAACTTAATCTGTCACTTGTACTTTTACCTGGGTGCTTTTTCTGTATCTGTAGATATATATATGTCAGTAGAGACTGAGTACAATGAGCTGAAGTATATAAGATGTTTTGTAATGATTTTCAAAGGACTAGGCACTGATATTACTCAACCACAATCCCTCACATTTGTTTCTGGGAGGTATGCTGCTGGCATGTTCAGTATGTCAACATCCCCTTCATGCATGCCCTTGCCTGTGGGGTTGGATTGCTTGCTCTGGTGTTGTAAGAGTCTGATGTTGTGCCAGACATGACAAGATGCTCTGTGTGTTTTGTACAGGTGGGTGTTCATCTATGAGAAAGGTTACCAGTCCACAGACACAGCTGTGAGCTCCGTCTTCACAAAAATGAAAGGAGTGGGCTACACCAACGACAAAGGGAAAGAGAGAGTCTGGGATGTGGCAGACTATGTTTTCCCTCCACAAGTAAGTGACTGACACTTCTCATGTGCTAATTACATGACTCCAAAGTGGTCAGGGAATAATCTCACTCAACACACAACCAGGGTTAAGATTACAGAGAATAAGATGTTGAGAATTCAACCTCCAGACTCCATGAATCAAACTGTCTGAGTAAATTAACGTCAGGCTGAGTCAGATGAGCATCATCACAAACTCTCTGCTCCCTCTAAATATCTAAACAAGGGTAAGATAGTGACAAAGATTATGGTGTTGTCATACTCTTAAAACATCCGTGTTGGCTGGATTTCATCCTTGATACACTCATTAAAGGACTTGGAGTAAGTACACACACACAGAGTGAATGTTACCTGCTTTGTCAACATCTAGGTGTTACTGTGCCATCGCGTGCTTCCTGTAAAGAACTGAGCAAACAACCCTCCAAAAGAAAGACTCAGGTCAAACATATTTCTCTGTTTACCCAAAATGTCCTCGGGACCTGTTATCTGTGGGAATGGAATAAAGAGACACAATGAAGATGGTCATGTTTGCTTTCAGTTTTGGGTGTGGGCCTTTTTTTAATTCAGACTGGATTAGGTGCATAGTTTGATGTGATAAGCCAGACCAACGAGATGAAAAGATCTCTTTGGTACAATGTCTTATGCTTTGATCGGATATACCAGTTCATATTTATCTTTAAATCCACCCCTTTGTTGGAGAGTAGATTGGTTAAACAATGACCATGAGAAAATAGTTTGTCACTCTGAATATCTGTCATGTGGCTGTGGAATAGTTTGAGAGAAATTAAATCTAATAGGTCTTTGTTTATGTGCTGAATTCAGTGTCTCCTTGATTGACAGCCAAAGAAATATACAGCAGAAAATTCACCATCTTCTACAGTTCAACACTTGAACGTTTGAGCTAGCCAAAAAAACTGATGAAATGGTTTTGATGACTTTGTGCTAGCTTTTAAACTGAGTCTGATAATGCCCTATAAACTGGGTGTATTTGATGTCAAGTAAAATTATTTTTGGAGTGTTTAAAGAAGTAGGCCAAAGCATATGGAGCTGCAAAAGAGGATGAAAGGAGGGCAGAAGAAAATTAAGAAAGTGAAAAAAATTCATTTAAGCGTTCAAATCCATTTCTGTGGTCCGAGGAGAAGCTTACTATCAACTCTGAGACATAATTGTTTGGCAAAATAAGATAAAGGTCAAATGTAACAAGAATGGGACCAAAATATATGAAGGATAGATCACGCTGAGAATGATATCTACTCTTGTGATTACTTATTCCTGATTTAGAGGCTGTAAAACAAAGTTATAGCCATTTAAAACTTTAATTGGGTTGTTATGGACACGTGGTTTTCATAACAGGGCTGGCTCAGGCTGTGGTGATGGGACCCAAGAGGATTTATTTAAATGTTGCCCAGAACTCTTAGTGACACCTTTGAGTGTTGTCCGCACATTACAAAATTTATATATTAACAATAGTGTGGTTTCACTCTTAACAGGTCAAGCATAAAGCAGTGTTTTATAATATCCTCAACCTCAATCAGTCAGGTAACGTTTAACGATACTTCCCAAATTAAATGCACGTGAGCACATCAAAGTCAGAAGAAAGACTTCTCAACTTAGAAACTGGGACCATGAGAAGCACATGGATGCAGGATCAGACCCCTCTGTCAGCCAATCTGTCAGCTAACATGCTAATGCTAACGGCTGTAAGCTCAGAGACTAAAAAAACCTGTCTTACTTTGCTCAAAGCTGTAAAAAAGGGCAAAATTATTCGAAAGAGCATGAAGAAAAAATTAGAACAGAGGAGAAGACTTGGAGTTTCTCTTGCCTGCCAAACCACTCTTATACACACAACCAGGGTCGGGGTTACTCTTGCTAACTAGCTTATAGCTAACATTTGTAGACTAGGCACACTGAGCATGTGGGGCAAATCAATACAGAGCACGCAAAAGGGTCCAGCAAATTTGCACAATGACACAGATCAATACTAAGCCTTTCTTTCCGTCTGAAGCCATTCAGAAACTCATTCATTCACACGTCAGGACTCATTTGGTCCTGAAAGTCCTTCTCAGGGCTCTGTTAAAACTGCTTGATCCTGAGGACTTGTTCTTTTTACACTTTCACAAACAGACTAGTGAAACTTTTGCAAAAAAAAAAAACAATAAAAAACTATAATCTAGCGGTTTTCTTACTGGAGATTTCCTCTGATGTCTGCCTACTATTTTTGAGGCTTTGACCCGGCTAACTAAGTTAGCATAAGTTGAAGGAATGAATCTGAACTGATTCAGAGATACAAAAGAAAGTGTAACCAAAAACATTTTTGAATAACATGGTGCAGATGAGTCAAGTCAAGTCTCGAGTCCTTAGTGTTCAAGTCCAAGCCACCAGAGAAGGCTCTAGGGGAGTCTGAGTCAAGTCCCCATTACCTAAGGACTTACCAACCACTGTCTCACTCTGTCTGTATTATCTAAGGAGGCGTCTTGGTCTTTTGGTTATTGTTTGTATTTCTGCTAGGCTTCAGTGCATGTTTAACTCTTTATTGCCTTTTGTATCATATTTGATACATACCTCTATATACTTTTATCAAATCAATATGATCAACAAATTACTAAAAAAAACACCTGAATACAGCCTGATAAATGATAAAAATGTCCTCTTGTACTTTATCAATTTCCAAAAATATCTAAAGTATCAAATGAGATAAATATATATATTTGTTAAACTTTAAAGACATTTTGATTTTTTTTTCAGTAGTAAGTGAAATAAACATTTCAGCTCCAAAAAAAATTGAATTTTCTGGCCATAATTTGTGGTATCAGGCATTAAAGGGCTACGTCTGTATATTTCTGACTTTTTATTTCAGTGTAACACAAAGCGTTAACTCTATCTTGCAGTCTGTAAATACATATGAATCTCCTTTCTTTTTGATTTCACCATTATTAACTGTTGTTCAAGAAGATGATCTACATGCTGATGTGATCCTTTAGCCACTTCTGCATTGCCATAAAGACAGAAAAACACTACTGACATGGACAAGATTTCTTTCTGAAAACAGGGAGGAATAATCTACTTTAAAAATATCACTTCACCTGTGGATGAAGCCTAAATGTAGCCTGAGTGTCCTAATGTGGTTCATGTGACTGATATCCAAGTCCAAGTTTGAGTTAAAACCCAAAGTTTGTACATTTTACACTTTTGTGATGTTGCAAATTAAGAAAAATATGTTAATTTATTTGTATTCACTGGTTTCAAACAGAACTTTAGAACCACTCTATTTATTATTGGATGGTAAACCTCATGTTACTTCACACAGAGTGATTAATTTTCATACGGATTAAAGGCATAGCATATGACAAGAACAGCAGCCATGAGCCTGAAGAGGTGCTGGTGGATGGATTTTGTTATCTTCAAAAGCAGTTGCCCTTTTTCTAGCTTGTATGCTTAGCTAATCTAATTGGCTTTAACTAAAAATGTTTGACTATTTCCATAAACTGAAAGCTGGTCATGGATTTAAAAAAGTAGGGATGGTAGAGTTTCTGTTTTAGGCAGTTTGTTATATCAGTGAGGTCACCAGTGTGTCCAAAGGATTAATGTTTGACAGGCTGCTGTCAGTAAATGAAAGTACGCTGCATGGAAACGACGACATCCTTTATTATGTAATTTTTATGGCATGAATAAATGAGATTAACACATTTCTTCTGTTAATCCTAAACCTCAGGGGGACTCATCTTTTGTGGTGATGACAAACTACATTATAACTGAGGGTCAGAGCATGTCCAAGTGTCCAGAGGTAAGTACTCCCACAATCCTTTCCCCCATTCTCTGCTGTGTTTCCCCCTCTCTGTCTAAATTACAGTACATTTCCATAAATAGCAAAACTAAACGGAAATTGTGTCTCATTCCAAGACTGTTTGTGTAATTGGGTAATTTTCCAGCTGTTGAATTTAGGTCACATGTTTTACAAACGTAATGGCCTCCAGATGAGCCAACAGCAGATTTAGAAAACAGCAGAATATCATTACTAATGTAAAGCTTGAACCTCACTTTGTTGTTTTGATGATAAACTGATTTATCTTGTCGTCTTCCTGACACACTCTCTCTAACCCTGATCGTTTTTTTTTTTGTGACAGCTCCCAGGCAAACACAACTGCAGCTCAAACACAGACTGTGAAGGAGGGAGTTTCAAACGTACGGGACATGGTAAATCCTGACGGCCCGACAGTGTGTGACATCTGCAGTCCTCACTGAGTAACCGTCTGTCTGTGTGTGGCCAACTGAAGCGCGGTCTGGTTGTTTGACTTCTCGACTGTTTTACCAGAAACAAAAGCTTTCCCTCAACCTCTAGAGAAGAGATTGTAATCACTTACAAAACAGCAAAATTGGTAGGAAAAAAAACTGACCTTTAGCCGAAATATTGGAACTGGGTTGGATTCTGGTGATGCATTTTAAGGCTTGTACCCACCTAGAGTGTTTTATGCTGGCAGTGTGTGTTTTCCACTGTAGTTCAGTGTTGTTGGCGCTTATTGTCCAAGTGCAGAACTGCCCGGGTGTCAACTAATTTTGGTCACTGCTTTCACAGCACACTCAGTCAACTTCAGTTTAACTCAGGTGCATTTGCAATTATCACGTATCCATCACTAATCAATCAAAATCATTGAGATTATTTACTCACAGCATCATTAAGTTTCTTAAGACAGAACCGTGACGTGTTTATACACACAGGACTATCGGAGTATCAGGTCATTGTGCCACATGTTTGTAAAGTGGGTAGTGGCGCTTAGAGCTGCCATAGGACATGCTCATGCAGTAGAAACCATAACTAAAATGCAACAGAACTGAAAGAGTAAACATTTGGAAGTAAAACATGCATGGCTCAGTTCTACTGAAACAGATTAAAATCAACAACCTCCTTTTGAGCAGCTTATATCAGTTTGTATTGGGCTTGATGATCAGTGAAGCGGATGAGTAAAACCCAGCCTCATGTAAGTAGACATATTCATGTATATTCAAACACAGAGACAGATGTTACAATTACATTTGTATGCACGAGAGCTGACATGAACCATGAGCACACAGAGACGTTAAAAACAAATAACCATCCAGACAGGAGCTTTTTTTAATAGGTCCAAACATATGCAGCATTGTTAAAGATTTCAAAGAGCAGTCACATAAATTTAACACCCTTTATCTGTCCCCGACTTCAATCCAGAGCCTTTCAAGTCCTCCATGACCTACATCGGCTTTAATAAGAACAAACTTAACTGAAGCCTTAGATCTGTCCATTTCAGACCAGTCAAACCCCCAGGTATCTGCACAGAGGCGGCGTGCTGTCTCCATGCTTGTGGACATGCAAACACAAGGGGTGCCCCTGTAGCCAAACACACCAGTGGGCTGCAGTAAAAGGTCAGAAGGCCAAAGCAAGTGACCAATCCCCCCGCTGGAGAACTGTCTGTGAACTCAGCCAGCACATGATGAGAGAGACTGATACCCACAGAGCTAATCTCAGGCAGAGAAATTATATGTTGAAATCAGGGCGAGATAAAGAAAACAGCCATGTCAGCGCTCGCTTTGCTTCATTTCTACATCTTTGCTCGCTGCCGTGGATGCTAATTCAAGATAAGATGATTAAAGCTTTGCTATGTCTTGCTTTTTTCCCCCTTGCTGCTTCTTGAAACACGTTATACTCTTGCTTGCCACACTTTTAAAGTTTGGTCTGTAATAATGAACTCCAGTGTGTTTCTTCTTCAAGGACAAATGACGGGAGTTTGTGTTAATACCACAAAGACCTGTGAGGTGCTGGCCTGGTGCCCTGTGGAGAATGATCACATCATACCAGAGTATGTAAAAGCATTCAGTTTATCATGCTGCAAGCTCTTAGTACGTGCCTGGATTACTTCACTGCTTATACATGTGAAATGTTGCTTTTGATGATTTATGCACCTCTACTTACAGGACTTAATACTCTGCTGTTTCCTGTTTACTTCTCTCTAGTCCTCCTTTGTTGATTTCTGCGGAGAACTACACACTGTTCATCAAAAACTCTGTGACTTTCCCCTTATTTGGCGTCACAAGGTGAGAGACAGCATGGCTATTAAGTTGAATTTAACTTGGCAGAGGTTTAAAATGCTTTTGGATTACTGTTTGGTTAATGCTGCTGCATGTTTGTCGTGTGGTGAATAATGAGAAGTAAAAACACTGTCAAACATTCTCAATAGAGCCCTGTAGCATGAATAGGTCAGTTTAGATAGAACGGTTGCGATATTTAGATTACATAACGTCTTCTCTTACTCTGGGGAAGCTTTTCAAAGCCTGAGAAACTAACCCACAATTTGGCAACAAAACTGTTGTGTAAATGTTAATTTAGAGCCATACAAATATTTTTGAAGGACTCTGGACATCACTTGTGCGCAGACCAGGACGATTAAAAAACTACAGTACTGCATAAAGAACAAGTCTGCACACTTTATTAAACCCACAAAGAGCTAAATAATCAATTTTTTATCCTAACGGTTTACCCCAGGAGTGTAACTCATAGGCTGATAAGCACTATATTGGCAGGTTGGATCATATATGCTGACTACATAAGGTTAAGAACAACTTTTAAAAACATAATTTAAATTGTGCAAAATTCACCAGAACTATGCAAAGATGACAGGAACTGTAAAAACCCCCAGAAATTCTGCAAACCAAAAGCTATGCATAAATCATGCAATAATCACAGGAATCATGCAAACATAACCCAAAAATGATGCAAACCAAAAATGTAAAGAAAAGTATTTCTTTACCACTAACACATGTGCCATGGCATACATATCCTGTCTTCCTGGCTCTTGTGTAACATAAGCACGAAAAACTGTTTATTTTACCACTCCCATAATGCACTTCAGTGCAATCTCAGCTGAGCCAGAGGTATTTATATGCTTGGGACTTAAAACCAACCCTTTTTAGCCACAAGTTTTCTGCGAATTATTTGAATAACAGGGAAAAGTAAATGAGCCTAGACACTTTCTTAACGCCACTCTAAGTTTAATAATCACAATGTTTTAATGCTTTTGGCTCCATCAGGTGACAAAAAAGGAGCTGCACCCATATTAATGGACAGAATTGTATGCAAATGAGCACATAGAGCAAAACAGAGGATATCTAAATATAAAACAGAAAACAGATTTGGATCTAGATGTTGAAGCACGGCTTGTGCAGCACTGTTGTTGTTAAACAATGATAGTGTGGTATCATTCACCCTTTGCATATCTTTCATTGTCGTATGTAAATGATGTTATTTGAAGATGTGTTTTACCTCAGGTGGTGTGCATAGTTTCCACAGAACTTATCGTGTGATGTGCAAATCTCAACATATCTGGGTGCGGTCACCTGACAAAGATAGAACTATGAAAACATTGTGATGAATAAGCTCTCTGTGATACTTAGTCTGTAAGTTTGGACCCTTTGAATATTCGACAGAAACCTGATGGAGATTTTTTATTCTAAATTTGAGGGTATTGTTCAAGCCAGCAGATCTGATTAAACTTTTTGATGAAATGCATTATGGGAACTGTAAGATCCAGAGTATTTTGAGTGTTACCCCAACAATGAATTAAAAATGCAGATATATACTGTATATGTTTATCCAAATAATAGACAGTAGTGTAACAGTTTTTTATTATTAAAAAAATGTGTTTCAGGAGTAACCTGGTGGAAGGCATTGATGCCAGTTATATCAGTAAATGCCTCCATGATCCAGAGAAAGCTCCATTGTGCCCAATATTCAAACTGGGAGACATCGTCAAACTGTCTGGCTTCAACTTTGAAACAATAGCCAAAGTGGTGAGTCTAGAAAAGCTGCAGTTATTTAGGTAATCTGATATATGTTCCTCTAATGTGGTAGTAATGGAGTGTAATATGTTTGTTTCTTGACAGGGAGGGGCCATTGGTATAGTGGTGGACTGGACATGTAACTTTGATGTGGACGTGAGACACTGTAAACCAAAATACAACTTCCATGGTCTGTACGGAAACCCCACAGAGACAGACAAAGCCAGAGCCTCAGTGGGCTACAACTTCAGGTGAGTAAAAACAGATCTCTGGAAACAATACTCCAGTGGGTTTGCATTACAGATATACTAGACTATACAAGGAAAATATTAAAGGAGCAGATATAATTTGGATGTTATTCTAAGACCATATTGGTACCACTGTGATTATGGTTTCCTGGTTTGTATTTGTCTAAAATAAGACTTTTCACCAACCACAACTGAGATAAAAAAGACCAGTGTTTACTAGGAAAATCAGATTTATTTATTCTTTCTTCTTGTCATGGTACCATAATAATCTGCATTTGTTGATGCTGCAACAAACTGTTCACAGACAACAGTTTTTGGAGGTGTCTGTTTTTTCAGCCTTGTCCTTTTTGTACAAAGATTTCTCTAAATTATCTGAATCTTTTCTTGATATTATACACTAAAGGTGATAAAATCTCTGAATTATTTTCTATTTTATATATGCCCTAAAATTACCCACATAAGTTGGGAGATGCTTTTTCAGGTGATTTTATTTAAACATTTCAAAGCTTTTCCAATGTTTTCAGTCCTTAACCACACTTTATAAGAATGCGTTGTTTAAATCAGATTAGAAATGAGAAAACATTTTTCCACAAAACAACATTTTTCAGCTTCATGATTTAATATGTTGTCTTGACACAATTTCCAACTAAATATTGTCTTGGAAAGATTTGTGATTCAGTCAAAGTCTGATTAACATTTCACAGAGCATCACAGTTTTTTTATGGAATTGGGGTTGAAAACTTCTGAGCAGCTACTTTTTGCTTTATTTTATTTGTACTAAAAACCAAAGTTAATAAAAAAAAAAAAAAAAAAAAAAGGATGAGAGTTACGTGACAAAATTTGCAGCACTGTCTTGACTCAGTATTATACGGCACAGCATAAAGCCGGAGCCACGTGCTGTTACCACGCCTTTAGCTGAGCTGAGCATACAAGCTTATTTAGTTTCATATCAAATGACTTCAGGAAACCTCAAAGTGTTATTTTAAAATGAACTGACTTGTAGATCAAACCAGCTACATCAAATGTTCTCACGAGGTAAACAGTGGTAATAGCTGATGGTTGCTAACTTTGGTATCATCAGTTTGAAACTTTCACAAAGTTCATGTTTCCCTGTTGGTGGGAACTTTCAATGATGTACTTTCACCACGTTCTCCAGTGTCTGCTAATGTTGCTCACCTAAAGTTTTAGTGTCTGGAGAGTTTACGCCTGTTGTTTTTGTCTCCAGGTCTATTTTGTTGATCTTAATACAGACTGACTCATAATGTTTACTAGCTCTCAGTGAAACGACTCAGCGTGGTGCTCTGAAGACTGTCTCAAACTGTTAGCTGTTATTGTTTAATGTGCTCTGTGAACGCTCAGCTTCCTGTGCCCAGATATGAAGAAACATTATTATAAGGGTGTTATTTAGAGAATACTAACTAGCATTAGAGACCATCATTGAGGGGGAAGACATATAAGTTTGTCCTGAAATTATAAGGAACAATTAATTCCTTTGAAATTGGATAATCTGAGTACACCAAAACATGCATAGCCTCTCTCTTGTTACTATAACCTCCTTCCACAGTCCAAAGACCAGGTTTTAAGTCAGTTGGTGACTCTAAATTTCACATTGGTGTGTGCACATGAATCGATTGTTGTGTCAGTCCTGTAGTTAATGGGCAATCTAGTCAGGACGTGCCCCATCTTTTGCCCGGGGACAGCTGGAATCGGCCCTCACTCGAGAAACAGGGAAGTAGTGAGACAGATTATTGATGCATGGATGTCAAACTCTGCAGCACTAAAACCACTTGAGTTTTTAAAACAATTTTTGTCCTAATACAGGGGGAGATGGCAGTAAAGTTTGTATAATCTCAAACAGGAAAGGTGGAATTTAAAAATCAGGCATATGAGATATTCACATCCTTTTTATTTAAACAGCTACTGTTCTTCCTGTGTAGGTATGCAAAGCATTATTTGGAGGACAAAATTCAGAAAAGAACCCTTTTCAAAGTGTTTGGGATAAGGATTGACATCATTGTTCAGTCACTGGTGAGTGTATGTATTTACATATATTTCAATTAAATAAAGTTCTGAAGTAGAAATAGTTAAAAAGAATTTCAACTCTGTTCTTCACAGGCGAGAAAATTTGATATCATCCCAACATTGACAGCTATCGGCTCTGGAGTGGGCATCTTTGGAGTGGTATGTTGTGTCCTGATTTATTACATCACTTATACCTGCTTTGCTTATTGTTAAACAGACTTATATATTTCTTATTTTGTACATGACTTTGCAGGCAACTGTAGTGTGTGACTTGGTGCTGCTCTATTTGCTCCCAAAAAGAGAATTTTACAAGAACATGAAATTCAAATACACAGACACACACATACAGGTAAGCATAATGATGCATGAACAACTGTTTGATGGAAATGCTGTTGTGATTGAAGTTTCTTTTTGAGCACAAGATGGCAGCAGAGAGACGTTTATCAATATCAGGTGTATCGTTCAGTGCTGGATATGACCCTGTGTGGGCTTAACTCTGGTTTCTTTTGAGGACTGCCTCCTAAATCAGACCCAAAAACCATCTAGCACACAGAGGCAGAGTAATGCTGTGTTAATTCCCATACCACTCACAAATAGAACAAACCAAAGCTGCATTAGCTCTAACAGAGGTTGAACTCTCCCCTCATCCCCTCCACCTCAGACAGTTTCCATCTGTAACTGAACCAGGCAGAACGTTTTGTATTTGCAGCCTGACAGCGAGTCGCTTGGTTTAGACACAAGCGTCTATTACACCATTGAAGCAAAGGCAAGACAAGCCCAAGGCACTGACAAGTCCAACGTGAGTGCATGTAGAAGTCCAAAAAGTAGAGTAGCTTTTAAAAATTTGTACCTTTTCTATCTTGTTTTCACAAGGAGAATCCTTCCGTTTTTTATTTGTGAGATCTAACTGCCTGTTATAGTTGGATTTGACTTTTATTTTTTATCCTAGGATCCTGATTCAGAGGCCGGCAGCATAGAGACTGAGGTATCTAAAGTAAGAGGTTCAGAAATTCCTCACAAATATCCTTTCTGCTTTGTTTTCTTTGATCGTTTATGTGTTTCTCTCAATCTCTCATTCCTCTGTAGAAATAACCTGGGAGCAAGCTTGTAAGGTGCTTTTCTGGATTGCACTGGGACCCTGCGATAAACCTTGCAACACAGCACACAAACACACTCGGACTCAGTGTGGACTCGGGACTAGAGCAAACAAACTCACAGACAATGCTCCACATGTTCTCGTCTTCCTCATCTCGCTCCTTAGCTGAGTCTTCTATCAGCACCTCCCACCCTGAGAGACTGTGACTCCAGCCATTGTGTTGAGCCCTAGCCTAGCTCAGCTTTGTGTGTACTCTTTTGGGTGTAGCTCGGTTTGCTCTTACTCATACTCTGGGTGTAACCCTCCACCTCCTTGCCATCTCCACATGGGTGCAGGTGAAAGAACACTTTCAGACACTTGTTTGTCGGTGTGTGTACACAAATCATCCATAAGCCATCATGATCTCTGTCACTGTCTTGTCAAAGCAAGATACACACACACATAATGTGTGGATGTGCCACTGTTGGAGTTATACACCCTGTGTGCACCTTGTGATTGACAGCTGAGTCCAATAAAAGATGTACAGTTGCCGTGCAGTTGTTTTCTTTGTTATTACATTATTTATGAAGTCAAACAACAACAACACAGGCGTTATATCAGGGTTCAGATTGTCTTTTTTATTGTCTTTGATTATGTCTAGGTGTACAAAAAGCATGCAAAAAATAGCTTCTTTGTTTACATTGGTACATATTTACATTGCAATATCTGCATTCCTTAAACGTGTGCCATGCTTTTGTATTTTTAATGAGTACATTCAGAGAAAAGCACAAGACAACACAAGACAGACACGCAAACACAAAGAGGAGGCACCTTCAACACAGAGAAGACTTACAGAAGACACCTCGAAATATGTACAAACTCACTCTCCCACAATCCTCCTCTGCAGGACATGACTATTGATTGGAATCATGCAAAAGAGTCTTATTTGTTAGATTTTCCTGTGCAGTTGGTCCACTGTGTTCATCATCTGGGTTTTTTTGCACTTAATTTAATACATGGAGCAACTTTTGGCTAAAGCTGCCCTTTTTGGTACACTTATATTTCTGAATACTTGAATCCAACATCTGAAGCCAACAGATGAACAGAAAACTGTTTTGATTCTTTGAAAACTGTTGCATGCTTAAAGGTTTTCTAAAATGGTAAATTGTGCAGCATTTTAAGAGAGTCATACAGGTGACTGAAGGCTCACGTTTCACACCAGCGTCTGTTTCATTTTGCAAAAGTCAGAGTAAATATGCACAGAGGTCTTTTATAGTCCATAACACATCTAATGATTTTTTTCAAAGTTGTTTTTTAAATTATATTTGTATTGCTGTGAATACATATTTGTAACATCTGTCCAAAAAAGGGAAGATGTTTTCTGCTGTCATATTCTTACATAAGACTTGTTTGCTCTCTAACACGGCAATGGCAACTTTATGTAATCACTCTAGTTGCCACTGTATGGAAGCCCTACGCAGACATGTATCCATACATCTCAGTTTCTTCATTTTTTTTTTCTTTTCAACATTTCATTTTTGTCATGTCATCATCTCAAGATGAAAGCATTGACTTTCCTATCAATACAACTTGTTTAGTTCAACTTCTCAACTTCTTGACTTATTTTTCCTCATTATCTCAGGATAACAAGCTCGTCTCTCTGAGCTCAGTATCATGGGAAAACATCAGAAAATTCAAAACTTACCAATTTTGTTATTGGGGGTAAAGAGAAAAATAAGTTAAGCTCTTGAAAAGAGCAAATGAAATAGACTGAAATTCACATTGATGTTTTTTTTATTAATATAAATAAGCGAATGAGACCACCAGGCCATAACCCCCTCATTCACTGTTCACAGTAAGTGACACATTTGATTGGCAAAAATTACCAGGATGGGTTTCTTGTAAGAAAACACCAATTTAACACATAGAGGACAAGGCAAAGACTGTTTTGTCCAAAGAGGGCGCCAAAATAGACACAAACCGCGGCAGATTTAATCGTATGGATGCATGTCAGCTCAGAGTTAGAGTATTTTTTTTTCCTTTGAGTTAAAGATTTAGGAAGAATTTAAAAAGAACAAACCCTTTGTGTACCAAATTTAATGAATGTGTGAAAGATTTGAACAAGAAAGGACTTTAAGAAAACAGTTAAAAAAGTGACAAAAAAGGGGGCATGAAAAAGAAAACTGTGTTTCTCATGAGTAGAACCCAGCCATTTACCTCATTTTCTGTAAAATAAGACAAAACTCCAGTTTTCCATGTGCTCTTTAAATCAGGAGAAAGCATGACAAAAAGATGACAACTTTTGCCACGGCAATGAAAATTGGGCTTACAAATCAGAAGTGACATGGTGGAACGGTGATGCAGTTTAAGGGTTGACCGACACTTTGTTCTTGAAGAGTCGCTGGTGATGATCCATCACTGTTTCTCTAGAGATGCGCTCTAATTTACACTTCTATTTCAAGCTGTGACTTCTCGGCAAATAAGAGGCTTTTAAGTGTTTCCATGCAATGTCTCTGCAGAGAAATCAAGAGTCAAGTCCCCTCTGCTGGTAATAAAACATTCACAGCTCTTCAGTATGTCAGAGGAAAACTGCAGTTGTAACACATTTCAGACACAGACAGGGAAGAAGCTGATGAAAAACTGCAACAGTTTTTGTTTCACTTGTAAAATTCTTTGCAGCAAGAAGCAGTGCTGTGACATGCAGATATCAGAGTAATGCTTTTAAAGCACGGGAGACTGCAGGAAGCTACCACTGTACAGTAAATATGCTTTATACAGGCGAAGGTTTTCAGCCTAAGATTGAACCGTACCATGTGGAGTGTCTGGCATGTACCAGTAGTGTTTAATGAAATCACAACAGCTTTAATATCTATAAGTGGAAAAGTGCAAATATTTCAATAGAAGACATTTTTTTATACAAGTAAACACAAAAGGATGAGAAAAGCACTGATAACAAGACAACAACATGAAGCTTCAATACAATAGATGTCTGTACAAATGTAAAAGTAGAAACATAATGAGTGTGAAAGCATTAAAACAAAAATAATATTACAAATCATTTCATACTTTTTGGTTCAAACAGCCCTTCATTGAAGGTTACCCTACTCCTCACTGTGTTTGGTAACTTGTTTCACTGTCCACAGAGGGAGGAAACAGAAACAGATCAACACAATCCTCAATTCTAAATACAACCTTTCAAACACTAGACATGGTTAGATTTCTTTCTTCTCCTAAAAGATCTTTTATCTCCTCATTTTGGACCATAAAACAAAAGAGTATAAAGCTTTTTACATTCTCAAAATGACAATAAAGTTGACCATCTGAAGTCAACAGCATTCACAGTATTTCTTCATAAAGCCTGTGTGACATGACTCCCGAAACACAGAGGCTCAATAACAACATGTGAAAAGCTCTCCCATTCACCTCCCTCAGCACCCTCCACGCTTCAGCTCACATCCTTCACTGGAGGATACCGAGGGTGACGCTAATCGAGGAAATGCAAAGCGCCCCGCTCTCTGTTTCTAATCAGCCACACTACGGCTGGCTCTGAAGTGGATGGAGAAGTGTTGTTGTTGGCAGCTCGGCTCTAATCATGACATTGAAATGCTCCTTTTCTCTCTGGTTCAAGTGATCAGAGCACTCTGCCAGCCAAACAGGCTTTCTGCTTTCACACGGGCGCCAATCATAAAAAATGGAGTTACATAAACATTTTGGTGAGGCAGAGCTGCTGTGGAGGCTGAAATGTTCTCATTGATTTCAGTCAGCAGGGACAAAACAGCCCACAGATTCAGTTTTTTTATTATTGTGGGCCAACCACCTGGAACAGTAACCAGGGGATTCAGACCAAAACAGAAAAAAAAAAAAAAGTTGTTTTTCATTCGTCAAGGCTTTTAACATTTGAGATCCAAAATGGGCTCGACAAAAACACAACTAGATGGAACTTAAAGCTCCTGTGAGGAGTTTTTAACTGGTTTGAAAACTCGCCAAAAGTTGCTATGATATTGTTTTGTGACCTAAAAACAAGCAAACAAGATCATCAGAAATGAGGCTTGACTGCTTGTTTCACATTATTGTTGATGCTTACAACTAGCGTAAGAGGAGGTAGGTGTCAAATCTGATAACTGTTTAAAGAAAGCAGTAGAAGAGTTTTTGCCTAAACGTATGACTTAACTCATGCACAAGAAAATATCAGCGAAGACGTGTGAGATGTCACTTTGACCACAGGGGGCGCCAAATTCCAAACAGAAAGTTTCTCATTCAGGCTTCAAAAAGGACAGAAATGTAAACATAAAACTTATCATGGGGGATGGGGAGAATTCAGTCTGAGTTACCTACCCTTCCATTAACATAAAAAAAACAAGCAACCCCCACCTCCCATTATCTTATCATTTAGTTTTTTTTATCATGAAGTACAATCTTTTTTAAAAGTTGCAGCTCTATTAATGCAGAAATGTAAAGCTCTTGTAATGAAAACCACTTTAACCAAAGTAGGGCTACACACTACGAGATAATGAGGTGGATTTTAGGCCCAATACCCCTAAAATAAAACGATAGCCAATCAGGAAACAAGCTGACTTAAGGAGGAGGCACTAAAATCACAGTAATGGCAACAATAGCGGATTCAGATTATAAACTAAGATGGACGCCAGAAATAGAGGACCAACTTGTTGGTTTTTGCAGAAATATCGACCCCAGTGGATGTACCTGCCAGCTAAGTGTTGGTAAATGTAGTCTGTGGAGGTGTGCTTCGTGGTTATATTGTAGTCCTCTTTATGCAAACAAACAAATCTTTTTTACTCTGTCATCATTTGTCTTAATGTGTGGGGTCTCTCACACTTTCAACAATCTGTTTAGGTTCTCAGGGGGAACCTTACAGGGGACCAGGATTAAATCTTCTGCATCTGCATGGCCTTCACAATACAAATGAGACCTTTACATTGTAGGCCATCGTAGAGAAGACTAGTCACCTTTACATTTGTGTTTTTAATAAGCCCACCTTCCTGAAGGGGCAGCTATCAGACAAGGCAACTAAAGGCTCCTTCTGGTGACCCCTTTTGATGGGATGGGTCATGTTTTTCCAAGAAGAAGATTTCACATAGGTTAGTGTTTTCATTTACAGCTACATGAAAATTCTTACACTGATTATGTAATAACAAAACTTAAATTTTTTCAGGACGTTGTTTGCTTACAAAAGGTGACCAGATGCTAAAGTTTTTCATGACCCATCACAGTTTTGGCATCATAGTGAGAGCCCCAGTGATCCAATTAATGTCTGTATGACCTCGATCTGAGACAATACCTCCCCAGAAAGCATGTGTGTTTTTGCTCATCCTGCTCCAGTACCAGCCATCAAAATAAAATATGATGTAAAAATAAAATCTTGCTTGCTAACTCCTCTCTGCCAAACTCTTGCAGCACTGTTGTAAACACAGATGCTTCCAGATGAATGCTGACTAATCTTATTTTGAGGAAAATCCAACCCAGACACAGGCACTAAAATTCGGTGCAAAGAAGTCTTGTGGCAAACAATCTTATCTGACTATTTAGCTCATGAGGCATCAGTTTAGTAGACGCTATTTTAAAACCAGTTAAAAGCTCCTCTCAGTGTCTTTAAGAAAATAAAATGTCCAAACAGTCAGTCTTGCCCCCTTGAAGCATTATGAAACATACAGTGCATTCGGAAAGTATTCATACCACTTCACTTTTTCCACATTTTGTTATGTTACAGCCTTATTCCAAAATGGATTAAATTCCTTTTTTCCCTCAAAAATTCTTCTCAAAATACCCCATAATGACAAAGCGAAAAACTTTTTTTAGAACATTTTACAAATTTATTAAAAATAAGACACTCAAATGTTGCATATACATAAGTATTCACACCCTTTGCTATAAAATTGAGCTCAGCTCAGGTGCATCCTGTTTCCACTGATCAGCCTTGAAATGTTCCTCCAACTTGATTGCAGTCCACCTGCGGCAAATTCAGCTGATTGGACATGATTTGGAAAGCCACACCTGTCTATATAAGATCCCACAGCTGACAGAGCACATCAGAGCACAAACCAAGCCATGAAGTAGAAAGAATTGTCTGTAGACCTCCGAAACAGGGTTGTATCGGCGCACAGATCTGGGGAAGGTTACAGAAAAATATCTGCTGCATTGAAGATCCCAAAAAGCACAGTGGTCTCCATCATTAAGAAATGGAAGACGTTTGGAACCACCAGGACTCTTCCTAGAACTGACCGCCCAGCCAAAATGAGCAAGCGGGGGAGAAGGGCCTTGGTCAGGGAGGTGACCAAGAACCCGATGGTCACTCTGACAGAGCTCCAGCGTTCCTCTGTGGAGATGGGAGAACCCTACAGAAGGACCACCATCTCTGCAGCACTCCACCAGTCAGGCATTTATGGTGGAGTGGCCAGACAGAAGCCACTCCTCAGTAAAAAGCACATGACAGCCCGCTTGGACTTTGCTAGAAGGCACCTGAAGGACTCACAGACCGGGAGAAACAAAATTCTCTGCTCTGAAGAAACGAAGATCGAACTCTTTGGCCTGAATGCCAAGCGTCATATCTGGAGGAAACCAGGCACCGCTCACCACCTCGTCAATACCATCCCTACAGTAAAGCATGGTGGTGGCAGCATCATGCTGTGGGGATGTTTTTCAGCGGCAGGGACTGGGAGACTTGTCAGGATCGAGGGAAAAATGAATGCAGCTAAGTACATCAAAATCCTTGATGAAAACCTGCTCCAGAACGCTCGAGACCTTCGACTGGGGCGACGCTTCATCTTCCAGCATGACAATGACCCTAAGCACACGGCCAAGAAGACAAAGGAGTGGCTTCAGGACAAGTCTCTGAATGTCCTTGAGTGGCCCAGCCAGAGCCCAGACTTGAACCCGATTGAACATCTTTGGAAAGATCTGAAAGTAGCTGTGCACCGACGCTGCCCATTGAACCTCACTGAGCTTGAGAGGATGTGCAAGGAAGAATGGGGGGAAAAAGTCCCCAAATCCAGATGTGCCAAACGTGTTGCATCATACACAAGAAGACTGGAGGCTGTAATCGCTGCCAAAGGTGCTTCGACCAAGTATTGAGTAAAGGGTGTGAATACTTATGTATATGCAACATTTGAGTGTTCTTATTTCTAATAAATTTGCAATATGTTCTCAAAAAAGTTTTTTGCTTTGTCATTATGGGGTATTTTGTGTAGAATTTTTGAGGGAAAAAGGGAATTTAATCCATTTTGGAATAAGACTGTAACATAACAAAATGTGGAAAAAGTGAAGTGGTATAAATACTCTCAGGATGCACTGTAAATCTACTCCTTATTCCCTAAATCCCCCCATCCACTTAATAATCTGTGTACATTCCCTTAGCCTTAGAAACTTTGCACGGGAACATTCAATTTCTTCTGTAGCAGCAACATGGACAATAAAGTTTTTCATGCCTTTAGATAAGCCCTGCATCCTACAGTGTTATATAATAAGAAAGAGGACTTATTTGAAGTACAGGCATTAGGAGTGGTTACAGTCATTTCTTCAGCCCGTTCACAAAAAAAACACTCTTTGAAATATGTATGCCCGATTGTGTCACAAAGACTTCACATCAAATCAAATGATACAGTCTGACATTAAAAGGGAGGGACAGCATTAGATAAGCGGAATAAGACAAACACACAAAAGAGAAGGAGAGGAGGCGTAAAATGACTCCTTACACAAGAAAACCATGTATTCAGGCAGAAAAGTCCACATCCTTTTGGTGTGATCGCCATCAGACAGATGACGCTCTCTCCCTCAGGCTCAAGGACAGTGAAGGCAGCACAGAAAGGACTTTGAACACTACCACGCAGCTTCAAACTAAAAGATGGCACAGATACAAGTCTGGGGCTGTGAGACGAACATGTATGATACGTAAAGACACCTATATACAATTTTCAATACCACTGATCAGAAATGAAAAGCCCTGCAGTCCACTGAGAAGACATTTTAGTGTCATTTACATGCATTAGATGAAGGGGGGGGTCACAACGGCAAGTTTCCCTCCCAGTCTGATGATGAGGACTCACTTTTATCATGCACATGGGCAAATAAAACCAGAGTTTGACAGTGTTTTTCTCCACATTTCAGTGCAGTCCCAGCTGATGGTCTTATCGGACTCCCATAGGAAATATGAGAGCTGTTAATGACCCATAAATTCAGCAGATGGTTCCTTGTATTGGTCCACTGATGCCAGCCACAACAGAAAGCGGTTGAGAGGTTAAGTCAAGTAAGACTGCAGATCAAAATCAATGTCAAGAGACTCCACAGTGGAGGAGGAAAATGAGGGAGACTAGATACTCTCAGGCCAAAGCAGGACGCAGGAAGAAGAAGAGGCAAGTCTGAGTTCAAAGGTCTGGATGTAAACACAAGCATTAAGTTAGATATAAAAACTTGAGTGTCGTCGGCATATTGAGTAATAGGCCTCAAGTTTTTAATGGTGTGGATGAATAGGTTGAGGCAAAAGGGTGTGAAGTGGCTGAATTTGAAGAACAAACTCTGCTGAAGAATGGACTCAAGAGGAGGGTTCGTCTTCATGCAGGTCCTCCAGCTCTCCCTCCCGAGGACCGTCTCCTGTGCTGCTCTTTCTGAAACAAGAAATGACATGAAAATTAAAAACAACTGAGTTTGTATGTTAACACTGTTGAGCTTTGACTTTCCCTCCGAATGTGTATCCTTTTCTCTTGTTTTTCTGTGACATGATGAATGTTAGAAACACCACAAATGCAGCATTAAATGACAGCAGCAGCAGAGGGATGGTAAAACTCTCTGATATGACAGCCACGGTCAGGCTGCCGGGTCATTTATAATGATAAGGACAAGCCAGATTTGAGGAGTCTAAGATGATGATGGGCGCAGCAGCTGGTAGATGTCGGACAAACAGCGAGCCAGACTGTAATGTGTTACCTGAGTGAGGGGTGGAGTTTTAAAGAGGGCCGGAGAGGCCACCCATCCCTGCAGCACAGTGAGAGGGAGACAAGATGGAAAAGTCACAGGTGAGAGGGCAACAGTCTCCTCAAGGGTCAAAGGTGGTGGATATGACCTCCCCTTGATGCATTTTACCTTTTCAACACAAGGGGCAGTGTGGAGCTTTGAAATAAGTTATCTGATAGTTTGAAAACAGAAAGTAATCCTAATCCTGAATAGTTATCAATATGTAAATGGCCATGGATGACAATTTTAAAAGAATAAGTTATGCAATAAAATAATGAACATGACCATGTCTAATCATGTTTGAGATTTATTGCTTAAATCAAAGCTAAAATAAGGATCCTTTTTTTTTGTTTTTGCATATAATACATCAACAATACAACATTTTCTATTTTAATCCTTTAATCGTTGACCCAATTATATTTTCAATTAATTATATGGATTAAATAATCTGAAAAGGCACAAATTCTATGTTTATGAACATTTTATACAAAGAAATTTATTACAAGGTACTTTTGTATTAAAAGGACAATACTCAAGTTCTTAAATACTTCTTAAAGTTAGAAAAAAAACAACCTGATTCCTGCTTTAATCCCTCAGCACTTGAAGATAAATAAGTATAAAGATATCAGTGATTTTTTTTTTTTTTTTTTGCTGATGGTACCATATGTAAACATTGTTCGTTTCAGAATATATATGTGGTTAAGGTTACTTATAAAATGCTGTTTAAGGCATACAGTTGTTGTTTGTCCGTCTTGTAATCCCCTAATTACATTCGTCATGGAACAGTGAGCCCAAAATGTACAGGGCTGTTTTTTTGGCTTTGTTTTGTTTTTCCAGCAGAGGGCAGTGTTGATTTAAACTCCCTACACATCCCCTGAAAACACCTTCACCTCAGATAGCAGCTCTGAGGCTGCCTGGAGTGTAGCGGGGGAAACCTGAACCTAGAAAGAGGAGAAATCTTCTATTAAAACCCTCACAATGAGAGATTGCACATTCAGCGCTGCAGTGCTCCATCCTCTTGACAAACTCTGTTGGACGTGTAACACAGATTAGTGTCCCAAGGGCACCTGCAGCACTGCTGGGAAACACTATAGCTGCTCTGAAATGCCCTGAGTTGTACTATGTTGAAAGGAGAGATAAGATGATTGGCCGTTCCCCATGTGATGCTCACAATCTGTATTACAGACAACCCAAGGTCAGCCTGAGGCGAGTGTTGGATCTGTATCATTCTGTGTCTCAATAAATCCCTCTTCCCTTGAGGGCTGAAAGCAACACACAAAGAAACACTTATAAAGGCTGTAAGCTCCACAGCATACAATGAAAGAATGAATTATGGTGCTATGGCAACCCAAAGCGGCAGCAGCTGCTGCTGCAGGAGTGAATGCTGGTTAACCTGATACACAGAGAGAGGAGACAGGTGTGAGGCACATATATAAATATGTGTTTCATTCTACAGCAATTCCGAAGGGGGTAACAGACTTCTTCTTCATCATGGAAAACACATGTAGGTATTAAACACTGAAAAGAGAGGAGGATCTGAAGGTTGGACTCGGTGTGCTTACATGAGCAGGTTGCCAGGAGCAGACATGGACCTCTCCTCTCTCCTGCTCGGACACTCAAAGGGATTACTGAAGGAGCGCTTCCTCAGCATGGCTCTGACCAAGATCTGGAACATCCACAAAGACACACTGCTCACAAACACATGCAACAGTTTCTTGTTGAGCAGAAGCTGCTCCGACTGTTGGAAAAAATCTGTTGGTTTGAAAATTATTCATCAAGCAGATCACAGTTAGTTCAGGCTGAAGGCATCACCTCTCGATCTCTTGAAATAATAAATGGTGCACCCCAGGGCTCAGTCTGGGGACCACTGTTATTTACAACTTGGACAGTATTGTCTACAATGTTCCCTATGCAAATTCTCATTGATATTCAGATAATACTTTATTCACAGCTCCATACCACCAAAATATCAGGCTCTCAGTCACTTACTTACAAATTTTGATCCGTACTAAACACTTTGTGTCAGTTAATCTTTAATCCTGATAACATTTTTATTGTTAAAAAACTTACAGCAGCTAAAGCGTAAATCTATTGCTACATCTGAGGGTGATGTGACTGAGTCTGTTCTTACTACTAGAGATCCTTGATCAGTGACTCCCTGTCCTTTAAGGTTCATAATAAGTAACTTATAAAGAAGTTGAATTCATGACTGGTCTTTAATTTCAGACATGAGTCATGCTTTTTTTTTTTTTTTTTTGCTGCAAACAAAACTTCTTTCATGCTCCTGATTGTTGCATGTATACAGGAATCATCTCAATGACCTCATCGTCTGGATACCATTTCCCATCAGGCTTTGGGGTTCTTAATACATCTTAAGTCCATAACTCATCACTGCTCTCTGAATGCTTGAGTTGGCTGGCCTGCATTATCAACCCGCAGACTAAATCACTGAAATGTCCTCATTCATAAGGCAGCTCTGAACTTTTTCCCCACTTATTTAAGTAATTTCATTCATTTAGAAAAAGCTTAAAGCAACAGTCTTCGCTCTGTCACCCAGTCACATTAATTTCTTTTGCTTTCTGTTCCCAAAGTGAGTCTTGAAATGGGTAAAAGGAGTTTTAGGTATGCTGCTCCTGCAGTCTGTGATCTGCTGCTGTAGCAGATTTAGTCTGATTGAGCTGTTTTCAAAGATACAGAGAGTGCTTGAGATAGATGCATTAGGTTGTAGATGTTTTGACTGATGACTTTTTGTTGAATAATCCAGGACATGTTTACCTGGATCTAAAACTGTTCTGTTGTATGTAGAAAAACTTTGCTACACTGTGCTGATAATTGATAATGAACTTAAACAAGAAACTCTAATAAAAGAGATTTTTACCATCTCGATGAGGCTTTCCCGGTTATTTCCCAGTCTCTGTTATATCGGTCTTAGATTTCAACTTTTCAACTAAATGTCAGAAACTTTCAATCATCTGTTTTCTATGTCTAGTGAGGACAGAATTTAGTACCTGTTTATACACTGTGTGTCAGCTTGCTCAGTATGTGTTGGAGGCTTTTCAGAAGCTTAAAAGGACACTTTATAGTCGGTTGAGTGGTGGTCATTGCTGTGTTTGTGCTGACTTTACGCACAAGTAAAGTAACTGTTCTTTCTTCCTCTCTTTATGTTGTTAATGTAGTCAAGTGTCTTGAAAATCAAAACTGAGCACACTCTTCTTTACACTCTGCAATAAATTAATGTACTATACAAGTTAAAATTGTGCGCAAGTTTAAGCCTCTACACAGGATCATGGTGTCTCCACAACTGCAGTATAAAATCTTTAATACTACAGGCTTTCCTTGTGTTATGTAATAATTATGGAAATCAACTTACTGCTTTTTATCAAACAGTTAAAAAAACCTTAATCTAATCTTTATTAAGTGCTGCTATGCTTGCTGTCCATGTAAATGCCAAAATATTCTGAAAACACTGTCTTCATAACGCTGGATCTTTATCTGCACATTTTGAATATAACAACTGTCTTTTTGTTTTTTTATGAACTCATCATAAGTCATCCATACTAGATGTTTGCCACCTTCAGTAGTATGACGGCTAAACTGAACTTGCTCAGAGTCAATCTACTGGCGGTCTGATGTCCTACAGCTCTTCTCTAAAGCTTTCTAAACTCTGCATATAGTTTTTCCTGCTCGAAATATGTGGACTTGTTTACACCAGGCCTTCAAAATCAGCACTTTTACTTCTCTCAAACATATCAAGATGATGATTGAAATGAAAGTCCTGACTGAGTGCTGTTCTGCTGTGATGTAACTCAAATGTGCATTTTCTGTATCTTGACTTGGGTGTTAACAAGTAAAACTTGGCTAATTTTAAAGGCTTTAAATGTTTGAAACTCCTGGTAAATACAATTTGACAGTGTTTTTAGAGCCAGATAGACAAAAATCCTGTTTTCTCCTCTCAGAGAACTTCTGAAAAAAAAGAGAGCTTTAAAAAAGATACAGGACTGTTGAGTGGCCTCTTTGGAGATTGATGAGGCCTCCTTGTTGAAATGTGGAGATTGATGTGTGTCACTGTGCTTTAATGGCACTGAGGTGAACTGAGGACTGCAGTGGTTTGAGAGTGCACATCAGGTCATGGGCAGACACTGTTGCTTTCTTACCACAGCAGAGAGGCTGGGGACAAACTTGACAGAGTTCTGGATATCCTCCTCCGTCACCTCCACCACAGTGCAGTGCTCCTCCTCCAGGGGCAGAGGGTCGGTGCCTCCCTGGGTCACCCACTGATCCATCTGAACACACACAAGCAATGAAACAGCATGACAACTTTTCTAATATACATACATAATCTACAGTATGATACACATGCAGCTGACAGAACAGTTATCTGAAACTACATCTCGAGTCTCTCAGCTGTGTTCTGTTTATGTTTAAAGCGTTTCAAATGGACGCTGCAGGTGTTATCATGATTGAGCACTTAAACTAACCAGCATACATAACTTAACATTACTATAATTACAGACAATTTCCTTCCCGCCAGGCAGCCATCTGCTCTGATTTATACTCAAACATCACTGCAAACACTTCAAAGTTAAGACACGTAATCTATCACAGTTGTCGGCCAGCCCGAGTTCATCTTTGTTAACTTTACAGCAAGTCTGCTGGCATTGATTTAAAGTTCAAGACTGATGAAATTACATATCTGTCTGTTATTTTCAACTAATACAAAGAACAAAAGCAACAGCCTGTTAGTCTGCCTCCTACTCTGCCAGCCCGTATGTGTCTCTTTGCTCCAGCCAATTCATACCTACTGGAAAAGTTTTTCAAAAACTCCACAAGAAGATTAAAAATCGACTTTAAAAATGGCTTTGTTGTTGTTGTTGTTGTTGTTTTTCCTTAATTCCAAAAATTCCCTCTGCAATTCTCAGAAACTTTTTTCCCCTGCAAAGTTAGTCTTAGGCATTGATACATAGAAGTACTTTCAATTTTTTATCATCATATAATTCTAAGAAAGTGTCGCTTTAAGATAAACAAAGTAATTAAAAAAATCAAACAAGATTTGTTTTGGTCTGCAACAGATAACAGAAGGAAACATTTTTTAATATCTCCTGAAACCTTTCAGAAAGTCTCACATCCAGAGCAACATTTTCTTCAGGGAAACTCAAGGTAAACTTCAAGGAACCAAGAAATACTAATTACACTATATCATACCTTTACTGTTTGTTTCAAAGGTCAGAATTAATCTAAGGGGAAAATGGAGTTGAAGTTGGCAAGAAATGCAGCAAAAACTCCCATTTTTAAATGAGTCATCATGAAAAGAAAATTAAAAAGTGTCAAAAATTTTTGGATGAGACATCACCTTCAAACTGTGCACTTTGGCAGACAGGGCAACAGAACTCCTATTTTTGTATTATTGTTAGATTCAAAAATCAAATAAGAGAGACAGAGTATTGCTTAAATTTTATTTACTTGAATAAAATTGTATTCTTACTTGAATTCAAGTAAGAATTTCAAGTTTAATTTTTAATTTGATTGAAAATCACATTATCTCATGATCCTCACCAAACTCTTTGTCACAGACCTGTAGACCTAAGGAGACCAACTTTAACAACTATCAGAGAGCACTTTGAAAAAGGTAAGATTAAAAACAGTCTTTAAACAGACAGACTCGGACAGACAGTCCGTAAAATATTATCTACATATACAAAGTAAATTAAAGTATCATACAGGAAAAACAGTTTATCCAAAGTTACTATTATCTTTAAGGTACTTCAAAGTTGCAGGCAAACTCCATAAAAAGCCTTTGAGGATTCTGATCCCTTAAAATACATAAACTGGTGTCAAGACTTACAAGCAGGGGTAAAATACATAACATGGTATAAAATTCATTATTTGTAACAAAAATTTTAGTCACCCTTATGGAGTGTGTTGTAACAAAAAAAAAAAACAAACAAAAAAAAAACACAACTTTGGTTATCCATGTTTGGTGTGCCTGAAGAAACCTCAATTTGATAATTCACATAAAACAACAAGATAGCTACTGGCAGCCTGTTGCAACACAGGCAAAAATGTAGATCTTGACCCAAGAGTTTGACCTAAGCCTCTAACAGGGCTACTATCAAATCGAAGTTAAGGATTTTTGGGCAGTGGAAAATCAGATGATCAGACATTGATAAAAGAGATAATAACTTTAGAAACAATATGATAATGATCAAAATATGCCCTGTAACTATGGTTATTTTGAAAACAACCATAATTATAATGAAAGAAGTCTTTTCATAATTTTGATTGTAAGTCATATCTTGTACAGGAATACCTATAATAGGTATAACTAGTCTTGCAGCTCTTCCTATTAAGAGATGTGTGCTAGTATGTTTGTATTTGAGCACACATATACACACACAATGCATGACAGCCTAATTATCTCTGCTCTATGAACACAAACAGAATCCCTGGTGAAAAAAATGACTCACTGACATGTTATTAGATTGTGTCATGGAAACTTAGCAGGATAGGGCGAACACTGTGGGTCCAGCTGGTCCTGGGCCTGTTCTGCTGATTTAGCTCAGTTCTCTATGGAGTCAGACAGGTTTCATCATGCCCTATAGCTACACAGCACTTCTAATGATCCCCATAGTGAGGTCAGAGTCCTGTCGGCCAATCACAGTGGGGAAAAGCTCAGTTATGTTGTGTCTGAACACGGACCATGAGAGGCTTGTTATGATCAGCTGCCTGTTAGCCTGAACAATAAGTGACTAACACTGACCTCTCCTCTCTGTTATCTTTCTTACCTTGATCTCAGGAATGGTGATCCTGCTGTCTGGGTTCTTGTCAAGCATTCGCAGGATCAGAGTCCGCAGCTCCTCACTGATCTTTGGCCTGAGGAAACACCAGATAATGATCCAGGAAAATGTTTTCTTGTTTGTGCATTATGTTTTCTGGCGACACTGCAGCCTTTGATTTATAGCAGCAGAAAGATGTAGAATCAAAGAGTGGATATGATTTCTCAGATTCTTGCTTTACAAGATTTTGAAGGCCGTAGAAAGAAAGACCAAGGACACGATAATTAATTATCACTCCTTTGCAGTTCTCTGTCGTGTGGATGTTTTGCTGCCAGACAGAATAAACAGATCTTCTTTTCTCACCTCTGTGAGCATGCCTGTCACTTACCATCCTTCAGACCACAGAGGAGTGTTTGCTCATCTTAGCAGCAACACAAGTGACACTGAGGATGATGACCCATGGGTAATTTGGGTGTCTGTGCTCCTTTTGAGCCTAACTAGCAAAACTCAACTCTGCAGAAAAACCCCACTGGTTTCAGCTGAGAGGTATAAGAGCCATGTGTTAATCTCTACTCTTGTTTCACAAATCTCAGCACACACTTCTTTCATTTGTGCATACTGATTTTGACTAATTTCCATTCTGCAGGCATAGTTCTGTAAACTGTGGCCAGAGATTTGTAAACTGTGAAACATTTCCACTGCGACTACATCCATCAAGTGAGTCCAATTTATGAGGAGTCGAGAGCAGATTTTAACTGTAATAAAATCCAGATAACCTTGATTTTGACCTATCCCACATATAGCACACAAACAGACATGGATTACTAATCTGTGTGCGCATGCTTTGCTTTGCTGAACTGTCTTCTTCATCAACAACATTTCTCTCTCCAGGCCTCTTGGATCTTCAGACATGGGGCTCCTGGTAGAGGTGAATTTTTTGCTGGTAAGGCCCCTCAGCCTTTCGTCCTTAATCAATCTTTCAACGCTAGCCTCAAAAAACATACTTTTAGATGCATGTGTGTGAGTCCCCTTGCCCTAAATAGTTGGCGTGTTTCCCATATTATACTGTATTTTGTGTAGTTCATACTGTCTTATACTGTATGTCTACATACTTGCTTTGGTTTTTTTTATATCGTTTCTTTTGTGCACTGTGCAGCTCTTTGCTTTGGTTCTTCTGTTTTGAAATGGGTAAGTAAAGTTGCTAATCTGTCAACCGTTTCAGATATCAACAAAGAAGTCACTGGTGTCCAATAAGAATAGGAAGAAGAAGAAGAAGAAGAAGAAGAAGAAGAAGAAGAAGAAGAAGAAGAAGAAAAGGAAGAAGAAGAAGAAGAAGAAGAGGAAGAAGGAGAAGAAGAGGAAGAAGAAGAAGAAGAACAAGAAGAAGAAGAAGAAGAAGAAGAAGAAGAAGAAGAAGAAGAAGAAGAAGAAGAAGAAGAAGAAGAAGAAGAAGAAGAAGAAGAAGAAGAAGAAGAAGAAGAAGAAGAAGAAGAAGAAGAAGAAGAAGAAGGAGGAGAACAAGAAAAACAAGAAGAACAAGAAGAGGAACTTCAATGATCCCCGAAGGGTAATGCATTAGTGGGGGAAATTCTGGTGTTAAACAATTAAGCTATTATGGATGTGCTAACAACCTGTAGTTCTTAAAGTGGCCACTGGAGGCTGGCTTCAAATGCAAAACAATCCCCATCAGGTACCATATTAAAATATCTTTTTTTTGTCATGAAATGAACATGTTTACAGCCTGGTAAATAAAGTACTTTCTTTTAAAACACTACACCTTACTCATTCATTTGCACTTCTTGGGATCTGTATCAGAGTCTAATGTTTTTATCTGTTTGAGAACATAAAGACTGAGTGTTTTACATAATCATAAACAAGAAGGGTGCGTCTAAGGTGACTGACAGCTAGGCTCGCTGTGGCTGTTTGCCAAAAGGCTCAAAGCCTGACTCAGCTCTATTTCTCTGCTGTCTCTGCACTAGCTGGGTGTTTGGTTGAACTAACATTTCCAACATTGCAACGTACACTGATAACGCATCTTCAGAAACAACAGGGTTTCTCCATCCATATTTGATGTTTGTGTTTATTTTAAGTAAGGAGTTTCATTTTGCATTTACTAAGTTAATGGTTTAACAGGCTACAGCCTTGTTTATATTAAATACAGACATTTTTGTTACAGTATAAGCAACCCTCCTTTCTGTGAGATGTCAGATTGTGATGCAAAGTTCATATTTATACATTTTTACCATCATCACTGTGTTCATAGTGTGAAACAGGTAAAATACATGTTTGCCACTTTACCATAGTGTCTCTTTTTGCTGATTATTTGAATGTTAGTGACCCAGAGTAAGATACACAGAAAGATATAAATGAATCAGGCAGCACAGCGAGCTCATATATATATTTGATAAAGTGTGGTGGCATAAATTTTGGATTTTCTCAAAGTTAATAGTGAATTTTTGTTATGTGTGAAGTTTATGAGGATGCAATAAAAAGGTCCTTAAAATTCCTGTGTCCAATAAAAAGTTTGTGAAATTAAACAGGAAACTATTAAATAAAGAAAAGAATGAATGGATCATTAAATAATTCATATCTCAGTAAATGAGATTATTTGATCTCAGCTGTTTCTCTTTATGACAGTGGAAACACTAAATGAAACATGCGAGGTGTAATGGGTCCATCAGAGCAGACAACAAGGTGCTGCTCCTGTCACTGATTGGTTCAGTGCGGAGATGATGGTGTTAGCGGCTGTGATATTCTGCTCAGTTTAATGAACGAGCCCCTCACACAGACACGGACCCTCTCCAGCCCACAGGGTGAAGACACTCATTATTAACTATATAACACCCTGTCCTGACCCTGACACACTCACACTCCGTCTAATAGCTCCTTCACATGTGACAGTCTGTACTTCTCCAGTTTGCTGCTGCTGCAGTCTGTCACCACTGCTGGCGTCTTCAGTGCTGTCACATGTTCTCTCACCATCTTTGCACGATATTTACCCAAGAAGACCTCTGTGTTTTTCCTCAACCTTTACCACAAAGATAAGGTTTGCATGTGTCTAGAAAACTGATGCCCTCATTTTGTTTGACAATTCTTATTTTGATTCAATGAAGGTGAAATTTCCTGTGTGTAGAAAAAAAGCTGCTGCATCAAGCTGTCTATACTTTTGCAGAAGCAATTAGTGACAGTAAAAAAGAGAAAAATGGTTTCGTGACTGAGATGAGATGAATAGATGGAAAATGGAGCAGTTATTACAGCTGCTGTAGAAAGGAGGAGGCTGTGCTATCTCTTTTATTGAAGCAGAGGAGAGAAAAGAAGATGGACTTACGTTTCTGGGAAATCCACAAGCTTGGTCCTTATCTTGTTGTGCAAAGCCAATATGTACTCGTCAATAAATGGGCACTGCAGGAGAAGTAGAGGAAAAATACAAAAAGGGAACAGTGAATTGTACTGAGCTGGAAAATATGCATCCCTGAAGAATGCCAAGAAAAATGAGAACAGCAAAACCAAAAATGTAACATTTATAGTGTCACAAACTAGATATAGCAGGCACCAAGCTACATGTGATTTAACCAGGAGTTTGATTAGATTTTGCAAAAGACTTTGGAGTTGTTCAAATACATTTGCATATCTATTTAAGTTGCACCCCTGCTATTTTTTCATGCATTTAAAGCTATGATTGACCATTTTTAGGAGTCAGGATGAGATTTTAAACAAATGTACAGGGCAAAATTTGAAAAGAGATCAAATGTACAGCCCTGTCCACAGAGGTTGCCAAAACTGACACAGAGTAAAGTTTCTTGAGCTTGGCACACACTGTGTGTGACTGAATAAATGCTTTTCACACTGTAAGAGTGAATCATTTATGACAACAAGGAGGAAAGCTCATGAATTATGTGTTCACACTGTATAATCCCATCATCAAGCAGGACTTTAGAGCTTACACAGCGCATGTCAAATCGGGACAGAGCATTGACAATTGTCAGTTAAGTTTCCTCTGAAACCCCCCAGAGACAGAAGCTGTGGGCAGGGGATACCAGTGTGAAGCACTAGAGTCAGCTCTCTAACATGCCAACAAAAGCTAATAATGTAGAAGCTTCATAAAAGCTGAATATATGGTTAAGCTGCTGTATTGGGTTGTGCACAAAGACGGTTTATAGAAGAGACACCGTCTGCCACCTCGCTGGGTAAAGCACCCTCTGGTGACGGGCTGCAGGTCATAAATCCCTCCGGCACTCCCTATGGAGTTGTGGACAAACTTTAGAAATTTATTACACAGAATATAAATTTTTCTCCCCCCTGGTTGCGATGTTGCACGTAGCTACTAAAAGACTGTTTTGTACTCAAGTCCTCTTTTTTCTGTACAGCTCCATTTTTAAAAGTTATTAGGGGGTTCATGTTTTCTATGATTGACACTTGATACAGCCTATGGGCGTACAAAGATTCCGTAGCTCACCCGGGGGCTATGCTGTTTGAGCTGAGCATCATCACAGCGACTCTCCTGCCGAATGTGTACAATGCTACTGCTCAAATGGCGGAGTGTGTACAAGGCTACTGCGCAATGTTGGTTTCAGGAGGTGGAGAAAAAACCTGGAAATACCGAGAGCTTTTCGGCTTCAAATCCATATACTGGCGGAAGGCGGAACCAAGTTGTCCAAATTTTATACAGTCTATGGTTGCACAAGACTGTGATGATGAAAGTGTTATGGCTGGCTTATCTGTACGTATTTCAGTCTTCTAATCACACGTATGAATATGATGTGTTTCTACAGAGTCCGTTTTCATTTAAATACTGCAATTTAAAGACAATGGTTTCCAATGATGTGCATCATATGTTGATAAGACTTATCTTGCTATAACTTTAAAGCACATGCTTATTGTGACATTTTTCTATTTTTCTGAGTAGTTACAGTTAACTAGACTCACTCTCTTTTCAGTGAAGCTTTGCTGAAGTTGAATCTTCCTGGTAGCTTTTTAAAACTTTGCACTTAAAGTACTTTCCCAAACACTGGCTGTGACAAATAGAAAAGCCTGTGATAGACAGTGTTCCCACTTAAATGTCACTGTGTACTGTTAACGAGCACGGCTGTCTCTGAAATGAGCATTTTTCCCAGCTGTCACTGTTACCTTTTGTGAACCAGAAGCTGATAAATGACTTCAAGACAGAGAATGTGCTGACTCACCTTCCCAAAGACGAAGCAGTAGAGGGTAACTCCCATGGCCCAAACATCCAGCGCCTTTAAAACGGGGACAAAAGTGACATTCAATGTGACATGATGAAGGCAAACAGACATTTAAGAAACACACTGTAGTGATCCAAACACCTACATGCACAAACAAACACTGTGACCTTAATCGCTGCAGACTGCCTGGAGAGATTTATGGTGCATTAAAGGTTATTTTTTTTCAGGGATGTGTGCCATCAGATACCTTGTAGATGGATGTGTGTGATCAGATAGCAGAGACACCGCAGCTATCCATCAGGGCTCTTTGTCTCCTCTCAGCCTCTTTCTTTCTCTGTGAATAGCTCCTCTAGAAATCCATTTCTATTCCCTGATAGATATGAAATGACAAAACCAGCCCTCTGAACCTCGGAAATCTATCTCAGAGCCACAGACATGTGTTACCAGGCACAACACTCGATGACTAACATGTACTAACGGTTTGATGTAGAGCAGGGACTGAAAACTGAGGGGGTTCAAGTAACATATGAGTGTCTGATTTTCAGCATTTTACTGTTAAGTGGTGGAAAAAGTACATATATATTCTTCACACAAGTAGAGCAGTTCAGCACTTTCACTGAGAAAAATGAAAAAGAACAGGCTCTTAAATGTATTCATGGGGGAAAAAAGTTAAAGTAGCTCTCTGAGAGGACATTTTTACCAGCTGTTTCAGTGCAAAGCTGACTGAACCTCACATCAATTCAATCATTCTGTATTCAAAATACAATGAAAACATTAAACTGTGCAAGTGCAAAAATGTGTTTGTATGAGGAATGTCTTGTTTCTTCTTGCTGTCACTTGCATCATACTGGACATTTCCACTTTGAGGTGAAACCCCTCTCATGCCTCACACCCTCTCATGGAGGGCGTCTGGACAAGTCTTGTATAAAGATCACTTCGTGTCACGACTCTAGAGGGTCTGCAGAGGAATTTTGTTACATCCTTTGAGACAGAAACTGGTCCTTCAGTTGTGGACATGGCACACAAAATGACAATTTAATATGAGGAAGGGATGATGTATATGAAACAAAATCCCAGTAGGGTGAGTTGGACCTTAATGCCCAAGTACAAAAGTTGACAATTGAGCTGTCAACTTCAAGTTTGATCAAAATGACACGCTGGTGTTTGAAAGTACTCGAATACATGTGCTCAAAAGTTAAATAAGTTTACATTTAATGGAATATCCTAATAATTTCTTTGTTTTGCATTACTTCAACAATGTCAGCTTGTGTGACCAAAACAATGAAAAACTCACAATCGATTTTCTAGAACTGAGTTGTAAAATATACTTAAGATACAACAACTAAAAACACCAGCACCTAATTCCTTGAATAGTTGAAAAACCCAAAAAAGTTGTGGATGATGCCAATCTTTGGTAAACTGCTTTTGGTCCTTGACGGCAACCATTGCCTCAGTTACAGAAGACGTTGGCCAGGAAGTGCGACATTGTAGAACATTACAGCAAGATGTTATCTAAATATCCACATTATACTCAAACAATATTCACATCAAACCAGAAGCTCCAAACAGTTCACAAAAAATACAATAATACAAAATACTGTCATACAAGTGAGCCCACTCACTGAATGCAGCTTTAATTGCTACACACCTCCTCTTTTTATGCAGAATAATATTACTACATTAATTTACTGAGGTCAGGAGTGTCATACAACGGTCAGGTAACGTTGAGTTGACCCTCTGCTGGATCAAACAGGAAGTTGCATTGGGCTTACCACTGTTCAAATATGACCCCACCCTTAAGTTCAACTTTTTGAATAAAAAGTGATAGCCCTAGTTAACACAAGATATTGATTCAAAGTGATTGAGCCCCCCGTATTCTACAGCTGGTAAAGATATCATAGCAAAAATTCATATCAGCCTACTTGTGGGATGAATTACTGTCTCCACACACCAAGTGCCATTAAATTCATTTGCGCGACTGAATTATATGTTAAGTCAATGCAAAGACATGATTAGACGCTAGTACTACTCTGGCAGTGTGAATGGCGCAATGAATTGGGCATGAGTTGAAAATGTCTCAACTTGAGCAGATATGCGTGTCGCAATAACTAATCAGCACGAAAGTTGCTGGGTGATGTATGGAAACAGACGGTTCTTCACTGGTATCTAAAACGGAAGACAAACTGATTGTGTCTGTGTATGGGTGCCCCGAATTATATGATACCTTTTCTTTCAATTACCGAAACTGGAATAAAAAGAAGCTCACCTGAAGGCAAGTGAGTGAGGAGGTCTGATTACCTGGTAAATTGTCAAAAACCTTTGTATATCATTTGATCCTGCTGGTTGAATTGACAGGAATTGCCCTTAAAATTACCGTTGACGCATAAATGTAGTGAGTAAATACTATTTATTCACACGTCTAGATCCGCGCGTATTAAGTGAGTAGATGATTTTATTTGCGGTTGGTGTGAGCGCCCCATTATACTACAGTCAACAGGCAGAGGTGGAGTAAGCCATGACAGTGTTTCTGGTTTAACTGGTATGATGTGTGTGATCAGGTTGTTTCTGGGGTTGCTGTTGCTGCCAGAGTCAATCACTGTTGTTAAAGGATTTGATCAATCACAGTCAAGTATTTAATATAGCTGAGTGATAACATCTCTTATATGCATTACTACTAAATTGGTGAGACATCCTCTAAATGTACTAAGTGGGACAAAAGGGTAAAAGAACAAACTTTTGGAAAGTGTACACTCAAGCTAAATGTAGACACCTGAAAACTCCACAAACTTCAGTACATTATCAAAGTTTTTTTCAGATACTAACTTCCCACTCTGCAGCTGATTTACACCCACATCACAAATGTCAGTGAATATAAAAACCCACTTGGGCATTATTCTTGAACAAATTACAGAATCAGGAAGAATGCATCACTAATCAGAGAAAAATGTGCTGGTAGGTTGACTGCATATATTTCCTGAAAGCTCAAGGAAACGTCAGGTTGAAGCACTTGAACACCTCTTAAATTCTTTCTGAATGCAATCAGATTTTCTTCACTGACCCTCCTTTGAAAGCCACAATGTTTTTCCTTGAGTGGATCTATCAGTTCTACCATAAGAGCCACTAAGGGAAGAACATGTAGTTATATGAAACATTTTGTAAATAAAAAGGATGTGTTGAGCCTTGAGGCCTGAAAACATGGCAGTTTCTTGCTGTTAAGTGTCCATGAATCAATTATTAGTCAGGCTTGATCCACAAGCCTCAAAAGATGTTTAATTATGCAGGAATTATGAAGGAAGCGCGCCCAGTATGGAGGCAGGTGGTCGTCAATCCAATCATTAAGGAGAGGTGGTGTTATCCTTGACTGATTATTGCTTGACTGTACAAATAGAAGCAGCTTAATAATGGGAAGCATTCATGAATCAATATCTGCTGTTAAAAATCAATAGAACACTTCCATTTCTCAACTCTGGCAATGATGTTCCTATCAGCTGTTTTAATGGCTTAAAAGCAATAAATACCAGCCAATACACAGGGGAAAAGACTGACAACGACATCTTGGGGCTAGGGTTAGCAGGCTGGCAAAGGTCTGTAAACTCATCTTGGTTAAACAGTTTTAATTTCAAGTTGAGAGTCGATGATCTAAATGATTTCAAACAGCTAAATAAAAGCAGTCGCTGCCCTGAGCTCGGGGCAGCAGCTGCTTTAATCACAGGGCCCGGCTGATTACAAAGGAATAATGCGGCTTTGAAAGTGCATTTTTGGTCATCCTGGTTGGTAAGACAGCATATCTGATTTTGAATATCATACGGTACATTTTGTTATGTTTATGCAATTTCAATTTTACATTCAAGGATGAAGGTTGTAAAAAGTTACTCCTAATTTTTTAGCATTAAAAATAGTTAGAAAATCTTTTCAGTCATTGAAAAAGCTAAAATAATCAGCACCTTGAGACTTTTTGGATTACATAAATTTTATATTGACTGAAACCCCAAATTAAATTTACCTTTTTTTATTTCACTGTGATTTATATGATTTATTCTATGTTGTTCATATTTTGGTAGACAATTTGATTATTTTTGGTTGTTAGATCCTCATTTTTGTCATCTAAATATGCTGCTTGGTGTAATTTGTAAATAGTCCAACATTTTATATACATAATAAAAAATAAAATATTAATAAAAAAAATAACAATAAAAGTAATAATAGAAAATAAAAATAAAAAAGTAAATAATAAAATGATTAAGACCATGGGGGAAAAAACATGATATAATTATTCCTGACAAGGTAATCCAGCAACTTTTGTCCCAACTTTTCACATAACACTGTACAATTATTAAAAAATATATATATTTTCTGATTAAATCCAGATTACTACTGCTTGAAGTAGGACGACATGCCAAATATTTTGACCACAGGGGGTGCCAAATCCAAACAAACTGAAAAATCCAGAAACACTTCATATGACCCCCACCTCTTATCCTTAGCACAACTGTAAAGCCATATAAATACTGAACTCTGAACCCAGCTCTTATAATTAATCATAAACACATGTATGTAGCCTTATAAATGTACAATGAGATGAGTGGGAGATGACATGAAGCAAAACCATCATCTGCTGCAACCAGGGCTCTGTCCAAAAACCACACCTTCACCACTGAGCTGAACGGGAACCCCGACTTTTTAAAATATTTAAGTATACACGCAGCATAAACTCACTTTTCCACTGAAGCTCTTTCGTGTGTCTGACAGCGTCTCTGGTGCCATGAAAGCAGGAGTGCCAGCAGTGCCGGACAGCAGAGCGTCGTTTCCCTCAAATTGGTTGCTGACCCCAAAGTCTGCTATCTTTACATGACCATCATCCCCCAGTAACAAGTTAGACGGCTTGATGTCCCGGTGGACGATCTTTTGGTAGTGCACTGGGAAGAGATAGAGAGAAAAAGAACAACAGCTCCCTTAAACAAGACAAAACAACCTCTAATCACTTTTACTATTTAACCATTAACAGCAGAAACTAGTTGGAGAAGAGCAAAGGACTATCTCTGGTGAATTTGGAAGGTTTATCTTCTGGAGAGATGAGTAGAAATTATTTGTTTTTTTTCTTGTAACTGTCCTCTGTTGACTATAATAGATGAAAATTATTTTATGAAAACTGCTCCAAAAAAAAACCCCCAAAATACATGGAGAGAATATGCTTTAATCTTTCAGATAATATCACAAGGGAGATACTTCTAAAAGCAATACCTGCACAGTAATAAGCACTATCACATTATTCCGTGTTAGTTTCCACTTTCTACCAGCTCCACTGAAACAATCAGCTCCACTTTGAAGCTTTTTTGCTGTGTGTGCCTGGAAATTGCCATAGACGCCTAATCTGTTTATTTACCTGGATATTGTCATTTATTATACAAGCAGTTATGAAATCATTCCCTCTCTTTGACAGACAGAGCCAAATACGCATACAGCGTACACCTTGAAGGCTTAAGCTTGGATTATTGAACAGAAACAAATCCTTTCAAAATCTGAAATCCTGTCCGAGCTTGGATTGAGGTAGTGTATCAGTATATATTCATGCTTCTCTGTCTTTTTTGAATCCTCATACTCGGTCTTTCACAGTTCACGGGTGTTACATTTCTCTTTCAGACTTGCACCTTTAACAAGGAGAGATGGAAACAGAAGGAGCAGTGTTGCATGTTTAGTCATGAGGCTCACCTTCAGCTCTTGTTACATTATTTTAAATGTCAGGTCACAGAACATTTTAACATCGGCTCTACCTTCTGCTCACAAGAACTTTAAACCTTTATTCAAAACAGCATATATACCTAGGTGAGACAGCTCTAGGTGAGAGCTATTGTGGAAACTTCAGTACTATAAATCCTGTGAACTTGTACTAAAAGTTGAGTACATCTTAAACTCTGAGCTCTTAACAGCCATCTGTGTCTGATCTCTGCTCTCTTCACAGATTAAATAAGCGGTGCTTCCTTATCTGAGGAGATTGCAAAGATGAGGCACTCTACTTATCAAAGCCTGTCGATTTAACATAATTAGCTCAATTATTCCTCATATTAAGAACACATCACTGGGCTGCACAAGGACTGCTGATATTGAAGAGGACACTCCTTTTTTTTAACATGTGGAAATTAACACTGATGGTTCCATTTTTCTAATAGATCTCTCAATCCTTAACACCCCTATAAAGTCCCTAAAACTGTCTACCAGGGTGACGCTGGTTGAATTTGTTTATCCCAACTAAAAAAGACTTTTTCCTGCCATCTCTCTCAAACAGTCTTCATGTTAAGCGAGCAAAAACTGAAAGCAGCAGAACAGTTCCGGACAAGTGGACAGAAAGCTGAAATTATTCACATAGTGTGGATTTTCCCTGCTTTGTAGTCTTTGCTCACCTTATTTGCCTGTATATAGTTTTCTGCTTGTTTTTGCATGTTTAGCGATGCAATTTACACAGGATCAGTCAGCAGAACAAAATAAGTCTCACGCTTCCCATATGTCTTCCTCACCTAAATCACAATGGTGACTGAAGTTCATGAGTAAAAGGCAAATCGTGAAACTCCAGGAGTTCATATGTGGAAAAAAAGGAAAACCCAAGTCTTCCTCTATTATCACTTTAGCTAACACACACAAACTAAAGGAGGTTTTCACTTTGAGGTTTATAACACTGTAGTTATTACATCAGTATCCATGTGTACATCCTTTGGTTGTCTAAGAGGTTTTTTTGTGGCATTTACCATTTAAGACATCTGTTGATCTTCCTTTATAATGACACCCTGAGCACTGACTTGGATGTTGACAATGAAACTTGGTTAAAAAAAAAAAAAAAAATGAGTTTGTGTTTAAAAATGAGGGCTGTCGCTGAAAATGTAAAGCCTACCTGTAAAGCCAATGTAACACCTACAGGACCTAAACTGTCTTGGTTGCAACCAGTAGACTTATGGTGTTTTAGACACATCATTGTGTCCAAAGACCCATTTTTGTTTTTTACTTTTGATAAATTGTTAAACTTAGGGTTGAGAAAAAGGACGGAAATGGAAGAAGATAAGATAAGGAATACACAGACACCTTGGAGGTGCAGTCCCGAACAAAGCAGCAGGCTAACACTTAACGCTGATGTACTTGATTGATACCTACTGAATATCCTGATATCATGAGACCCTTGTGGCTGACAGAGACTAGAGAAAGTCTTGAATCCAGTTGGAGCGGGTATGAATTAAGCTCAAGCTCTTCAGTTTTTTTGATGTGACTGTAATGCACTGCTTAATTGTACTGTAATCTCAGCCAATACACAAGACTTAATTTGAAAAGAGCCTATGTGCAGATGCAAATAACATGGTGAAATCTGGTCAAAACATAGATTATTCATCAAAGTCTTCATAACTTCAGTGTAAGGACTTACAATTTGAGCCAAATTTGAGCATTGTTTTTCAATATCTATCTTAAACATTCAGCTCCACCACCTTTACTAGCATCCACCTAGAGGTTCCAGCTAAGGTGTTTAAGATATCATCTCATGCTCAAATTCAATCTGTTCATCCATTTGCTTTTGCTTATCTGGGATCAGGTCACAGAGGTGAGGCATCAGTCAAAGCAAGTAGTCCCAAATCTCCCTTTCCCCAGCAGTGATTTCCAGCTCTGTTTTTGACTGTTTGTATCTGTAATCTCATGCTTTTGTTCACCACCCAGGGCTCATGACCATCAAAGTTTTTTATGATAAATAAATCTGCGAGGAGTGCTGAGGTCGAAGTCTAGACACTTTTTACAAAGTCTGCTGCTGCAACAAAGTTTCAACCATTATAATGAGAGCTGTTTGACCTAAATACAGATTATCTAGACCTCACACCACACATCAAAAATGACAACTAAAATATGACTGTGCATGACTCAGGGAGATCTGTAGACTGATAAATGATGTTGCATTGGTTAATGGTGCATGTTGGTATTACTGCCTGAGCTACATTAGCATGAGAACTCAGCTTTCTTGGTAAATTGAACATGCAAAAAGCAATCTATAGCATTGATTGATGCAGATTTTAATCCATTTTGATTTAAACCTGCAGGAAAATTAATGGGGGTTATCCTCAACATCGGTCAGTGAACAATCTTATAATTTAATGTATAAAATCCTAACATTGAGAGGCGTTTCAAATTATATTTTCTAAAGTTAACAGAACATAAAGCATTAAATGAATGTTTTCCAGTTATCTGTATGACAGTTTTGGCTCAGTGTTCTATGAATACTAGTCTGAAGGTGTTTTCTCCACTGGGTCTGCTATTAGAGCAAAGATGTTTATCTGCTCTGTTAAATTGAGCAGAAAATGCAGCAGACAGGATCTGGGACCTGTGACTCAGGAGATTTAGGTGCTTAAAAGTGAAATGAGGCTACTTAATTGGAATATGTTATTTTTATGAAAGAAAGAATAATAGTGATGTAACAATACGAAATTGTTACATGAGGTCTATAGAGTAGTTAGTAGGTGCATTGGTTTTTGGAGAGTCTCTATGGCCTTATTTTGAAGATGGAGCTCAAAGCACAGAAAGAGCAGCATTGATCTCTAATCATTAGTCTCATGGCTCAGTGAAATGGAGCTAGTGCAGCAAATGAGGACACAGCTTGAGGAAAGCGTTTCAGTGAAGAGTGGCTCGACACTGATGAAGTGGACAGCACACATCTACAGTCAGACCCTGAGGGCCTTGGAAACACAGGGTCAAGAACACTTTGTTCTATTTAAAAGGAAACACTATCATATCATGCCACGTGGATTAAAGAGCTGTGAGAGAGACACAGAGGATAATAGTGGAAAAGACAAGAATTCACACTCTCACTGACACTGTGGAGACCATCATGGGTATATCTTAAAAATCTTTCTGGTCTGTGGAAAATGGACTGAGCTGCTTATAGCTTTCTGAAGTGGGAGTGTGAGAACTGAAGCTCTAAATCATCAAAAATAAATGTCAGTGAAAGGTTTTGTAGGTGTGCTTAACAGTCTCAGAGACAGCCCTCATTCTGCATGAATTACTCACAGTACTCTATGCCCAGGATGACGTCTCTGAAGTATAACCTGGCCTGCTCCTCTGACAGAGGATTGTCTGTGGGCACTTCCATCACTGGACTGGAAATCCATGCGGGCAGATCAGTCAGGCAGAAACACACAAAGAAAGAGAGGCAGTGAGACAAATACACACATCAGTCGCAGAGAAACTAGATTTCAGATGCAGAGGCTTAGAAAACTCTGATCCAACATTTCTCAAACTCAAATTTCAGTTTTGGTTTTATTTCATTTCGATCTAAACACCAACAGCACTAGAAGCAGCTTTGTTTTTTGTTTGGATTAGTTTACACCCACATCATCACTATTGTGCTGATTTAAAAGACAGCCTCACTTCTGCAAGATGATGAAGTGTTTTTACTCATCTTACATTATTTCTACACATAGCTTTTCCAATAAACAATACAAAACAAAAACAGATTTCAGGACCTGGATTCACGACTGAATTTTTTAGTGCTGATTTAGGAGCACATGGAGGTACATGGTCCATATACAGTCAATAGGACTATCTAAATGTTAGTAATATAATGATTATAGAGCTGAGCCTAATTGTGGAAGAATCTGGTGCATTAATAAAACTGCACTCTTAAAACTGCTGGGCTAAGTAACCAGGCTAACCAAGATGTGCTAAATATCTGATCCAGATGCTGGTTTATTTCGATAAAAATCTAGGTTTATCATAAGTTTATTTTGATTTTTTCTTACAGTTTAATGTAAAAAAAAAAACAGTAATTCAACATAGTACACCAATCACCACCAATGTTGGGGAGAGCTGAGGGAAGCAGTTCCTGGAGTTGTAAAACAAAATGTTATCTTAGTCTGGCCTGAAGTGGGATTTTAGCAGCCCAACAGTTCAGGGTCTCTTTTGTAGAAATGTTGCCAAATGTTTTCAAAAAGTGGCAATGCAGGCAGGACAGTTTAGCATCTGTACCTTGCTACTACAGAGCCATGCTGTTGAAATGTGTGCAGACAGTGGAAATATTATGTGGAGGATAATTTTAAATTCGGATCTATATCTACTTCTGGTAGACTCAACCTCTCTTGAATGTCCTTGTCATCCAGCCCTTTTTTTGTGTTAAATTGTCCCTGTCCACTTATTTGGCAACATGATACTGACATTAACTCAAGATAGTGTTTCCTCAGTCATCTGTGGCAAGTTGGTCTTTTGTGTGTGTGTGTGTGTGTGTGTGTGTGTGTGTGTGTGTGTGTATCTGAGTGTGTGAGCATGTGCTGTATGTGTTGAATTGGGGGGTGGGTGAGGTTCTGTATTTGTACTTTTATTTATTTTATTTCATTTTATTTTTTATATCCTGCTTGAATGGACTACGGAGCCTGGGAGGTGACTGAAACTTTAGTATCTCAAACGTGTGTTTTATCAAATCTCATACGTGCATTTTATTAGTATCTTGCACATGCGTTTTTGTAAATAATCCTCCTTGCGCCTCATTTGTGAGAGAAGAAGGACAGTGTCATGGACAGAGAGCATATTATCAACATTTTATTTAATTTAGGCATGACTCACGAAGTGACACTTCATAGTTTAGCCACATTTGGTACTGTTTAGAGTACAAAACACAAAAAGTGTTTGTTTTTTTTAAAGAACAGTTGAAAAGCACCTGCGATATGATAAAATGCACGTGTTACTAAATACTAGATACTAAATCACACATAAGAATAATAAAAAAAAAAAAAGGTTAATGTCACCTCCCAGGCTCTGTAATGGACAGCACTTTGTGCTAAATTATGTGTATGAAAAGGGTATGAATTTTGATTGATTGACTGATTGATTGATTAAATTCAACACATATACATTTTTTCATAAAACAATGATAAATTTCAGTTTCAAGTTTTAACGTGTTATCTTTGCTCTATTTTAGCCGTGGATATTTATCATCCAAAAAGCCAAAACATCACCCGTCTAATTGTACAGGAATATTATCTGTAGCTGTGTACAAGTAGGCGGTATGCAGCCATAGTAGACTTTTATGTTAAGTAGCATCTGAATGAGGCAGCTGTTCTGCTTTAATCAGCATGACTGTCTATCATCTTCTCCCAGGAGCAACATGAGAGTCAAGGTTTTCTCTCGTTCTGAAAAAGCTTACAAATAGAGCAAACCTCCCATTTAAAAGGAGAACCTAACTCATTCATGCTCGCATACGTAATGATGTCAGAGGCCCCCTCCCCCCGCCAGGGGCTCAGAATAACAAAAGGTGCATGATTATTAGATGATAACAGATTTTTGAGAGATGTGGGAAGGAGAAGCTCATGCAACAAGATGTGAAACATCTACACGGCCGACTGCCATAGTTAATAACTGTGAAAACCTAAGAACATTACCGAAGCCTTTGAAGCCTGGGATGAAACTGAAACCAGCACGGTGTCAGCTCCAAGTAATGAAGGAGAGGAGGATGATGAAGGAGAGGAGGAGGATGAAATGAAGGGGTGAAGGTAGACGAACATGAGTGAGTGAGCGAGCCTTAAATTATAAAGAAAAAGGACATGCTCTCTACTCACCCTTTACGCATCAGCTCAAAAACTGTCAGAAAAGGGAGGAAGAGGGACACAGAAGCAGACAATTTATTCATCCGTTTTATTCATCCAAGTTTGACTGTTGTTAAAATCACATTATTCTTTACAACAGCACTAAAATAACTCCTCTTAACTAGCTCGAAATGTCACATTCAACATATAAAATGTTTGACGTCTCACACTAACAGGCATCCTTACTGTGACCTAACTCTGCTGACAGAGGATCTCTGCATAATGTGCGAGCCCTGAGGTGATTATTCGAGAGACGGTCTGAATTATGAATAAGTTATACCAACATTTGTCCCTGCCGTATGTGCCACAGAGGGCAAAAACAGAGAGGCAGACTTGGACAAAGAAAGAATAGTTGTGACATACCCATGTGAAGGTTGTCCTCTGCAGGGTCATCCAGCACCTGTAACAGTTACATAACACTCATGAACAGAGACTTATAATTAAAAAACCTCAATCAAGATGTAAAAAAACATTCTAACTGACGTAAAATAACTCATTATAAAAGCTAGGAGGATGCATTCGAGTATTGGTACTGTTTTTTTAAAAAGTACCAAGCAGGGATTCAGTGACTAGCTGAGTCTTTGATGATTTAAAAAGTGGTCGACAATAACCTCTTGGCCCTTTAATTCATGTTCACAGTAAAGTCTCTCATTATTCTGAAATGCTAGGACATTGGTAGGAGGTATAACCTTGTAGACTTTTTAAAGTTTGAGCAAATTTGAAACTCTGCAGTCTACAGTTGATCAGGTTCATGGTTGGACAAACCTGCTATTTAGAGGCTTGGATAAAAGTTAGCAGTGGGGAAATATACCAGGATGTGGTCACTAAGTGCTGGCTGAAAATAGAAGACGCATCAGTCACCAGCTTGATAGCCTTTATCACAGTGTGGCTACTACTTCACATTCCTGTCAGATGGGATGACAAATTAAAAGCGAGGTACCATCCCTAAAGTTGTCTGTGCCAGCTGCTGTTCTTTTGGATTTTGTGAAAAAGACAGGGAGTTTATGGACAGCATGTTATGCAGAAACAAAAGAAGACTGTGACTTTTTGTTCAGTCATCTCTAAATATTTCACCACCATTTTCTGGGAAACCAAAGAAGCTGAAGCATGATCTTGTAGACCCTTGCTGTCCTCCAGTTGTTTTTGAGAAAATGCCCTTTGAACATTTCAGCAGACATTCAAGAACAGCCAAATGGACAAGGCTATTTGCTGAGGAACCACATAAGTTGGAGGGATAAAAAAAAACACATGGTATGAACACTTTAGGCGCCTGCAACAAGCTGTAGAGGTCTTAGACAAAGACAAAGGTCTTAGTCCTCTAGCTCCATTAACTCCTGAGGAAAATACCCCTGATCACTTGTCCTTGAACGTCCTCTGAAAATTCAATTGTAAGGAAGCTTCATTATTAAAAAAATGTTATTCGTTGATCATCTGACAAATTGAATGATGATGTTTTCCATTACAGGTTATCTGCAAGCAAGTGCAGCCAGTAGAAATAATAACAAATTTAATTCATACTGAACTTTATATTTAAAAAAAAAAAAACCTCAAAGAACTTAAAGAGGATTAAGTTAGTATCAAAAAACAACATATGTGATCGTATACTGTCTTTAAACGGCAGTGCGCCATGCAGGTTAGCGTGCTCCATATATGGAGCAGTTGTGGGTTCGAGTCCGGCAGACCATGTGCTGCATGTCCTCCCCCCTCTCTCTCTATCTCCCCACATTTCATGCTATCCTATCAATAAAAGGCAAAAATCGCACAAAAATACTTTTAAAAAATGGCAGTGCGATCAAGCCCGTTGCACGAATCAAAAATAACAATTTTGAGTCAACTGGTAAATCCATCAGTTTATTTCTTGCTGAAAAATGAATGAACAACATTTCTATGAGTGCACTGGATTCTGAGTCCTTTTAGCAGCATTTGTTAAAGCTCATGTGAAGAACGTTACACCTGTGTTAATTTTGGTGCCACCTGTGGACAAAGGGGGGACTCTCCTGTTTTTGCTGACTTTGTCCTACACATATATGAGTCCTGTTTTCTAACATAATATGCCTCCCTGCTCTATTCAAGTTCTTTTTTTAAAATTGCATCAGTATTAATTAAAGTCTGTTTTTTAACCACCTTCAAAACTCCTTGTAGTAGCTTTAAAGCAACAGTGCAAACATAATATTGCTGTGGTTTCATTTTTGCAGAATGTAATGGTGGGACTATTTCAGTGTCTATGCTGTTAAACTGGACATGTGTCTTGACAGACTTGTTGCAGAGTGTCTGGCTACAAGATCCTCTCATTGATCCTACAACAAGAGTGAGCCTCTTGAGCTCCTCAACCTTCAGACTTCAGGTTGGTTGCCTGTTTTGACCAGTCAATAATCCGTCTCTGACCATCTAATAAAAACAGGTTATTCCCACCAGACTACACAACTCATGTTCTGCAAGAAAACTGCACACACATCAAGCAAACCACAGGACACACAGTCCATCTGGAGCTGAGCTTTAAACACAACATCGTGGTGAATTTAAATTACCACAGCGAAGGTAAACATCACACAGAACACACAGTCCTAGAAAATCAAGGACAGGACACGTCCTCTGAGGAGACGGAGACACTGTATACTCACAATGCAGTAAACCAGAGAGGATGTTTGCTTTTAGTGTCTTGAATCAACACTGTTTTTCTGCATCAAATACAGTTTTTCGTCTTTAGTTTGATGTAAAAACACAAAGCTATGTCAGTAAATGAGCTGTCTTCATATGCAAAGTAAAAAGCATTAACAGCCTGGTAATTTTCTCCCCAGCTGTCAGCTAATGCACTGACTAAGATGCATTAAAAGGTGTTGAAGGCTTATGTCGAAGTGACATTAATAGAGCTTGGTATGTTTAAGTGTCTACACTTCAACGACTGCATACTTTGGCAAATAGGGAGCTAGTTTTACTGTCTCTTTCCCACCATCTGTGACAAATGACCACATCATTCTCATTAGTTTTAATCTGTTCCACTCTGCGTCAGCCTTAATGTTTCAAAACGAAGAGAAAAAGCCGATTCATAATTAGGAGGACCGGACTGCAGTCTCACAGGAATCACTTGGGAAGCGATAAGAAAGTGCAGCTCGTTAACACGGATGAACAAAGAGAAATAAAGAGGAGAAAAGCAGGTTTTTCCATCACCCACACATCCCCATTATGAGAGAAATGGATGAAATGTGAGCAGCAGAAAACACTCGCCATTTTACTTTGAAACTCTTTTATATTTCTGGCACATTTTACCGCAGAGCAAGCCAGACAGCTTTCCTTCTGACTGCCTCCCTGAGCTGAACTCCCGACCAAGACGTCAGTGCCCCCGCCATCTGGCCGAGATTGAAGAACACTCTGATAATATCGCAGGGGAGCGGCGAGCATCTCGAGCCACATCTTCAAATGGGCTATCATTTTTCACAAACAACCGCCTCTGCAGAAAGTGAAAGTCTATCCATCTTTGAACTTCCACAACTCAGTTTAGGAGAAGCAGCTGCTGTAAATAAAGACCCATTTAGAGGAGGTGTTGTTTCTCCAAAATATGCCCCTTTAACATCAGAGTTGTCTGGTGATAGAAGTGTGATGGATGTCTCTGAGGTCAAATCTATCTCAGATAGCCCACAAGGGTTTCTTCTGCCTCTTATCTGATATGACACACTCACAAAGCAAGAGCGAGGATACACCGAGAGGGGGTTATCATCTGATAGAGGGATGAAGCATAATCCCCACAACAAAGGGTTTAAACCTGTTATGAAAGTCCACTTGTGATGTAAGACACCTTACCCCAGCAAATCCACTTTTTTTGAACACCTAAATGCTGAAAAAACAAATGTATAAAGTACATGACAACATTTAAAAAGAATATAGTGTCTCTATTTATAACTATCGTTAAACACTCATACTGCTAATGCTGACTTGTTTGGCAGGTACAATGTTTACCGTATCTAATGCCTTGGGCTGTGTCGAAAAACATTTAAAGCTCTTATTAGGAGTTCTTTTTACATTTATGAAACAGACTGAAAAACTGTACATACTGATGCCTTTTCATTCAACTAAGAAGCAAATCAGCTACATGAGTTCAGTTTTTGAATCCTAATTTTGGATGCCTGAAACTAATGTGAGGGGGTAGGTGTCAGCCTTGCAGCTGAAGAAAAGCCCTGTTACTTTTTTAAATTTCCACTTCAGATATTTACGATGATTTATGCATTTTATTGCCCAAAGTTAGCAGGATGAGTTTCCCTAATAATCGCTTGCTGCTCATTGGTGTATTTTCTGTATATTGCACTGTAGTGAGCTGAAAACAGCATGGTTAAGCACTTGCAAATGCTAACTGATGCTAACACTGTTGCTAACTGAAGTGTCATTATCTCTACTGTAAGTCTGTCAAAAGTCAAGTGTGTTTCCAATGTATGTTTGCTAAGTAATTATGGTTTTTCAGAGATAAATAATGAATTTAATTTACTGTTGAGACTTGATTGACAGTTTGTTGACTAACTGTTCAGTAGGGTGTAGCATTGTTGCTCTTTGTGCCTGTTGTTACAGTGTGATACCAGCCTTGAAGAGTACTATGTCATCACACAGTAATTCAACATATAAGATTTTGTCATCTAAAACTGAACTGTGTTCTATAAACTGTTGTAACCACTATACCAGTGTAATAGGCAGAGAAGATAACGTCTAAGGCATGCAACTGCTTCAATGAGAAAAGCATGCTGGATACATTAAGAACAAAGACGGCACTTTTTAACATAAACTAAGCTATGCGTGGTATACTTTTAAGTAAATAAACCCTGTGGAGTGCTGGTTTGATTGAAAAGACTTTTCAATTTGAGACAACAAGTAACAAATGAAGGGGTCAGGAAGGATTACCAGTCAAATCCGTAATACTGCAGACTATCAGATTTGCTCCCTCTCCTTTTTCATCCATAAACACACAGAATGAATTGTACTGCTTGTACCATGCACCCATGTGTCATTGCTAAATTTATCCACCCAAGATTTCTCCCACGTCTTTGATTTAAACCACAGATCCCTTCTTGATTTCTCATTGTGATCATATTGGCTCCATCATGGAAAGTAAGAAAACAAATAATGAACTGCCAAATCCTATTTGACCAACTCCCAAAATTAGTACTTGTCAGTCATAAAAATGCAATGATTTTTCTACTCAATGCAAACACAGCACAAAAACTCCTTATGTTTTCGTTAATCCCAAATTCTACACTGACACTCTGTATTGGCGGCCTGTTCCCGGTAAGTGCGACAGTGTTAAGTATCTTTCAAATGCAATATCATTAAATGAGAGAGCTCTTTGATGCAGACTGCATTTATGCAGAGTTAACATGGACTCACCCAGAGTTCATTGCCTTACTTAGTGACATAAGGGGCATGATCATCAAGTACCACAGTAAATGTGAAGGAAATGTTTATACTTTGAAGTGGAGTTTAATTCAGTTTCCTGTGAAATGCTCTCTAAGAATAACCCATGATGCCCCACTGACTACTTCACTTTGGAAACACTGTACTGTAAGACACATTTGAAACAATGGAGATTAGTTTGGTTATTATTTAGTGGCCAATTTTTCTTAAGGCAACACATGATACAGTGACAGGATGTCCTATTCCTCGTTCCTTGAACCTCTGCATCGCATATCTGATGCCGTTAACAGTCTGCAAGTATTTAGGACTCAAAGTGGCTAATGATACCAGGTAATAGTCTCACCTCCACCAATTTGACAATGTTGACATGGTCAAGTTTTTTGAGGATGGCAATCTCTTGGTAGACCCTTTCCAAGGGTCCTAAGATCTTGGGCTGTTCTCCCAGGGCTGCTTTGGGTCCTCTTGGAGGTGGACGACCTACAGAGCCATCACACAAACCACACAGGCACCTTAATAAAGTCATCACTTGACCATGATCTGCACTGAACATACACCAGCTTGACAGGTTACTGTCTAAACTTTTGGGTGAAAAAGATGGAACACTGAAGAATAATAAGTCACCATGACCATCTCTACAGCCATCTCTTGATCTCTTCGACTACTTCACAAAAATTGTACTATGTCTCGCCGGTGCTGGATTTAAAGGTGAGAAGAGGAGCTGATGTGATTGGTGAAAACAGGACACGGCTTTGTTAAATCCACTCCACGCCTTCTCTCCTCCCTCTCTGCTACTTACACAGCTGGGAGGAGCTGAGTTAGGGAGGGGGGATACTTATGCCCGGCTGCGCCACTCACAAAATGACCAAAGTGTGCTTGGGCGCGGTGGACCTGACTCTGCCGGCAGGGCACAAAAATGGAGCCCATACAGTAGAATGTGAAAGAGTTATGTGTGTAGAACAAATAACATTCTCTAACAACAGTGAAATGTAAGTCTCTTAATATTATTATACAAACTGTACTTAACAGTCTATAAAGAAAAACAATCTTTTAAGTGTACGAGGTGGACTAAGATTTGATACAAAGAGGAGGTTTTGTAACAGCTGCCTCTGCTTTTTTTCTGTCTTCTCTTTTGCTGTTCACTGCCACAGCTTTGGAAAACATTGATCTTTACATGGTCAATCTTTTCTTCTATGAGCTGTCCTTTAATGCAGCAGATTTTTCTTCTTGTATAGCTGACAAATTCAGTCATTTAATGGCATTCACTCCCAAGCATGGCAGCGTTTGTAAAAGTGATTATTTCCAAGTTAAAAGCCTTTGTAAACACTCAGACAAAGACTGAGTTGTGTAAGCTGTTACTAATATGTCTCATCAAACAACAGTCTGTGGACGGCTCATTTCCTCAATTGTACTTTTTGAGTTTTCTCTCATTGTTCTGTTGTCATCGATTGCTGACAAGTTTAATGAAGATTTAGTTAATTCTCTGATGAGTTCACATAAGACAAAGACAGAACTGAACTTACGTGGAAAACCACACTGCTTCATTAACTTCTTCTTGGACACCATCTTCATGGCCTGGAGAAAAGGAAAATAATTTTGGTTACATACAGTTCGTACTATCAGTATATAGAAATATTTATCAGTCATCAATTACTAAAAACTCACTTGTTTGAACTTCAAAAATCAATAAAAATAAACGAACCAGCAGTCATATCAGGAGTTAAAAGAGAACAATACTATCAGTGTCTACTGCCAATGTGATAAATTTGTGCCATCCAAATTGATAACATTATTTATACAAACTTTTTGCTTTTCATCCCTTTGGCATACTGTAGTTAAGCCAGTGGTTCTCAAGTCCAGTCCTGGAGGCCCACTGTCCTGCATGTTTTGGACGTTTCCCTGCTCCAAATGATCAGCTTGTTATTAAGCCATTACAGAGCTTGATAACGAGCTGATCATTTGAATCAGGTGTGTTGGAGCAGGGAAACATCCAAAACATGCAGGACAGTGGGCTTCGAGGACTGGACTTGAGAACCACTGTAGTTAAACATACAGTGTCTTCCTGCTTCCTGCTGCTGCCACGATTGAAAAAAAGACAAAAAATATTGACTTAAAAAGCACTTATCATGCAAAATAACAGAAATTAAAGCACAGTTTTGACTACTAGCAATGGATAATTCAGTGACTGGTCACCAGTCAAAAGTATTATCATTAAAAGCTTTGGTTGAAACATAATGTGAAAGTACAGGGGAATGGCAACGTAGCCAAAAAGCTCCACAGTTCAGTAGATCTATCACTGCAGCTTACTCCTTATTTACCTAATTAACAAAGCTAGAAGGTTTCAATATTGCTGGTACTTTATATTAAAGGCTGTAACAGTTTCTTGAAGAGACTGCTCTTCTTCTGAAGTCCTATGAGGCACTTGTCCCTGTCCGCTGGAGATAGCAGTCAGCTCTTCTCCTTCACAGAAGCACCAGCCAGAGTACTATTGCACTGTGAGTGAGGACACATGTTTGGGCTGTATTCACCAATAGTGCTACAACAAATTGGCCTACTAACATTTAAGTATGGCTGACATTATATCTTTATAATGTATGATATCAGTTTGGACCAGAGCCACTGAAATTAGCTAAACTATGTGTTCTAAATGGTCCTTTTTGTAGATTCTATAATGACTGTTTTCAAGTGAAGCAAAAGCAACTGTATGGTTGATTTAAAAGTACATTTGACACTTCAATAAAGAAGCAATATGAAAACCCGTTTCCTAAAAAATAATGCTGGAAATGATTTTGACTGCACAATAATTCTTAAAGACTGGAATTGCTTTTTCTTAGGCTGTAGTGTCAGTAAATATGCAAATGATGGCGATAAAGAGACCAAAGATGACAGCAGTGGAGGGAATAAGAGAGTAAAGGTGTAGGAGAACTGACTGAAATAAATCCTAAACCAGCCTCTAGTCATCAGCAATACATTAAACTGTCTTTTAAAACTGCTGGAGCACCAAATCCCTCAAAGAAAAACAAATCAAATGTACACTAGGGGAAGAAAAGGTATTGCTAGCTGTAGAGTGCTAATTCATTTGTCAGCTGAGGTTAGGATTCTTATTAATTTAAGCTTTGGCTACAGTTTAGAAAATAAACTAGTTACATGCTTTGAGTAATTTTCCAAAAAGTCTCTATTTGTGTGTGTGTGTGTGTGTGTGTGTGTGTGTGTGGTCCTGAACCAATGGGGGCATTTTTGGAACCATCCTAAAACATGTCCAACCCACTGCTGACTGTTGCAATTTTTGCCAGGGGTGTAGAAATTGTGTGTGTGTGTGTGTGTGTGTGTGTGGATGGATGGGTGGGTGTATACACTTGCATACTTATCTTACAGTACACTCAGCACCTTCACAAATTCAACAACAAGGGACAAGTTGCTAAAATGGGGACCTTTTAAAGTTCCTTGTTGTTGTGTTCTAAATAACCTTAAAATAATGTCAAAATCTTATATCTTTTAATGTATTATTTTGTTTATTCTACAAAAAAGGCAAATAAATTAGTATTCTGTATAACTCAGACATTGCATTTATTTCCACAATGCATCATACACCCATTATCTCAGAGGATGGATGCACTTCTGAGATATTATTAAATTTCAAGGAGAACATCTACTACCTCAACACTGCATTTAGTTGTTACGATAAATACTGAAACTCAGTTCTCTCTTAAAAGTGCGGTCACCATGACTATGACTGTGCAGAAACAAAGTTTGGCAAGAAAGTAGATCTCTCCTGAACACAGTTCTCATGCTGTGCTGCCTGTGTGCATTAGTGTGAGTGTGCAAGTGGTTGTGTAGACCTGTGGGAGTGTGACTCAGGCACAGAGTCATCAAATAAAGAAAAAATCAAGTACTTCTCAAAATTACTGTAGCTCTGGGTTATTTAGTTCATGTCACCATATGTCACTCAGACAGCTCCATTATTCATGACCAAATCAGAAATCATGGTCGAGCTCCAGTGAATAGATGTCATCTGACAGTCCAGTCTGACTCAATGTACACACACACACACACACACACACACACACACACACATAAATATATATATATATATATATATATATACACACACACACAGTACAGGCCAAAAGTTTGGACACACCTTCTCATTCAATGTCTTCTCTTTATTTTTTTATATGACTTTTTACATTGTAGATTATCACTGAAGGCATCAAAACTATGATAAACACATGTAGAATTTTGCACTTAAAAAACAGTGTGAAATAACTGAAACCATGTTTTATATTCTAGTTTCCTTAAAATAGCCACTCTTTTCTCTTGATGACAGAAGTACTTAGTGACTTTGTCAGTCACGAAGTAACCCTAACAAGGCACACCTGTGAAGTAAAAACTATTGCAGGTGACTACCTCATGAAGCTCATTGAGAGAACAGCAAAAGTTTGCAGTGCTATCAAAAAAGCAAAGGGTGATTACTTTGAGGAATCTAAAATATGATACATGATTTCAGTTATTTCACACTTTTTTCTTAAGCACATGATTCCACATGTGTTCATTGATAGTTTTGATGACTTTTGGCCTGTACTGTATATACACACACACACACACACACACACACACACACACACACACACACACACACACACATATATATATATATATATATACACACATACACACAGTACAGGCCAAAAGTTTGGACACACCCTCTCAGTCAATGCATTTTCTTTATTTTCATTACTATTTAAATTGTAGATTCTTAGTGAAGGCATCAAATATATATATATATATATATATATATATATATATATATGAAGACATCAAAACTTTGTCTCTCAGCTGGCCTGGGAACGCCTTGGGGTCCCCAGGGAAGAACTGGACTAAGTGGCTGGGGAGAGGGAAGTCTGGACTTCTCTGCTCAGCCTGCTGCCCCCGCGACCTGACCCCGGATAAGCGGCTGGAGATGGATGGATATATTTATATCTGTGTATATGTGTGTGTACATCATTGCATCATACCTGGCAGACAATGTAGTTAACTTATGGTGAAATTTAAAAGTGCAAGAACTGCAGGAACATGCAGGGACATAGTTACAATGAGACAAAAAGGGTATAAAAGTTAGGATTTCAAGTTGACACTGGTGATTATTTTGAGTGATTCTCATCAAAATCAAAGCAGGAAATTTTATTTCAGTCAAATCCTCGTTTCCTTGTTTTAAATTCCTCAACTCTATCACTTGCTAACATACTTATACAAGTTGACAAGTCATTGGACTGGGTACGTATTCGCTAAGAGATGGCAATTTCACCTATTAGAACAAAACTAAGCACTTTTTCATTTTATCATTAGATCCCACATAGGGTGATTGTGTCCACTGACAACATCTTTTCTTACCTGGACAGCTGGACCTTACCAAGCTTGTTCCACTTACTAGTTGATACTTCAAATACTGCTTCATGTACCTGTTTCCTCTGAACTTGGAAAACCTTCAGTTTCTGTGCCCCAAATATGTGGCATTATGTACAACAGACTCTTAATATGGACACTCTTGTTTCTCCTGGAATATCTAAGTTAGTTATCTCAAACCACATAAACTCAGGGTGCAGTTGTTTTCACTGAGCATCACTCTTTTAGTTGTTGTAAAACTGTGTTTTAATTATATCTCATCTTCACTGTGAATGAGAGAAACCTATATGAATTTACAGGCTAAAATAAAACAAAATTTCAACAAATTTATTTAGAACAATCATTGTCTCTCCTCTTTCCATTTTATTTGTAAATGCACGTTCACATCAAATGCAAATAAAATACTTTGCATGGGTTAATTACATGCTGAGTTAATGTAAAGATGAGATTAGACATGAGTTCTTGTTAGGCTATGTAAACAAGGTCGGTGAGGAATAGCCAATCAGCATGGAGATTTCCTGGTGAACTATGACAACAACATCAGCGATTCATCCATGTGGAAAACGGAGGATAAAGCGATTGTGACAGTATGCAGCTGTACCCAAACTACAGGATGCAACTTGTTTATAATATCGAGATAGGAATTTAAATAAAGAGCACAACTTGGGGACGGTGAGTAAGAAGGTCAGATCGTATAAAGTTGTTTAAACACAACAGATCCTCACAACATGGTCAACCTTAGCTGTGATTGATGCAAAAATACTGACATGACATGTTGGAACCCCTCCTCTCCCACAGTTACAGGCGTGTTTGGCCCCTTCACAGACATGATATAAACACATAGATGGAGCGAGTCATTTGCACAAATTACACAAGTAAACACAGCATTCAGGCGTCCAGATAGGCGCCAATTGAGCGAGTAAATGATTTTCTCAGTGTGAACACAACATAAGGGTGAGTGACAGCTGGTAGAAGGCACCACTTACTGCTTAACAGATAAGTGGCGCCTTCACTTAAATTTAAGACAACCATCTGAACCATACAACACAGCTTTTCCTTTTTATTAAACTTTTATAGTGTCCAAAACCATACCAACATGATTTCCTGCTTTGACCCTACCAAACTAACCAATTCAATTCAAATGTAATCTAAAAAGATGTCCTTACAAGTTCCGTGCTATTTGTATATATCTTGAAATAATGTGAAGCAGAATCAGGTAGATACAGACTATAAATACGCATGCCTTCCTGTTTGTGTTTTCTGTGTGTGAGCCATGATATTTGTGCATACTGTATGTGGGCTCATGCTGCAGATGCTCGGCATAAAGAATACAACCCTTTTTGTCTGAAACCAACTCACATTGGCAGGAAACAGAATCACCTATCCATGTGTTCATTACTCATCCCCTCCTCTCTAGGATCCTGTCTTTCTTTTTTCAGATTGTCAGTCATTCAGTCAGCCTGTTATGACCTGCAGTCTGTCAAGAAAGGTTACGGTTTACATCACAGTCATCAAACACCTCATGCCCACACATGGAGAATCAGACTGGAGACCAAATCAACCACACAGAGAGACACATTGAATCTGTACACACTTATGTACACACAAAAAACTTATTTTAATCCTCAGATTACATGTTCAAGGTTCTTGAGTTTCAGACTGAATGGTGTAAAAAAATAAATAAATAAAACTCGAGCTAAAACTGCACAAATGATCTGTTATAAACCACAGTAGTGAGTCTAAAGGAAGTATATGATATTTTCACACACCTTCAGTTTTCATCTCATTAAGGTAAATTTGAAAGTAATGTCAAGTGTCACAAATATAGTGACTGTTATTATTTTTTTTTCCATCATAATTTGTCTTAATTAATACACCAACTCTTCTGTCTTCCACAGTTGTACTCTTTTTCTTTACTTTTGTTGTTAAAAAATGTTAAAAACAGAGATTGTCAACAAGAGTGTAAAAAAGGTGAAAGGAAATACACTCTTTGACATGTATTTTTTACTCAATATAACCAAGGAAAAACCCTAAATTATACCACTTTCAAGTTGTGTTGAAACCACTTGGGGTTAAAATTGCTGAGTGACTCCAAACACAAATCAATCTGGGATGCTTGGCCAAATCATGGTACAGCAGTAGTGTGATGATCGCTATATCCCCAATAATAAATAATTTTACCAGATGAAGAAGGGTTTATAAAGACAGAGCACAAGATTAATGTATTCACTGCACTTAAAGTTTGGTTTTGAAACCATGTTAATGTGTTTATAGATTATAAATCAAATCTAAGGAATTCAAAGAATAAACTTAAAAAGGTTAAAAAAATACACTTTTAAAGAGGTAAATATGAAAACAAATACATATTTCTGTGCTTAAAAGTCAAATCCAAATTGTGAACGTAAACCTGCTCATATTTTACCAGTTTGCTTTGAAACATAAACTTGTTTTGATGTGAACCAATACTACTGTACCTCCCCCCACTACAAGGACTCGTGAATTAGTGATGCAGTTAGTCAAATTAGCATGGAAATCTGGTTGTATTACCATAGTATTAAAAATGAAATATCTCTGCTGCATCAATCATTCTATTACACAAGTCAGGACTATGATATGTCGCTATATTGATAATTTTTTGAGTTGAAACTGCTTCAGTAAAGTGATGTCTCCATTATCACTATTTGCACCCCTATGCAGGAAAAAAATGACTATTCAAAAACAAAAATTGATAATGATTTTAACTCTTAGTGAATGATTTCTTGGTTTGACTCAATCACTGGGAGTCTGGGTTGTGCTGTGTCTAAAGAGCTGGCACACATCATTTAACACTGCACGTCATTATTCCACTCCAAACAGTAAGTTTGTGTTTATAAATATATATTTTTAATCATATTTACTTCAGGATAAAGGGTTCTGCTGTGTCCTCACAATAACTTCCATTGTTCATCATTCTGCATCAGTCCGTTTTAATACTTCATTGTGTTGAGCTCCTGCTGGCTCCGGATTAGACGTCCATCTTGAACCCATGCAGAGTTGGTTGCTTATATCGTCGTGACTCATCCAAACAATCTCATAGCTGTTACTGTACAGGGCTGCTGACTTATGTTGGAGCAGAAGAACGGCTTACATTTCGAGAGGCAGAGTTTACCGAGCTGCTGCGAGAACAAATCACCTTGATGGAAACCGAAATGACCCCTTCTCAGCGGGCCGGCTCATAACCAGAACCTCCCTCATGAACTGACCTCAAAGCAGCTCTGCACAAAGAAGGAGCAGAAGCAGCAACAGTGCTTTGAAGACTGGTAATAAAGTCTAGGATGAATTTTCAGAAGTCGTTTTCATTTCCAAGTTTATTCCAAGGCGACTGATGCAATTTCAGGGAATGGAACTTTCAACTTGAAAAAGACAAATCAATAGCTCCGTCGAGAGCCTGAAAAGCTTTTCTGTCGAGACAATGGGGGCTGAAAGGACTGATGCTGTGCGACAGAGCGACTGCAGCTCAGTTAGTAATCAGAAAGAAAATGAAAAATGATTGCACTGACTTACATAATGTTTGTCATCATCCTCATTGTAGGCCAGCTTGACCACACCATAGGAGCCCTGCAATACAGCAAGAGAAAGATTATTTTCTATATGTGGAAACTCACTGCATATCCACAAAGCTCTGTCTTTATAACACTGTTTCAACACAGAGGCAATGAAACACAGCAGACATCTTAAAACAAAGAGAAGAAAGCAGAATAAGACCTCACTGATAGAAAACAGGACTGATTACAACAGAGTGACTTCATTCTGTAAAGGGCGACTTTTCGGTTGGAGACCCCAGAGATTTGTTCATAGGAAAATGATTTTTGATCATTACCCAACCCTGACCAAAGGTATTTTAAGTAAGAAAACACTTGATGCTCGATTATTTTCTGCACATTTTCAAAATTTAAATTCCTGTGAAGATTTTTGATCTGCACAGACATAAACTAACAGCAACACCTCTTTAAGGCCCATAAGAGCAGAATAGACATTAACAAAGGCTGATCATTTCTATACAATCATTTTTAATGCTTAAAACCCTGCAGAGACCATCGATAAAGAGTGATTTGCAGTACCAGACTGTTTAAAGAAGGCAAGATGATCATAAAAAACAGATTTCCATATGTACATAAAAAGACTGTAGCAAAATACCAGGCTCCACAATGACCGTCTTTTTAAAAGCATGAAATATTAATCTTATGATTACGACAAGCAAACAAAATACTGTGAAGAAATCTGTTCAAAGTAGGGAGGTGGTATTTTACAATGGTTGCCATCTGCCATAAAGTGGAGGGGACTAGAAGAAGAAGAAGAAGAAGAAGAAGAAGAAGAAGAAGGAAGAGGAAAAAGAAGAAGGTGAGGCGGTGAGCAAGTTTGCAGCCCTCTGACACTTTTAAATTGATGTTCAAAGATTTACTGTCAATCCAAAGGAGCTTGAACCTCTTCAAGGGATGAACTGAGCATTTTTTCTTTCTAACCCTTCTCTTAACTGCTTCCATTTTGCTTTGTGCCTTAACTGTAACTAAAAGTAGCCTGTTTCATCTCAAAATAAAGGCAAATAGTAGACATTATAAGTGTGGGAAAAAATCCCCTTTCGTTGACATGCATAAAAGAACAGTGAAATCAATCAGCCGGATCATAGGAGTTGATCAGATAGATCATTTCAGTATTTTAATGTAATCGTTATTTAATGTACTATGTCCTCCTCTGCTTGGGAAAGTCTGAAATCTCTCCTAAGTCCTCTTCTCTCCTCCTTACACTTTTTCACATTCAGAGCTCTTGTGGGGTCCATAATGATTTGTGAATTACTTTCATCTTTGCACATATCTTGTCTTAAATTTTTGGGAAAATTCTTCGAAAACATCATGATTCTCTAAATTTCCTCGAATTTCATCATCAGGAGCAACTCTGTAGACTGGGAAACTTTGTGAACACGGGTCCAGTAGGTAAAGCCCATCCAGATCTTCCTTTGGAAATACCCCTGATTCTGATTAAATGAGTTACCTTAAGGAGGAGGATCTAAGCTAATGCTTGCCAGTGTTGAGATTTAAGAACAAAGAGTTTTTTAGGTCTCTCTCCTCTTATTAAAACTCTTTAAAAGACAAGTTTCCATAACAGGAGTCCAAACAGCTGAAAATATCTGACTTTTTTGCTGCCGTCTCTGTTTCTACACTGAAGCTGCAGCTGAGGCTCAGATCTCACTCTACTAAAATCAGTATTTCTTACTTGGGTTTTAAGCTGTGGAAACAAATCTCACAATAAATCATCCTTACCTTATTTTTGCCCCCCAAAACTATCACTCATGGTCCTTTTATTGAATCAGATGTTATTTACTTGCATTAAACTTTGATAAAAAGCACAAGAGGACATTATCGAGTGAGGAAATTCAGTGCCACAGCTCAATTTTGTGGTTCAGCCCCACTTTCAGGACTAACTGGGTCATCAGCAGACAGACTGAGGGATTTTGTTAAGATTCCTAAAGCATCACTTTGAGAACAGACGGCAGCACCATACTGACAGAGTGTTTTGAAGGCAGCACAATTTCCACTCAAACATTTTTATTCTTTGGCAGCAACACGGCTCATCCCACACACATAAACACACACTCATGCTGATCCAGGATGTGTGTTTTCCATCAGTCCTGTTTCTTTTTTGTCTTACAGAGAGACAAATCCAATTGTAGGCTTCTATTCACCAGGAGTGTGAGCTCATTTGAGTGTATGTAACAAAGTTTTACGAATGTCAGAACTGTGGCTTCACTATAAAACTAAAACCATTTATGTGTCCTCTCTCGATCATTCTCTTGAGGGTTTTATGTGAACGCCCACCATTTATGGTCAGGTCTCTTTTTATTTCTGGCCTAAAAACTGAATGACTGACTGTATAAAAATCTGTCCAGGGCTTTCTGTCGCTGCATTTTATTTTAATTTTCTCTGTAATCGAGTGCATAAATTCCCCCTCGAGCGCTAATAAGCCTTTCATAAATACTTTTTGAGTGGGCCTGTGCTTGTTACATGAAATAATGTGCACTTCCCTATTTTCACTTTACCTGTTTTTCTAGATTGCAGCCGCAACAAATTCCCCTGTGTGTGCATTTAAGGCGCCACACATGGAAATAAAAAATCGAGATGGCAAAAATGTCACTTCAGAAGATAAACATGGCTGTACTTCAGTAACTGGAGGACATGTATGGCTAAAGCTAACAATACTTTTGTTGTTTTTGTGGTGTAGCCTCAAAACAAAAGATCCTATTTTGTAGATTATTAGACCCTGGAAGTCCTATAAAATGCAGAAAACACACACTCTTACTCTTTCTGTGCACTAGCTAAAACGATTTGGTGTCCAATTTTCCCTTAAAAGTTAAATCAAGCAAAGGGGTCAATCTTCTCTGCAGCTATTTTTCCTCTCCAAATTGAACAGAGGCAATCAGTAGAAAATAGACGAGCTCACCTTTCCAATCTCACTCTTCAGCTTGTACTGGTTCAGCTGGATACAGTCCTGTGAGAGGAGGGAGAGGAGGAGAGGATGAGTAACTCTGTATATCTACAATGTTTGCTCAACACAAACACAGGAAGCTTCAATGTGGGGTACACGCATGTGTCTTTCTAAACATTGCCTTAATCTAACACATTATACAGACCTTTCAGAGGTTTTTTGTGTTCCTGGTTTTCTGAGCAGGAGTTGCTTTAACCCTCCTTACTTGTGAGGTGGGGCCTCTATGACTGAGACTTAGTTGTCAAGCACACCTGAAAGATGTTTGATTGGAGGATATGGGAACCAAAGCTCAGTCCAGGCACACCACTTCACCCTTTCACCCTTCAGTTTTGTGTGTTTTCATCTAAGGGGGCGTGTCCCAAACCTTGTCAGGGTGCAGGAGTAGAGCAAAAGTCACATGGTCTTTAAAACAAATGCACTTTGGAAATAGAGCGTAAGTCAAATCTTCAAGAACATCTGTAAGATTGTTTTCCAAGCAGCAAAAGAAATGCATGAGTGAATCATGTTCATGAAAAAGAATTGAAACTGATGACTATCATTTTATAAGCTCAGTCTAACATGGTTATGGTCCTTTTCTTTATACAAACAAGTTCTCGTAGTATGCCAGTGTTTTAATATAACTTACTAGCTTGCTAATGTCATGTCTACTTGTCTCAATTCAGTCTATAACTAATGATGATGTTTTAGGATCTTAGAGAGTTGTTTCACTACTATATCCTCTATCTCTGTTCAGAAGGCCAAAAGGGGAACTAACAAATGAGGGGAAGGAATAGGGCTGGGCAATAAACCGAAAATTTACAGATACCGAAATTTACGAAAATAACCAACGTCATTTTGCCCATGTCAATATATTCACTGTCGAAATAAATAAAAGTTGGTTTTGGATGTGTGTAGTTAGGCTATGGTCTCATGTCCCTTTAAGACGCTGTCCTATGTTGGAGACGTGACTCCACCTCATCCAGTCCGTTAAAAAGAGGGAAAGACAGGTGAGGAGATGGTGGACGGTTCAAAAGTTGTAGCAGCTGGAGCAGCGGCTGAAGTAGACGAAGTTAATGGGGGAGGAGGTGAGAAGCTTGTGGAGTAGTTATCGAGGTGAACTGCTTAATATATCATGATATTGATTTGAGGCCATATCCCCCAGCCCTAGGAAGGATCAACATTGAGAAAACTGGATTGGACCCTCAGACTTGTTCTGCTGTTTTTCCAAAACAACTCTCTTCCATTGCTTTGTGATAAAGCGCTATTTAAAATATGATTATGCATTACTATTGTTATTATTTTATCAAAGCATTCTCACTCTCACCAGTTTTTCCAAATTCCAACACTACATGCTTAGTTTGGTTGTACTTAAACACTCCAATTTAAAAATTTCCTCATCTTGAGAAATTGACATCTATCATATTGTTGAACAGATATTTGCCATCCCATGCAACACCAAGCATCTTTTAACCACTTGCTCTTCAAAGACTATGAAAGAAGAACACCCATCCCAACTCTAACCAATATCATTCAGCTTTAGAAAACACATGGATGACAAGGCTTTCATTTTCTACAGAGGAGCAAAAACACGACTACCTCTGGAACAAAAAGGCCATGCTGTGTGCGTGTGTCGATGTGTTTAAAGTCATTTATTCCTGAGATGTAGGTAACGATGCAGTCCGCAGTTTCTGTTTACTGTCTGCAAATCCATTAGAGTGCTACTGCTTAAATGGCTGATTTGCAGTTCCATAGCAACCACCCGCTACTGCACAGAGTCAGCCAGGGGCAAGGCGGGTGGAGGGGAGACAACCAGCAGGATGGAAAGAGGGAGAAAAAAAAGGAGTGAGAGGTAGTGGAGAAGGGGGGAGTTTTAACAGAGAGGAAAATCAATGAACAAAAAGTGAACATTGCAAGTGTGCAGGGGAAGAAGAAAATGGATAGAACCAAGTGTCTTATTAGTGTAAAGAAGGCGTTCGTTTACTTGGAAGAGCCAGACCAGTGCCAGAGGGCTGATGCTGTGTGCAGGATGAGAGGAGGCAGTGGATGGAACAAAACAGTACAAAAAAGTACCGCACCAACTCACGGTGCAGGGCAGGACTCCACTCAGCAGCAGGCAGAGTATTTTAGAAATACAGCCACTTACATAACACGCCCAGTTATGTAGCTGGTTTTGAACATTGCATTTGATGCTGCAGGAGATGTGAGGGTGAGGCTCTGTAGGGTTTGATAGTGTGAAGCACCGTGGGCAGGGATTATAACAAAGGGGTAAAGAAAGAATAGTCGATGGAGTTTTTGTAGTCGAAGCATGCAGCGGAATTTAAAGAGGGATTTCTTTGATTGGACAGAGAGACATGAAAAGAAGAGAAAATAGGACAGTGGAGGATAAAGGGAAAGTCAAATGAGGAGAATCAAAAGAACAGTGAGAGGGACTTTCACAGTTCTCCTGCACATGTACATGCACAGCGGGCGCTGCACTGCAGATAATACTCCGACAGGACTAATGGATACAGAGGCCGATGCAGACAGCCTGCCACTTATGCACACCATGCACCTGCACACTCCAATGCTTCGATGGACTGCACTAAATCTTCAGAGGGTGATTGTGGTCATCCTGTCACATTACACTGTTCTGTTTTTTTTTTTTTTTACATTTGCAGCCCTGTCTCTCCTCACTCTGTGTCCACTCATATCTCACTTCGTCCTCCATCCTGTTTCATCTACTCCAAACTCTCCTTGCATTACCCAGAAAGTAATCAATACATGTCTAAGTCTCATAGATCACTGCCACCGCGCCATTTAGAATCAATAACAATGCATTTCATTTTCGTAAGAGGTAATGAGCAAACACCCGCCTCAGGAAGTATGTAACTAAAGAAGGAACTGGAGTTTGTATTTAAAGTCAGTAGCTGTAAACTCATTTCCTCAACCTGTCATTGTTTCAAAATAGTGGTGAAATAGCTGCAAAAAAAAGGGTCAGGCAGAATAGGAGGGTTGTTTAACTCATATGTGTCTCATGCAAATGGGAGAGATATACAGAAGTGACTGGAAACACAGGTGAAGCTTTATTCTTAAAGGAGGAGACATTAAAGGTGGGGTAGGCAGGAATCCGTTAAAGAAGCATCTTTTTTATGGTGTATATACAAAAAAGCTTTTAATATCAGTCAATAGCAATTAGTTATTGATGACATTTGGGAATATCACGGTATCGCTGTGTTCCCTTATGCCTGTGTAGTCAATATTTTAACATTTTTGAGCAGCCCGCTCATTCTGACTATAAACAAAGCCGTTCTCCACCTCCCCGACCTGATTGGTTGTGAGGCAGACGCTGCTCTCTCATGTTGTTAGGCGTGGTGCCCAAACAAAGTTAGCGTGCTACAACACTGAAAAGGAGAAACCAACCAGAAAGTATGAAAAATTGTCTGAATTCTCCTTTGGCCACGACTGCCGACACAAGCAAACGAAGTAAATACCGGAGACTTTGGCGGAATAAAAGGCGCTTAAAATGGAGGTAGACCAGACAAAAGCTAAGAAGCCAGGTCAACATCAGTATAAATGACGGGGGGACATTTCAGGATCTTACAGACCCTGTAACCTTTCTGCTGGACAGGTTAACCGCTTTAACAAAGTAAGCAGAAGTGTTTCATGTCAAATAGGACCTGCTGCGTGTTGTAGCGCTGCTTAACTGTTTACCTCTGGTCCTGGAGTATGTCACTTTATGCTAGTTTTAGAAATCCTGTAAACATTGTGTTTGCTGGTAGTCTGTTGGCATCTGCAGTAGCACCAATGCTTTTTACTTTCACGTTGACTGGGCCCCATTTGTAATTATCTGAAGTATTTATCTGCATTATATCTGAATTTAAATGGAACGATACGAGCGAGCAGGAGCGTCTGTTTGTGGGCGGGGCTTGCTGGAGCAGAGACGGAGGGAAGAAGAGGAGCTGAGGGGAAAACTGGTTGGGAGAGGTAGTGTTTACATTTAAGATTTCTCCCAAAAACTGGCACTTCCTCAGATCCTTCCTACCCCACCTTTAAATGAACTAATACAGAGTCAGTGTTTCTGGTACAGATGACTCGTGGCTCTGAAAGATATCAGCTCTTCATCTATTACACTAATGTGCTGTGAAAAAGAATAGACACTGATGTTAATCTGTCCTCACAGGGCTGCCAAAGCTAATAGTTTTCATAGTCACTCTCACATTTTAATCTTCCCGTTGTCATACTGAACAGATGTAAACTTGTCTGAATCTAACTCTCAAATTCAACATACAGCATGCTTTTCAGGGTAAGGTTTTCAAAGGGAGTGACAAATTCAAACTCTAATGGTGAACACTCATAGTCCACATAGTTAACACTGTCAGTTTAATGGTACAAGAAGCTGAGAAGCTGCAGGCTCTGAATACAAAGTGGCCTTGAGTACAGATACAAGCAGAGAGGGGACTCATCAGGGAAGAGCTGCAAAAAAAAAAATCTATTTTGCAAAATGACCCTGCCAAGTGCTCTGATTTGGTTTCCTCTCTGCATTAATCTTTGTGTTTAATATTTATTTCCCCACTCAGACTTCAATCTGACCACACTGGAGGAAGAACGGCTCTTCACAATACATCCTTTCAGAGGACTGCTTCACATTTGATTGAGTCTTTTTCTTAAAGCAACTCTTCTCCGATATTAAAAATGATCTGTTTCCTCCAAACTAAGTGTCAACTGTAAATAAACGCACTTGAATTTGCTGCTGATAATATCTGTGCCTTTACAGCAGTAAGATATTTAGCTCTTCAGCTACAGCACTGTTATCTGATGTAATGTAAGTCCCTGAAGAGCTGCAGACTGTTTCAGCGAGGATCAATAGCCTCCACCTTTGACTGTGCTGCAAACTGGCTGAGATTTTCACACCATTATACCAGAATTTGATCTCATTATAAAAGAGCAAAAGGTTGTTGTGATTAATGGTGCAGCCTTTTGGTTGGATAGATATCGAAGCATGCATCTTGGAGCCACAGTTAAGACTGAAGAAATGAAAATAAATACCACGGCCACTTGTTTGCAATGCATCCTGGTATGTTAAGGCTCCGCTTGCTTGGCTCTCTTACTCATGGATTTCACATGTTGTCACACAACATTTGCAGCGCCATCTTTAGAACCAACCAGGGACCAGACATTAACAAGTGCCATCTGCTTTGCTGTGAATGAGGGAGTCTTGGGCCACCTAAAAAAACAGGATTATAGGACTGTAGTCATAAAATTACGGCAACCACAGCAAAAAAAAAAAAAAAAGCCACGACTAAAACCAATAAATAAGAAAACCAAAAAGTTAGGTCAAAAGTTGTAAGTATAAGTATAAAGTATAACAGTCAATATCAAATCATGCCATCCTTGTTGCCTTTGTCTTTACTTTACCATAAACCCCACTCAGTAAGCAGCAACAGAATGCAAACAGCTGAATGTCTAAATTATCTTTATTCAGAGCTAGAGCAGACTGAGTTTAACAACTAACATCATGTGAGGATCCAAATCCAGGGAACAGACTCAGGTCTGGCTGGACTCCTGATTTTTATGGTTTCTGACTCGACTTGTACTCAAGCACGGATGAGTCACACTTGGACTTGAGCATTTACTGCACTAGGTATTGGCTCATGGAGAGAAGGACTCTGCCTTACGTATTGATGAAGATAGTTTTTCAATGTTTATGGTTTTTTATTATCAGTATAGGGCCTCAATTATTTATCATGTTTTGAACAAGTCATACCTTTCACTGCGAATGTGAGAAAGTGAAGTGTAAGATGTTTGATATGTAAGAGAGTCACTGAAGAGAAGACAGGAGAGGAAACTCTAACAGACATCTGACCAGAGTGTACTTAGAATATTAAGTGAGACAAGTTAAGTGCTTAAGTTAGTCTACTCAGACTGTCTATTACTGTTTGAAAGCTAATGTCAACGTTAGCCTCCAAAGTGACTCAACCACTGCCCACTTCCTGCTCTATCCACTGTCCTTTCCTCTCTAATAGAGACACAGAACACTAACTTTACTCATCATTTAAATCTCCAGACATGCCAACAGGATCCGGGAAAGTCTGACATTATTGATAAAATGTATTTTCTAAACATCAGACAATGACCAGTTTGAAGTGAGACAACAATCTTCCTTATGATAAACAATATCAATAAAACTTAAATCAGACTCGACTCAGATTCTTCTCTGATGAGTGAACTGGGAATTGAAGACTGAGGACTCGAGACTGGACTTGTCTTGATTCGTTTCAGTACAAAACAACAACACTGTGGGGATCTTCCAGACTTCACTGACAGAAGTTACAAAAAGAGACTAAAATGCCCTTCATATTACAGTCACAAGTATGTCGTTCCTGTGGAGTTTTTTTTTTTCTTTACATTTATCGAATAGACTGAAATTCATAACAATGCTTTACTGAGATATACAAAAGCAAACAAGACCATCGGTGCAAAGATAACTTCTATGTTGTAATTTTTAATGATTGTCGTAAGGGGTAGATGTGAGTGATACGTCTTTTAACATTTCTTCACTTAAGCATGTAGAGGACTCACAAAGACGCACCAAGACTGACACAAACCAAAAGTTTCTCACAGGAGCTGTAAATAACATTGAATTAAAAACTTTGAACCACAAACTCAAATATTTACAGCTCAGCCTTGGACTAGGACTCAGCTGTCAACCTGTTTTTTTGAAACATTACAAGACTGGAGGCAAGCTTTAATCCACATTTTGGGTCCTCTCTCTCAGGATTTCCTTAATCCTGTCTAAGTGGGTATGTTGTTTGTGTTCTCAAGAGGAGAGAAATTACACTCATTGGCAATGAGAAATCCTGGGAATGAGAATTTTCCTGCAACATGACAAGGGTGTAAGTTGATATTTCTATGCCTCAGTGCCTCACTCTGTCTCTTCCCAGTAGCGAAGATAGGACCTCCCAGTTCTGCATGTCATAAATTAAGTTGGGAGATGATGAATATATGAGATAAAATCACTCATGCGTCAGTCATTTTACACTTTTCCATTGTGATAGCTGCTTTTACACACAGTAACAGTGACAACTCAAAATGTCAGTCATAGCTGGTATATGTGCAGCTCGAAATTTCTCTCTTTTCCTTCCTCTCCCTCTTTTTCTTCCTCTCTCTGCTGTGTCACGCTGTAGCTGTAGACCCAGAAAGAGCGAGAAAATACAATCAACACGACTTCTTTTTATGGCCCAGTGATGGAGCCTGAGCTCAGTTTGCAGATAGGAAGGACACAATGACAGGTCTGCTGGTCTGTGGCAGCAGTCTGTTAAATTCACAGGGGTTCCACATCCTGGCAGATGTCATGAATTTTTAATGTTCGCTCTGAATGAAGAAAAGCCACAGGAAAAATGGAGGGGAAAACTGGAGGAGTCACCCACCACTGCAGGAAACTCTGAAGTTTTCAGGGGGTTAGCAGCTGCATGTTTGCTTTGTTTTATAAATCATGAGGCTCAGTGTGTTCATTAATAATCAACAACTTTCTCTAGGGGTTAAGTTTTACAGTCAAGTTTTAAAAAACTGGGACATATTCCAACCCCTCTATATCTAACCATCTCGTTAAAACCCAGACGATCAATAACTCTGTCATATAAACACATATAACACAAAGCACCTGCCAGTGTCTTCCAGATCAACACCTAAATCTTCTTTTTTTATTTAATCCAATAAAAATACTACAATGTCAAATTAAATATGAATGGGTAGTTGTAGGATTTTGTAAGGAGCTTTTTCTTGGCTGGGTGAAGTGAAATCAAGAGACCCTGCTTCAATCTTGGCGACTTTACACTGGTTAGTTCATTTGTGAGCTTTAATGGAGTTTAGTTTTTGTGGCCTGGGGGAAGGCTAACTCTCTTTCCCCTGTTTTAATTTAATAACGTGCCTGAAAAAGTCAGAGCGTAGCTACACAGTTCCTGATCTTGAATATTTTCCAGCTATGTTTAAAACTTGTTTCTGATTGATCCAAACAAGAGTAAAGCACATTGTACGTCTGTCTGTTGACACCGTGGCAAAAACACTCCCAGTGTTCTTCATTGATAATCATTGTGAAAAAAAAATAATGGTCCCTGTTCTGTGCAGGTCCTTTCTGATTGTTTTCCTCATCGTTGGTGCTTTTCTGCGTGTACAACTTTGACCTGCTCCACTTGTGAGTAGTTTCTCAGTTTTGTCTGTGAGAGTGGGTAAAGTCAAAGTATTATCCCTGAATATAATGCAGTGATACAGTTCTCCCCCTTTATGATCGGACCAATTGATGAGAGCAGCCAATCATAACATGCTGGTGGGAGAAAGGAAATCCTAGATAAAACCACAACTTCAGTTCACTAAATTATAAATGGGACCTTGGGATTTAAGCTCTGAGCCAAGGGTGATAACCTGCTCAGTTTCTGCTTTGTTAGACTGAATCTAACTCCACTTAACCTGGCAAACAACTATTACTGAACACCTTTGCTATGGTGCTCACTCCTATTCCTACAAAGAGAAACAGTCTCCCCTTATCTTTTCATTTATGTCCTGAAGTGGTGTTTTTTTTTACAAAAATCTCAACCTGCTGACTTCTGACAGCGAAGGTTTCCAGTTATTGTGAATATTTTATAAAAAATAAAAAAAAACTTCAAAAACAGAGCTGTTTTTTTTTCTTCATCTGCTTGACTGGCACCTCTCAGCAGTTTCAGATGTTAAAAGTTGTAATATAATACAATAAATTCAAACTTGTCCCTTATTGCCTTGTTTGCTTTTCTTTATCATAAAAAGGCATCAATAAAGATTGTACTCTATTTCATTCATGTCAAATAACTCCTCATAGGAGCTTTAATGTATCAGTGACTTTGTTGAGAATCTAGTGACAGTGACAGTCTACAGCAACGCGGTTGCAGTGAACAGCAGCCTGCAAGAATACAACACTAGTCGGCCATATTTATCTTTTCTGCTTTTAACCCAAAGAATCCAGACTTTTCCCTTTTACCACCCTGTGCTTTTTGAGGAAAAACATAAGATTTTTATTCTTATTTTTCTGAACGCAGCGCAACAGCATTTGGTCATGGCAACACTCACCTAAATTGGGTTGTGGTTGTTTTGGCAAGGAGGAAGAACACAGTTTGACTGCTCACATCAATTGCATGCAATCAGAACAGTTATCTCCCTGCAGGCTGCAAAGTTGCTCTCACGAGCAAAAAAATGTTGCATGCAAGTGCTGTGAAAGCATTCGCCAAGATAATATGCATGCATGCATGTCTGTTTGCATGGTTAAACCTGAGGCTGGTGGTTTTCTTATCTGACACTTGACAAAGAAGCAAATGAGAGCACTTTGAACTGTTCCTTTTTAGTTCCTCTGGCCTTGATAACAGAAAACTACCTCAGAACAATGATTGCACCGGTTTTAACTAAGCTTTAGTTTATTCTGTTAACTTTTTTAGGACATTTTATCTAATTTTATGGAATTTTAAGTAATGATAGTTGACTTATTGCTTTTGCAGTTGCATTGTTGTCCTGTTCTTTAAATTCTGTTGACTTTTTTGCAGTAATATTTCCTATCTTTCTGTTGTAGAGCACTTTTTTCAATATGAATACAGTTAATTATGATAACTGTTATTATTTAAAGACTACTTATCAGTAGCAGGAAGCAGCAAACTAGAAAAAGGCTGAATCCATGGCATCTGCAGTTTTTACTTCACGTGTTCATCGCTGTGGGTTTGTCTGCTAACTCTTGCCTCTCTAGAAACCCTGGATGGCACGAGATGAAGTATGTAGCTTACATTTTGCACTGTGAATTTCTTTCCTGAATATGCAATAAATAGATCATGAATGCCAAAGCACGCAGAGAGGGGATTTTCTTTACTGAGCCTGGAGATTAGTGGTGACAGCCTAAACAGTCTGAACCTATTGAGGGTATAATTCAAGAGGAAAGGCGTTAAGTGTCACCAATTTTGTTTGATTTATACATAAAGGCATGCAAACACAGAAAAAAACGAGTAAAATGTTCCATATGATTATGTGGGGATGTAATAAAAGGCCCTCCACCCTTTTTTATTCTTTGATGGTTTATCTAACGCCCCAGTGCTGTTCAGACTATTTCATGTCTGTCCATAGACTGTATATAGAACGGACGCTGTCTGCCTCCTCGCTGGGTGAAGCCACCCAGAACAGCACCCTCTGGTGACAGGCTGCAGTATAGGTCATAAATCCCGCCTCCGCCAGCAATCCCTATGGAGCTGTGGACAAACTTTAGAAATTTATTACACAGAATATGAATTTTTCTCCCCCCTGCTTGTGATGTTGACATGTAGTTACAGTAAGACTGGTTTGTGCTCAAGTCCTCTTTTTTGCTGTGAAGCTCCGTTTTTAAAAGTTTTTAGGGGGTTCATGTTTTCTAAGATTGACACCTGATACAGCTTATGGGCGTACAAAGGTTGCGTAGCTCACTCGCGAGATACGCTGTTTGAGTCGAGCGGCATCACAGCGACTCTCCCACCAAATACGTACAATGCTACTGTGCAATGTTGGTTTCAGGAAATTCCGAAAAAACACAGAAATACCGAGAGCTTTTTGGCTTCAAATCCGTATACTGTTAGGGCAGAACCAAGTGGTCCATAGTATATACAGTCTATGTGTCTGTCCAGTGAAACAATCTACAATGGCTGCTGCAGAGCATGAACTCTCTTACACATCAACAAAACACACAACTGTTCTTCATGCAGTGCATACAGTATCATATATGCTGCACATATGAGACAACAGCTCCATGATGCATTCACATATTATATCAGCTAATATATACGTCCTAATGAGAGACGAGTGAATACACCTGCTCTTGCCTCTTTCTGCCTCTCATGTTCCACCCAGGCCTTGTGCTCCTCTTTCTTTGGTGATGATGAAGAGATACTGAGCTACATTTACACTGACCACTGCTTTTATGAACACAATAGAGCTGCTGTCTCTCAGTCTGTGCTTCGCTCCCCGCTATGATACCACCTGTCACACCCAACTGCAGCAATTCATCAGCCAACTGTCCCAATTCAGACTGCGGATGAACAATTTAAGAAAAGAAGTTCTGATTTTGTTGGACTTTCTGTGATTCCACTTACAAGATAAGTTATCTCTCAAAAGAATGACCACTTCAGTAGAATTTTAGTTGCAGCTTTTTCAGTTTTTTTTTTAATTGTTTAGAATGACAAAAAAAATTCATACTAACCTGAGCGTCTGAAATGGACACACGTTTCGACTCCACAGTGGGCCTCCGAGCCACCCGAGGTGAAATGTGCGTGTATCCTCCTCCAGAGCCTGACATGTAGGTCCCTTTCTCCTGCAGCGACAACTTCCTCCCAGTCATATGGGGCCGCACCGGATGAGTCCTCCTGCCCTGAATCCCCTCCCTTTGAGCCCCGCCATTCTTCACGCCGTTTGTAGCCGAGCCGTCTGAGTCTTTGGTCGTCATGGCTGCTAGTGTGTCTGTGAGACTGCTGGTCTGTGTGTCAGAGTCAGGGCCCAGCCTCTCACAGACAGGGTCACCGCTCATAGCCATGGCTGGTGTGGAGGTGGGAGGAGCAGGAGCAGGTGGTGAGGACAGTACTGGATGGCGCCCAGCAGCATCAATGTGACCCGGGCCAGCCTGCGGCCCACACGTTCAGGGTCCCACCAGAGCTGGAAGACAAATCGAGAGTCTGAGCTCAGTCAAATACAGGAAGAAAACATGATCACTGAGATGGATGCTTTCAAGTACACAGAGACAATTTCTTGCTCACAGATGCTTTTGGCACAAACTGGACTGGATCAACATGTGCAGCACCGCTTTTCTCTCCAACAACAAGAAACTCAAAGAAGCCCCACCTGGCACGGCTGAAAGCAATTCTCAATCTGCTAACAAGCTGACAACATGTTGATGTTCAGCAGGTGTAATGAGTACTCTGACTGCCTTTGTGTTAAGAATGTTAACGTGCAAACGTTTCAGATGTTGCTGAGGCTTGTGCAACAACAAGAGCACAAATTCATTAACCTCAAAAAAAATCTCAAAGCCTCCATGAGGAACTTTTTTGATCCATGTCCAGTTTGGTACCCCTCCAGGACACAGCAACACTTCACTCTTTGCTTGCACTAGTCCTGCACATGTTGTTTTTGCTGCTTTCTTTTAACAGCCCAAAGTAAAGCTTTTGAGGCTCTTTTTGAAAAGTGCAAAGCAAACTATGGCTTGATTGCCTCTGTAGCTCATTTAGATGTATCCTTGTGTATTTTAGTCTGTTTCATGATCAGTTTAAATACTCCTCATGGGGGCTTTGATTGATTACCAGACTCATTAGATTTCAACTTAAAGAGAGTTAAAATGTCTTTGCTTAATGTGGTTGTAAAATATCTTTTTGTTGTACATTCGTTATAGTAGAAATGACACATTTCCATCTGTATTTTGTGCAAGAAGATCACCACAATCATTAGGCTACATCATCTTGGAACTAACAATCTGTGTTCCAAGCTTTATGGTGATCCATTCATCCAAACCTTAAAAACCCTGCTTTTACGTCACCTCAAAAAAACTAAAACAAAAAATGTTTTTACAAAAAATGGTAAACTTGATTGTAGCAGGATGAGAGTTTTGTCAAAAGACACAATTAAATATGTAGATGACAAGATTACAAAAGACTGCTTTGTCCACAAACTGAAGGTTCCTCACAGGAGCTTTAATGAAACAGACAACATCATCTGTTTTCAAACTCCTGTGAGGAACTTACACTTTTTGTGAATTTGGAACTCGTTAGTGGACAAAGAAGTGCCTCAGAGTTGTGCATAAATCAACATTATAAGCACAGCACAGTGACGTGCTGATAATGTTTTCCAGGAGGCTAAAAATGTTCCCTTAGCTTCGCCTCTTACGGTTGAGTCTGCAGCTTTATTTTGGTGAAACCTCTCTAGACGTCAGTGAGACCACTTTCAGATTTGATTCAATCTTTGTGGAAATTATTACCGGTTTTCTCCATGTAGATTGAAACCTATCAAGACATTTAAAACCAATTTTTCCCTAAAAAACACCTGTGGGACTGAAGTTTAATCAAGCGTTCGCATTATGTGGAAATGCCATCCCTCCTCTGTGTGGGCAGTCTGGTGGGTCAGGTTATCTACAGTAAATATGTGCTCATAATTGAACTAAATGTCCCTCTGATAAAACCCAACAGAAACGCAGCAGCAGCAGAGTTAATTATGTTTCCTGCCTTTGGCTATGACACACTTACAAAAGACTGAAGGTATTGCGTGAATAACGAAAGTGTGTGAGCATACCCAGACATTTAGTGGGATTGTTTTTGAGGACTTCTCCACTTTCATCTACTATGTAAATCAAGCCAGAGGTAGATTGCAACAGAGCGTGACTATCAAAGCGGTCTAATACATCAGGTTCAGGTTTTGTTCTGCAGATGAAAGAGCACAGAAATGCAAAGTGAGTCTGTGAACAGCAATCAAGAGGAGAGGCCACTTTCATCTCAGATCCTGAAACAGCGTCAATATAAGAGGTACCAGCAGAAATCAAGAGGGATAAGTGTGGTGGCTGTTTTTGTTTTACCAGAGGAGCCCCCTGAGTCTGTTTGTGTCATCTCTGGAAGATAAAGACTGAAAAGAAACTATTGAGTTAAATGCAAAGTCACTTACATTAACTTCAGACAGCGGGTGGTCAGTAAATGGGCCATCTCATGCTATTCCTGAAATGTGTCAGGAAGAGAGACCTGTTCAAAAATAACCCACTGTTCTATTTGAACCAGGTGAGTCATACTCATTCATGCACCTGAGCAGATCACTGACTCTAAGTGTATGCTAACATGCTAACGTCTGTTGGTCAGGTGCTCCATCCAGACTGCAGAAAACACAGATGTTTCATGATGTCTCCAACTGGCTCCTACAGAGACAGACTTAGATGGCAGGCCACAATAGAAATGCTGACTTGACCTCAGTTTTGGTCTTTTTATTCTTAGAGATAGAGTAAAAGAATGAAATAAGGTCAACCTAAAATCACAGAGACCACAAAACTATGATGCTGTGAACAGGTGAAGGGATTAGAAGAAGTTTTAAACTAAGATTTTTAAGTTTGTAGGAAAAGGGGGCATTTTAGGGACCATTAAAGCAGCTGATCAGCAGACCTCAAAGATCTCAGGGAGTGTAGTAGGTCAGAGATGTACCAAGGTGCTATGCCATTAAAGATTTAAGAAAAATAACAAGGTCTTGAAATAAATCCTAAAATGACTGCGATAATGGGGTCATGCACTCTCGCTTTCTATTAAAAGTAAAAAGGCATCAGCTGTATTTTATTTTAACACACCCACTCAGCCATACTCCTATAACAAAAACTTATAGGATAATTCTCGTCATGCAGATTATCATGGTGGAAGCATCATGAAAATTTTACCCATTGCACCAACATGTGTTGAAATACAGAGGAATTTCAACACATGTTGGTGAAGCAGGCTGATAAAGTTATGAACAGAAATAGCTGAACCGCCGGATCTAAGTGTTTTTGGTCAGCAAACCCACAGTGGGTGGGCTTCATGTTTTTTGTACAGATTCCACTGCAGCAGAATCAATGAGCCTTTGCCCCATTATAGAGAGATGTGGTGCACATTTTCACAAGAACACAACACTTTAATGTCGTTGATAAATTAACTGCAATTCCTACACAACCCTGAGGCCACAAACAGTCTCTGTAGATTCAGACAGGGAATAGTTTGGAGTCAGACAACAGCCCTCCATGTAATCAACAATAACTTTAACATGCTTTGCTTTCAAGCTTTGCCATGTTGTTAAAAACTCTATTCAAACAGGCTATTTTGTGTAGTATTTTCATGTTAGTTGTTATCCCTTAAATTCTGTAAAGTTACAGTATTCACAAATTTGATCAAATTGTTAAATAATCTAAGTGATGTTTGTGCACAGATGCCATCATAAGTACAAACACGGCCTAACATTTCTGAATAGTACAGTCCCACCGCTGCCACGTGCATCATCTGTGGAAGCGCAGTGATGTATGCAAATTAGTACTTAACACAAAGTTTTGTTGGTCACTAAGTAAACAAATAGTTTCCTGTTGAAAACCAGGCTGATAGAAACCGTTATCAAATGTTAACAACATGCAAACATGTTTTACTTCCTTGTGGTGTTTAATGTAGGAGATTTTGTGATAAAACAGCAGCTTTTATTTAGGGCTCATAAAATTCACCCTTTATAGAGGATTATTGGCTTTTCATAAGGGGGGTAAATGGTGAGCTATGATCTGCAAAAATACATAAACACACACACGCACACACACACACACACACACACACACACATTCACCTAAGCTCACATCATTTGCCCACACTCGCATATTCCAGTTCAATTATGCAAATTGCAAGAGCAGGAAAGAAAAACCTTTTGACTGTCACAGCGAGTGGGGAAATATATTGTGTTACTCCTGACTCATTCCAGTGAAAACAAAGAGAAATGTCATATTTTCAATTTCTCCTCAAAATCAGTAATTATCAATCTGTTGAAACGGGCTCACTCTCTCCATTACTGCAGCAGTGCTGAAATCACTGCATGTGTTACCAGTATCCTGCTACAAGTGAGAGGCAGAGGAGCAGCAGAGGTTTTAAATTAATATTTAGCATCTCTGAGACTTTAATTTGTTTACAGGTGCAGATAACTACACATTTGTTTTCATATTACTGACATTTTTCATTATTCTAACTTTGTAATTCAAATCTAATCACATTACTCTCATCTGTATGGATCCATTTCGTAGAACAAATGGTTGAGAGGAGTGTAAACAGGTTGGGAGTATCTGTTGTACGGATAAAACAGAATGAAAGTCATTCACACAATAATACACAATGATCATCCACAAAAAATGGCTATATGTTCCCTCAAGCTAATACTGTTCTTCAAGTCCTTATATGAAAAGCCCGACTTGTAGACAAAGGGCTGATCCCTCTCTCATCCAAACAGTTCACAGAGCTCAGAGCTGATTGGGAGAATCAATTGTTCAGCAGATGGAGTTTTCTACATACTGATCCCTAACCTTGAACATAACTCTGACCCTGAGCGGCTTTGATGTTCAGCATAAGTTACCATGGTGATCTACCCTGGTAGGGAACGAAGCAGCTTTGTATCACTAAAAAGCTGAAGTTACCTTGAAAACTTTATTTCATGTTCCACAGTAGTAAGGTAGTGAGTGAGGTAGAGCTAAGATGGGTTTTTAGCATCCTGGAGGCAGCTATAACACTTGTCATATAGACTAATTGTCAACTCAGCAGGGGCCCCTCATAAGCATATATGATGGCAAGTCTTGCTCTTTCAAGAATTGCATTTTGCTTCATTCCTTCCTTCAGCTTCAGCAAAATGGAGGCACACTTTGGACCTCTTAGCACATCCAGCCATCGGGACAAGCCACAGATCACCAAAACTCTCCTTTGTGTACTTTTATGCTTGTTCGTGTTAAAAAACTTTATCAGACAGTATAATTATTTGGGTGAACCATTGATTGAATAAACATGACTCAACTAAACTCACAGTATTAAATCATTTCATAGGACCCTCGGCACCCTATAGCAGACTTCATAAGCTCAAATATAATTGATTTTTGGGTTCTTCATAGTTCCGTTTATCAATCATAATCCCTACACCTGACTTTGTTTATTCTATTATGAACTAGTGGTGTCCCGATACGATATTGATATTGGTCTGATATCAGCAAAAAAAACGGATATCATATTATATCGACCTGATTCTAAAATCCGCACTCCAATACAAGCAGTCCATTCCAGACTCCGCTCCAACACCTCTATATACCAGTGCCCTGATCCAGCAGGCTGAGCCCACAAAATCACAACAACAGCGTGTACTGAGGTACTAACAAAGCAGCAAGGAGTAGGAGTGATGTCGGCTCTGTGGCAGTCATTTTTGTTGAAGTCTGAAAAAGGCATTGCAGCTGAGTGAAAAACTTGTTATGCACAATTTTGTGCCAATATCGGATCAGTATTGGTATTGATCAATATTAAAGGCTACAATATTGGTATTGTATTGGAAGTCAAAAAGTTGTATCGGGACTCCCCTAATGTTACCTTCCACCAAATCTACGTTTGGTCTGTCTCCTTTGCAGCAGCAGCAGGACTAAAAGGTTTTCTCTCTAGTCAACGTGTCGACTGCCACCAGCTCCACTGTTTCTGCTCCTTGTCAGCTCTGGCCCACCCCAGCATGTACTGTTCCTCATTTTCAAGATGCTAAAGCACAGCACATCAATCACTGCAGGACAGAATGAGCAACACAGGAAATCAGACACCAAAAAGCATAAAAACATATGGTCATTCTGGAATGAAACACTCCCTGTTGACGCCAGATTGTGTTTGACTTAGCATAGGGTCAAACCACAATGGAGCAAAGATGGACTGAACAAGGATTTGGTGGAAGTAAAGTAAAACAGAGTAGATCTATGACTGGCTGTTAAAGACATGTTACTCTGACATAATTCGCCATCCAGACAATAAAGACATTTTACATTTCAGCAAAATGATGTTAAAAAAATTCTGTAAAACAACAATATAACAACAACATGCGGTAGAGTCCAAGAGTAACATTATTCATACAAACTATTAAACCTTGATGCTCAAAATCTCATCTCAGTGTACTTTGTTGTCACGTACAAGATGGACTTATTTATCCGCTGAAGTTATTGATGGCACTGCGCTCATGAGTTTTATGTACTATTATGAGATAAATATAAAAACTTGTAGAGTGGGGCACAGCAAGGAGCAAAATTAAATCCAGCTTATTTGGAGATGCTCATATTGTGCTGCTAATGGAAGCAATTAAGAAGATTGATGCTTTCTCTCCATAAAAAAGGGTGCCAGAGTGAGTAAGCTTCAATATTTAAACAAAAATAATTGAACCACATCTTTTTATAATTACATAAACAAACCCTGAACAAAATAAATGGAAAGGTTAGAGCAGGAGGAATCTGAATACGAGCTCTTTCATAATGCTGCCATCTTTTAATAGTTTAGCAGGAAAGAAGCTTCAGCAGAGCCAATTACGGGACGAGGAGGAGGAGGAGGAGGAGGGGGAAGAGGAGGAGGAGGACAGAGTGGGCTGAAAGGGTGAACAAATGAATCCATCTGGCTCCATTAGTAAACCACTTTCACCCCTAACCTGGCTGCTATTCGTCTCAGTCACCATTTTGTTGTGTGCAGGAAGCAAACAGAGACGTGCAAGGCCAAGACTAAAATCAAATCCTTCATTTTCTGCCAGAAGGACGGACAGAGGAGGTCTAACTAATGCACACAGACTACTCTTACCAAAACAAAGTATACCTCAAGTACATTCTATGAAGTATACTGAAGTTCATTTAGTATACTTCCAAAAGTATACTTTGTAAACTGATAAAATATACCAACAGTGTACTTTTAGGTAAACTTCCTGAGACTTAATTGGTGCAATTTTAGTTCATAAAAATAGACTTGAAGCATACTTGAAAGTGAACTTCTTCGTATACTTTTCAGCTACTAGTAATAAACTTCAAGTCCCCTAGTTTATAAAAGTATGCTCTGAAGCATCCTTTTTTTCAGTAGGCTTTTTTTCCCTTTAATGGGACAGAGGAGAAATGCAGAAGATAGAGAGAAAGGGGGGATGACACGCAGCACAGAGTCGGGGCTGGAATCAAACCCACTACCACTCCCAACATAGGGCACCCCTTAACCTGCTCGGCCATCTGCATGCCCACTCTGAAGCATACTTAAAGTTATCTTTATGGTATGCTAGTATTTCAATAGAAGTAAATATTTACATACTTGGCTGGTGCTGCATATCTTTTTAAGAGTATTTAACTTTTAAAAAGATCAGCAGTACAAGCCAAGTATACTTAAACCTAAGGCACAAATGCATACTTAAGTATATCTTCATTAAAAAGTTTAAGTATAGGTTAAATTTATTGAGACTTTTAGTATAATTCTTAGTACAAACCCATTTCCCATTACATTAACTTTGATAAGTATATCTCTGAAAAGTGCATAAAAAGCAAACTGAAAGCATACTTCGTCAAACACAGTATACTTGAAGTAAACTCAAACATACTTCTATTTGGTAAGGGTACCATTCATCAGGTGAATGCTTCTTACTGTTGCTCCTGCATTTTTGTTATGTAATTATGCCTCCACTGAGAGTCTGTGAATGTCAGGTACAGCATTTATTTATCTGTGAGCTGAAGTATTGGAGTTGAGTCTCAATACTGACTGACCTGACGCACCAGCTATGTCAAAAGTTTGCTTCAAAACAGTCTTGATCAATACAACTGTACAAAATGTTGAGGGCAGAGGGCAAGGCTGTACACCATGTAGAATTTAGCAGCATTAGCAGCAAATGAAATGTATTAAGAAAAAGATCTAATCAGTTTAGATTGAATGGAAAATCATAATTATTTCTTTTCTGATGACTGATAAAAGGCTCTTTATATTATAGAAGCAGCAGGTCCTCGGTTTTGTTAACTAAGTGACTGTGTGAGACGTGCTGGTCAGGGAGCTGAGAGGACAGAGTGAGATAGGTTGTTGTCGTGCAAATGAATTTGTAGTGATAAAGTTTTTGATCTTACAAACTTGACAAATAGAGGATCAGATTTATCATGCGTCACTGAACCTTGGATCTGAGTTAATCTGAGTTTTTGTCCAAAAAACAAAAACATGAAGAAATAAAAAAGAGATTGGGACAGGTGATAGCTGAAAATGAGGGTTAACATCAGTGTTCCCGTCCCTAGATGGAAAATCCTAATGACAAATTTATGATCGAGGACCGACACTGAAGTTTTCTGCTGGATGGGTAAGAGAGGGTTTATTCATTTAGAGTTAGTTTACAGAAAACTGAAGCCTGAATGATCTCAGTTAGAGCGTCTTTCACAGATCCTGCTAATGCTTCCTCTGAATGATAAGAGTCAACTATGCTTTGTTTAGCATTACTCACTAGTGTCAGCTTGAGTTACCAAAACAATAAAAACCCATAATCGATATCACAGAACTGAGCGGTAAACTATAGTTATTTGGATCAAATAACTAAAAACATCACAATCTCATCCCTTGAGATAGTTTACTTAAATCTGTTGAAGGTGACAGCATCTTTATTGCAAAAATCACTTTTTGGTTCTGTCCACCGTTGCCTTGGTGACAGGAAAGGTTGATAAGGAGCGTTTTACTCCAAAGTCTTACAGCTGGATGCTAATAAATATCTTAAATCTGCACACTGCACTTTAAAAGCATATGCTTGGTACTTTATTTCTTTGGCTCACTATTGGAGGAGTTTCCCACCTTCTCCTTTCTCTTCATGCTCACCATTCTTCAGTAAAATGGCAAAGTTGAGTCAAAGTTGTTCACCTTCATAATCATAAGCAATCAACTCTGATTGTTCACTGATTACAAAGACAGTCTGCATGGTAATAACGTTCAATCAACCCAAGCTCCTCTTTGAATCTGCATAATAGATGAACGCAGGCTGAAAGGTGAAATTTGTGTCTCTTTGCAGGTTTCCTGTAATGTGTGGTACATGTTGAGGGATTGGAGACGCATGTTCATGTGGTGGTATTAGTGAACTACAATCTCTATACAGCAGTGTTGTGATGCTTAAGATTTAAGCATTGACTATGCTATGACTTGGAGGATGGCAGGGAGGACTTTTACTAATTTAAAGGCTGTGTTATTGATTTTTTGACTTCTTTTTAGTAAGCCCTCTGAGTATTCAGTTTGGAGTAAAGCTGGACGTGTTCACCTTCCTCTGCATTCATTTGCTGTCTCATTTAGCAACAGTTCCTGCCAAAAATCACAGGTTTTAATTTCAAAGATCTCACAGGAACATGCAAGCAACAGCAGAGTAGCATGCTGAGCATGTTAAAGATCCACAGAGATGAAGTCAAGACAGACATAAATGAACATGTGTCAATGATGCACCCAGAAAGCAAAGTGAGATGCTAAAGTTAGCCTTAGACTGTTGATTAAAGGAAATGTCAGCAAGAAGTCTGTGAAATGAATTTAGAGCTCTGAGTGCAGAGAACTGCTGACCATAGCAGCACACACACATACACACTCTCTCACACACATGCACCTGGATATACAGCAAAGTAATCTGACCAAACTAAGTAAATGTCACGTGATGAAAAGAAATTAAATGTCTTAGCTCACAGCTGAGAGAACAAACTGAATCATTGAGCTTTGATCCCTCCTGTGCTTCACTGAGGGCCAGAAACATTTACAGCCATGCTCCTGCCAAGGCCGTTTGCATACATTACTCTGCTGGATCTCTGTGCAGCAAGCAGCCTGGGTCTCTGCAGGGTAACCTTTACATCTTTATGTTGATTTCAATGTTTATGTCCGGGACAGAAAACCATAGAGACAGATACCGTCAGTGCAATTGACTGCAGTGACAGAACACAGCTTTACCTTCACTTTTCACACAAAGGAAGAGAGAAGTGACAGCTTATTAAAAAGAAATGTCAGGAGTAATTCAGAATATGATTAAAAGGCACTCCCATCTGATGTACAGTACTAAACAGATTAACGTCAGTTCGACCTGTTGAGATTTTTTAATCAAGACATTAGTATTATAAATTTGACTGTATTGAATACTTTATCCTTATTTAATTCAAGTTAATTAAAAAATAACAAGGATTCAATGCTCCTCAACTGAGTCATGGCTGTTTATCCAATAAAGTGCTAATTAGATCAACACTTAGCTTCTTTAGACTGCAAGCATCCTGTTTATCTCTATTAGAGGTGACAACGTTCAACTGCAGGAATTTTACTGAGGACATGGACAGATTTCAAGAGCTCAATTTTTGAAGAGATCCAAATCACCTCAGCCTCATATTTCACCAAGTGATAGGGTTTTATGTACATAAGAATTGAAAGAGTGCTGGAGGAGGGTTTATTTCATAGTTAATCATATCATTTAAGTCTTATCAAATCTCTTTTATTTTATAGGATTTTATTTTCATGATTGAAATAACACTAAAAGTCTACCGGCAGCTACTCGGCTGTTACACCAAGGGTTAGCATACTGGGCTCCAAGTGTTATCAGCTGTGGTTGTTTTGGGTAAGTGAAGGTTTACATTGCTATATGATGACAATAAAGCTGTTATGATACCAGACTGTCACCCTACAATTGTCATGGCAATAAAATTTTATGATGACAAATTTTTGGAAACTTAAAAATAAAACAACACAATCAGTCAAAATGAAAAAAAAGGTAAGACATGGGCAGAGACACAGTTTATTCCATAACCTTACTAATAAAAGCAATTTATCTAAATGTTATAATCAATTTCTTACAGTGTTTAAGTTTTTTGATGTATCATGTCACCATGAACATTTTCCAAAGAAAATATTCCCTCATAAATAATGTTTGTCAAGCTTTCAGTTTGATTTTCTTCCCTGTCTTGTTTTTTTAGGTTGCTTTATTTCCCACATGGTAGAACTATGCTCTTATTTTGAAGTATAAACTAACTTCCTGCAAATCATAAATTGCAAATCTGGATTTTTTTTTTTTAAATAATGGCTATAGAGCATAAATATAAGTTGTTTAGTAACTCAAAGATACACAAGCCCTTATATTGTTTGCATGTGCGATGATAGTCATTCAGTATCTCTACTTAAATGGGCCCCTCTCAAATGAGGGCCCTGTATACACTGTGACTCTTCACACTACTCCATAATGTAAAGTAGTAAGAGAGGCACAATGGTGACACTGCAAACACTGAAGCCAGTAGGTGTGTCTATGTGGGGCAGGTGCTGTTTGTTGACATGTTTCACCTTCTTCTGCTCTCACGATGCTGTAATATTGTAAAACGTCATGCACAGGGAACACAGTAATAGCACTGCGTAGTTTACACAGTTACATAAACAGTAAAGTCAAACTACTGTGGTGATTTAATTGGACCACAAACCCAGTTTACAACACTGAGCAAGCATTGATTTATTGACAAATGTACGTCCACCTCCACCTCTAGTAGATCGTGAGTTGCCCCCATTTTAGCTCAGTCCTTTAGGCCGTCTCAAGGTTGAATTATGTCTCATACAAAACAAACAACAAAGAACCTGGCCAGAGACTAACTGGCTGTATGTTGAAATAAGAAAACATGGACTACTTTACAGCTCTGTACATTTGGCACCTGTTTTTTTTTTTTTTTTTGTTAAAAATTAGATGCATCTTGTCTCTCTGCCAAACAACAATGCCAGCTTTCTTCTACATATTTATGTTGGGTCAGAGCCCAGCATATTGACTGGGGAGCCCACACAGAACGCCTTGGCCAGTTTGGAGCCAATTAAGATGTAAACAAGCAAGAGAAAATGGATAACTAATAAGATTATCAAGGTTAGAAATTTGACTTAGTGCAATTTCAGTTAGATTGACATGTTTTTAAATATTTTTAAGTACAGCTTTAGTTGGATTGACACAAATAACATGCATCTAACATGTAAAAAAAAAAAAAGGTAGATTGATGAAGAGACATTGAACTCTCAGTTGTACCCAGTCAAATATGTGGAAATGCAAACAAATACTGATGGTTCACTACAACAGCAGCCTCTGCTAAGAGTGTGTGAAGGAGTGAGTGATGTAAAATAGCTGCTATAAATGTACAAGTCAATTAAAGACATGGTAGGGAGTTTCTAAGTTTAGAAACAGAGTTGAAGACCAACTCTGATTTAAATCATGTTCTTCTTGTCTATATGTTCATACAGCATTTTTCTGATGCTATATCATGAGGAAATTATGAGTGCAAAATTGCATTTCTGAGTATTTCTGCATTCAAATAATTACGAATCTCTGGCAGACCCAAACGGGTGATTGTGACAGTGGGATTTTCTACGTCTTCTGTCCATGCCTCTTGAGCTCCACTCTGCAGGCTAGACTCTGAGAAGTAGAGAGGATGATGGTGGAACAAGTGTGTGCAGTAGCAGATTGCAATGGTTGAAAGAAATCTAGTTATGATATTAGCTTTCATCATGCTCCCAAAGACCTACTGTATTTTACCAGCCACTTCTGCTGCACCTGTAAAATTAGGCTGCAAGCTAACGTGAAGAGGAGGGTGCAGAGCAGCGCTGTCTCCGCCCATGACACAAAGGCGAATTGCTAATGAGCTACTGGAGCTCTGCAGAAGAAGAGCCCTTGAAAAAGAAATCACAGTTGTAGGAGAACTGCCAGTTATAAAGCTTACCTAGTACTGTTTGCACAGCCAGCTAACTGTCCGTCAGAAATAATTTCTTGATAATGCTTCGTATTTTTTTGTTTTTGTTTTTTTTCATGTGTTTAATAGTTGTGGTTTTGAACTGCAGTCAATGAGTCACAGCTCTTGCGGACACTCAGCTCAGTTGTTGTATCTTGATTAGCAGTTTTTGCATGCATCACCTTTTAAGTGCTTTTGGATTTGCATTGCTGATGATGCATTTGCAGCACATGTTGTTTTATCACAGTATTATTCATTTGCAATGCATCTCAGTAGACCTAATTGCTTTTGTTAACAAATTTGCATTCTCTGAATCTGCAGCTCATTTCTCTTGGTGAAGACTGTTGGGATATTGCAGATGGGCGAGCCTCACAATCTATAGTTAAAATGACCCTATTTGCCAGACCATCCACACTCCCACAGTCTTGAGAAATTATTAGATTGGAAAATTAGCAGTTTTAGATCAAGAATTTTAAATAACCTTAAATTTCTACATTCACCCAGATCTTATGAGTGCTTGACTAGACTCAATTTTCATCAAATTTTTAGTGTGTCAGGAAAAGTTTCTCAGTTGATTTAAATTTGGGACAGAGCTAGCTCAAACAAGCACAGATGTGTCCTCTTAACATAAAAAGCTCTTATGTTAGTGAGCTTTTTTCTCCCCCTCCAGCTGCTCTTCCTCCTCACCCTCCCTGAGCCCACAGGTTGATCAGGCTTTCTCTTCTGTCGCCTTCCCCTGTCACGTCTCATCTGCCTCACACCAAGGATATAGGTCACGCTGACTGCTGCGGAAACAAAATGCAGGAGAGGGCAGGGCGGGAGACCCAGCAGGAACATCCACTGGCTGATCCTGATGGATGATAGAGCGAGCCGCCGGAACAGCTTGGATTTGCATGCACACACGCACACGCCTACACAAACACACAGAGATAGACGTGATTTTGTTTTTTTGTAAGAGGGATTAAGGGCGGCATTTCATCCCATATTTACAAGCCTCTGCACACCAGAATAAGCGCTTCCTTGTGTCCTTCTTGTTGAGGGATCGAACCGTAAGCAGTGATTACGCTGAGTCATTTCTGACTGGGGGAGTCTTACTCATATTGAACAGAGAGTTCAGCAACTTAAAACACTGACAGAGAATAAGGATCAGAATCAAGCTGAGATTTAAGGAAACCAAGCACCTGAAATTCTCATTAAAATATTCAACACTTAAAGACAAAACAACACATCAGTATAAAAAACAGTGATTTTGCTCCACAGCAGCTGCCAGCAGAGAGTGGACTACACCGCCCAGAGCACTTTAGTGATCCATTCCACTAGAAACATCACATCCCTCCCAGAGTGTCTTTTTGAGGCTTAATACGATCTGACTGAAAAAAAACACAGTGAGGTTTATTTCATTCATTTTCACAGAAATGTTAAAAAACACCAAACAGCAGGATGAGAAACTAGTAAATAATATAATCTGGAATAAACAGAAATCAATTTTAAGAGTTGGTTTAGCCATGCAGGCTTCATGGTTTAATCATAGCTTTAATTTGTGTGAACCATGTGGCAGTTTCCCAAGAAAAATAAAGGATGTGTTTATTCTGCAAACACCCACTTGTAAAATGTGTTTACATTTAACTGGCAGACTTGGAGTAGCCAAAGCTAATTTGACTCTGGATTATCTTCAGCAAAGGAGGAAACAGTGTGATGTTACTGCAAAACCACAGCATGCCTCGGCTTGCCTCATGAAACAGACCCAAAGTTATTTTCACCATGACAACGGTAGATTCCCAGCAGTTACCAGGAGGTTAAAAGTGCAACGACGTTCAGTGTTATCTTAAATTTTTTCAGCCTAGAATTTGATATTTCCATGCTCAAGTAAATATTCTACAGATGGTCTGCTGTATTACGCTTTGTCACCATATTCCCTTTAGATCCATTCTAATGAACCCCCAAACTCAAACACACCATTGTAAGTCCTCTTAGAATCAAACTACCAACCTTTAAATCAGACTTTTACAAACCATGACCTGTCTCTGGACATGAGTGAGCCATATCTATGCAATAGTGTGCTCTCTAAGGACACTCATAATACGTGCTCATCACATTCAATATTGCATTTATCAAACACTAAGTGAAGGATTAACTTAAATTGATCTCACAGTGATGCATCAAATGTGAAAAACTTCTAAAAAGACTGTATTTGTTTTAATTACTCATCTGTTTTAAAACCAGTCAAAACCGTGTAAAAACAGAAACTTCCAACATCAAAAGCAAGCTGGGGGCAACCTGATCACACACGTCAAATTAAATCAATATACAGAAGGGAGTCTGATGTTTCACATCTACTTTTGACACTGTGGCAAAATTGCAACCTTCCATTAGTTATTTGAATTTGTTTTTAAGTTCTAGTGTGGATGTGAGAGCAGCCTGAGAAGCTACTGGGCCGCAACTCTCTTAGATAATATAGCAAGATCCCGTCCTGCAATCCAGGCAACAGCAGAAGAGCTGGTGAGAGTATCTCTAAGTTATCAATCACCACAAAGTAACTTTAACCTTAAGCAGTGGTGAAATTGCTCTATTTGTAAAAGTTGAGACACATTATGTGTCAGTTTAGTTTAAAGGTGTGTCCACTGGAGAGGTCCGGTTTACCTTGTCTGCCCTGACATTCCTCTGTCAGACATGTTGTGTTTAATATTGAGTGTTACAAACAAGAGAGCTTCTGTTTTTACATCAATTTCAGTCGTGAGACTACTTTTCCTACTTTTCTGGCACCCAAAAACACAAGACAACATTTTGCAACTCCCATGACACCTGCTAAGCTGTGGCAGTGATCTATCTGCCACTTTTGTTTTGTCTTGCCTGCAGCTAATACCGTGACGTGGTCATGACGTCAGCCCCAGGAGGGTCTATTAGTCCCCTGTAAGACCAGACACTGTGTCTTTGGTGCATAGGCATGTGAAAACTAACTATGACTGCCTTAGCTTAAGTACTTAATACCCTCAAGCAAACACAGCCCAGGTCCTGTCCCACATAATGATGAAGAACAATAAAACTGACAGTGCAGGAAGTTCACATCTGTCAACAAAACCACCTACGCAACAGTAGCCTTAAACACACAGGAACTAAAACCATAATTGCAGCACTTTCCTTTAGAAAAGTCTTTCCTGTGTGTTCACCTGTCAAAGGCTAATCCCTGGAACTCTTTAATTCAATCTAAAGGATTTACAGGCAACAGAGTGAGACACAACTAGCTCTATCTGTAAACCTGTTAAACCCATTCTTTCACAGCCAATCAATGGGACGTGATGAGAAAAACTGGCAGCCCTGCTCCTCAGGACAGACACCAGATATCTTGTCCATGAGAGGGGATCAATCTGACTAGACAGAAATACTCTCAGGGACAATCCCAACCAAATCCAGGGCCACCCTCTCTGAGGATGGCTGCCTCAGGCAATTATAAGCCCAGGATTACACAGGATATAAGAGTGCAAAGTGGCAAGTTGGCTGAGCCAATTATTTCTCCTCTACTCACACTGACAATGACTCTGCAGCAGCTCCGAGCATAGATGACCTTCCTGGAATCCAAACTATGTCGTCTGACAAGGATCTCTCGAACAATAGGAGACCGCCCACCATCCACGCAGCAGACACATTAAAACCCAGCTACAAATTTTAGTCATAGAGGACTCTCACAAAAATGTTCAGGTGGGGCGAGCCTTAATGCTGACTCTACCCTGTCCTTGTAGGACCGCTCAGGCTGTCCGATATCAGCTGCTCTATTTTTAGAAGAGTTCGTCAGGCAGAGGGAGCAAAGGGAGTCTGAAAGTGTTAATATATAAAAGAAACAGAAATCCATCCTCCATCCACCCTGAAAAAATCCTATTCAAAGGTTTCAATCCCGCCATGCTGGAAATCTGTGATGATGTGAACCTGCAGAGGATTATCTGCTGCTGCTGAAAATGAGAAGCCATCCATCTTTGCCGTTGGGAGTGGTACTCAGTGCCCTCTAAATCCCTCAGAGAGCCACAATATCCCAGCTATCTCTATCCCTGCTTGTGGCAGTTAGAAACCTGTGGTAAAGTGGCAGGCAGGCTGCCAGGTCAGTCCTGAAGCCGGATACAGTTGCAGCTTATACGTGTCGAGCTGTCTGGCTCGGATGTAGTCAGAAAACAGGTCCAGCTTTGGAAATTACCTTCTGATGCCAAAATGCATTTTACATGAGCAAGATCGGGTTAAAGATACAGATTAAAAAAATGTATTTACACAGTGTATCAAATCAAATATAATGAATTTTGTTTGACATTAAGATAGACAGTTTGACAAATGTTTGCCACTTTGTATTTAGAGTTGGTCTGACAGTGCATGGCTTCTAAAACACATCTGAGACGGTCTTTAATGCAGTTTTAGTCGGTCAGTGCACCTGTCTGAAACCTTGAGTATCCCCACCAAAAATGGACACTGATTTTATAACCCTACAGTCACATTATGAGAGCTACTGACCACTTTTCTTCAAGTGAAACCAAGGAGAACATATTTCAGATAAGCTATTCGTTTACAATGAGCCAACAACAATTATTAGCACTGAGTACATAACCAAAAAAAGTTGGTGATAAAACAGATTTTGATGGTTGGCTAATCGATCAAAAGGGGTGGTATTTAGGGATGTGCGTGGTTATTCGGATATTCATGTAAACTGGGCTGTCCTTACTATCCATTTAGTAAATAATATTAAAAAGAAAAGGGGAAAAAAAAGAAGAAAAGTGAAAAAAGTTCCTTTTTTAAATTAGTTTTTTACTGTCATGTCTTAATAAAAGTGTGCATTAAACGAGCTAAAATGTGTGGATCATTTGCGTGCGACTCTTTCTGCCTGGCTCGCTATTCTGGGCTCGCAGCGTTGGCCTGCAGCATGCATGGCATCAAGGGTTAACTTCCTCAGATTTAATCAACACATGCGATCGGCCAGAGCGATGTCGGTGAGAAAAAACAGCAAAGTTTAGGTCTAGTTTAGAAAATAAACATTGTTGAACGTGATGTTGTCTAACTCTGAAGACTCTTCATTTTGTGCTTATGGTGTGAGGCAGGCCGATGACGCAGCAGGCTGCTTGGCTTGAGCGCAGCGGAGCTTAATTGCTTTGATCTTTCACGTACTATATGTCATTCTCCAGCGCTAAAATAAGATTCTGTAACATATTTTGATATTATAGGCATGGCTTTCATGTACTCTTAATATTTATTTCAGATGATATCTGGCCATATAGATCGACATGTGCTCAATTTGGGCTTTTTTCTGGGAGTTAATTAATTTTCTTGTATTCGAATATTCGGTTTCAAAATGGTCGTTAAAACGTCTAGGGAACATCCCTAGTGGTATTATGCTTTTCCACATTTACATCAAAAACTGCAACGTTTTTTTTTGTTAAAATGGATTGTTACACCCCTAATGAGTGGCAATGAGATGCCACTTGTTAGGGGTGTAACAAAAAATGTGTCAAATGTCACCCCTCACTTCAAATTTTGGAAGTCTTTTGCTGCAAAACCATGCCACACAAAGGCCAAGATACTATCAGCAGTATTTAAAGGTATAAGACCAGCTTGACAGAGGTCGACATTTCAATGATGAATGGGACATATCCACTAAACCAGTTGTTGAACCAGTAACTGTTTTCCAGTCTTGTGGCGTTGTCACATAAAAAGCACAGACTAACATCACTATCATTACATCCACGACACTAGTAAAGCTTTTAAGCCGACTATGACTGGTTTGAAGAGTCAATTTCATTATCTTCAACGTTGATCCTCTGAGAAATGAGCAAGAGGCTGAAAGCTATTCTAGTTTTGATCATAATCCTAATAATCCTGGTATACAGTCTCATAGCTGGTGCAAATACAACAGCAACAAAGAAATAACTTGAACTGACAGTGCAAGCTCCCCTTGAGATTAACAGACTTTGTAGTCATAAATGATCATTGTATTAAAAGCATTAAAATTATAGTAGAAAGTGTTCCCAGGTTTCACACACACACATTTTCTGATCTCCGTCTTGAGAAAGACAGACAGATTGTCACCTCTTTGCCTCAAACAAAATGTGAATTTCATACATATCATAAAGGAGATTTCTCCTGTTTTTCAGTCTGTATTATATAAAATATGATCACACTTCACACTCTGAGCAAAATAACACTCAAAATGATGAACAGGAGTCAGTAAAGTGACACCTGATGTCATCCTAACTCAGCTCAGAGCCACAGGTGATTTACCCTCACTGTGTGTTTTATGCATGGTGTGTTTATGGTCCAACAGGTGCAACCTGACTGTGCGATGTCCTGCAGGTGCAAATTATAGTATACTACATCTGTCTAAAATGGCAACATGACTAACAGCATGATGCTGGAAGCCTTTGACTGTGAATTAAGACCTAATGAGCACAATTAGTCATATAATTATATACATGTGTTATAGAAGGCTGTTTCAAAGAGCAGAGACCGCAACAGTAACCAGATTTTCTCTGCATGACATAGGATGTCAATCCCCTTCATGTAAGTCACATTTAATCATCACTTGTTTTGGAGAGCTCCTCCTAAACTGTATTACCCAGAATTCTGACTGTGAGGGAGGATGAAGAGCATCTTCTTCCAGCTAATCTGTCTCTCATGCATTTCAGACATAAGAACAAAATGTTGATTTCTTTCAAGTTCTTATCTCTTTGGAGCAGGTTTCTGAAATGCTTCTGGTGATTTACGAAAAAATAAAAAACAAAAAAATCAAGCAAACAAAGATGAAAAAGCACTCTTTGGGAAACTGAGCCAGACACATGAGGGTGTGTGTGTGTGTGTGTGTGTGTGTGTGTGTGTGTGTGTGTGTGTGTGTGTGTGTGTGTGTGTGTGTGTGTGTGTGTGTGTAAAGGTCACGGGCAGAGCAGTACAGAGGCTTCAGAGTTAACAGGCTGCTGGTATCACAGCAGCAAATGTTTGGCCCAGCAGCACTCTAGTGACTCATCTATCTATCCTTTAATCCCTGAAGGCAGAGAGGACTATTGTTTACATTAGTTACTGATACTGTGCAAAAAATGTGCAGCAGGAGATAACTGTTCATTTTGCACTAAGAGAATAAACTCTAAATGCTAAGAATGAACATAATTTCAAGAAAAAAGTCAAGGTTGAATTTCAAGAAAAAAATACTCAAATTGCAATGTGTAGAAAAAGTTGAAATTTAGAGAGAAGTAAAAATCTAAATATTCGGGAAAAAAGTTGACAGTTGCCAGGTGAAGATCATGAGTCTAGGAGGCAACTGTTATGGTTATAACTGTTAGGGTCATATTTTGTCTGCAAAATGCTTTAGAGCAGTGTTTATCCCTGTTTTCAGCAGTTCAGAGTCTAAAAGATGTTTTTTTGTAATGTTTTTTATGGCATCCTTGTGACAAAAAAGAGAAGCACAAACATCAAACATTTCAGTTATATTCTCAAACTTCCCTGAAGTTTGCATCAGCTTATGGATAACTCAGTAAAACAGTTCAGTTGCTGATGCGTCAGACACTGACATGAATAACACCTTGAGTCATATGCAATAAAGCAAACATTAAAGCGTAACATTACAAAAAGCTGCAGTAAAACACTGTTTGGCTAGCTTGAGTTTGTTCCCAGCTCTTCTCTCTCTGCTGATGTGAATCGTCATTAAACGGGCTGGGAGCTGCTTCAAATTAGTAAAATGTACAAAGTTTTATGACTGATCAAAAACAATGCCATAAAGGAAGACTAAAGAAAAGCCATTTTTGTTCAATGTGTTTGCGAATTCAACCATTTTAGTGAAACTCAGAACTGAATTTCAACTTGGAATAAGTGTTTCTGCGCTGGTTATAATCATGTGTTTTTAACTGGTTCTGTTTAATGTCCAGTGGACTTCAACCTGTTTTCATGTCTTTCATGTTGTTTTTATTGTGAGCTGGATGAATTTATGTTTTGCAGCTGACTGCAAAGTATATTGCCTCTTACAAGGATGATAAAGGAAACCTTTTACCTTGAGCAGGTCAGGTCATGAGTCCTTAAAATCAGGACTGGGTTGCACCAGTTATGCGTAAGTCCAAACTTACAACGTCGATCTTACACTACAATTTGAGTAGGCGCAAAGTCCCTTTTTAAATACAGGCTGTCATCATTTTTAAAAGATGGGATAACTCAGAAGAAGATGTGGCTTGTTTTTTTTGTGTGTGTGTGTAGGCGACGTGATTTCTGCAATAGATTACTTCAATCAACATCATATTTTGATCTGCACTCCAACTTTTGTTTTTCATGAGCAAAGAACGTTGTAATTTTACTCCTTACATTAACCTTGTCACCATGTCATTAATATTCGTCATTTTTCCACCTTTCCATAGCTGCTGGTTGACTAATGTGAGTAAACGGCTGTGATTCGCCTGTTTAGAGGCAGTCGGGCGTAACAGTTAACACTTTAACAAACATAAAGAGAATAGCTTTTCTCTGATTGGCTACTGGAAGTGTAAACATCATATCAGCAACAAAGTTAGTTTGAAAGTCTACAAGTCGACCATAAATCTGTGTGATGCAACCAAACAGAGGTACAACTTAGTTACAACCTGACTGCTTTCAACAATGGTTTAGTGTGGACTTAACACCCTAACAGAAGAGACAGTTTACACACAGCTCATAAAATAGGCCATGAGATTTTAGTCAGACTAGAGTGCAAGTCATAGATATGAGTTCAGACACTCTGGTAATTTTTAAATCACCTGTGCTTGAACAATATTATTTTCTCACATTTTATGTCAAAATATCAAATCAAAAATTCATTCAACTTAATGACGGACTGCAAAAACTTCTTCTTCTTTAGCTCCTCACAACATCGTACAGAAACATTGACCTGATACTAAACTACTGTTCTGTCCTCTTTGGGTAACCATGGCAGAACATGAGTTTACTACAAGACAGAGCTTCACAATGCGCTGTGAAATTCACCTAAAATTCTGTACACAACTCTCACTTTATCACCCAAAACCCTTTTTAAACCAGGCTACTATAAATTTCTCACCGTGTTCTAGTTTAGATTTTCTTCCAACAGCATGTTTGCCTAACTCCTCTGCAGAAACAGAGTTTGAGCCCTCTGAGCTGTGAGCCTCTTTCTGCCTTCATCAATTATGTTATTAGCAGCATTGAGGAGTCTGTTATTTTGCACCCTGGTGCCAGCTACAAAGAGAAATTTTGATGCAGGAGCCAGGAGAGCAGAGTCGAGGTTGGTCTTTCCTGCAGAAGAGGAACAGTTTGAGCACCAAAATAGGTTCTCAAAAGCATAGCTTACTTGAGTCAGCTGGCCCTGGGTCAGATTCTGCTTCTTTCTCCTCCAGGATTTCATCAAAAGGACTCCCAGCTCTGCTCTTTAATGCAGCTCCATCATGCACACACAGGGATATTGCTACCAGGCTTTCTGCAAGCAGACCTGAGCAGAAATAGTAAATCACAGTCCCATAGACGCGCTGAGAACAGGAATACTGTCAGCACTGATCTTAGCCGAGTTTTAAGCTCTTCCCTGTTGCTGGCAGAACTCACTGAAATCACAAACCTGTCTTTACAGCCACGAGAGCTGATTCCACCCCCAGCAATGCTCACTGTCACTGCTAAGCTCCTGCAGACAACGTGCCAGAGCCTCCTCCACCACCATCACCACTGCAAACATAATTATAGGAGCGGAGGAGAGGAAACTTTTTAAACCTACTAATTAGTGATTTCGGTGTTGGTACGACACAGAGAGCACTGAAGGGCGAATTCAGGTCTGATCAGGTAAATGAATTAGCACTCCACATTTTTATATCCAGGTACTTCCAGCATTTCCAGGTACTTACATTACCTGGACTTACATGATCAGGGGTCTACAGAAACAACACGAACCAGAACCAGATTTTAGGACTGATCTGGTATGAAAAAATTATACAAGTTGTGACAAAAACAAAGCTCTAAACCATCACTGTATTGTTGAAGACTAATAACGGGCCATTGTGCCTGTACCATGCACATTTGTAGAGACACTCAAAGGTTCAGGTAAGGCCTCTACTTTTGTGATCTTTCAGGGCATAAGAACATGCTAAACGAGCATCCTCTTAAAAGTGCTAGTTTGGACATGATAAAGCTGTTTAATGGCAATACAGAAAGAACTGCAACAAAGACCAGCACTAGACTCCACTGAGTAAAACAGCTTTGTCTCACAGACATGCCTTAGCAGATGAATAAGTTTATGTATCAGTGTGTAGGGGGTCAGAAGCTTTTGACTATTGAAGAGAGAGAAGTTTTTATCACAGTGAGAAAGCGTGGCTGACCTTGTTGGTATGTTTGACACATTCTTTTAAACTTTGTGATTGGTTGATCCACAAAAAGAGAAAAAAATATTGCGATCGCATTTTTTAAGCCTTCCCTTCACAATCACTCTCTTGTTTTGTGTTGCTGCGCTGGTTTGTAGATGTGAGTGTAGTTTAGCATGCATTTCCTGTATTTCACCACCTTTCCTCTGTTTCCTTCTCAGCCTGAGAAAATCTTAAACCTCTTCAAAGTCCTCCTCAATCCTCCTGACAGTGGAGCTCTCTCAGGGGCTAAAATGCTTTGTGAATAACTTTTTATCTTTATAAACCTCAAGTCTTAACTTTCAGGGAAAATTCTTCAATAATATCTTGATTCCAAGAATTTTCTTCGAATTTCATCACCAGAAACAACTCTGGGAAGCTTTGTGAATATGGCCACAGGTATGTGGGGGCGCTCTGTACAAAAGCTTCATTACCGATGGGTCCGTATAAAGATAACAACACACTGGGCAGAAATTCGTTTTAACACATGCATGCACATAACATCAGCAAAGTGATTGTTTCTGAAGGACACATAGCTTTCCTGAGGTAATTGCTGGCTAGTCTGGCAGCTGTTAGCAACCTCTCTCAGCTAGCTACACAGCCACATGTTCGTCTCTCTGCACTTTGGAGGACGAGTGTTCACTCCAGGAAATGGCACCGGAGCTTCAGACAGATAATTTCATATGGACTAGTCTGGAGAGATAGTTACATGAGCTGAACAGCCTCTTGCATCCTATCACCAGTGCACTGGTTGTTCATAGCTTGACTTAGTTTTCAGCTTATGTTAGTTACCACACAGATCAGCCAGAAACTCAAGTTCAATGCTGTTGGGATGAAAACTTTTATTGATTTTTATTGGTCTCAACAAAAGATTTTTTTTTTTTTCAGGTCAAGGTATGCCGTTTTATAGGGATGTAACGATTCATCTACAACATCGATGTATCGATTTATATTCCTACGATTAAACTACATCAATCTGTGCTCCGCAAGTTGGCTTTCCACACAACATATATCAATCTAACACGGCAGACTGTACATGGATGTTGAGTTTTTTCCACATCCATGACATTAAACATCACTCGATTCAGTCTACCTGTCTGTGATGTCAACATCTTGCGCCAGCAGACAACAAAACATAGCATAGCGGATGGCAGAGGAGAAGTCGGCGAGCGAGAAATTATCAAGCCCACCATTGCGGTCCAGTGTATGTTGTATTTGTATTATTTCTATGCTGAAAAACAACAGCAGAGGTAGCAGAAATGTTGGATGCACTAACCATACTTTCATTCAAAATGTATTGAATATTTGAATCGAGAACAGAAAAGGTTAATCTCCTGTTAATTCAACCCAAAGTGGAGGTTGTACTTTAATCAAATGAAATTTAAATGCATTTGCTATTAATTGTTGTTTACCTCTTTGTTTATAACCATAATCAATTTATACCTGATTCCCTTGTAAGAACTAACAAGAATCTAGGAAATTTCACCTGCACTGTCCAGTATCCAGGTGTTCATCTACAGTCACACTGGTTGAATTTTTGGCTAAAAAGTTACTGAATCCATTTCAAGTTACTAATTTGTTTCAGATCGTATTGTTCTAAATGAACCAATATCATCCTTGATTCGAATCGGAAACCAGAAGTCATGATACGGATTGAGACTTTGTTCATTTGAATTGTTACACCCCTTCCATTTTCCTTCTTTGTTCCCCTTCCCTGGTGTCTATCTGTCCTTAAAGGCCAAGCTATAGAGAAATACCAAGTAGCTGTGACAGCTACCTCCCACTTCAGCTATGTGATCAGCCTGTTTTATTCACGGTGGGCAACACAACAAATAAATTGATATACATCACACCATGGGCTGGAGGATTTAGCACCTTAAAGAATTAATTATGAAGTCCTTGCTGATATAATCATTATAAATCTATCACCTCCATCTACATGGACATGACACAAACCCATGTCTCTATTTGTTCACCAGCCCCTGTTGTTTTAAACATACACCTGTTCATTACATGAAAGCTAATTATCACATTAAAACCACCATGTTTCACTGGGATCTTATGTAAACAAAGACAACACCATCTGCTAACGCACATCTCATTACTACTGAATGTATAAGATAGATGACACACGTGGGTTGTGTTAGACCCTGTGAGCAAGTGTGTGGGCTTTTCACTTTAAATTACAGAGAAAACTATTTACTATCTTTAGCTCTTCATCCTTGAAATCAAAAATCAATATCTTCTGCACATTGTCATGCCCTGTGGAGTGAAGTGAAATATACTCAAGCACAGAAGAGAAGCTAACCTGTGAGTGGAGGGGGTTCATATCTGTCTATGAGGTAAACTCCAAAGAGTCAACTGTGACAAGCAGACACAGGGGAGGAGGCGGTGTCAGGCTTTGTGGATGATTTCTGGACAGCATACAGACAAGACTCTCGGGAGGATGGATAGAAACTCAACCAGACATCAGTTATTTCAGTAAGCTCATCTGTCACGGGGAAGAAATACCAGAGCGATGGAGAGAAAGAGCAGACGTATGTCATGAGATAGCAAGACACTGAGTCAAAACAGCTAGAGACACAGCTTGACTAAACAAGACTTGAGATTTACCCCAGTATGAAGTCCAAGATGGAGATGAGGATTTAGACTCGTTTACTGATAAAGACTGACACTCTTTCTGTTTGGTATTAAGGTCCTGCCAGGGTGCCACTATTGTGAATTTTGCTTTCAACAATTTATTTGTGCATTACGTAAAAATACATCTAGAAGTTTACGGGTGCAACCTCAAACTTAAAACAGATATCTGACCAGAATGCACCCAGTAAAGAAAGTGAGATGCTCGAGTTACTCAGACCGTTAGAGTTAGCAAACTACTAGCCAACGATAACAATCCAATATATCTGACTGGTCAAAACTCAGATTAAAAGCAAATGAATTGCAGGTATTTTGGTGTTACTTGACACCAATATCATATCACTGCAGCTAAAGCAAGTACTGTGGTAAATTAAAGGGATATTTCAGTATTTTTAAGTGAGTTTGGTTGAGATATGTGTCACAAGTAAGTGGAAGAAATGAATGATAACATGTAAGGTAACTGCGTGTTAGTTAAATTTATGAAATAATAAGTTGCCCCAACTTTGAGCCTTTCCTCAATTTGGCTGAATGTGTTGTTTTATTTTCTCGTATTCCATAAATTTGTTCGGTTAGGTGCCTATATCCCTGGTTGCTACTAGTGTGAGCATAAAGTGCTAAAGTGACAATCCCACTGTTGTTAATATTATCTCTCAGGAAAAAGTGAACCCAACTTGCCAAAGCCACTTGTAAATGATGTTCAAGGTTTCTTTTTAAATGTTTGTAAAGTCTGTTTAAAAACATTGACCTTCCAGAAAGACTCCTACTAAATATGTTAGAATAACATGCTACAGAGCCTGTGCAGCCTTGAAGACACTGCCCTTGCTGCTACGAGTTTTCTAGCAATTCCACTTAAAAATCTAATCAAGGCTACTTACTTTTCTTCCCCACAAAGAGAGAAAAAATACCTTTATTTACCACCAAAGACCACTTTCTTACTGTGAACTTCTTGCACTCCTGACTGTGTTTTTCTCCTACATTCAAACTAAGAGTACCTTAAGTAAAATTGCCTTTTGTAAGAGTAAATTTCTTCACCTCTGTGTTTTAGCTGCCAAACTGTCAGCAGAGTGAGCCACAAGCAACAGCATAACAGGGAAGAAAATATAACTACATAACCCTCGGTCATCAATGTGCTGCTAGCTTGTTTGTTGACATTTAGCTCCTTTTTAGGTTAAGATTCTTCGAATGTCAACACATTCAAAGTTTTACCCACGGGAGTTTGTTCTCTAAAATAAGGGCTCTTATAACTTGGTAAAAACCATAGCCTGTATATACTATGGACAACTTGGTTCCACCTTCCGCCAGTATACAGATTTGAAGCCGTAAAGCTCTCGGTATTGCCACAATTTTTCCTCATTTCCTGAAACCAACATAGTGCAGTAGTGATGTATGCACTTCACCACTTGCGCAGAACCGTTGTACGCATTCAGCAGGAGAGTCGCTGTGGTGGCGCTCTGCTCAAACAGTGTATCCCCTGGGTAAGCTACATAGGCTGTATCAAGTGTCAATCAAAGAAAACATGAACCCCCTAATAACTTTTAAAAGTGGAGCTGTACAGAAAAAAAAGAGGACTTGAGAACAACTGCATGCCAACATTGCAACAAGGGGGGAGAAAAAATTATCTTCTGTTTAATAAATTTCTAAAGTTTGTCCACAGCTCCATAGGAATTGCTGGAGGAGGCGGGATTTATGACCTATACTGCAGCCCGTCACCAGAGGGTGCTGTTCTCCCGAGGAAGCAGGCGGCGTCCATTCTATATACAGGCTATGGTAAAAACACAGAAAAAAAGCGATTTTAACTCTTATCTTAAAAGTAAGCTTTTTTTCTGACTTCCTCTGTAAGATTTTTGAAGAGTGCGAGCTTGGCTGTAGCTAACTTTAGCTGATCTTTTTCTTTTGTCAAACGGATGAAGTGTAAATTTATTTATCCAGAAAGTGATCAAAGTACATTTTGATTAGTTGATATTGTGAGTACAAACACTCAGATAGTTGTCTGCCCAAAGGGTTTAAATATCCAGTTACTCTCAGAGGTGCAACATGAAACTATAGTGGGCTCATAGAGGTGATTGGTGTTGTGGCGAACTGAAAAAAGGCTAAATTCAATTTGCAGTTCTTCTTAGAAAGACAAATTGGATTTGTCTGAAATTTTGTGTTATACTTGTGTTTTACAAAAATCATGTTGCTGTGAAAGAAAACTCATGTTGGTCCCAGTGGGTGCTTCACTGATGCTGGTGTCCTTCACACACAGACTAATGAGAGCAGAGAAAAAGTACAAATCGGCTGGAGAGCAGGCTCCTGCTTAAATGAGGTTAGCTAAAAGATCTAAGAACTCCCTGAGTCCTCACTGGTGGTGCTTTGAATGATGAAGGCTAATAATATGCAAATGTGTGCCTTTTTTGTCCCTTTGGACAGAATGACCTAATGAGGACCTGTGAATGTATTCATGTGTCCACACTCGGCAAAACACCTGAAAATAATCTGTAACTGAGTTGTATTTCTTAAAATTTCATTATCTTTTTTTCATTCTTGTATCCCAAAGTTACTAAAAACTCTGAAATATGAGCTGCATTTTTTTTTTTTTTTTTTTTTTGGGGGGGGGGGGGCACTTAAAGAATAAAGAGGTTACACTCAGTCTCTGAGTGTAACCTCAAAAATTTGATTTCTAATACATTCAGCAAAGTCCACAGCATTTAGCTGTGTAGCTCTGTAAAGTACCATGTGTTTTTACAATGCGGAGCCTGTAATACAGGAAGATAGCACAGCCTTCAGTCGTTCTGGTGATTGTGAAACACCTACAAGCCCGAAACCAAATTACTTAGACTCGCACCACCCATCCCTGCTGGTCACTTGTCTTAAACTGAGACGTCGCTTTAATTAAACCAGCGCTCCACAAGGAATATTCACCAAACAGCATACCACAATTTTCTCTGTATTTATGATCATGATCCAATGAGGAGGGGGGGGTGATGCAAAAGTGACGCCACCAACCTGTTTTGTGTCACAATGTACTCCAGCATGCTTTTTGCAGCCAAACCGCAGCCTGCATGGGACAAAATTGTTACATTCAGTGGGTGATGGCTATTGTCTGGGGGAAATGCCTCTGTATATTGGTGGAGTCAGTGAATTAGACACAGCCAACCTTTGCGATAAAGAAAATTGTATTAATTGTGTGTCTTGCACATCAAATGCAAAATAAAGGGTTAAAAGGAAAAGAAAAGGATGCAAAACTGCAACCGTGGAAAGCAACATTTATGCCTCATTTCCTCCAGTGTATATGTCTGGTGTCCACAGAGCCGTAAAAATACAGACGGTGCTTCTTCTGTCTAATGCAAACGTAGAGCATTACTTTACAGATGGAGAGAAACCTGACAGAAACCACCTGTCTCCAATTATGTGAGGTTAATTTTGTCTGGTTACTAATAAATCTGATTGTATTTCATATCAAGCTGGCAAAAACAATCTAACTGTATTTAACGAGACCAGGTTCACAATGTGCTTAGTTAAACAGGTTCTCTGTAACCACACAAACTCACTCGACAGTCGGGTTGTCACTTTTGATCCAAAATTTGAACCTACATTCAAACTCTGGGGAGGAAGTTTGCACTCTCTCACGTTCACACCAATTACATGTCCATGTAATTGGGTGAATTACATGTAAAGTCTGTGTAAAAGCGTGATTAGACAAATGACACGTATTGTGCGAATAGTGCAAATGGAGAGGTGTGAGTAGTGCATCCAACACATTACTCCCTTCAAACACCTATTCAGGAGAGTTAAAAATATCAGAACTCAAGCAGTAATAATCAACCAGCATGGAGATATCCAGGTGATGAACATCAACAACAGCTCGGCAGAGATTTGTTATGAAAAAAATGGAGAATTAACTGATCGTGTCAGTATGCAGCCACCTAAGTTGGAGGAAAGAGAGTGAGGAGGTCTTATTATCTGATAAGTCATTTAAACACATCAGATACTCACAGTGTGGTAAATCTTTGCTATGTTTAATGAACACCTGACATTTAGGAGCCCCTCCTCTGTCTTTCTCCTCTCCCATAATCACCTGTGTTCAGACTCTCTGCAGACAACAATACAAACAATCAAATTAACCAAGTAAATACACAACATTCGTGCGCCCAGAAATGTACGAATTATGGGAGTAGATGATGAGTAGTAGCCTCCTGTTCACACCAAGCATGTGAACATAACTCTAATGAGCCTTTTGAACTCAAAATATGATTTTATGCAGACAATACCATTATTTATTGGTGTTCAACCTCACTTACTCAGGCTTTTGAGTTTTTACAAGCTGCTGTTAATGTTACCCTGTCTTGCTTTTTTGATCTGTGACAGGTTTTTAACTCAAATAAATGACAAAACTTTGAGTTACAAAGTGTTACAAATTACGTACTTGGGTTTTACGCTTGATCAGGAGCTTTAATTTGAAGCACATATAAATAATCTGGTCACCAAATTCTGGGTGAAGCTCGGGTTCTTTTACAGAAGCAGAGCCTGCTTCTCTCTCAGGGTCAGAGAGAAATTAGTGACAGCGAATTTCTTCCCCATTCTGGACTATGGGGGTGTGCTTTATTTAAAGTGCGTCATCCAAATTTCTCCAGTCCTTGGACACTGTTTTTTATTGCACTGAGATTTGTCACTAGCTGCAGTAGTCTCACCCACCATTGTAATTTATACAAGAAATCAAACTTGCCTTCCCTGAGTTCTCGCAGAAATACCGACTGTTCACCCTAACTTATCAGGCTCTTATAGGCTCCATTCCCCCTTATTTGTGCACTCTATCAGAGAAAACAAGCAGTTGCTATGGCTTGCGTTTTTGCACTACACTTGTTTTATCTCATTCTCAGATGAGGACTGAATTTGGTAAAAGAGCTTTCAGCTATGTTGCCCCCTCTGCCTGGAGGTATCTGCAGATTGAACTAAAACTCTCTGAAGTCATTCCAATTGGAGCTTTCTGCTCTATCCTGAGGGACAGACAGCAGGAAACCAGAGGACAGTGCCTGTGTTTTAAATCTTTAACTGATGTTTTGCTGTTATATTATAGCTCCTGTACTAAAAATTGAAGACACTGTTCCATCTCCAAAATTGTATGTACTAATCCATGCTGTCACTTCTATCCAACTGCTGCTGACATGTGCTGCTGACCTCTTGGCCAGGACATCCTTTATTTCGATAAAGGTTAAATTTAAAAAAGAAAAAAAAAAAGAAAAGAAACCTGCTGCGTCACAGGTGTATTTAACGGGATATTCCCGAGTAAAATTAATTTAGGGTCAAACACACAGTAACACCGAGTTGGACAACCCCCCAAGAGGTGAGTGCTGCTAACCGCTTGCTTCTCTAGTTATACCAACTTTAGTAACGATCATAGATAGCAATACACAGCGGTCTGAGGAGCCACACACAAACTTCAACCAAAAAGCCACTCTATAGCCACAAATAATGCTCAGAACAGCATCTAACTTCAACGGTACATATAGGGTCCCAGCCATAGTACTCGCCACCAAACATCTTTTTAACTTTGCCTAATTTCTTTAGCAAAGAGACTAAACACAACTTACCTACTCTTTTCCAGCAGCCGCTTGTTTGCAGTGAAACCTCAGGCTAGTCCATTACGGACTGCTGCGGGGTGACTCAGCTCAAGGAAGAACATTTATGATCATTACTTTATCATTTCCCTGAAGTAATAATCATCATAATAATCATTTTGCACTGCAGATGCAGTAGTTCTTCTGCCTTAGTGTCTCAGTTTGATTGCATTTCCATGAAGAAATGATCATAAATGGTCTTCCCTGAGCTGCGTCACCCTGATGTAGTCCGTAATGGACTGGCCCAAGGCCTCGCTGCAAACACGTGGCTGCTGGAAGAGAGTAGGTGAGTTGTGTTTAGTCTCAATTCACCCTTTATCCCTTTAAGTTTATTTAAGGCTTTATGGGGATGGTGAATGTGAGTCAGGAAACCTCTAAAGTCAAAGAGCATTACCTTTGCAGCCGTTAATCAGTGTTAGTAAAATTTTGCTTATTTATTGACTGTTTTCTAAGTATTTTCTCACCTTCAGATACATGCAGACTAGTCTGATTCTGTCTAATTGGCCAGGAAATTTGTTGCTAGGGAACATCCCCAATGTTGACAAGTGAGAGGAAAGCTCAGCGGCACTTAAGCAAACATTTCCATCCTGTGTTTTACAAATGCATGCTCACTGCAAAAAAGCATAACAGATGAGAGATGCATGATGTATGACGCAAGCTGTTTCTGCTTGTGTCATTGTACTGCAAGGTCAATCTCTCAGCATCTATCATTCATCACTGAGGCAGGGCACTGTGGAGGTAGCAGAGAGGAAAAGCAGCATTTCCTTTTGACATGTCCACAAGTAATATCTATGTAAGGTGTGTCATGCATGTGAAATGAAAAAAAAAATCTTTGTGGACTGAACCCCTTGCTCCTCTGTCAGTCTGTCAGTCTGCCGCCACTCTTTGTTTGTCCTGCCTTCTCTCTGGCTGCACTGAAGAAAACAAGATACTGTCAAAACTCCCCGCGGCTGGAGCATAAATTTCTCTCCCTGTCTGCGGCTGTTCCCCCTGAGGAAAAAAAATCATCCATTACTCGTTCAGATATGTCATTTCAAAGTGGTGGACCAACAGGACAGCATCCCCTTCCCTAGAGCAGCACTGTAAGCATGGTTAAAAACAACAACAACAACAAAAAGGAAGAATAAAAGTTGATTTAGGCCCAAATTTTCCTGGTTGTAACTAAACCATTCAGGTTCAACATTTGCTGTCTATAAATAGAGTAAAACACCTGCAGTTGTTTACCCTTTGTAACAGCATACCTAAGAGGCTAAATATATTAAATGAGTAGTTTAAAATTTGCTAGAAAATTTGCCTGCTACACATATGACATACACTCACCAGCCACTTTTTTAGGTTCACCTGTTCAATTGCTTGTTAAAACAAATAGCTGATCAGCCAATCACATGGGAGCAACTCGTAGTTTAGCCACGTAGATGTGTTGGATGACTTGCTGAAGTTCAAACTGAGCATCAAGATGGGGAAGAAAGGGGATTTAAAGGGACTTCGAACATGACATGGTGCCAGACAGACTGGTGTGAGAATTTCAGAAAATGCTGATCTACTGGGATTTTCACACACAACCATCTCGCAGGTTTACAGAGAATGGTCAGAAGAAGAGGAAGTATCCAGAGTGCAGCAGTTGTGTGGATGAAAATGTCTTCTTGATGTTGAAGGTCAGAGGAGAATGGGCAGACTGGTTCAAGATGATAGAAAGGAAACAAACAGTGACTCAAATAACCACTTGTTACAACTAAGGTATGCAGAGAACATTCTCTAAACGCACATGTCAAACCTTGAGGCAGATGGGCAACAGCAGCAGGAGGAGACCAAACCGGGTGCCACTCCTTCATTGTTGGTTGCTGCACTGACTGTGTGGCTGTCAACACTATCTCGTGTCGAGGGTGTTGAATCTATTTTCATTCTGTCTGATTTAATGAAAGACAATTCTGGTTTGAAAAAGGGGAACATAAGTTATATGAATATAAATAACCCTAACCCTAATACTGTTTTTGAGATATTTTATGGCCACACTAGTTGAGGTGAAAATCTGACATCATGGCAGCCCTGATATAAATCCTAACTTTAATTCTATGTAATGTTTATATTGTGTTAATGGGATATTTCGGCGTAAATTTAAGTTATGGTCAAACACACGGTATTACAGAGTTAGACACCCCCTGTTGCCGACTGCTTGCTTCTCTAGTTATACCAACTTTAGTAAAGACTGCAGGATAGCAATACACAGCTGTCTACATCTCCACGCGCAAACCTCAACCAAAAAACACAACTCACCCACTTTCCTCCAGCAGCTGCTTGTTGTGGGGGAGCCCTGACAAGTCGATCACTGAGTGCAGCAGAGAATTTATGATTATTACTTCATGGAAATACAATCAGACCAAGACACTATGGCAGAAGTTACCGTGTCTGCAGTGCACATACAAGATACACAAGAACTCTGATTGCATTTCCATGAAGTGATAATCATAAATGTTCTTCCTTGAGCTGTGAAACTCCGCTGCACTTGGTGATCAACTCGTCAGGGCTTTCCCACAAACAGGCGGCTGCTGGAGAAAAGTGGGTGAGAAAAGAAATGACATTACTGCTTAGAAAATCTCTGCTGGTTTGCAGACACAAGCTACCGTGTAAAACTTTGCGTTGACTTTTGCAGTCGCTGTGAACAAAGTATTCAGTCTTTTCTCTTTCCTGATCTCGTAATACATAAATTGTCATTAACCCGGCTCCCTCTGACTTTTCCTGAGTGTGCGTTAAGAAAATTATTTCACAAATGGCGTGGAAAACAATAAAACATATTTTTCACTTCCCTTTCATTCTACTCTGTTGTATTTGATCATTTATTCTGGTGGGTTTTAATGAGGCTACAGATCCTTTGAATCTTGTGTGTCATGTAAGTGTGACAGTTGATTCCTGATAAACTTTTGTTTGAAAATGTATAGTTTCTATTTAAGATGTATTTTAACATACATGAATATAGAGTATCTGTTCTTCATAATCATATCACGTTATACATAAAACATATTACATTTATTTATGTTGTTTCTTTCTTGCTCTCGATGTCGTTTTTACCCAGACAGAAACACTGTAAGCCCTCATCACAGTGACTCCCTACCAGTAACTAAAGGCTGATTTCAGGATGAAGGTGGTAGATGCAGTGTGATAACAGAGCTTACGTTGTAACAGTAACAGTGCGGCAAACAGCTGCTACTCTACACTCACAGCTGTAGTTTTAAAAAGCTGTCAGACTTCAAATAAAGAGCTCCTCAGTGTAGATGCCACAGTGTTGCTGAGCATCTTCACACTTTTAACTGGGGGGACAACAGGTCTTCTTACATCCCTGAGGGAACCATTGTGTGCAATGTAATAGACCAGTTTAGTTCAGCATTTGTGAAAATTACAGCTCAGACCTTTAATGGATGTACAGATCTGGAAACGCAGAGGTCAAGGTTACGCACAGATTTCAATTTCCATCTCCTCTGAGTGCCCGTAAATGTCTTAATAATCCAAACGCACACACACACGCACGCACGCACACACACTTGCAGACTAAGAGGCAGCACAAGAATAATGATGTACTTCACTTGTGAGATACATCAAGTACACATGAAACATACAAGGGTCTGTTGGATTGACTGTACCACAGTAAAGCACTTAGTACTATTGAATGCCACTCTCCTGTGATTTTGTGATCACAATCTATCAAGATGATGAATGAAAAACTGAAAATTTTGACAACAAGAGAAGCAGAACCAGCAGAGACTAGCTGAGGAGCAGAAACCATCTCTGTTTCTTCTTTTATTCACAGTCTGTTCAGCTGAGCTTGACACAATACAGGGGAAAGTTGTCCAGACCAACTTGTAAAACACTTTATGAGATTTATGAAAGACATTCATACAGTAATAACAACACATACACACACAAAGTCGTACACCCACACTTTACACACACACACACAATGCTCATTTTTTTCTCCTCTGCCGTCTCAAGTGATTTCCCAGCGGTGCTGAAGGAGCTGAAGGAGCTGGAAGATGTTGACGTGTCCTCTTTTTCAGTAGCTGGGTCGAAGCACTGGTATGATTACTAAAGCCCACGTGCATTAGTGTTACATATGTCAGCATATTCAGCAACGAAAAAGCCGCCACGAGAAACAGAAGCGAAACTGACCACGCTAAATTTAAACGTGTAAAACCTGCTGTCCAGTGCAAACAAAAATCACAAGTTTAAACAGCTTGAGTCAATATACTTGTGAAAACCTGCTCTTGTTTTTCATTACAATGCATGGCAACCTTCAACCACCCTAATCCTGGCTTTTATAGGTTGTGGTGTCAGCTGATGATCTGGTCTACAGACTACCATTATTTGCACAAAGCAGCAGTAAATTTCTTAAAACTTTACTTCTAACCCTTCATTGCTGTGATCTGATTGCTTTCTACAGCTTCTACGAGGTTATACTAAGTAATGGTGCTGAATTTTTTATTTGACTATATACACTACAGGCCAAAAGTTTGGAAGCAAGGCCATTACAGGCCGCACAGTTGGGAGTAACTTCAAGTTTTTGTTCACAATGCATTTTCAAATCCAGCATGAATTTCATGTATTTTGGGATGTATTTACCCCATGATCAGATGTTGCTTTCATGAAAATGCACCATTTTACTCCATTTACCTTTAGATATACATTGATGTTAACAGACCATTGCTAAATATATAACAGGAAAAGATAATAAGGGCTTAGCTTTAGGGTTTAAAACATTTGCAAGAGTCAAAACTTCAGTGCAAAAGCAAAAAAAAAAAAAATCACAGTTGGATTATTCACTTCCATGATTAATTACATGATTGTTTGTCATGTTTTTATTTCTATTTTGGTCTTGCATTAAAGTAAAGACATTTCCTACATTGTAAAACTATGCTTTTATTCTGAAGTTAACTACTCCAGGTAGATCACAAGTTACAGAACTGAATGAAAAAAAGCTGAAGAATGGTCAGAAATCAAGAATGTTGAATCAATAAGTAACCTGAGGTAGGGATGCACTGATCCGATATTTGATATCGGTATCTGTCCTGATACTGAAGAAAATTCAAGATCAGGTATCCTCACAATGGGCCAGATGCATAGGGGCCTATCTATTCAGTCTAATTCTATGCTATGCCTGGCAATCCACAAGTAAACACGCTGAGCAGATGCCCACATTGTTTTCAAAATGGAATGAGCAAAAGGTGTCTGCTGTGTTGAACTTCATCATAATACCTCACCCTACAAGCTCGACGGCCACTTGCAATACCTGCACAGTAAACGTTTCGAGGTGCAGTGGTAAACCTTCAGGTTACAACAAAAGATAATACAGCGCAGCTTTTCTGTATTGGAATTGGATCGGACGATACTAAACTGTAGATATCTGTATGGGTATCTGACGGTTAATCTTGAATCTTGAACGCCAGTTTTAAAAGTGTCTAATCATCTCTCAGATGGCTGTAACAGCTAGCTCACTAGCAGTCTGCTACTTCCTCTTCATCTATTTTTCCTGTTCTGATGTGTGGCAACCAGTGCAAAGGACCAATATAATCATGGTATAACTGTATCCTTCCTTTCAGCATGAAATCAATATTGTACTCTTTAAATAAGACAGTTGTTGTCAGTTCAGGCATGTTGCAAAAGCCCTTATTTGTTTAATTAACCTCCTTAGTCACACAATTAAAGATTCCCAACCTGCTTAGCTAACACTAGCAGGTTGTAACCTCTACTGAAGTCATGTATCACCTTGAGAGTTTTTGGAGAACCCCTGAACCTCAGCCTGAAACAGCTGTGCTTTTTTAACGCTGTTTGGATTAACTTTGGTTTTAAAAATAAGCTAGCAGGGCACTGTTCCGTGCTGCTCACACATAATGATTAGTAGCTGCTTGTGAACCTTTATAAACACTACTGCTGCTCAGTTTTTTTTTTTTTTTCTTAAGGAAAAAATGTTGATATTTTGGAAGCCACTAAATTTAGGTATCTGGTAGTTCTTTTACTGCCATAACTCATTAACACTAGTCACACTTTCAGGAATCCATCATGGGTATTTTTGACATTAAGCAAAAAAACAACTTTTCAGAAATGCTACAGAGATGTGTTACACTGTACAGAACGTACTGCTCCTTTCCATGCACATGCTTCACATTCTCCTCACATATAACTCGCCAAACCACAATTTTCCAGCAAGACTGAGCTGCACAGGTACATCAGCACACAAAGACACCCACACCATCTTATGTTGTAAAAACTGGAATATCATTGCACTCAGCCTGACATAATATGCCTTTGTATGGTGGCCTAACACTGGAATACACCCCTTATACAGCTGCATGCAAAACATACTGTAAACCCACATGAGGGAGGTTCAATTACTCAGCAACGACACACACAAACACATCAGCACATTTGCAATTCAGCCTCCAGCCGACTCAGCAGAGCTCATTTTAAAAATCGGCCAGAGAATATTTAAATCACCAAACTGTCAAAGTCACCCAACCAAAACTGAAAGTAGTTTCCTCTTTGCTAAGCACACACTGTGCAGACTCTACAGCAGAGGTCTGCTGAGCATCGCTCCTGCCCTCGCAGTGTTTCAAGGTTCAGCACAGCACAGTCAATTCACTTGAAGTCACCCTTCAAATAAATCAAAGGAACAATTCAGTCCTGTGCTTGTTGAAAGACGGATTAAACAACTTGTCAGCCAAGGAAATGAGCACCCTTTGAGGCAGACATGGAGCCATGGCTTTTGTTAATTTGACACCAAGTCAGAGCAGTGAAAAAAAAACATGCCATTTTTCAGGACATGGAAACTAGAGTAACTTTGAGCTGAATGAGTTCTTTCCAGTAAAACAGCCTAATCAAAATGACAAATATAGACTTAGACATAGCCTACAACAAGGGTGACCATCTCTTTTCACTTTCTAGATTCTAGTAAAAATGGAAAATAGCTCAAAGAAGACATCTGTCAATTTCTTATTTTGTCCTTCTGTTTTAAATATAAGGACTGGACCCTTTATCCTATTTGCTTTTTGCTGAGTGGAGTGAACCTGTGATCAGACAGATGCAATATTTCCCTGATCAAAACAGAAATCCAATATACTCTAAAATAGAGAACATTTCGGACGCCTTGGGAGGTCCCTGTTGGGACGCGTACCCCAGTTTTGAAGCACTGCAGTCAACAAAGTCCTGTATGGGGCGTGAGTCTCCAGTGTTTACGACAGGTGCATATCACGGATCAATGAGACATTATTGGCATGCACGCAAGCCTTACTACGGTAGCGTTTCCAATTCCAATTGCACGGTGCACTGAGCGTGGTGTACACCAAAGAAACTGCACAAGAGTCAATATCCCTCTGAGCAATTCTCCAAACAATAATAAAACATGTGCGGGCTTGTGCAGCTGCAGCGCACGAGAGCATTGTCGTTTTACTTCCTCTAATTTACAACGAACGCAAGAAACAATAATGCAATCAAAACGAGATGATGGTAAAAGTTTCACTTACCCAAATGAAAGCTCGGGTGTGTTCGAGCTCCTTCAAGCGTTGTTGCTGTTGAAGGGATTCGGAGACGTCCCGTTCAGACGCACAGAGCGTGTTTGATTCCGCTCGCAGCAGATTACGAGCACACACACTCTCTAAACAGCATCAACACACACGCACACGCGCGCACATATACTCACAGCTGCTGAGCTACATGTGTGCCAGGCAGCGGGATCAGCTGCTGACCTCAGATGTGTCCCATGTTTCACACCCTCTCTTCCGGAAAATACTGACGGACCAGCCCACACCAGCCCGTCAGAGCGCGAGCCACAGCAGGCTGAACGCGCACACAGCCTGCTGGTCAGCTGGCTGGTGTTGCACCGCTGCAGCGTGTGCACTGCACCGTGCACAGATGAGCACTCACACACGTTTCGACTCTAGTCTCAGGCGTTACAACGCTGCACGGTAAACCCCAACTTTTATTATTCCTCAAGACATGAAGCCACGGGTCCTAATTTCCGCCTTGTTCCTGCATCATGACCAAATATGTGCTTGTGAACCTCATTTTTGTATCCTACAGTGTCACAATATCATGTTTAGATTACAACACTTACAGGAAATTACCTCACATATTTAAAAATGTCACTTGCCTCATATGGAAGTTTCGTCTCTGCTTCTCTTCTGAATGTGAATTTATCACAGTGTACTGCAGTAGTGGACCTAGCGCCCCTGCTGGCCACATTCCTAATTTATTCCCTAACAGACCTGGAAAAACCTCAGATGAAGGTCTAAGTAATTAGTGAACATAAGCAGAGCAGTCATTTCTGACTGCAGAGGCTAACAGTCTAATTAATGACTCCCCTAGATTCTGCTGAACATGATGTAGGAAAAACATTAATCAGCTCCTAAAGTCAAACTCAATCTAATTACTTTGAGATACTTCTAACCTTCATTTTCCCAGAGGAAGGTTTTCTGACTGAGCACAAATAATGTGCAAACACACAGTGAGATACATTTAAACTCAAATCTCCAAGTGTTGGGTCAAGTTTATACAGCATGTAACATATCTGATAAAGCAGAAGCAGACTGTTGCATCTATAATACATAAAAAAACAAAGAGTATTGCGTGTACTCAATGCATAAAAGATGAAAGAACAGACATTAAATAAAAAGAATCTTGTATAGGACGGTATAGGAAAAAAAAGACATTAAAATGTTTTATAAAAATAATAAAACCAGTTCAAAACAAACTTTAACGTAATGCACATTTAACTTATGATAAACAGCTCCAGCTGGGAAATAGAGATTTTTGAAGCAACAGGAGGTTTTTTTAATCAGAGATAGTTAATTAGTCAGCTGACTAATAGAATAATTTAAACCTCGATATCTACTATGTAATTTTCTAGATTGTATTTTGTCAAATATTAAAGAAAGAAAAAAATCAATAGTTTAGGGATGTGATGTTGGCATACGTTCACCTTTGTCCATTTCTTTCTTTCTGCATCTTTCTGTCTCCTCTCTAAAACCAATGTAGTAGCGACAGATAACTGCCTAAAATCAGTCTGGTTCTGCTCAGGGTTTCTGTCTGTTTAAGGTAGTCTTCTCTGTTGGAACTTAGTACACGCTGCTAAGTGCTATGCTCATGTTATTAAAGATGGGATAAGAGTGGGCCTGATCTTACAAGACGGGGCTCAGTGTTATCCCATCTGGTTATGTTTAGAGCACCCCTGGTAAAATTTGATGGTGAGGACTAAGTTAGCAGGCAAAAGGAGTTTTTTTTTTAAATTTTATTTTATCTTTTTGTTGATGATTTTTTTTAACAAAATGTTTTGTTTTCTGTGCTGATACTGGTGCAGGTTTAGTAAAAAGACCCTAGTTTTCTCTCAAGGTATTGTTTCAGACAAGGACTGATCCCAGGACTGTTCGTCTGAGGTAAGGAAAACACTCAGAGAACAGTCAATATTGAGAATATTTTAGTTTACATTGCCACTTACAGTCTGCAAGAAAAAAAAGTTAAAAAAAAAACAAAACGTCAGCCAGTGTGGCTAACCCCAGCAAATTCAGTTTGTGTCATGAACCCGCAGAGAAAGTGTCAGACCAGTTATTACTGTTTGCTGTAGAGTTAGTGCATACATGGTTCATGGTTACCAAGGGAGAGAAAGATATTTCTTTTTTAATCAAGTGAAACACACTGTCTATCCTTTTCCTGGATGTTCTCATTTTTACACATAATTGGACCTTACATCACCTGTACCACAGCAGATGACTGAGACGAGACTCGTGATGGCAAACTGCACTCCGCATGGTGACTCTGAAACAGAACTACATGCCACATAATTGCCAAAACATCCACACTCTGTCCAGTAGAAAACCAGTGAAAGGATGGATGATATGGCAGCTGATGAGGTGGACACAATCTACTATTTCTGTATGAAGTATGTCTCATAACAGTGGGGCTCTATTCATTTATCAAAAACCAAATCTCCATGTAGAGAGACTGCTTGTAAATTGATGAGGCATTTTTATTATTTTCATAGAGAGATAATTATTGACTGTGCTTGTAATTAGTTCACAAGTGTTAACACTTTAAAAGGGAGTAACAAATTAATAATCTTCCACTACGCTATAAAAAATGTAGCTACAAGTAAAAAAATGTGTGCAGAGATTGTTACTTGAGATCAAACCTTAAATCCTAGTGGATAATTGCAGTCAAATGTATCTTTAATTGAATGTGTAAAATTCTGTTATTTTGCATTTTCCAACAGTGTTGAAGTTCATCTCAGCAATGCAAAGCAATTGTTCCCACTGTCTTAACTTAGGAACCCAATAAATGTGAGGTAGACTGAAGCAGAAATTATCTGGATCCTCTCCTCTGGAGTCATCTACCAGTCAGGGTCCAGGAGGCAGACCCCTTCTCTATTTAAAGAGCAGGCTCAAAACTTTCTTGTTTGATAAAGCTTGTAGTTAGGGCTTGAGACAGTGTTTAGTTATGCTGCTTTAGGTTTAGACTGCTGTAGGATCTGAGCTCCTGTCTCTCCTTTTCTTTCCTCTATCTGTCTTTGTGTCGCTTTTAATCTTTATGCCCCATTAAAGTCACTAACCATTGTTTCCTTGTGAGAGTCCCCCAGGTTCCTTGTTTAGTATGTTCCTGTGGATTTTGCATGCAGATGACCTGCTGCTGTGGACTTGCATGACTCCAGCTGCTTCTACAATTAGCATCATTCTTACCATAATTATCACTGTTAGAAAGCTCATGTTAATTTAAGAGCATTTTCACCCCAACTGCTTCAGTTAATATTATCATTCCCACCCTTTTTTTGTCAACCTCAGCTTCGCAGCATCAATATCTTTTCGTCAAAGCTGCTTTAAGGAGTTTTTAGATGTTCTTAGAGTGGACTGAAATTCCTATTGATGCATTTTTGTGACATACAAAGGTAAACAAGAGCATCAGTGATAAGAGTTATGATTTTTATGCTTTAGTTTGTAATCCCATAAACTTATGTGAGGGTGTCGGTGTCAGTTATGCAGCTGAAGAAACAGTCCTGTTTGTGCATTTTCCACATTAAATATTCCTGTAAATGATTAGTTTGGCTGTCAAAAGTCCGTGGGATGAGTGTTTTTATTTATTATTATTATTATTATTATTATTTTACTGATGATACCACTCCAGCAAACCAAATACTCTTAACAGGAGCTTGAAGTGTCTTGAGATCACGTTTGTTCTGAATTTGTGCCACAGAAATGAAGATTGAGTAGTTGATTGATAAAAATATTTTCTTTCTAGTTCAATAAAGTTTTTGCATTAATTTTCAATAAAATTGTTCATGTCTATTAGGGAGCTGGATTGTAAACAGCTACTAACTCCCCATTGAGGTCTGGCTCACCCTGTTGGGACTCCAATGTGGGTGACTACCCATTCACTTTACATTATTCCTAAAAGTCCTTCTACTTAAACTTACACTCACCTTTATTTACCTTTGGAGGGTTGAATCTAGGTCAAAGCATTTGATTTCATGAGATTCATTTACAAAACATTATGTGTTTTCTTTAAAAAGTCGAGTAGATTCGTCGAATACATTTAAATCGAAGAAAAATCAACTATTCTGTCTTCATTTGTTTTCGAATCATTATATAAAAACAAATAATGCAGTTGAATACTTGAACTGGCATTTCATTCATCTCTGGCTCTCATTCTTAAATCAGAGCTTTATACTATCAGCTGTAAAACCACTCTTACAGACACTAAAACAGACTCGGTTTTATTAGGTGCTGCAGCCTTCAGGAACACTAGCCTCTTCCTGCTGCCATGGGGGAAGTTCATTTTAAGTTCACTTAGTTTCTTGGCAACAGTTTCAGCCTCGCAGCACAACACAGTCTGACACTGTGGGATAAGAGGCTGACCCCCCCCCCAAACACACACACGCACACCACACACACACACACACACACACACACACACACACACACACACACACACACACACACACACACACACACACACACACAAACTCACACCACCACTACCACACATCAGAAGTGTTTCCAGCCTTTTCTGTCTCAAGGTGCTGTTTTAGATGTGTGTCTTCACAGCAGGCAGCCTCTGTTTATTCTCACATGAGTCAGAGTGAAATCAGACACAGCACAGCTGCATATATGAGCAGAGTTACAGTCCAGACACATCAGAGCCAAGTGTAATGTAGGCAGCATGAGCAGATCCTTGTTAAACATCTGTGACTGCTTCCTGGGTCAAAGCTTTCTCAGGATCTAATGATGAGAAATAAATGAATAAATAAGTAAAACGAACATTATTTTTCTCACTAAAGTCAATAATTCAAAATCAGCAGGAGCAGTGACAGTGATCACAGAGAAAGAGAATCTCACTTTTGTGTGGAAATCTTGAGTCATTTAAGACAGATTACCCTCTGTTTGTCCTTTCCCTCATGTTTTATCAGCATGTCATCAACATGTCGAATTGATTTATTCTTTCCTTTAATCTTTGAGTGAGAAAAAATAATGACTGCCAAAAAAGTCCTTATCGCAGATACTTTTCATGCTTTTTCCTTTTGGAGTTCTTCTGTTCTGAAATGATACAGAGCTTTAACTTCAGCCGACCAGGCAGTTTAACCAGAGACAGTCTTATTACAGACAGACTTGATACAATCTGAGATTATTCTTAAAATGATACAAAGAGTGCAGTTAAACTTGTCCTTCAAACATATGATTTTTAGTATATTTTATTGGATATAGAGCAGGGACAATTTATTAAATATTGAAACTAAAAAACTGCATTGTTTTATGTAAAATATATACTTATTTAAAATTTGACACCAGTGTTGTGTTTTAAAAATATTTGGGACAAAGACAACAAGAAACAGAAAATGTGGAGGAACACTGCTTAACTAAGTAGATGAATTTTTATCAGGTTAGCGATATGACTGAGGATAAACATCACTATCGGATATACAGAGTTTTAAGGTGTGATGAGGGTCACCACAGACTGCAAAGTGACACTTTGGCCCACAGGTGGCACTGCAATAAAATCAGACATAACTCTGTTGTGGGAATCACTGCACTGCAAGTAAAACCAGTCCCAAGGAGGAGAATCACCCAGCTTGTCATTAACACACAGTTAAAGGCCAGGATCTGAAGTTTCATGGGCTGTGGTCCAGACAGCACCCCTTACAGACAGGACCAAACATATTCAGTAAAACAATACCAAACCACCAAAGCAAACGCCATTTACAGACAAAAGTTTAACAAGAGACCTCAAACTGTTGAGCAGCAAATGTCTCCTTTTAAATTGTTATCTTTACTTAATGTGTTTTGAGTTATAGCAATCAATCCTCACCAACTCTACTGTTGTCTGGATTGCAGGACAGAATCTCTCTCCAGCAGAAATGGTTGGGGCTCCACAACTCTGCAAGCTGCTCTCACATCTCTGTCTAATCACTTGTGGTATTTCTTGATCTTCTTTTTACTCTCCGAGCAACTTCCTGTCTTTCTCTAGTGTTTTCAGCTTCATGCAGTTTTGAACTGGACTTTAAATTGGACTTTTTTTTCAAAGTAAGTTTTCAGGTTTTTGCTATTTGAATGTAAAGTTATGTAAAGCTGTTATGTAAAGATGATGTTTTTGGGCCCTTTTCCTTGTTTCAACCAACACTGCATCACCCGGGCTGTCAAGATAAAAAAGAAATATGATAGTTAGGCTTTTAAAAATAATCTTCACTTACACAGCTATTTACCTTTAATTTCTTAGACTTGGTGAAGGTGCACTTTAAAACTGTTTACAATCCCAGCTTCTGAGGTAAGATATAGGAAACTTAAGGTCATCTGTCAAGAGAAGAAAAGTCCTCCTTTCAATCTTCTTTATGTGCCCAAGTCCCAGAGAGAGAAACTGAATTTTTACTTTAAAGAGCCTCTAGATATTAACATGGAGTATTTTACCTACTTTTTAAAAATAATGCCCATATTTCTTTTGAACCTGGCCTTCAATTTGCTTAAATTTTAAAGCCCCAGTAAATCTCAAGACGTATTTTCTTCCTTTTTATCTTCATGTTTTGTTTTGTTTTAATAGTATCTCTTCTATTACTAATCTTTATTAAATCTAAATGTCCTGTTTCCATCTTTTATATTTTAGTCTGACTTATTTTCATCTGTTGACAAAAATGTTTGTTCCCATTTCCTCTCTGTGTTATGCAAATGATGCTGAACTGCATGTTTGTATTTAAGGTGTATTTCATAATATAATATAATATAATATAATATAATATAATATAATATAATATAATTGTCAGGTCCAGCTGAAATGTGTGTGTGTGTGTGTGTGTACGTGTCTGTGTGTACGTGTCTGTTACTCTCTGGCACGTCGCCCCAGATGACCTTCCTCAACCTGCGTAACTCGGAGGTTTAGGGAGGATGGAAATAATGTCCTGGTACTAATGAGATCCTCTTCTATTTTACCAGCAGCCCCTGGGACCCCACCTTCGCTCCAGGAACTTCCTCTGAAAAGGATGTGTGTTTGTGTGTGTGTGTGTGTGTGTGTGTGTCATTCTCCCCAGTGAGATCTGAGGATGCAGGACAAATATGGCTGTGAGGTAATTGGTCGTCTCTCAGAGGTGTGCAGAAGGTGAATGTGGTTTTGTTTAGGCTGCAGTTCATAAAACATCTAAAGGTTGTGTTGAGGTCCAGAGAAGTGACTGACTGGTTTTCACAGACAGAGTTTTAATCAGTTTGTGTTGGCATTGTGACCTGGAGGAAACAGAAGAAAAGGACCTTTATAAAAACAAACACTAGTTCCTGCTTTCTCGGCTGCAGAAGAACAGGTTCTTCAGAAACATATGACCTGAGCTCAGAGTCACTCAAACAGGTAAGGTGATGTAACATCTCCCCCTGCTGGATTATACGGTACAGTGCATTTACTTTGCATACTTGTAAAAGCAGTCACACTTTGTTTACAGTAATTTGATTCACATTTTTCATCTTTGTTGTAATTTGGCTAATGTAGCAGACAAATTTAAATTTTAGTTACTTTGTTTTTATTTTCATCATTAAAATATCCTGTTGTGTGATCTTCATGTGAGAGTTTCTTCTTTATAAACTTCCAACCTTGTTGCTCCAATTGAAGATGTGATGACTGCAAAATCATAGAAAAGAAAATGAAGCTTTACTCAAGGACTGTGATATGCATCATGTTTAAAACACATTAAAAAGTAAAACAAATCCACTCCTGTCACTTCAGTAGCATAAACTATGTGTAAAACTTCAGTTCTGTGCAATAATAACAAAATACCCAACATTTTCTGCTCCTTTTTGTGACTTTTTAAATATGTGCATCATCTAAATTGTGTGTTGCATGTTTCACCATTTATTTGCCGATTTTTCACTGTTGTTAACACCAAATTTCCTGCAGTGGTATCAGTAAAGGGTTATCTTGTTTTGTCTTATCCATACAGCACTTTTATTTGAGTCGTGTAGTACTTTTTAAACAGCTTGAATACATTTCATTCAATTAAAAAGCTATTTTTAAAACCAGATGCAGTGAAAGAAAACTGCCTCCTCCTAACTGGTTTCAACAACTTTTCAGTCATGGACAAACTAATTACTCCAACCCAGATAAGATGAAATAATATTCACTGTTAGGTTTTTTTTTTTTTTTGGAAGGAAATACCAAACTTATTGAAGTCAGGTGATGTGACCAGGTTGGTGACATCATTTTCAATGTGAACTTTAGAAGGGACGCTCAGGTTGGACGTCAAATCAGTGTGTCTTTAGATGTCCAATGTCAGATGGTCCAGAAAAGGTTTAAACCACATTAAACAGAATCAAACACACATAGACTTATAAGTCATGTCCACGTCACTCTCTGAGCTTTAACTTTGTTTTTATGGGTTCATGACTCATGAGGCAAAACACTTGAATTGCTGATGGTGCTCCAGTGACTGTATAATACAGGTGTCAGATGAGTCAGCACACTGTAGGCAGCTCTCCGGTCTTAAGAGATGCACCAGTTTAACCTTCAGCTTCATTTTTTTGGTCATTTTCTCATTATATAAACTTAAAAAAGAAAAGCTTTAAATTTCTCTAAACAGGTAAGCAGAGCTCAGTGTATTATGAAGTTGTCTCTGAGGATTTATTAGTAGTTTGGTTCAAAAGATTAGCTGTGAAGGGTTTTAATAAATCTCTAAGACAGTTAAATTAATATCCTGCTTCATGCATTTTCAGATGAAAAAAATAACTGAATTTACAGCTTTACTCTTCTTAGGAAAGGTCCTCTGGGAGAAAACTGGGGGCTTTACTGTGAGGAATTTTGAAAAAATTTTAAGAAGTCAAGTCTTGAAAGATCATCTCTGGTGCTTTATATAGTAAACTTTGAAAATATGACTTTCTTTTAATTACCTGTTTGTCTTTACCTTGAACAAATTTAAAGAATATGTAGACATTCTAACTTCTAACCACAGGAATAACTGAGCTTTATATCTATGACTGAGCACTTAATGTTTTAGTCCCTGTCAAATAAACCAAATATTAATATTAAATTTGCTACATTTATGTGTCTTATGATGTATTGAATGGTGCACTGTGACTCAATAAACTCAGCCTTTGCAAACTAGAAAAAAAACATGTATTTTGATTTCAAAAATTTCGACAGTTACACCAGGATATTAACTGAAGATGTAAGAAAATATCAAAAATCTCTATGCTCTGAAACATATCATGACGTGATGCTGTACCAACTCTGAAAGAACTGTATCAATATTTTAGGTCCCTTCAGGTCAGGCAGGCTCAGCCCATCACATTGAAAAATGTCACACACTCAAAATGGGCCATGGAAAGAACACAAGCTCTAAATAAATAACAAGATAAATTATCTTTATTTCCACGTCTGTCATTTATAAAATTATGTGTCCACAATTAATATTAACAAGGCATTACAGAGAATCCTTTAATTTCTCAGCGGTGGATCTCAGGCTCTAGAGACTGAAGGGACATTTAAAAATAATAATAATGATAATAATTAGGACTCAGGGTCAGATGTTCTTGGTTTGAGCCTGATCATTTCTTCAGTTAGTACAGGTTTTGATTTTCTAACAGATGGTGGAGGACGTTTAGTACCATGCTGGAAGAGTTCCCAACTTCTCAAGGTTTGTTATTGGTCTCTAGAGCCTGAGTCCACACCAAGCCCTTCAATGTACAGTCATAAAACTTCATATCCCAGGATTCATCACTGCTTATCGCTCAGTGTAAACCAGACACAGTTCATTCACAAATTCTTGAACATTCTCACACCGGATAACCATCACTGAAATGATCATCATCGTTGTTTATTAGCGTAAGCATGAATCTCGTCTATCTTATACATGATAACAACATATTCTTTTCCCTACAGTAAAAGACACAAAACCCCAGAAACTGTAAAAACCAAACAGGAACAATGAAGAAACAACCTCTCTACTCTACAAAACGAAAAAATTAATGAGATCCTTAGATACCATGTGCTCAAAGAAAAAAAAAAAGTTTTCTCGCAAGTCTGTCTGTTGTTGGTAAGTTAGGTTTCAATGATGTAAGTTATCAAAAAATTAAATATTACATACTGTATAGGTTATTATTACAGTAACAAGGTTCCATGCGATCATATTCTCATCTTCTGTACAGAGTTGAGGATTCAGTAGTAAATATCAAGGCTATGCAGACCTATAGTGCCTGGAGGCCAGAGTGCCAGCATGTTACAGAGCTGTGGAAAGCAAGGACAGGGACAGGGGGGCTGCTGGTCTAAACCAGGGGGGTCACATTCACAAGAGGGTGGAAAATAAGACTGAACTAATACGTGATCCAATTCAACCATTTTTACATGTAAAACCAATCAAGCTAGGTGATCAAAATGTGAAGGGAGATTCCATCCTACAACCCTCTGAAATAGTGATATTTCAGCTATGGGAGCCCAGAAAGGGAAAAAAAAGACAGAGAGAATAATAATAATCTGGTTTATTATTATAGGTCTTATATTAATATACCTCTATAGTTAATGCTAAGAAAGAAAACCTTTATTGCATAATCTGTTTTTTTTTTCCTATTTTGAACATCCAGGTAGTAAAACAAGTGATTGATGAATAATTTTTTTAAATGACTGTTTTGGTAGGTGGACAAAAAAAAAAAAAAAATAGGGCTTTTCTCATTGTTAATTATTGGACCAAAAAAGGATTGGAGTCAAAAGAGGCCAATTTTTCTAAAAGGTGTAATTTACATATATATTTTAAGTGGAGGTGGATGAGGTACTTGCAAATATCAAGTCTACTGGATATGCTGGAAAGCTCCACCACTTTGTCGAAAAGCCAAGAAACCCAAACAGCTGATTAGTACACTGAAGGCACAGCAACATGTATGTGTTGCTGTACCATGAATAGTGCTTTACTAAATGGGCTTTCAGAAAATATAGTGAAGCAACTATTTATTTAATGTAGCAAAATTTAATACCAACATCAAGAACCGGAGCTCAAGAATTGATTATGTCTGCAGCAGGTGATAGCCTAGCTCCTGTTCTGGTTTTCCACCCAGTTTCTCAGGCTAACAGGCTAACCCCCCCCCAACCGCAAATTTAAAATGAGTTGCATGATGGCAAATTATCCAGTATGAACCAAGAAAACCAACCCCAAAAATTGGATTTTTTTTTTTTAATTCTTTTGCCTCTTCTGGGCTTCCATAGCCATAAGCAATGATTTGTACATACTGATTTTGAGCCTGTCGTTGTGTTTTTATCAACTTTCCAGCAGATTGTCTCATCAGCTTCTTTGTTTGTGAGTTATTTCCTACTGCCACTTCCATAAAAAACCCCAGAGAGGGTGTGGGGATGGAAAGACAATGATGTCATGCTATTTTAGTTTGGCTTATTATCCAGAACAACGTAACCTTGAGCAACAATTTCAAAGAAAATGAAAAAAACATGTGAGGAATAGAGGACTACATTTGAAGGTTTTGAGGATGGATTTTCCCTTTTATTCAAAGTAATGCTTTATGTCACTGCTGGAGTATAATAAAACGGCATGAATTAAGTCTGGAGGAGAGAAAAGGAAGAGTAAAGAAGAGAAATCTGCACAGTGTGTCATTAACTCCCAATTAATTTAATTCAAAGACAGTCATAAAGACCCTCATCAGTCTGTGGCCCCCTTGGAGGATCACTGCAGCTCTTTAGCAGTTGTGTTAAACTTCTTTTAAATTCTTGACTGAGTGTACAGATCTCTCTCTCTCTCTCTCTCTTTCTGGTCTGAGCTTTTACTCAGTTTATTTTAATGAATGTGTACACTCCTCTTACATATGGAAGCAAAAAGAGACCAAACACACCTCTGACCCTGTCCACAGAGCACCAGGGTCCAACACATAAAACCCATATGAGACTTAAAGACATGATCCAAACCCTGGTGGTTCATTCAGTCAAATACATAACTATTGAGTCTTTATATGAAACAATAACCAAGTGAGGCGCTAAAGCACCGAGAGCGCAGGAGGAGCTGAGGGAGCAGCGCACAAAGCTGTAACAGAAGAAGGGATTCCTACCAAACGTGCTTAAGTCTGAGGGGACATTCAGAGTCTGTGAGCCTTCAGAGACCAGAGCGAGTATCACCGTTAGGGCACATATGAGAGGGCGGGGCTTAAAGGCTAGCAGAAACACATTCATTTGACCACATGTTCAATGTGGAGGTGCAGTGGGCTTTATAAGGCATGGATGATACATGTGCTTAATTTTTTTTTTATTCATCTCTAACTTAACTTAACATTATTTGTGCGATTTAAAGACTGCAAAGCCATCCAAATTAAAACTAATTCAAGTAAGGCTAAATGCACACATTCACACACATAAGCGCTGGTGCAGGGTTTTGGAAATAATGACAGTGCTGTGCATAAATATTCAACCATCCTCGTTTTTTTCCTCCCACATTTTACAGAGTTGAAAATCAGGACTCTAAACAGAGTTATTTGGGCTTTCTTCTTCTCAAAAGCAGCCCAAAAAGAAGCAGATGAGTGTTTGACCATAGTCTGTAGAGTAAAGTGGACACCAGTTTTCAAGTTACTGTGAAACCAAGATATTTAGAGTTCCCACTACTGACTGGCTGTGTTATTGGTCCAAAAACCTCATGGCACATGGATCAAACTTAAACCTATACAACTTAAACGTTAAAATGGACTTCACATAGAGTTTTGAAAATGTGTTTTCCAATCATCTCAGTTGGTTCTTAAGCTGATTTGTCTTGATTTGTGTTTATTTTCCTGAGAAGTTAAGCTTTATATAGTTATAAGATGTTAAAGTCCTGATTGACAGCTCTGTTGGCAAATTCAGCTCCTGCAGAGCGGAGGAGAAACAGAGAAAGAAAAACCTAAGACCACTGATATAAGGGCCATTAAATTTTCTTTACCCAGAGTGTCTGCTTCAAAACAACAGGGATCTTCTCTGCAGTGGACTGTACCAAACTAAGGTGGTCTTCTAGTTTAGCATCTTGCAAAAGGAGGAGCATAAAGGAGTGGTGTCTACTTACCATACAAAACAGGTGAGAAATGAGTTAAACTGAACGGAATAAGCTATACCTGATCATAGTATCAACTTTCCTTCATTCTTTCAGTAAATAACTTTGAAAATCATGCTAATTTCCACTCCTCTTGTAAATTATGGACTCTCTTATGTTGGCCAAATTCAAATTAAATCTATTTCATTTTACATAACATGACAAAAGGCTCTGGGATGTTAAGTTCTTATGCACAGCACTGCTAAGGTGATCGAAAGCATGAAGCCACAAGAAAATCTATCATGTCCTGAAGCTTCATTCTCTCTTTAAAGTATCGGTTGGCTAAAACTCAGGTAGCAGCACTGCAGAAAGACATTGAAGTGGGACCAGCTGAGCGCACTGGCTGACAACTATACTACTGATATGCTGGTTTGGTTTTTATGTATTTTTTTATTTATATTTGATGTTTTCTTTATTTCTGTCTGTGAGCTGACCTCAGCTCCTCAAATTAAGAGCCAGAGGAAGCGGCCAGAGGAAGCGGCCAAAGCAGCGTAAAGCTATTCACACCTTTTTAGACAGAGCGATGTCTCCACACCCGGACATAAGAGCCTGACAATATCCCAACACACCCCACCCACCCATCCACCCACCTGCAGCTGCCTCCACGACAGAGAGTGAGAAAGAGAGACAGAGAGAGCAAGAGAAGAAGGTAAATGTGCACACAGCAAACAATAAGGAAGAGCGATGAATGAGCAGCGCTGTGACAAACTGGCCAGAGAGTCGATGGTGTTGTGCTGATAAGGCCGCACTCTCCTGCAGAGCTGGCTGGAGTTTAATGCCAGTAGTGTGGGTGGTGCCTCCACATTATGTTTCTGCAGACACACGCAGGTACGAGGGCTCTCTAAACGGGTCATCTCACCTCCAAACTTGGCTCTCTTTACCCTCCACGTTCCTGCTGATGCTCTTCTTTTGCCTCGTCTCGACAGGCCTCTCAATCTCTCTTTCAGTCTCTGTGCTAATTTCTAAAAACCCTCCCTTCCCGTCCTGACTATTATTATCAACCTTTATTCCCCTGTCCTCCCTCTCCTTCCCTCCCCAAAAAGTCCAGTTTCTACACCACTATGTTTGTACTGTACAGTCGAAAAACCGATGAGCAGAAATCTTTAAAAAGCAGAGCCCTGGGCGGATTTATCTTTTGTTTGTCTGCGGCTGTTTCTCGCTGTCGCAACTATAAAGACAGGGCTGCATCTGCCTTTTAACACACACAAACACACACATACACACAGTTCTCACTCACTCACACACTCGCACAAAGCCGTGCACGCAGGAACACGCATGCTCTCTTGCACTCTCGCTCACATGCAAGCCCTGCTCGTTTTTCTAGTGGTGGTTGGTTTTTCGGACATGCAGGAGCGGGGAACGAGGACAGGGGAGAGGAAGGGTTCCTAGCTCGTAAAGGGAAGAGGGAAGGCGTGTGTGTCTAAGTGTGTAAGTGTGTTGAGGGAGAGGTCTTAGTTCAGCTGCCATCTCCTGCGATATTTCTGGTCGTCATCACCTGCAGAGGAAAATAAAGACGTGGTTTAGCATTCAAAGCAGCTAGTTTTTGTTTGTGCTAAGATTAGATTGTTTACTAGAAAGCTTGGACTTTAGAGGTCAGAAAGATGGTACCTTTCCACAGAAGGTGAGATTAAAGAGTTTAGGCTGAGTGAGAAATGCAGCAGAGGACAAGAGCAGGAGAGACTTGTCAGTAAAATTCAATTTCAGCTTCACAAGAAGAGTCAGTGATTTGAATACATTTCAAACTCTTTAAACTTGAATTGCTGCAGGACAAGTGAAGTGGAGAGTCTTAAACTACCTTCTATATGGTTCCTGGACATGTACTTCAGTGCCTCATCCAGGAGGATGACTGGGATGGAAATCTTCAGGACCACAATCCACTGGGACCAGCGCAGAGGGGTCACCTGGAAGATCAACTGTAAAAAGACGGCATCAAAGAGTCAGACTCTCTTACAACTGTGAATCAGATCACACAAAGGCGTAAAGCTGTGTAACGCCGAGATTCCACCACATGCAAATCCCCTTCGAGCACAGCTGTTCCGTATCTTGTGGACTTTAGCCTTAACTACTTAGAATGTAAATACTCTGTATTTTATATGAACTCTAAATGAAGTACTTGAGGAGAAAAACAAACTGGTAGTTTTGCTTCTATTTCTTCTATACAATATTTTTATTTGAGTTTCATATGTTAGCACTCTTTCCACGCCACATCAAGACTAGACTAAAGCTACCTGCTTTCTCACTGTGGTTGGCTGTCACTCTCAAGTCAACGGAAACAAATCATTTCATAAAATAAGAAACAATTTAAAGACTAAATGACCTGACAACAAGACAGTGCATTGTAGAGTGCTGAAATCCTTCATCATTAGGGGACAGGTCATTGAACCATTGAGAGGGCCTCATTCCTGTGTATAAAGGCTTAGTCCTAGCAGCAGGCAGCCTGGACTTATTTTTGCTTGCAGCCTGTGTTTCATCAAACCTTTACTTTCTATCAGACGCCTGGGATATATAATTTGTTCATTTTCACGTGTGTCCCCTAGTTGCGGTGTGTTGAACTTTCAGGAGAGGTATTTGTCATTTAAAACACTCCTGTCAACATCATTATAGAAACTCTCTCTGCAACAGATTGTGCTACACGTGGACCTTGATACATACAAGTATCATCAGCATCTGTTTTCACACCTCGCTGACAGCTCCTCTCAGCGTCACGTGTCTGTAAACTCACCGGCAGAGGCTCGATGTAGAGGATGAGGAAGTGGAGGGAGAGGGAGAGGATGATGGCTCCCAGCAGCCAAATATTGACCCAGGGAGGCATCCTGAGCAGAGACTGGTTCTCTGACAAACTGTAGAGGGAGAAATTTTCATAGATCATGACATGTTAACCACACTGCTGCTCATTTCATCCAATAGGGACTTTAAAAAGTTATTATAGGATGTTGCAGTGATGACAAACCAATAACAATTCTGGCAAACTCACAGACTTCAGTGGTTATAAATAACGACTAGATTTCCGCTGGAGACATGGGCCTGAGGCTCTAAACTGTTGACTGATGGAGGTTCATAAAGCTTTTCAAAGATCTTAATGTGGCCTTTTGCTTCCTTAATTATTTATTAAGTACAAAGGAACTTTCTTTACCAACTTTATAGGCTGCTTGAGCACAGAAAACCTGGACATTTACAGGGCAGTAGAAACTAAATGTAAAGCTCGGTCTACTGAAATGGGATTCTGACTCATTTGTGGGTGTTAACTCCGAGTTCATCCTTTTCTTAAGCAGGAAAATTAAAAAAAACATATATTCATAAAAGTTTGTAAACAGAGAGAAGCAGCAGAAATAAACAGAGAAGTGTGGATCTAAAATTGTTTTCATTTGAACAAAACTTAGTTTTCTTCTGAGTCTAAAAAAGTGCCTCATAATTAACCTTCTTCGTTTCAAAAAGAAGGCTTTTAGCTTTCCTTTCTGATAAAGCCTACAGTTAGGACTGGCTCAGGCTTGGACTAGCTTTTAGTGATGCTACTCAGGCCTTGACTATCATTGAGGTTAGGGCTGTCCTGATACGACACTGATATCGGATATTGGTCTTATATCAGCCAAAAAACAAATTTTGGATTATATTGGCTAGCAGCGCCCTGATCCAAAATGCAGAGCCCACGTGATCACAACAACAGTGTGTTCTGAGGTACAAAGTAGCAAGAAGTAGGAGTGATGTCGGCTGTGTGGCAGTATTTTTCGTTACAGAATGTAAAAAACTTGCCATGCACAAGTTTGTGCCAATATCGGATCAATATCGGTATCTGCCGATACCGAAGGGCAATCATATCAGTATCATAAAAGATATATAGTTAAAGAGTTAGGGACACCCCTAATTAGGGTACTGGCACACTGAGCTCTTGTCTTTCCCTCTCTTTCTTTTTTATATGTCTGCATGTCACTACCTTTAATTTTCATATCAGTAGAGGCAGATGACTGTCTTACATGAGTCTGGTTCTGCTCAAAGTTTCTGGACCTGCTCTTTTTGTAAAGCAGATCTTGAGTTAAGATTTGTTGTGAATTGGTGCTGTATAAATCCAGACTGATTGATGGATGTCCAGTTAAAATCACCAACCACAGATCTTTCAGTGAGTCCCTGAGCTCCCTGGTCCTGTAGGTCTGGATTGATGCTGCAGAACGCCAGCAGACATAAAGCTGCCTGACTCCATCTGCTATACATTAATGATATCAGTCTTACTATTATCATGACTTTAATTATGATAAAGATGTATAATCTTCCATTTTCAGATTCTTTCCTGTGTTTGACAGCCAATTTCTATCGAGAGCCACTGAGTTTCTCTATATACAAACCTACAAAAACATGTAGTTTTCCTCGGTTACTACTTCCTTAAAAAGTATTGTTGGTCTTATTAAAACCTGTGACTAAGCTTGGTTTCTTTTCCACATTCAGTTAAAGCAGAATATTCACTATAAACAACATTAGGTAAAGAAAATAGATTTATGTGGCAAAGTTGATGCTCTGGCTTGTTCTTCCTCACAAAGCTGTCTCGTCTGATGACAGTGTCTTCTTTTTAATCAAAACCTGACAGCCCTGACATTTAAAGCAGCGACCTGAAGGATGAGCCGACTGACCTGTTGAGGGCGTTGAACATTTCAATGGTGACCAACACAGACAGAGCCATGGTGGTGGGGTAGCGGGACTCAAAGATATCACAATCTATGTCCCGGAACATGGGGTTGTCCTCTGTGCACTGCATGAAGTGTCTCTGCAGAGAGAAACAGATGGGGTCAGTGTGTGTGTGTCTGTGCATGTATGTGCGTCTGCAGGATGTGAGTAGAACCTCTGTGACCTGGTGTGATGGGGGAACAGCTGCAGAACCCAGGCTTCATTTCCACCCTGTGTGAACCAACCACATGAATATGACCTCTCTGTCTATTTCTGTCCTCTGCTGGGATTTACCAGTCATGATTGTGTGCAACAGACGAGGATGCAAATAAGGCTGAGAATGAGTTTGTACAGAAATTAATAGAGAAAAAACTTTTCAATCTCATGTAAAGATGACCTGATGTTGATTTTTTCATTATCATAATGGCATGGGAAATTGTCCTCGCTTTTTTCCATTTCAAATTAGGGTTTGAATAAATTGCAAACCATCACATCTGTTTAATGTAACACTCTAACTTTTTATAGTGTGGGATGTATTTTTGTTGTATTTTTGAAGTATTGTTTTATTTTTTTTAAAGACTGCACAAGTGGTAAAATTGTACCCACTCACCCTAAACTCATTCCGATTCTGGAAAGGTTTACAGGAAAAAACAAATACTCAAAGTCTTCCCACTTCCAGTTTTTTGCCACAGTCTTTCTACTTATTGCACAGCCACAAAAATGCTAAGCTGCGATTGGTCGACTATGGCAATCCATGATTTACTCTTGCACAATTGCTATGAAGAATAGGCTGTAGCGAGGGATGTGGCTTCAATCAGAGACTCCGAAGAACTACTGTGGTCATATCAGTCCTCAGAAAGAAGTAAGGAAGTCTAGCAAAACTCATATAGTCAGAAAAAAAGTGGAGGAAGAGCCAGAGAGGTTATAGGTTAAAAGAAAAAAAAAGATTAAATGTATGCTATGAAAAAAATCTACTAAATTGAAGATGAGGAACATTTGGAGAAACACTTAACAGAACAGGGTGTGGTAGATAAATTGTCAAAGATTCTGACAGTGATGAAGAGAAAACTCAAACAGTTGATGTTCTGATTCCCATGTTCTAGTTATCAGCTCATTGGGGGTTAGGGGTTAACCCCAACCCCTAACCCTAACCCTATCCCAGCCCTCCTATCCTAGCCCTCCAAAAGTATGACCTGGGTCAGGATAATTTATACTTCACTATAACAAAATAACAACAGTGATGGGCTAATAGAAACTGTTGCTTTAGGGGAGGCTTAATTCAACAATCACTGTTTTTCCTGGCATGGCTTGTGTGATAAATTCAGAAGTATGCAAATAAAAAAGACTTTTAAAGAAAACTTTCCAACTCACCAGTTGATAGAAAGTCACTTGCGGTCCTTCTTCATCAAACAGATACCACCATGTTGCAGCACTCACTGTTCCAAGACCCACATAACCTACAAGAAACACAGTAAGAGACACCCAGTTTTTACTCAACAGATGTTATAATGTCATGATCTGAATCAACATTAAGATATGTAATTCACAGCATAAATTATATGACTGACTTAATATGTAAAATCAGTTTCTGTACAACACTGTAGACTGTGAATTGGTTTCCTAATGCCATTCTGTGATGTCTGAGCAGGTTGGGTAAGATGAGAGTTGGATAAAAAGAAGAATCAAAGAAACATTAAAATATCACCTTTGATAACCATCATTATGAAAACAGAACTATAAAAACAGAATTATTGATAGTGTGATCAAAATAAGCAGACTTTAACTCAGTAACTAGCTCATTGTATAGGGTGGTAGTGGTTCTGTTTGGTTGTTGTCAACCACCAAAAGGAAGAGGGATGATGAAGACGCAGTTGCAGCTGCTACCTAGCTGGTTGAAGCAGCAAAGGAGGGTCATGCACTTTTTGAAACGGATGTGCCATGACTGAAACTTGATTGTGAATCCAAAAATGACAAAGGACCTTGTGCCTCTTAGTGCAAATACACTCAAAATGTATACCCTTAACTTTGTTGCTGTTTTCGTTCAGTTCAGTAACTTATGATCTACCAGAGGTCGTGTTTCCCTCACTTCAAAACTAAAGTATGTTGTAAACTCCCAGCTAGAAGAGTAACCTTTGCTTTTTTCCTTTATCTTTCATACCGTATCTTCTCTTCTGTTGATCCTTTATTGTTTCATCTTATTTTATTTCTATATGTTTGTTTTTAATATTGTGTTTATTTTTATTCCATTACTGTTTTTTCATTATTAAGTGTATGCATGATCATACTGTGTACCTGTACAGCACTTTGGGCAACTGAGGTTAGCTTTGAACGTGCTTTAGAAATAAACTTTAACTTGATTTAATTTTCCAATATAGGAAATGTGACAACCTTTTGTCAGACTGTGAAATTTTAGAAAAAAAATAAGGATCATAGACGCTGCTTTGAAAGCTAATCTCATCTCTGAAGAAGTGTCTATTACAGGGCTGGTGGCCCGGATAAAAGCACAAAACAAAATCAAAAATGGATGCTGGTATGTGACTGAATTGATTTCATTCATTAAGTTTGTGAAGTCACATGTCGCTCAAGTTTTGTTCTGCTTTGCTTGAATTTGACGATTACATTCCCTCCAGGTTTTACGTAAATACTGTAATAATGTTTTTATTGTGATTTTTTTTCCAGCCACAATAATTGTAAGGTAAAAACTGGATTGTTCACAACAATAAAAGAGCATACATGCATGCCCATTTTCTAAACTGGATGCTAGTTTACATTCTGTTGCACAATTTTTCTGTATTCTGTTCAGGTCAGAGCTAATAGTACCTCCAATGGCCAGATATCTGAAGAAGAGCCATCCTGAGATGAGGGGCTCTTTAGGGTTCCGGGGTGGTTTGTCCATGATGTCCAGGTCTGGGGGGTTGAAGCCCAGAGCAGTGGCTGGCAGGCCGTCAGTCACCAGATTAACCCACAGCAGCTGAACTGGAATCAGAGCCTCAGGGAGACCCAGGATGGCCGTCAGAAAGATGCTGCAGACAAAGTCAAAAACACAAAAGTCAGACAAACTTGGTGTAAAAACAGCAGCAATAGCTCTCATTTCAGTCTCTCACCAGACAACTTCTCCCACATTGGAGGAGATGAGGTATCTGATGAACTGCTTCATGTTGTTGTAAATGGCTCTGCCCTCCTCCACAGCAGCCACGATGGTGGAGAAGTTATCATCAGACAGAACCATCTCAGACGCCGACTTCGCCACCGCTGTGCCAGAGCCCATGGCAATGCCGATTTCTGCTTTCTTCAGAGCTGGTGCATCATTCACGCCGTCTCCAGTCTGTGATAGGAAACACATGCTTGGGTCATGAAGGCGTAAAAACCTGGCTCAAAGCTTTGGGTTTGCCATCTTGAATCAATGAGCTGTCCTAAAACATTGATATGCATACGGTGTACGAACAAACATCAAGACCCATTATTCCAACAAGTCAATTTCCTGAGACTGCAGCATGAATTACAAACAAGGAAGACAACTTTTTGTTTCAAGTAAAGCATGAATATTTTAGAAGCTGACTGAACCTCGTAGAAGAATCACAGTTCATATCACCTCTCTGTCCCATCCACAGGCCTGTTTTTGATGTGTGATGGAAAAATAGACAAAAGTTTGACAACTTTTCTTTTAATTCTTAAAATACTAAGCTCATGTTGTGTGTTTAAGGGAGATCATTATTTCAACAGATATGGTTTTAACAGTCTATTGATGATAGGAAACAAACAGCTTTGTCATTACACTAAGTCTCATTATCATTTCAGATCCAGGCAGGATTAAACTGAAGCTGAACAAGAGAGATATACAGTATTAATCTGTCATGTCAGGCCTAAAGCAGCTTTAGACTGTGCTGAACGGAGGAGTTAGTCTGACAGCCAAATGCTGATATTGTTGTCTCCATCCCTTCTGTTTTTTTTTTTTTTTCTCAGATCAACGCCTCTTCTTTAGACGCGTGTCAGATCGGAAGCAGCGAGCAGGATGGAGATGACAGCCCCTGATAGCAGTGTCTGGGCGAGACGCTCACAGAGACCTGAAGCATGTCACACCTCAGCAGACACTCCTCATGGTTCCTCCATGACTGTTTCACATAACCCACAGGCAGAGACAGAAGGAAAGGCGTTTTTGCTCCCAGTACAGTAGTTGCCCCAGCAGTAGTTCCCAAAACATTTTACAACAATCTCCCTATCCAGTTTTTTACACAAGTCTCTAAAGTAGAGAAGTGTTCAAATTTAAGCTTGCTGTGTATATGTATGTTCTGAATAAGGGTGTCACGATTTTGAATTTTTATTGAATCCGATTGAAAGTACATCATGGTCTCGATAACCGAAATTAAAGAGAGGATTGACGATCCCCTCCTTCCACATCCGGGAGGTGTGCAAATTGGAAGCAAATGACAACGCCGCACAATGTAGCCAACACAAACCTCTGTGAGTTCTCGTTTTTGTTGTCATTATGTTTGTTTTTTTTTCTTTTCACTTAACGGAAACAAGGTTGATAAACAAATGATTTAAATTTGACCATTAGAGCCTAATGTGATACATTACATCATTACATAAGAATAATGGTAATTGCATCACTTGTATGTAGCCCATGTTTTGAAATAAGATTTACAGTACAAAATGAAATAAATAAAACCAATGATCGTAGACTAGACTAGTCTAAAAATGGCAGAGGCCTCTGTGCTGTAAGAAAAGGAAAAGAATCGAGAATGTAATCGAATCATGACTCTAAAATTGAAAATTAAATTGAATCAAGGATTTGTAGAATCGTGACACCCCTAGTTCTGAAGCAACTAAATTTAGTTGTTAAAATGGAAATTTTAATTCTGACTACCAGACTGGTCTAAAGGTAAGAAAACGGTCAACATTTAGCACAGTTTACAGTAATTAAGCCAGCTAAAGACAGGATCACACAGTCTGCGGGGACACAGGGTCACATAGATTTACTGAGTGATAGCAGAGCTGGCACCACCAACCTTCAGTCCTCCTCAGTCACACATTACTGCAACTGAGTACTTGTATGTCAGTTCAACCAAAACCAGCCAACATACAACTTTATCTTCATTTTCATGATATAATACTAAATAGCACCAGAAGTCATCTGTGCTTGTTTATATCCAGGTAGTAGAATATGATAGCATTATAGCCAGCGCCAGCTGATGCTCTGTACAGTGTAGATACAGCAAATGCCTTGCATCTAAGACCTACAGTGTTTATAAAACCATGAAAAAAGAATTACCTAGTAATTCTAGATTAAAGAGGGTAACATTAAGTTGACTTAAAATGCATGTCCCGTGCTGTGTGACTGTTTCCAGTGCAGAAGAGCAAACTGACAGAGATATGCACTAGTGAGTGCTTAATGATTACACACAAACTACAATAAATTTTATTTCAAAAATGTAAAATTGCCATCAAGCCTTATTGTCTCTCAAACCAGTATATGAAATGGCAAATTATTCTGTTACCCATTAAAGATGGTTTGTGGAAAACTCAAGTCTTTCACTCAGAATGGCCTGTCTTTTTTGTCACTTTATCTCTAAAAAGAAAGTAAAAGGATACACTAACAAAATGCATGTTTTCTAAAGGTTACAGACAAGGCTGACAACAACCTGAAACACTTGAGAAAACACAAGGTCCCCAAAACTATCAGTCAGATCACAGGAGCTGGAAAAAAACAACAGGTGCAGGTTTTAATTTCACATGACAGATTTTCTTTAGGGCTAACCAGGGTGAAGATTTTAGGAACAGAGTTAAAATTAAGGTGAGGTGAACAAAATCTCAGACTATATGTGGGCAGACTGATTTATAATTAACAGGAAGCTATCCTACATGCATGGACAATTTTTTTTTACCCATTTTCACTAGTTTTCTCTTTTATTTCTTTTGTGATAAAACAATGTGACTTCTAACTCTCCTTTCAACACTTGAACTATATTCTGATTCCTGAAAAAAATAGATTAAAAAGCTGTCTTGAATTGGTCGACCACAGCCAACTGTACAAGAATCTGTAAGTTAAGCAAATGCCACCATCTCTGCTCCCCTGCTTCTCACCATGGCTGTGATTTCATCAAACGACTGCAGATATCCAACAATCTTTGACTTATGAGCCGGCTCCACCCGGGCGAAGCACCTGGCCCGTTTCACCGCCTCTCTCTGGTCCTCCGGCGGGAGATCATCAAACTCACGACCCGTGTAAGCCTTTCCCGTCACTTCCTCCTCTTCTCCAAAGATACCGATCCGTCTGCAGATGGCCACAGCTGTGCCCTTGTTGTCTCCAGTGATCATGATTACTCGTATCCCCGCCTCGTTGCACAATTTCACTGAACCGATCACCTCCTTCCTGGGCGGGTCGAGCATGCCCACACAGCCGACAAAGGTGAGACCCAGCTGAATGAAAGCGAGGAATAGAAAAAGACAGAGAGGAGAATGAGGCTGCAGAGATCTGTAGATGGGAGACAGATTCTCACCAGTTTCAGACCTTGAATTTGTCTCTTTTTAGTTTTGTTGCCAAAGATATTAAACAGGTAATTTTTTACCTAACACAGAGAGACTGTCACAGGGAACATGTTGTGAAAAGCCTTACATTTTAGCTGAATAAAGATCTAATCAATGTGGGGATTTAGAAGAAATTATGAACGGCAGCAAAGATGACCAAATTTGGGATTTATTTAACAAAAATTTAATGATTTCAGTGAAAGCTCCTACACCCTGTAGAGCATAAAGATTTGGAAAGACTGGTGTTTATTGGACAAACCTCATATTGAATAAACTTGCTAGAGTTCTCCAAGTCCATGTCCTCTTTGCGTGGTGGGTTGTCATGTGTTGCCAGAGCCAGGCAGCGCAGAGTGTCTCTGCCTGTCCCCCAGTCCCTGATCTTGGATAACAGCTGGTCTCGCAGGGCTGGTGTCAGTGTCACCCTACCTGTTCCCACCCGCAGGTACTGACAGCGCTCGATCACACTCTCTGGAGCACCCTGAGGGGGAGAAAAACATAATCCCAAGAGACAGGGACATCAAACTACAGACGTCAAGGATCAGAGGCTAAGAAAATGATGTTTGTGTGCATGTGTGTGTTTTTGTGTTATCATTGTTTATTCATGCCTTGACGAACATCTTGCTCTGGGATCCAGGTTTGACAGGGGTGCAGTAAACAGACATAGACTTGCGGTCGCGAGAGAACTCCAGGGTGAACTCTTTCCTCATGAGCTGTCTGATCACCTGATGGAAGAAACAGAGGGGGAGAAAAGAGTAGAGATGACTGATAAGAAGGAGACAGAGCTGAGCTAAGTTGCTGTGATTGTGGACTGCTGTCAGCTCGTGACTGACATTTAAAGGATGACTCTAAAGTCTCATCATTCAGGCCCCACATCTGTCTGCGTGTATATGCTACCTCATGTGAAGATACTTTCTGTACCAACGCATGTAACTACTATCTATCTGGCTTTAAAAACATGTATACTTTTTTTAACTTCGCATTATCTCTATTTGTTGTAAACTGTTTATTTCTAGTATATTTTATTGTAAAACTGTTTTATGCATTTTAAATACAAAATGAAATCTGTATAGCTGCATTGTTTTCTCTCATTTTAGTGTGCAGATATATACAAAGTGATAAGAAGAAGGTTGGCTGTGGGCTGTCAGCACCAAGGCTGTCATGCTATTGTTTTCTGTCACCACAGAGCAGATAAACTGCCCTGGAGCTTTCCCGCAGCGCCTGTGATGGCAAATAGTGACAACACTGCATTTTTCTTGTGGCAAATTTCACTTAAAGAAAAATAACAGATGGTTCAGCTGACTCTGGATCAAAATGATTTACAATAACACCAAAGTACTTGGAGTTTGAGCCACCACCTATGAGCTAAGCATTCAGGCGCAACTCATGAGGCAACTGCGTCATGAAAGCTGATGGACTTCAAATAAAGAATTTCTGTTCTAACACTTGATCAGAAACCATCACTTCAAATGCATCATAAGCACATCTGTACAGACTTATAAAAGCCTTTGTAAGGTTTTATAAAAGTCTTCTATAAGGACTGTGATAGAAGTCCTTACGAGAAGAACAAGGTGTATAAAAGTCTGCTATAAGGACTGTTATACAACATTACAAAAGCTGGACAGGCAGATCGTGTTAAGTTTTTATCAAACATAACATTTATTGTAATGAATGGAGTGTTCTAGGCAGTAAACATGGAGTGAAAATGAAAACAACACTAACAGCAGCATCCTTTGAATTTTGAGTTTCATAATACATTATGACTCCATCTGCTTTGTCCAGTATAAAGGCTCATGGAGAACACATTCAATGTGTCATTATTTCATTTTGTATAATTGTATTAGTAAGACATTGTGCTATTTGAAAATCATATAAATGATAACCTCTCATGATACATTGAATGAGTTTTCTATTAACCTTTATACTGGATAAAGCTGAAAGGCGAAAATGCAAACTCGCAAAATCAAAGGAATAGTATAATAGGAATAATACTGTATGAGGAGAAGGGATAGTATAATATTAGATAATAAGATGAAGGGAAAATACAAAAACAAAATCAAATAAAATCAAAATGACAGAGAGCAGAGTAAGAAGGAGGCTTAAATTACTGCCTTCTCAGGGAGCATGCACTTAGGGTAAGCTGGTTTCAGAGCCAAAAGACAATTTGCATGTAAAATTTAATGGCTGATGTCCTTTGAAGAAACAAGGACGTGAACGTCTCGAGGGTATTTCACCTTTTCGAACAATAAAAAGGGAATTAATTATTTATTCTAAGATGTAGTCACAGATTGATTTCAGTGTGAGCTCTTTTTCCTCCAGTAGGTGTCTCTCTAGCTCAGACTCTGTGCTGAGCCCTGATCTCATCAAAGCCTGAGAGTTGAACATTGATCTCACTCTCAGTCCAGCCAAATGGTGATGATGTACACACACCCTATCAGGGGACTGTGAACATCTGACGGATGTCCTGAAATCTGTCATTGTGACGAACTTCCACTCCCTGTCAAACAGCGAGTACTGAGAGAGTTTGTCTTGGAAGGGCACGCATGCTTTGCTGGGAGATTATCCTCTCCTGATTTCTCTCGCTGTGTAAGTAAACCAGAGATGTGAAATGTTTGCTGAGGCTGTATGTGCATGTTAAGACTTAATCCATTAAGAGGAGGTGTGAGTTAGAGTCATCCAGTGTTTAACACAACAAGGATAATCTCATCTAAGGTGTCTGCCACTGACAGACTTTGTTCTTCCAGGAGGTGAGACCCATCAGGCCTCTCATGACCTTTATCTACAGGGATGTGAGAGGTCTGCGAAACACGGCTGACTGGCTTTAATACTGTGGATGACACTTCTCTCTGCACTGAAACACCAGCAACAGATCAATGCTCAAAGTCTACTCTTTGGTATAGGTCACTTTTTATGTTAACTATCCATCTCCTTTAATCTTAATAGTCCAGCGTTGTGCAAAATTAACATCGCTTACATTACGTCATGTGGATACAACAAAGTAGATTTAGTCCAAAGACTTTACCTGGATCTAAGACAGCATCAATTAAGTTTGTCATTTTAACAGCTTATCTAAACTACAAGTCAAATATTACAGTGAGAGGTGTTCACACCCTGATGTCAAACAAACTAGATGTGTCTGTCAACAACCTTGTCCTGGAGTGAGATGCTGAACCCTGAACTGTTTACTCATCACAACTGGTTTAAAACAATTACGCACTATTTGAAAATGTCATAGTCAGAGTGGAGCTCAGTGTAATGCTCAGATTAGCTACCGAGTTGTTGAAAGGAGCAAAGCCTGCAGCAGATGTTCTAGTTGTTGAGGTAAAAATATGGTGTCCTAAATGTTGATGATAGAGTGAATGAAGGTTCATAAAGTCTGATGATAACTATGAAATCTTGGTTTTAACGACTAATACAGCATCTAAAGGAGGAAAATGTTCGGATCAATGATACTGGTTCACATTTGGGAGGGTTAAAGCAAAAAGGAACATGTATTATATAATAAAAAGTGAATTCCTTCACTGAACTACAAATAGTTTATCAGTGTGGTGACTCGCAATCTACCAAATATGAGCATGTAAAAGTATGAAGAGGACCCCTTTCTGAGTTGTTTTAAAGCTCCCTTGAGGAATTTTTGGATTTCAATGAAACAGGTTTAAATTCATATTGATGCCCTTTTTATAATGTAAAAAAGCAAACAAGACCATAAACAATGAGACTGATCATCTTTAATTGTAACTTTAAATACCTCAAACTAGAATGAGGGGGTAGGTGTCAGCCAGGCAGCTGAGGAAACAGCCCTGCTTTTATCATTTCCACATAAAATAAATGAGACATTTGACTGGAATGTCTCTGTTTTAGTTGAGAGGACGTAGAGATAAAGTTAAGCTACAGATAAAGTTGATGTTAGCTTGTAAACCCACAGCTTTTGACTCCGCCACACACCACAGTAGTTGGCTTATAATGAAGCCCATGCAGTGACCCAGGCTGTTACAGAGCACAACAATAGTGCTCTGTAGGCAAGAGTCGCACCACCGCTCATGGATTTTTCCACATCAGCCAAAATAGTTTTATTCTAACAGATATGTTGGTCCTTTTTTTGCGCAATGCTTACCGGTCCACTTCGTATGTGGTGCTCAATGGTGATTCATGGACACGGGTGTATACTGACTGCTAACTAGGTGGAGTATTATGTCAATGAGTACTCATGAACATATGTGCCCATAATCAAATACAAGTTCACTGTAGTGTTTATGAGTGATTTTTTCATGACTGACACTTATATGCAAATCTACACAAAGATTCACTCATGTTTCATAAATAGGACCCTTTACCATTAAAAGGTGCAGTGTGTAGTATTTAGAGGTATTTATCAGATCAGATTTGGTTAAAACTGAATGTGATGTTTTCAAAAGTATGTTTGAATTAGTGTGTTATAGCATGAATGTATGAAAAGTTTTTTTGTTTTTTACCTTAGAATGACCCTTACATACATTTACATAAGGAGCGGGTCCACTTCCACAGTGACCCCCATCTTGAACAACTATCAGACATCCATATTTGTCTTACCGCGTTGCAGGTACCAGCTCGCTCCACCTTGGTGAGTCCGGACACATCAGTCTTAAAGACGTTCATCTTCTCCACCAAGGTTGTCAGAGCTGTTTCTGTGGCCTCTCCAACCTTCTCATACACTCCTTTGCCCTACAAGAGAGCAGACACACATCAAAACATGTTGCTTTATGGATTGAGAAAGTTATTTGAACAAGCAAAGTAGTATAAATGGAAGAGTGATGGAGGTGTTAAATTCTCCTGGAAATTATCGAAAGAAGAGACTGCTTTAATCCCATAAACTGTCTCCTCTGTTGAACATAATCGACCCTCTTCAAAATGCCTCCAGAACAAATCAGCTGGTTATTCACTTCTGCCTCGTTGAGCATTGAGTCACACATGCAAAGTGCTTTTAAGTATGAGCCCTTTGCCAGCTGAGATTTGGAGTAGGTGAGATGATGACGTAACACACATCATTTGTTTGTGCGGCTGAGAAAAGTCATCAATAAAACACCTGGCTCCCCCTCCGGCTCTCTGCTCTTCTAACCCTCTCTTACTCCCAGCTTAGAAGGTTTTGATCCCACTCTTGGCCTCGTTATGTAAAAATGTTCAAAATGTGAGTCTGAATGACCGCTTAAGAGAGCAGAAACAGTTTGTCTGGAAAGATACATAGGAGCTGAGAAGTGCTTCATCCCTCCCCTCAGCATGGTTACCATGATACCATGGCGATGACAAAGAGGTGAGAAAAGCAATCCAAACCAAGAGGAAAAGATCAAACCAGGGAGTAAAATTAGCTCAGAGGAGACAAAGAGAAGGCTTTCTGAAGTGAGAGTGTCTGTAGCTTTGAAGGATATTTCCTAAAATTGTGTAACACTGTGTATATGTCAGCTTGGTTAATGTTGCATAGAGCCTTGACTCTCCTCTGCCAACATCAAACAACTAAGAACCAAAGACTGTGATCCAATAAAATCAAAATAAAACTACTAGAAACCACTACCACTAGAAACAAGCATTATTTTAGTGCCCGAGAAGATTCAAAGTCATTCAGATTCAGGTTTGTTTTGCCTCTTTGAACACTTTAACAAGGTCTACTTACCATTTATTTTTTATAACCTTCATCATTTGAGGACAATCACACAAGAGGGAGTACTTTTGTACTGAGTATAGCACAGCTTTCATGCAGACAAATATAAAACATGCAACGTAGTTGTACAACAATGGAAACTTAAATAAATAGATAATCTTCTGCAAAAAAAGTCTACAAAAAGCATAAAATGTTAACACTGACAGAAGGAATACATTTGAAGCTTAAATATAGTCTCAGCTCGACTTCATCTATATCAGCCTCTAGACCAGTGACATATCTTTGTTGGGACTGTGTTTGTTTAAGTCAAAATGCAATCTTTAAATCTACTTCACTGACGACTGTCTTTTAATTTTTTTGTTTTTTTTGGGGTGAATTATCACATTTTTCTTCCCAGCCCTCTTACTAATCCCTGTGCTTTGTAGAACACTTGAGTCTGATTGATCCAAACCCTTTGACAACAGTTGTTAGTTCTTAATAGTCAAGGTGTTGTCAGGGGCAACCTGGTTACACATCATCCACACCAAGAAGAAGAGTAATGGCACAGCTAACGTGCCATTTTACCATGTAACTAAAAAGATACTTTCCAAATACTTTTCAGACAACATGGGGGATATTTTCATTTTATTTTTAACTTCTTTGGCGAGCACAAAACTTGACAGACAGTGGTAGACATGGTAACAGACAGAAAGCCACCACAAACCACAGTATGGTATAGTCTTTGGCTGTGTTACAAGACTCGTTGAGTAAGAGGAAAAGTTACTGAGGAGAGGACCTGAAAAAGGCCCTTGGCTTGATACAACAGACCATTTACCTCTGTGAGGCTCTCCAGGGGTTTTTTGGATGCTCGGCAGAGGTAATTTCCTTTATTCTTCCTATTTGTTATTTCCTGTTAATTTACCATGCGTAGTTTAAATAGTTTATAGGTGAGTGCCACCTAAGAGTGTATTTATGTTTTCCTGATTGAGTTGAGGGTAAGCACAGAGTTTTTTATGTCATTATTTTATCTCCACAGAGCGGGTTGGGGCTTTTGGGTGAGGAAAGAAGATATTCTGTTTAGTAAGATTTGTGATTTGGCACTACTCACAGCCGTTCCCTTTGAGTTTCCTGACTCAGCTGCCACCTCTTGTTGTTTGTATTGTCACAGACATACATTAATATCTTTTATTTTGCAATGGTTTGTGGCTTTAAACAATGAACAGATTTGTTGCCTAGGAACAACAGCTTTTATGTTGCTTCCAGAGTTAAAGTTTTTCACTTTCAGGCAACTTGAAAATCATCCATAGAGAGTGTGTTTGATGTGAGTGTGTGTGTGTGTGTGTGTGTGTGTGTGTGTGTGTGTGTGTGTGTGAGTGTGTGTGTGTGTGTGTGTGTGTGTGTGTGTGTGTGTGTGTGTGTGTGTGTGTGTGTGTGTGTTAATGACCTCATTGAAGTCCAGTGAAGAGTCATTGCACATGGAGCACACAGTGGCCAACTCCAGAAGCCCATCAAAGTCACCGCACTGGATCGGCTTGTCTCCTTTCAGGCTGTAAAATACAAAATAGGAAAACACACACACACACACACACATACAGACATATGCGTGTCACTCACAACAATGATACACAAGGGAAAACACTTAACAGTCTGCTACACCTCAGATACAGTAGTCTCATCCATATTTATTAGTGTGGAAGACATTCAGTCGTTAGGCATTCAGAAGTTGAGGGAAGAAATAGTGCCTGTACTGTAGTAAACAGTTCATCTGTGCGTGTGCGTGTGTGCTTGTGTGTGTCATTGACAAGCAATGCTGATTGCATGACAACCATGGATCCCTTCCCAGTTGAGACTGCAACGGTTGCTAGCGAGGCTCCCACACAATAACCCACACTCTGCTGTTATGAAATCGACAGGTTCATGCAGAGTCACTCAGCAAACAGCAAAATAAACAACATGTGTACACAATGAACCCTCTCCTACCTGATGACTGGCCACCTACCTCTAATCCTACACAAGCACGGATTCACTGAGATACAACAATGGGCTCACAGCTGAAAACCCTGACAAGTTACCAAGTTCACACTTCAAAACTTTTATAACAAAGAGGGTGTGATGAAAGAGGAGCACAGTACAGCTGAGGCACAATGGTTTGATCAAAGTTCCAGGAATGTGCCTTTTTCAATCCGCACACAAGAGAATTGACCTAAGATACTGATTATCTAAGTGTGCAGGAGCATTTTTTGGGAATCATTCGCGCTGACTGAACAAATCTTGGATTACTTTTTGTTTGGCGCAGCACATCTATTTTAACTTAAAAATCAAGCTGTTCAAACTTTTATCACACACGGGGAGTGAGAGGGAGAAAAGCAATCAAAGTCAAAGGATGCAAATTTTTACACTCACATTTGTCCCTCAGGGGCATACGTAGAGCCTGTTATCGAGAACTCATGAAGGGTGCAGTTTGAATTTTCCACCTTGTCAGTGACGAACATCTGGAGAGGAGAAAAAAACACACACACAGGCAGAACAGTGAGCTAATTAGCCAACTTCAAGAAGGAGACGGTCACACAACTATACAACACAAACAAAATATTTAGGATTCGTGGTCCACAACTCTAACAGGCCTTTGAGAACCTTCCCTATGAAAGCAGGTCTGAGAGGAGAGTATCTGTATTTTCTGCTAGTTCTGCACAGTACTTTATAATCATGGCTTATGATAGTGCGCAGGCTGTTTGGGTAATTTGCATCTTAATTGTGCATCTGTACATTTTCAGCTGTTTCTCTTTTACTATGCAAGAAATTTCATTCATTGACATTTTAAAGCAAGTGTGAAGTGAGTTTACATTTTGGCTGCTCTTTTAAGTCCAGTCTCAGTCTTTGGGAAAAATTTTCCTTTTAGTTGTAGCCACATTTTGGTCATTTTTTTGCCCTTTATAGTTGTTGTCTACATTTGTTTCACAAAAACTTAAATCTTTTTTATTTTTATTTTTTTATTTCTGTGTAATAAAGTAATAACACTATGGTTATTACTTTTAGCTGAATGTTTTCTGTCTTTAAACAAATTGTGTTAATCAATCAGAAGCTGCTCTCAAGTTCATCACAGTGTTTAAATTTGTAATGTTTGACTCTCTAAGCTCTTAAACTTGTTTAATATCTCATTTCCTTACCTGAGAGCTTCCTCTGAGGAACTTTTAGTTTGTGTCAATTTTGGTGCCCCCTGTGGCTGAAGCAGTCTTTGCTTATCTTTTTCTTCACATGCTTAAGTAATGTCTGTAGTCTGACTTTTGACAGTCACTTGTGAAAACATTGCTGTTTCTGCAGATGCTTGGCTGACACCTCAAAGTTATTTATTTTTCTTTTACATTTTTTGAGGGGTAGGAAAGTCAGATCTTAGTCTTGTGATACTTTAAGTCAAAGACATGCCCATGGACAAGTTCACTGTGATCTCAGCTGCCACGTTACCTTCAGTGACTTATTATTAAGACTACTGCAAATTTTCGCTCTGTATTTGCTCTTGAACATGTCTCCATAACGAATAAGAATGAGAAAGATGCATGGCGGGAGAGAGGATCTGTAATGTGTGCACCCATTGTAGACACGTGACAAAGTTAACACTGCACTCCTAAGTCAACTCAGTCTGTTGCAAGGATGCATGGCCCTTCTGGGTGATGGGTCAGATGTGCCTTACAATAAAACTATGACAGGTTGTCATTAAAACAGCAGCATTTTCTTCTAAGGTTTTCTCATACTGTTAAGTAGTGCAGTTTTCTGTTTTCATGTTAACTATGAACTTTTTATTCTTTGTCAAACATTCCTCCAGAGTGTTGATAAAGCAAAAGAAGAGGAACAGCTTCTGCTGTGTCTTGTTACACATTTGTAACAACCACAACACTTGAACACAAACAACTGCAACACAATACTTTATAGCTGTAAGTCTCTATGCCAACCCTTACTACCAGTTACAGTGAAGAGATAATACTTAATGTTAAAAAGTTTTTATTATTATTATTATTATTAATATAAAAGAGGAAACTGTTTGAGCATGAATGAAGTAACCATTAATTTAATGGATCTAACACTTTTGGCAGGTCTGCAGAGGAATACTCACTGAGTGTATGAAGCAGTGCTTAAGTGTGTATTGTTGCATTGGAGCTGACCTTCATTGGTAAAAAAAAAAATTATACTACGTTCGTTTTTTGCATCAATTCAATACAAGATCAATAGAGCAAGATGTAAATCATCAAACTGTTCATAATTCTGAAATGGTTTAACGGGCTTGTCAGGAGTGTGGTTGCTGCCTTGAGGTTGTACACATCACTGTCAAAGACACTTCAATCAAAAGTGAGACTGAGTGTCAACCAAGTAACACTCAGTAACACTCCATTGGCTTTATCAAAAAATAAAGCCAATGGAGAGGTGCAAAATAACTGCAGTTCCTCCTGTGTCCAGCAGAGGCTGGGTTCAAAAGTCCAGAAATCCTAACGAGGCCCCATGTTCAATAACCAACTTTATAGTGGCAATTAATAAAATTGCAGGTAAAATGGTACAAAACCATTTCAGTCTTTACATATATACTTTTTTATGAAAAGAAAAGGAAAAAAACAGCACCATAGGTAAATTCCAGTAAATTATATGTTTTGATTATTGATTATCATTACCTCCAGTCATAAGATGGGGATAGTCATCCCATGATGGAAGCAGACTGAGTAGACACAGACACCCTTAAACTTTTAACTTTTTTCTAACGTTATATTGAAGACTGCTCATCAAAAAAGTAAAGGTGTATGTGTCTGTCTTATATTACATTAGACTAGACCAAAGACCCACTAATTCACATGCACTGCTATCCATCTGGGTAGACTTCTTTCACTTAAAAGGGGGTGTGGTCAGTTTAATGAGCAGGAGGTGACATTTGACTGCTCTCATTGATGGTCTTAACTCCACCTCCTTAAAACCAAAGGGTGAAGTCACAGGGTTTATTTCCATGTTTCAACAAATACCAACAAAACAAAATGCTTCTGAGAAGCGGCCTTAAACAAAAAACACTTCAAAGGCTGGAAAATGGTCACCATAGAGGTCGAGTTCAAACAGTAAACACCCGCTCACTGTCATCTTGTACAGCAGTCACTGTACTGTAGCATCTTTCTGATGGTCTTTAGTGTTTCTAAACACGCAGACCACAAGGGAACAGCGCTGCTTACATGTCTGGATATAAGGCTTCATCAGTCACTCAAACTGCCACACACGCTCCATTAAACTGTTCGAAAACAAAGAACAAGTCAGACAGAGTATGAAAGGGAGCTGGAGTCCCAGAGCTGTCCAAAGATCTGCTTTGTTGGCAAATCTTCATCCTGAAATTCCCCCAGGAGGAATAGTTCATGATGCACTGCTTATTCTAATTTATCCATAAAAACAAAGAGTAAGTGCCATGGCTGCTGGTTCATTAGAATGAGACAGACTAACACTTAAGTTCAGCAAAAAGCAAACACAATTACATCAACACACGCAGAGAAACACACCCCTAAGACCTTTTTAAACTCTATTTGAGATCAAATTAAATCTGACTGACTAAAGAATTAATGAAGCAGCTGCTCGGTTAAACTTGTCTTCAGTCTTCTGTCTGATGCTGACTTCACATCAGTTTGAAAGAAACAGAAAATCAATGGTAGACTTCAGAGGAGACCTAGCTTTTGCCCTTCTTGCTCAAAGGTACATTTTAGCCTTTTTAGGGAGTAATTATTTCTTAACAATTGTCTGTAAGAACAGGATGACAAGATTTAATCATCTGCTGAAGTTTATTTTGGACAGATTTAAAGTTCCTGATGAAGCCTTCAATAATAAATGATGATCATAGTGTTCATGAGATAAGAGCGCCTGTGTAAATATAAAATTCTATATTCGTAATGTTTGATGTCAACACTTTACAATTGCTCTTTCCTATCAAAACACACAGAGGTATGAAGCAGAGGGAGATTCATAGAGAAGGCTTTATGTTGAATTTACAGAGACATCAATGGGTATATATGTGTCTGATAGTTTAAATACAATATAAACTGTTTTTTGAGGGTTAAAGAGCTCTGTAGTCCAGTCTGGACCACTTTAGTTAAAAGGATTATTATTTGCATGTAATGTTATATATGCCTCTGTTTTAAAGCTCTCTGCCCTTCACATACCTAAACGCAGAAACTGAGACTGGGAGGGCGCTCCTCTGCCCAACCTGGTTCATTTGCATCAATGAAAATTTAAGGCAGGGAGAGCAGCAGTAAAGACCCCAGGGGCATAGAGCAGAGCAGGCATCAGTGAAAATACATATGATACTGGTACAAAGGAGAAGCTGAGCTGGAGGCTAGTTTGAGGTAGAAATACTCTGGCACTTTAGACTCCATGTGAGGCAGCTTCAAGTAATGACACACACAGCTAAAAATGAAATAATTTAAATAAAATGTGGAAGTACTAAATAAGGCATAATAAGATGTGTTTCACATTATATTTACAATATCCTGTGTGAGCTACTATTCTGTTAATGAACACAATACAATATACTATTATTTTTATTTCTACAGCCTGATAGCAGACTGAAGGACAGAATTAGAGTTACAGTCTGTTCTCCTAACAGGTGTTATAACACAGTGATCTGAGGGCATCCGTCTGAACTCAGAGAGCAGGATGTAACTGTAATTAGCTCAGCTGTCAGCTGATATGGGCTCATGTTGAGATCAGCTGATGTAAAGTAGGGTTACCTACCTGGACTAACACTGTGCTTGACTTGTATCAAGATTATTTTTCAGTATACTTGAGTCAGTCTGTTTAAAATCACGTGACCTATCAAATATACTTTATGGAATTGCATCTTTATAGACTGAAGTAGGACAATTTGAAACCCATCACATATCATATGACAGCGACATAACCTTTGGCAGCTTTAACCCCCTTCTCTGGTCTTTTGGTGAAGCCTTTGTTTACACTAACATTGCTACAGAAGGGAAGTTGAAGCTAGTGTTGAGTACCTGCGTCTACGGGCAGCTGATTAGTTGCTCTTGCAGGCTGATGTCTGGTTGAAGACACTGATTGAAGCTAAATAGTTATTAACTGACCATTGATGGATTCAAGGGTTGCATTGCTTCCCGTCCCTCACACTCAAACACTGTTTTTCTTTGCACATCCAAAGCTCCCTGGAACGTTATCAGACAACTCTACTCCTACAAACAGATATCATAACATTTGCTTTTCCACGGAGTCCAAATCTTATGTCTACAGATTCATCACGGTCTCTGGTGATAGACAGTGTGCCGTCAGTGGCTGAGTCTGTCATATAAACATGTGGTTGAAGTTGCTTTGAGCGGTACATGAGCTGATCTTTGAAGAGAGGATCATAGACTGTATGAAACATGGATGTAGTATCAATAAACTCAATAAAGTTCACATTTTCCTGCTCACAGTGACGGTATTACAAAAAATAAAGTCAGATCTTTCAAATCTATATTTTAAATTTAGGCTGCACTGTAAAGAGCAGCTACTAAGCTGTTATATGTCTGACTGAAAGGTCCTACATTGAGTGTCTGGTGTGGTATTTAACTCCACACAGAAATCAAAGCTGCCACCCAGTCAAATACGATGGACTAATACAAGAGTTACTCTTATTTCCAACTGATGCAATAAAGTTAGCTGGTGTGGTTGTAAATTCCTCTGACTGCATTATAAATCTGCTTTATAACGCAGTTAAAATAGCATATAAGACAAAAACTTCATTACAACCATATCAACATACTCATAAATCTCTTTTCTCTGCTGAAATCTACACCGGCAACCAAGAGACACTGCAACTTCCACAAAAGCTCACACACAGCGAGGCTGAGGGAACAAATTAAGCCTGTACTTTCATCTGAGGTCAGTTTTCCCTCACTATCTAATCCGCTGCAGTCTCCAAGGAAACAAGGCACAGTGTGATCCATGTGAGGCAGCAGTAGTGGCACAAGTTTGTCTTCTTGCGCTCACTTCCTTTTTAGCTTATGCAGGGATTAATGAAGAGTAACCCTCTTAATGTGTGCACGTCTATTCCTGTTGGTGTGTGTTTGTGGAGGGCAAAAGGGGGAAGTGTGGAGTCACCATCAGCAGGATACAGAGGGGAATCCCTGGAAATCCTGTGAATATATGGGGCAACCCCGAAGCAGGGGAGACACATGGAGCAGGACCAAGAATAATCACAGATGGGTGAGCCTGGGTAAACATTCATGTGGGACGTTTAAACTTTTATGCATGAAAACTCATTAAAGCAGAGAATGAACAGTGAAGTTAAGCAACAACCAGAATTACTATCTGCAGGAAACACCACTCTGAAAAAACAGCAAAGCGGAAGTTTGATTTTCTTTATATGAGTGTGTATTTGCCCCCTTATCTCCCTCCAGAGAGCAGAGAGCAGCCAGCCAGGGAGTAAAGAGGGAAGCAAAAGGTCAATATTTACCCGCGTCAGCCTGCCTCACTCTTTTTCTGTCTGAGAGGATTTTCAGGGTTGCAGTGAGATCACTGCTCCATGTCCCTGCTGCTAGAGGGAACTCCCTGCTGCTACGCATTAATCACACACACACAAACACACACGCAAGAAGTCAACTCAAGGGAAAGTGGAGGAGGAGCTTTCACTTTCACAGCAAGAATACAAATGTGCTGTGTAGGGAGTGCTCAGTCCTCTGATGCAAGCTCCATTATTTCAGAACAGCAAGGGCACAAAATGCACACTCAGAAGAAAAAGAAAAAATGAAGAAGGGTTCATATTATTCACCCTTCCTTTTCTGGACTGTAGCACAAGTGCAGTCTGCAGGACAATCAGCATCTGCATGGACAGTCTCTAAGCTACGGGAGTGAGACCAGTTTGTGTTACAAAGAGCAGAAAGTGAATGAGCAGGTCATTATGGACCACTGTAATGATGTGTAATAAATTTTATCTGAACATGAAGCTTGGTGTTTCCACAGCTCTGTGAATTATCATCATAGTCATAAACTCGCGGGACACAACTCTTGATTAAGTCATTTAAGGCAGTGGAGGATTACATAAGCATTATAATGGAGCCATCTGACTATATTACTCTCATTTACAATGACAGAGAACATCTATGCCAGCCAGGAAAAGAGACGCCTTCTGTCACACTAGGTCAGCGTTTCTCAAAGTGTGTGGCCCGCCCCCCTAGGGGGGCGCGGAGCCCTCCCTGGGGGGGCGCGAGTCACCCGGCTACAAATAGGTTGGTGTGCACCCGCGATAGCACGGCAACCCCTGTGCAGGCACCGCGCTCGTCACGCATGCGCCATACTGAACTCGCCAAACCAGTAGGGGGAGTCCAGTGCCCTAAACCCTGTTTCTTTATTTTACCGCGAAGAAGCAGCATTTGTTGCAGTGGACGCTCAAGGCAAGATCTGGCTGGGTGTTGTGAATGAATGCACCCCTGCCGTAAAATGCCCCCCCAACGGGAGCGCGGTTGAAAGTATTTAACAAGGCGAAAATAATTCAAGTTTTCTTTACTATTGGATGAATTCAAAAGCGTCTACCTTTAATAATTTCATTCAGACTATTCAGATAAGCCGAAAAAATAGCCCTCTGATTTGGAATATTTGCTGTCCCGAAAATATAATGTTCGCTAGCTTGACAGCTTACTGTACAGTTTATATACCCAAGCACACCTCCGTATGTGCATTTTTGCGACACATAAAAACAGAACGAAAGTTGTCACGATCAAATAGTCGTATTTTTTAAAATATGAGATAATTTTCTTCCACTTTAAGAAGCTAACGAGTGGAGGGGATGCAGGGGTGCATTCTACGGCATAACACCTGTTAAGTATGCTGCTATCCCCACCTGTACAATGTCCTCCTGAAAGCGTACAAAGACACTTTCTGCTGTGCTAATTCATGGTGGGAACTAGCTCAGAAACCACGGTGGAGATAACCACCGACGCCGTGCTATGCCAGCAGCTGCTCCACTCCTCTCGCTGTGGAGAGCTCAGAGAGGAGCTGAAGCTGCTCCGTTTCGTGTTGTGCAGAGTCCATGCCGCAGAACCAATGTTTGGATGTCGGAATTTTTTTAGCGGCGGACAGCCCGTGCTTTCACCTGTCACCGTAACAACCATCAACTGTGTTCAGATCAGAATAATAAATTGTATATAAAAGTACAGAATGGAGAGATGACAGGGATTTGACAGGGATGAAAAGAAAAGCTGAAACCAGCAATACAGCATGCCTAGATGACGGTAGGCCAAACCAACAAAAAGCCAAGTCAAGGAAATATGATGAAGCTATCTTGCTATCTTGCTCTTGGATTCACAGGATTTTTTGTACTTACTCAACTTGATATTGTTTGATTATTATTGTTCTTGCAACATGAATGCACGTTTGTTTTCTAGTTTTGAGAAATACAGCAGAAGGAATGTTATGTCAATATAGTTATACATGGCCTATTTTGTCACAATTTTGTTGGGGTAGGGGGGGAATGAAATTTTTTCTTCCTCCAAAGGGGGGAATGACAAAAAAAGTTTGAGAACCACTGCACTAGGTTATCCATTCATTGTCTTTAATTCATTTGCTGTAACTTGGACCACACAAACGCTGTGCACAAGTTGAGGTGTGTGGCACAGTTGGCATAAAGCTCCAGTGAGGAACTTCTGGTTTGTGTCAACTTAGGTGCCCCCGGTGGACAAAGCAGTTTTTGCTTATCTTATCTGGTGCTGCTGTTGATGCTGCTCAAGTATAGTAGCAATGCTTCACACTATTCTAATGCAGTTAAACTGAAACTGTCAGCTGAATTGGTGCCAATACATGTATACTTTTTAAATCTATCTTTTAAACAGAATAGATATGTTTCCAACACAGCTATTGTGTTAAACATTAAAAAATGTACTCTTTCAAATACCATACATATCATAGATATTGCTATCACAATACTGTAAAATGTTTCACAAAGCATGCTTTTCTCATATATCCTGCAGGCCTTGAAAGTTTTCTTTGGCTAAACTCTGCTATCATGGCTTAATAAAAACTCATTCTGGCTCACTTCAGGGAGAGACTTAGTTCGAGGTGTGTTTTCATTTGATTAACGTGTCTCTTTCTTTCACACCCAGCCATGCCACCCACAAGCTAAATCCAAGTTTCATCCCAGTGCTCAGATGCTCCTTTACTCTAGTTTCATTTCCTTAACCCTCGTGAAAATCTCATGAGATCATGTGTACAATAACTCAGTTCATAGGCGCAAATTTAAGATCGGATATGGACTCAAAGTTGGACCTGGTCAAAATTGGGCTTTGTTAATAGGACACTGAGCATTTTCAGGTTAACATGTACAACTGAGTCGATTCAAATGGGCCATTTTAATGTCTCCAGTATCAGCTTTGGTTGTAAAGTTTGTAATAACAAACTCTGAATAAATTATTTGAGCAAACTAGCATGCTATATAAAAATGCGCAACAACACATGGACTTTCTCTGAGTTAGTAAGCTAAAGAAAATGATTTTAATTGTGCAGCTTCTTTAGATAAGCACTGCCAAAGATAGAAAGTGAACTCAAGAAAGAAGAGGAGGGATTGCATACAGCAGAGCGCCGGGGTTTGCCGTGATAAGGATTCAGCTTTAATGAAACGAACTATCAGGTGAACTGCAGAGACACCCAGAGAAAAGGATTACCATCTGCCACTCCAACTAAACTCTGACTTTCAATTATTTCTCTGAATTAGCATAAAGCAATTTAACAAATTACTTTAGGAATTAAGTTTCTATGACTGAACAATCATTTAGAAAATTATTCTTTCTCTTTTGAACTGCTGGAGCTGCTGGATGATTGTTGGAGCCTCATGCTGCTGCTGAAGGCGCTCAGTCTCTATCTGGGACTGTTCTGGCTAAATGCGTCCTGGATTGGTTCTGATTATCCTCAAGCTAAGCGATTCTGTTTGGGTCCCTCTGTTTTAAAAATAAGCTCAGTCCCAGTTCACAGACCTGCAAGCACCTCTACTTTAGATCAAAACACTTAACTGTAGACATTATTCAACAGTGGGATTTCCTTTAATATCAACACTTTGTGATAAATGCTTGATAAAACTAAATAATTTCCCATGTTTTAATAAAACAAGCTCCTCACACAGTCATCAGTTAACTAGTTTATGTAGTGTATGCATGTTTCTATTGTGATCCCTGTATTAGCTGCCAACACCCTGTGACACACAAGAGCTCTGGGACATTAACTCTTAACTGCTCTGCTAATACTGACTGGTACCTGTGAGATCATTAGCTAAGGTGGAGGATGTAAGGACAAAAAGTGTGAACCGATTAGGTGTGTGTGTGCGTGTGTGTGTGTGTGTGTGTAGAGCCAGAGTTTTAAACAGGAGCCAAAACAAACAGCAGCGTTGGCATTTACTCGGTGCTAGGAGCAAAAACTGAGTGAGCAAAATGTACACACATACACACACACACACACACAGACAGAGAAAGGAAAGGGCGAGGCTGTTTGCTGGAGAGAATACTCATGAATAGTTGTGGATAAGATCTTACTGTGTTTGTTGTTTAAGTTAAATATAGGCCATTTACATGCTAAAACCTGCCGGAGAGCTCAGCAAATACATCAATGTCAGTGTTCCCACATGTGGAGTATAATAGTGCAGGCAGCGCAGTTCAACAGTGGTATTTAATTAGTGAGTACACGCAAACCCACACACACACACACACACACACACACACACACACATTAACACACTTGCACACACATACACAAACTTGAAGAGTAGTCCTCTATTATACATCTCCTGATAGTCTCACAGCACCTCTTGAAGAAACTTTAGGGTTTATGTTGATTATGGGAGCTCTGTACCATTTGTTCATACAATATGACCATTTAATATATTTTTTTATGCCCTTTCTTTGTTGCACAAGGTTTTTTTTCTACCTGGCTTCCTAGCAACACATTTATGCTTTTCAACTTCAGGCTCAAAGCCCAGCAACATGCACAGAACGCCTGGGTTTGTTTTAGTCTGCTGGAGCTGTATAAATGACAAAGAAAATTGATCCACAATCAAGTCATTTTCCATTATTTGCTGGCTACACCAGAATCTCCAAAAAGTTGTCCCCCGTTCCAAGAGGCATTTCTTATGATAAGACAACAGCCATGGGCTCTAGGGTTAATATACACCCAGTGATGCTGCTGTTTTATTGGCTTGTTAGTAACAATTTAGTCAACTAATCTGGTTCAGGGCAAGCCAGAAAGAAAAAGTCAAGTAGTTAATGTAAAACCAGTACAGAACAAGGGGAAATAAAAATGGGGAAAATAAGAAATGACCACCTAAAAATATGGCATACCCTCAATCAGTGGGAAACACAGACTGTATTGTGTTCACTCAGTTGGTATGACATTTTGGAAACACTCCCTGTGTGTGTATGTGTGAGCTGATCTGATCTGGTGATACCGCTCTGGGTGCTGCTGGGTCATGCCAGCCTGTACTACTCCCCCAGCAGCTATCTCAAACCTGCCAGACGGAGGTGAACATTAAAACACTACAAGGATTTTCTAGTCCTCTTTAAGCCCCACTTGAACGAGAAGGTGGAAAGAAAAACACACGGGGGAGAGAGAGATCTCAGAAGCCGATAATAGAAAACCGTTTAGAGAATTTAGCTCCGTCAGAATGTTCCTGATGAAAATCCCTGCAGCTTTTTATTAAGTGTCAATCATATGACAGGATGTGGGTATTTAATATTTACTGAGCCTATCCAACTGTGCTAAAGGAATGCAATAACTATCCTGTCTATATCACTCTCAGTCAAGTTAAGTCTACAGGAGTTTTAGTTTCCAGACTTCTACTCACCCTACAGACAGACATCTGATTGGTGGTGAGGGTCCCCGTCTTGTCAGAGCAGATCACAGACGTGCAGCCTAAGGTCTCCACTGACGGCAGGCTGCGAACGATGGCGTTCTTCTTTGCCATGCGCCGTGTCCCCAGGGCCAAGCAGGTGGTGATGACGGCGGGTAAGCCTTCAGGAATAGCAGCAACAGCTAACGCCACAGCGATCTTAAAGTAATAGATCGCTCCTCTGACCCAGGAGCCACCATGAACGGGGTCCCCGAAGTGTCCGATGTTGATGACCCACACGGCCACACAGATCAGGGAGATGACCTTTGAGAGCTGCTGGCCGAACTCGTCCAGCTTCTGCTGCAGAGGCGTCTTCTCTTGCTCCGTGGCGGCCATCTGGTTACGGATTTTACCGATCTCTGTGGAAACCCCGGTGGCAACAACAACACCAATAGCTCTGCCTGCAGCGATGTTTGTGCCCTGAGAGAAAAAGAAAGGAAGAGAGAGGGATCAGTGCTGAAAAGTGAAGCAGAAAATGAAAAACAAAAAATTCAATATCAAAGAAAATTCATCTCTCTGATTGAATTATGTATTAGAAAGTTGTGAAATCCAATTTAATCCACTATAATGTTGCACATACTAAAAATAAGAATGTTAGATCAGAGTGCTGAAAAAATTGAAAATCACACTTTGACAGCCACAACACTTTGAACACTAATTCAATCCCATACAACAGTTTGACCATTATTTCTACTTTCAGGAAGCGTCTTTATTTTCAGTTTTGTTGACATGATCAGAGAATTAAAGCACAATTGTGATTTAATTTAGTTGTAGTGTGTGTCGGTGTCCTGGAATGCGTTTTATCAAAAGGTGTTCCTACGATTTTGCACCCCTCATGTCTGTTAACAGAGTGGACAAAGAAGACTATCAGGACTACCTTCTAACATAACACACTCCAGGACACCATCACCACCTAATTACTTCAATAATTCTTCAATAATTAATTCAAATGACTATTATACTCTGCCCAGACAGGTCAACTAAAACTTCATAAAAGGTAGAATTTGTGTTAGGTATCATTCGATTGCCCAAGTGTTCATAATGTTGTGGCCTGTCTGTATATAAAAGCCTTAATAATACTTATAAAAGTCAGTAATTAGTGGAACACCTGATTTGCTAAGCATGGAAATGACAAGCCTCATAAGCAGAGGCAATAGTCCTAAAAACAGGCAGCCCGGTCTAAAATAAATTACAACCTGGACCCTTTACTGCATATTATCCTCGACTCTCACTTCCTGGTTTGTTACTCTGTCCGCTGTCGGGCATTAAAAGCCCTAATTTAAAGTCAAGAAACAAAATTATACAGACATTAATTACATATTGTTTAAGAGTGGGCCATTCAAACTTGGGGGGGGGGGGGGGGGTACTGCTAACTCTGGATTATGGAGGTGCTTATTAGGAAGGAGAGTTTCCATCAAATCAAGGTACTAACAAAATAAAGACTTATTGAAAACTGCGGTAAACACAAGGCTTTAAGTCTGAGTAGTGCAGTTTTTTGTTGTATAATGGCGTCATTACCTGTCTTTGAAGGTCTTTCGGTGTCAGGCTACACAGGTACTCAGGGACCATGTGATTCAACAACAGGGTAATAAGTTCAAAACCATTCACACCTAACAGGGTTTATAAAGTGCTTTTATGTAAATCTGTATTTGAAAAAAAAAAAGAAATACTTTTATCTATCAGGACTCAATGGGCCTCATTCACTTTTAATAATGTATTCATGGTATTTTTTCATCAACTTGGTCCTCAGAAAGTTCTCCAGTCGGAGGCAAATTCATGAGCCTCTAACTGAATATTATTTTGCACCTGTTTTCTAAAATTAATGTTCTCATGAGTTGGGTGCTTGTGCCAGTTTTTCCTTAACAGCATGTAAACACCCCTCCAATGCCCATAAAAGGCCTTAAGACTGCAGAGCTGTGTAAACACTCAGAAATCATTGAAGGCAGGTGGTCATAATGTTATGGCTGATCAGTGTATTTTAAAATTATTACCCAAGTGCCCGGTTTATTTCCAGAATTGAACATGTTTTATTCAAGACACAACATTTCAAGAAGTTGGGTGAGTGCTGGGATCCTTTTGAAAACTATGTAAGTAGGTTTGAAGAGGAAATTTCTTCCATAGAAGGGTCAGTGAATGAGGCTGAATGTTTTGGGAAACTTACCAACAGGAATGTAATTGGACTGTGACTGGGATTATTTAAACTCCTACACTTTTTTGGGCACATACTTATGGGCAATTATTTTTGTTCTTGTTTTATTATATTTGACTGTAAAATATAATAAAATCTAATACATTAATACCTAATTATACTTGCATATTCACGTCACACTGCCATGAAGATTATGGGGAGGACTGAAAATTCATCCCTCCAGTCAGTTTGTGAACAGTCTGTTCTGAGGCGAGCACAGAGAGATGTCTGACCTATCACACATCCTCCACTCTCAGTGTGAGCTCTTGCCTTCAGGCAGAGGATATAGAGTTCCCCAATGTAAACTGAGCTGCTTTAAAACTCCTTTGCGCCCACTGCAATCACATTTTTAAAATCATAACTATGTGGCTTGTCAATCACATCATCTTCTTGTCTTTTTAATCTCAAATTTTTCTCTTATTTTTGCTGATCTTGTGCAAAACAGCTGATGTGCAATATATGTTATTTGTGGTTTCCTTCGTATGTGTTTTTCATATGTGCTCAAAGCACGTCGTATCTAATATCACATATCCTATTTTACCATATTGCATCATTTCAAATCATTTTGTTTCATATCGTACTGTATCTTATCATTTGGTGTCAAACTGTACGATATTGTTTGGTATCACACTGCATACAACCATGTTGTATCTAGTCATATTGAATTGTGTCTTTTTGTATAATGAGGTTTCATATTGTAATTTCATAGCATCATGCTGTATCATATGCTATTGTATTGTAACGCATTATATTGTGTCATTTGGTGTCATAAAGTTTCATATCATTTCCTGTCATATTGAATCATATTGTAAATCTTGAGTATCATAAGTATTGTATCAAATTGTATAATTTGGTTTACTAATGTATCGTATCATATATCATATCATATTTATCATATTGTATTGTATCATGATTAATCATAAAATATTTATATGATATAACATGTAACAATGGTAAATATAACACTTTGAATTTCCTTTGGGGGATCAATTAAGTTCTTCTTATATGATTTTGTTTCCTTTCTTTTATCCTTTTGTATCATACATGTTGTATGATACTGTATCATTTCATATTGTATGAGATCTTGTTGTTGGCCTTTCGCCTGTATTTCATGTCTCTATCAGGGTTGAGTTCTGTGTTCTTTTTCATGGTCAATTTCATCTATTTTGTGTCCCTTTAAAACTCATTTGACATCATATAACTTAAAAAAGCTATACGATGTCTAAGGCTACATACATGTGTGTTTTTAGCTTAAAGCCAAACACTTGCTTCTTTACAAATGACCGTTTAAGTAAATAATCTAAGCGGCAGATTGGGATGACTCAGCCTGCTCCAGGGGGACACACTCACAGAAAACAGCATGTTCTTCTTGTCTTGGTTGACAGCTCTGGGGTCAGGGACAGGGTCAGTGTGTTTGATGACTGAAACGGACTCCCCTAAAGGAAAGATTGTACCAGAGAAGTGAAAAGGATTACTTCTGTGAGGGCAACAAATGTTTAGATAGAAGAACACAGAGATTTTTCAACAATGACTTAGCTGAACAAAGTTACGCTCACAGTTTAAAGGGTAAAGGATCACAAACAATATTACAGAAACTAAAGTTGCTCATAGCCTTAGGCCTTCAAGGTTGTGGCAATAAAGAAACAAGGGAGCAAACCCTGTCTGGATTATGGTAAAGTCTTGCAGCAAAGAGATTCGGTGTCTGATACAAGATGAGAAATACCTGTGAGGATGGACTGGTCTACTCGCAGGGTGGTGGACTTTATGGAGGTCACTCTGATGTCAGCAGGCACTTTGTCACCAACTAACAAACAACACAGGAACAAAAAGATAACCACAAATTCATTACAATTTATGATAAAAACACAAGATAAACAAAGTCAGTTCTGTATGAGGCTTTACTTTGGCACAGTGATGTTCAAAGCTTACTGCTGACAACATTGTTTGCTCCTGATATATTTGCTTACATGCTGATGTTTAGAAGATACCATGTTGATTACATTCACTTTCTTGATTTGGCCGGTCAGCATCCCACCATTTACCTGGCAATATGCCTAATGCACTGATAAGGGTGTGTTATTTGTCTCTGAGGTCCCCTCTTTGAGAGATTGGGTAAACAAGTGGTGCCATCTAACTATCAAATTCTATCCTCTTGTCCAGAGGGACCAACTTAAGCTGTATTGAGGGTCTCCACTTAGCACTGATCTCTGGCGGGGTCTACGAGTTTGCAAAATGTCTTTAATTCCTCCTAACTCAACAATTAATCCACTAAACTTAATACTAATTCCTTACAGTAATCATATTTTTTGTATTTTTCTGGCTTGTTATCCATTTATCACGTTCACTGTGTCTTTCTCCCGTAATAGACTGTCTTGGTTATGTCTCTTCAACAATACTGATCAGCTAGTTGCCCTACCAGTTTTAATTTTGTTCCATTTTCCTCCCCTACCTCTCAACATTCTGCATCCCTGGCAACCACAAAGGGATCCCTAAATACAGTCATTGACAATTAAACCTTGATGGAAAGTGCAGTTCTCACAAAATATTATCAGGGATCCATGAATGGCTGTTATGCCATTTTGAAATACTGTATTTACCATACTAATTAGCAGCTGGCCGGTAGATGGGACTCATGGCCAAGTGTACTGCATGAGCACCTTATTAACTCAACTGACTTGGTACACCAATGTAGTAACACTGTACAGCTGGATTGTGGATAATAAGTAGTATTAATGTAGGGTATCTGAAATATGCTATAACTATAGCAGTTGACAATCAAAAACTGAAGAGACAAATGATATGGAAACAACTGCAAACTTATACCTGATGAGCTACTACAGGGGAAAAGCTGTTGTAGTTAGTATAACATTGGCTCAAACTGAGCAAACATTTAGGAATTGATGCCTTGCTCCAGGAGTTATTTCTTTCCAAGTCGTACTTAAGGCCTTTTTTGTCCTTTTTAAATAAAACAGCTGAAAGGAAACAGGAAATATGGAGGGCAGAGACCGTTGGATGTCATTGATGATATGAAGTGAAGCCCCTGTGTGTTGGGCGTAGATTGTATTATACTATGGACAATTTGGTTCCACCTTCTGCCAGTATACAGATTTGAAGCCAAAAAGCTCTCGATAATTCTGCATTTATTCTCCACTTTGTGAAACCAGCATTGTACACATTTGGTGGGAGAGTCGCAGAGAGTCGCTGTGATAACGCTCGGCTCAAAACAGTGTATTCCCCAGGTGAGCTACACAATCTGTACACCAATAGGCTGTATCAAGTGTCAATCGTAGAAAACATGAACCCCCTGATAACTTTTAAAAATGGAGCTGTACAGACAAAAAGAGGACTTGAGCACAAAACCAGTCTTACAATAACTACCAATAACTACAATAACTGTCAACATTGCAACCAGGGGTATGTTCTGTGTAATTATTCATTTCTAAGTTTGTCCACAGTTCAATAAGATGGCTGGCAGGGGCTGGATTTATGACCTGTACTGCAGCCCGTCACCAGAGGGTGCTGTTCTCAGGGTGGTTTCACCCAGCGAGGAGGCAGACGGTGTCCATTCTATATACAGTCCATGGTGTTGGGCGTGCACTTAAACCACTGAGCTAAACCAAAGTCTTTGGTTTAATGATTGATTAACTGGGATCATCCCACAATGTAATGTTGTCGGCAGGGTTACTGCAGCCTGGAAGTGGCTTTCAGTTAGCAATGCTGGGTTTGTTGAAGACTTCCATTTCCATTTAATACTGGCTTGTCAAATGCAATGTTCCACTTTAAAACATGATCTCCTTTACCACCAGCTTTTACTATTCATAGTTTTAGACATTGCTCATTAACACCAGTAAAAAATGATGATTAGACACCCTCATTTTAAGTATAACTCAAAACCTGAAAAATAACTGTTCAACATTTTAACACTGTTTTAGCTTCCAACCAACATGACCTCTGAAATGAATGGTCACTTTGAATTTAAGCTGTAGGCACTCCGCTTTTTTGCTCTGGACTGGTTACTGAGCAGTATTTAATCTTATCCAGCAAACCACTTGAAGGCCATTGTCGAGGAACTAGCAGTAAAGAAGGCAGGATGTGAAGAGGACAAAATAGTTTTAATGCATTTGCCCATTGAGAGTCCACTTGAGCTTAGAAGTGTAGCTGCAGGTGATCACTCATTTACACCCACTATTGAATACATGTTCAAACAATAAATCCTTAAGCAAAGAAACGTTGGCGGATTTAGCCAGAGCTCAGGCTGCAGCTGCAGGTAAACAACATCTCGATGTAACCTTGATGGAGTCACACTGGTGTTTTAAAATAACCAATTATTTCCCTTTCCTTCGGTCCATCTTCACTCTCTGCAGCTCTGATACAACACACAATTTCTCCTGTGTACACTGTCAGACCTACACTACACTGATGTGGATTAATGCCTTATCAAACCTTCAAAACAGAGTTCATTATCTCCACCACAGTCCAACAGCCAGCTTTTTAAGCCCCTGCATATTAAACTCATATCTCATAACCGGTGGATTTTAAGTATCTAATGCCCCTAAACAAAATGGTTATTGCTTCCTCTTTGTCAGAGCCTGACAATGAACGTTAATGGAAATATTCCCATAACAGCAGGACAGAGTCAGCCACTGAAAAGTGGATAGTTTGATGCAGTTAATGATAGTGATCATATAGGAAGAGAGGGAAAAGTGCTTCAAACACTCCAGACAGACATAATACTATTTGTTTCTGTGCTGTTTTGATTGACAGAGCTGAACATGACTGCATATTAAAAATGTTTTCTTAAAGCAATCAGACCCCTAGAGTGACAGAAATACTCACATTATCGCTCCAGTAAAGATAAAGACATGCCTGAAAAAGATTCCAGGAGAAGTAAAAGTAATGATTCAACTCTTATATTTTGATGAAAGTGAAAAAGTCAAGGCTGTGAAATGCACTCTGTAACAAAATAAACAGTAACCCCTGTGAAGGACATTTCTAGCAGCAGTTTCGATGAAAAGCTAACTAAACTTCACCTCTTGTTACACACTCACCTTACTTAATATTAATACTATTTAACAAAAAACGGACAAATAAGTCGATAAACTAAACAAGGGCAAATGCATGGCTGTCATTAGTAACTACTGTTTGAATGAAGAAAAGAAGATCCACTTTAGGTAGCCTAACTATCCAGTAATGATAGCCATCAATAACAATGCAGTGCTAGTGGAGAGAATAGCATTAGCTAACACAAGCCAAATGCCAGCATTTTCAAATTATATATTTTGGGCTGTATATGAGTTAAGTAAAGGTGATTAAAAAGCAGAAACAGAAACAAGATGTCAACAGAGCCCAGCCAGTGCTAACGTTAGCCTGTTAGCTTGTCTCTGAGAACTTAGCTTGTTTAATGGTTCACGGTGCAGAAATAGAAGTATTTAATGATATGCAGCCGTCAGACTCCGGACTGAAACACTCCCTTGCTCACCCCTCCATTTGTGAAGCACATGTTGCCTTCCCGACACCTATGTGTTTTATGGTAAGTATGAATCTTGGTTTATCCAGTTTATGGACTACCTGGAAAAGTGCAGTGTCAGTGTCAGTGCGAGTTCTTTTTAGCCAACCAACCACTCCGTTGTTCTCCATTTTCCAACCAGTGCCTTTGGCATGGCCTTTCACTAAACTCAAAATTAGTGTGTCACTAGTGTGTCAGTTCTGGCCTAAAGCAGAATAAAGAGATTGACTGATGAATCAGTTGAGTTCATTAATTTGGGAGACAATTGTTTTTTGAAATAAATTGCCTTGGCTGAAGTCTCTGCTCATGAGGCCAATTAAAAAAAGGAATTAAAAATCATGTGTTTAGGCCCTGCAGGCTGCTTCAGCAGTGTGGCTGCTGCCAAGTGAATGTTGACTTCCCCCTACATGATAAAATTGCTGTATTTGATCAAATTTACAACAACAAAATCCCTTCAACAATGTGACTTTAGCATCAAATATCAATCACCTGCTCTCTAATTATTGGCACTGCTAGTTGAAAAAACAATAATGGTCTGCAAGACAGTGGCCTTCCTGATATGGGACCTGTTTTTATACAGAGGTGATGGTACTGTTTAAACTCACTCATGAGTATTTTATCCCATTTCTATCAAGTCTATTCTTCTCAGTGCGGCTAAATACTACACACTACTCATTTAAAGTTAAAGATCTGAGCTGTTATAGAAATGTAAAGACTTGAAACTAGAGATATTGATGAGTAAATATGGACATTAAAAAAGGTGCCAGAAAATCTAATACTCGGGGCAAGAACAAACGCCTGAAAATCTACATTGATACATCAGTTTGGTTTTTGTACTCCCTCTGGTTATTGTACAAGACATTTATTCTGAGATAACGAATGCTGCGAGGATCTGCTGTCTCTTCAAAACGAATGATCTTGAAATCTCGTTGAATTTTTGCTCTTCCTCACTCACATTTGTAGACAACCGACAGGCAATTTCTCCTCTAAAGTACACTTCACAGTGAAAACTTCTTAAAATGGTCTCACACTGGTAAGTTTCTGAGTGAGCAGTCAGGGTTTTCTTTTAAACAGTCACTCCAGACGGGACAGAAACCAGGATAAGGCTGCTGTGTTTAGCTGAATGACTTCAATATCTGCATTTGTCGACATTTCTCTGTCTGACACCCATGGGCTGTGAGAGAACAAGAGTGGGAGAGGCGGAGGGGGAGAGAAGTGTGTGATGTGTTTGTGTGGGAGACAGCTGGGGGCTACAGGTTCACTGTAGCAGGACTGGCCAAGGGCAGAAAAGAGGCTTTTCAAACGCCTACCTCCAGACTCCTGCTCCCCCATCCAGCCTCCCACAGAAGCTCTCCATCTGCTAGAGGAGGAATTTAAATCCTAATGCAGATACAGAGTGCAGAAACACAGTCTTTTTAATATCAAAGAGATCTGAAATTCATCCCACCACCATTCAGACTGCCGCAGAAAATCAAAAGCAAGAAATCATTTAAAAAGTCATGAATAAATTTGACAAAGAACATTAGGGTAGGATTAAAACTAATGAGGAGGTCTGCTGGTTTGGTGAGCCAGAGCTCCCTTTCCATTTGGTTAAAAATGGACTTCAATCAAATTCTGAATGTCTTGCATAATATTCTGGCAAAGAGGTCTTCCTTCACATGCAGGATAACCGTGGCTTGTTACTGAGAATAGTTTGGTGCAGGTTTCCATCCTGACCGCCGCATCTAAAAAACCTGGAAAGTTCCAGCGGAGGCGCAAAATCACAACTGTGTCGTAACCATGGCTGGCATCACCAGGAATGTACCTACAAGAAGACTTAAGCAGCAGTGGTGGAAACTTGAGTAAATATATTTATGTTCTTTTCTCTCTTTAAAAGCCCTTGTGGTCGGCAGTGTCCTTTTCCGATACCTTCACACAGCTTCCAGTTCCCATGGAACAACCGCCGCCTAATCTGCAGTTCAGGAAAGCCCGGGAAATCACTAAAGGAAAGGAAAATATTTACGTGTTTTCTTTGTCACCGTATAACTCACATGCTTCTGCCAGGAGGGTGTGTGTGAACATCCCTGACACACACTTTCTGAGTGAGAGGAGTGTGTGGTAGAGTCCATGCCCACCTCAGCTGTTTACTTATGTTTTAAAACTGCTTAGCAACAAGATTATGTCAGAAACAACCAAGCAGCCTGATATATGACTGTGTTTGTTTTAGAAAAATGCAGCAGTGTGCACAACAGCACAGTCATACTTCTTTTTAAAGTGAACTTTAGACGGTTAATGCTCTGTAATTAAAACAAGATGGAGTTAAAGCTTTGACTAATGCCTCGACTTCAACACACAGTTTCTCACTTTTGTCTCCATGCAGACCTCTCAGCAGGCCGTGGAAGGAAATATCCTAACTTTTCAGCCATAGATGGTTATTTGGGCAGCAGTAGAGCCTCTTCAAAAGAATGTATAACGGTAAAGTCAAATTCGCTGTTTTAAAGAAAGCAGTAAAAAGTCTTGTGGACATTATTTTTCAAGCAGAAGGGTCCCCTCCACTCCCCCCACACTAACATATAAAAGCTAAATGAATAACTGTGGACCAGCCTGACTCCAATTGCCACAACCATCAACCAGTATTAACTTTATAATCACCGTTATAATGCTAATGTTAATCTGCTGTAATTTGTTATCATTATCATCCTTTCAGCCTCTATTATCATCACCCACTGTTATTAATAATATTATAATCAGTCTCTTATCATTTCCCTGCTGCTCCTGAAAACTGTACGCATACATTTACCATCATTATCGCCACTGAAGCCATAAGTCTGTGTGAACTGCTGTTATTGCTGCTTCAGCCCAGCATTTGTTTTTATAATCCATGTATTTTAGTGATACCTACACTTGGCTTGCATTTTGGCTGTTGTAGCTTTTATTATTTCTTTATTGCAGCAATTAAAGAGTTATTGTTGAACAGTGGGATATTCAGTGTTTTTTTATAATCAGTAATCCATTAAATTACTAAATTAAATGGCACAATATAAATAACAAGAACTCAACCCAACAACGGCATTAAAAAAGCAGATAAGAGAGAGTAGGAGGGATGAGGGTGGGGTAGTTACTAGCTAAAATAAAAAACAGCCTAGCAGGCTGTCTTTGAAGCAGATAAACCCACAATCTTCATTTTTAAAGTTATCTCTCATGTATTTCTGTTTTTTGGATATTAAACTGTGTTTGTCCAAAGCTTAGGTGCAGGTGGATTTGATAGTTTCTATGTCCTTATCACCTACTTCATGAAAGAGATAATATACAGTGAGAAGGTTCCTCTAGCAGATCCTAGAGGGGACCCTTTGCCAAAACAAATGTGCTCACTATTCATAAATAAATGGTTGCTCACTCATAGCTCCTAGGAGGACTTTTTTAAACCTTTTATCAAATAGACTGAAATTTATATTGACTCCTCTGTATGATACACAAAATAAAACAAAACCCTCTGTAAAATGATTGACAGTTACTGTATTATAATTATTGATATGTCAAACCAGTGTAAGGGGGTTGGTGTCAGCCAACAAATGATACATTAGGTGGTTGAAAGTCAGCCAGAAGAGATTAACATCAAAGTATGCCACTTGTGCAAGACTGCTTTGATCACAGGGGGCGCCAAAATTGACGGAATATTAAGATCCTCATTGGAGCTTTTACAAATCAGCAATTTCACATTAAATTTTGATTCTGACACATTTTCAAAGATTTGAATTGGTCATATGTCATCACTCTAAAAGTGGTCGGCTTCACTTACAATGTGGGTACCAGTGTTGATAGCAGTTTCCTCTGTAGCTCTCTTCAACCAAACTAACTTAGCTGTTATCACTCACATTAAACTAAATAATTCCAGAGACAAAGTCCAAAAAAGACACTTTTCAGAATCTCTAACATTTTATTTTACATTTATCACTTATTAAACACCACCACATCTCATACGCTTGTCTATAAAGTATATACTTCATACTTTATCTCTTACTTCTTCTATTTCAGCCTCTCTTTTTTTGTCTCTTTAACCTCTCTTGCCTTGTCTCTGTTATTTCTGTCTCTTTTCTTTTTCCCCCCAACATAACTCGGCTGATGTCAAACTAATTACAACTTTCAGTTGGTTCATATGGTTACAGTGTATTTGCCTGGACTCCGTGATTAGAGTCGTATCTATAGCAACAGTATGCTGCCATGAAATAACAGACAGCTGCAACTGAGTATTGACCTATCAGAATCAAATATCCTGCAATGTGTAATAACTTTTTTATAATGTAAGGGTTATAATGGCACTTGTCTTTATTTTCACAAAAACTAAACATCACATTTTTTTGTTCTGAATGTGTGATTGACAACCGTTTTCTTTAATTTCAGATGGTGTTATATCTGATGGCCATATTCATGTTTCTCCCTCTGTTCTTTGTATTATCGGCTGAGCTGCTATAGGATACAATGAAAAAAAACAGTCAGTTTTGTTTTTCAGCCTCACTCTTCCACACATCATGGGCCCACCAGGTGCTGCTAAAATAACAACAATAACACCAAATATTCCATCCAAACAGCAGATGGTTGATGGTTCATATCCATCTTCCCTCCACTTCATCATCACAGGCGCTGTCTAAACTCCTTGTGAACTTCAGCGTCATAGGAATGAGCCGAGCATGCAGTGTTGTCATGGTGACACTATTAGTGTTGACAGTGACAGGGGTAGTGGCGGTAGGTGCTAGTGAAGGGGGTTGAGAGTGGAGCACTTTTTGATCTCTCTACCTGTGTGGGCTTGTCTGAGTCTGGCAATGTGTGAGCACATGTGTGAATGAAGACTCCGGCCGAAACAAGCCTGAATTCCAGGGAAGTGTTACCTGTCACATAAACAGGCACAGAAAGAGGGTGTATTTGACTTTTTCAGGCATGTGTAACCTGAAGAAAACTACATTCAAAAAGAACAAGAAATAACTCAGTAGATTTAACACAATGCAGCAGTAAGTTGTCTTTTCATGATGTTTTATACGTGTCTCAGTCAAATTTCTGACAAATATTTTCTGACGACTTTTGTAATTTTGTGCTCAAGGTTAAAAAATGTTAGCTGCTATTAAGAAGGACTTCAAACTGTTAATTTAAATATATGTATTTTGTTTATCAGACTCCAAATTTGGGCCAACACACTTTTATGGCCAGATGCAGCTATTGAACCAAGGTCAAAGTTCATGAACTTCATCTGAGTGTTTCTAGAAGCCAGGTCTCATTGACAACTGAAGCTGTGCAGACTTGATCCGTCATGTTTTAAGTCTTTTTAGGTTCTTCTCTGGTGGCTCTCTCTGAACTTTCAATAATTGTTGTTGCAAAATGGACAGATTTCTAGCTTCATCCTGTGCATGTTAGCACAGTTAGTCCTTGAAACACAAAAGTGAAAAGTATGCAGGGAAACTGACCAACTGACCTGCACCCAGCAGCCCTACAGGTAACACTGTAGGACCAGAACCACTAACCTTTCTCTCTTTTTTGTTTTATTGTTTATTGGATTGTTTATTTGGATGTCAGTACTATACATGTTATTTTACACATATTTGCAGCATGATAAAAATCATTGTCATGACAAAGTATGCACAAGAGTTATTTATTAAATGTATTTTAATATTCTAGTTTCTGGACCCATGATCCATCTGTTATTGTAGAGGAGGCGTACTTTATAATCCATACTGCAGCCAGTCACCACAGGTATAGAGATAGTGGTAACATTTAGTTTAAAATAATACCAGCCTTAAGGTATGAGGAGCCAAACAAGGCAAGGTTTCATACTCTGTCCCCCTTAAATTCCATCAAAGCACGTGCAAGCTAGAACAGCAATCTGCTTGTTATAATGCCTGCTTTGGATTAAGATTGGTGTGCAGTTTAATATAATAGTTAAAGTACGCTGCAGATGTCGCATGTTTGCACATGCAAAATCACTCCTGTTGTTATGTCACCACAGGAGTGGACTCAAATTCCCTCATGCTACTCTTTTCCAGGAGGTGGTTCATAGAAACAGTGCAGAGGCTTTATACCATCAACTTTACAGGGTTGTTTGGCTGGAGTGTGACTACTGTATAGAAAAGTACATACAGTATATACAGGCAAGGAAAGTGTGCTTTTCATTACACTGTATGGGATTTTTCAAGTTTCTTGCTTTTCTGACTTTGAGTACACAGTACTGGTATGTGTAAAATATTCTATCTTCTGACTCCAAATAGTTTAAAATAAACTGTTCTTTGTCAAAATCTCTTAATTCACAACATTTTATCGCTATTTCTACCATAGTGTCAGATAACTTTGCAGTCCCCCCAAACTGTTTACTCCTTTTTCAGAGGCTAGTTTAATATTATTGCCAAATGTGAGTACATGGAACTCTGCATCTAGGTTTTGTTTACAAAAACAATCAATGCAAGAGGTCTTTTTTGGAAATGGTACTGTATGTGTTTATATTAACAGTTATGACAATGATTTATTGTGCTGCCCTGGTTGCCATAGTAAAAAATAAAGGGACTTGTGACTATCAACAACACTGTCATATTTCAGTTTGAAAAAAGAACCTAAACCAAAAATCTGTTTCAAACTCTGGCTGCAGCATGACTCTTTGAAAAGCCAGTCTGCTGAGCTCTCGGTGATGGTTATTTGGATGGATGATCTCATTTCCATTTTTGAACCCTTGAGCTGAAATCGAACAGCGCCAAGGCTTCACTGTAACCAGTGTAGCGTGTATAATCCTTCTCCTTGATTCTTCGTGCTGTGATTATGAATGAACGTTGTGATCTCCCCTCCTTTCCCACACACCACACCGAGTCGTCTCAGCCGCATCACCACCACGTGCAGCCGAGGATTCCACTCAGAAACATCAGTCATTTTAACCGTGAACTGATCTCCTTGGTTGGTACATGTGTGTGCTCCAACATTAACACTGACACACTCAGATGTTCTGGAAGCAGAGTGACAACGGGACTATTTTTAGACAAGGCTGCTGCCCACACATGGGTGAGTGTACAGCAGCGGGATTGTACATATGTGTGAATGTAAGTGTGTATGTGTGTAACCTAAGGGAGTGTAAGTGAGAGGCTGACAAACATCCAGCAGAGTCCAGGTGGTGGGACTGAGAGCATGGAAAGCAGAGGGAAACGGGGGGAAAGCTGTGGAAAATTAAACTGGGCCTTAAATACGAGGGGTGACCACAGCCACTTACACAGACCCTCACACACAAACAGCAGCTCCCGCACCTGCACATCCAGGGGAAAGGCTCTTATGTAATCCAGTCAGGGATATTCCAGCAGTGTTTCCAGACACATGAATGGATGGCAGAGGCTGAGTGAGTCTCTGAGTGGGTTTCTGTGTGTGTTCCTGAGCATAAATTAGTACCAGTGAGTGACAGCGAGAGTTTGGCCGAGTGCTTACCTGCCACCTCTACTATGTCCCCTGGGACGATGTCTCTGGCTTTGATCCTCTGGACGGCTTTACGGTTCATGCGGTACACCTTGCCCATCTCTGGTTCGTACTCTTTCAGAGCTTCAATGGCATTCTCAGCATTTCTTTCCTGATGTGAAATGGAGAACAGTTAAAGTTATGTCAAAGATTTTTGCAGTTAATTAAGTTTGATATTCTACATAAAAAAATTTAAGATATTCTTGTATAATGAACAACTGGACAGAAAACAGAGAGCCCTTTCTCTCAGCCAAAGTCACCATTTTGTACAAAAATCTACAATAACAGGGACAATTGTTAAAACACATCATTCTGTTTAGTGCATACTCAACATGTCTTCTTCCTGTTTTTACAGGTAAGGCTTCTTGTTTTACATTATTCTGTTACTTTTATAGTTGTTTCACCACATTTAATGTGCTATGTAGCTTATAAATAATAGACAGGTTTATTAAATTTAACTGTTGCCTTTTTGTTAAGTTACCTTCCAGAGATATTATCATCTTCAAATCATCTTCAGTGATATAACATTTTTGGATATAAAAGTGTCTGCCACTAGACCATCAAGGGCAGACATTTATACACTCACTGCAACTGTAGTTTGGGGGCAAGTGTTTGGCACATGCTTGTTACTCGTGACTTGAAATTGAATGCGAACATTTTGAAGCAACATAGCAGAGCAAGACAGACAATGAAACACGGGTTGCTTTAGACATATAATGAGAAATGAAAATCAATAGTTAGCTTGATGGGTAAAAACAGGAATACATCATTTTAAAAGCAGGTAGAGTTTATTTAACACTGGGGTAAATACAATTGATGTGAGGTTGTCGACAACTGCTCACACAGACACTGACACAGACTTTTCAATTACAAATATTGCAATCAGACTGGCAAAAAAAGTGGCCATGTAAACCCACCTACTGACTCCAGTTCAGTACTCCGCCTTGAGTCCAAACTTAAGTCTTGACATTTAAGACCTAAGGCTTGAACTTGGATAAAAGTACTTATGACTCTAACGTGGTTTGTTTGTGTAAGATCCTAATACCGTATTGTTTTTTTTCCGGAAGCTGGCATGTATGTTTACTTGCATATCATCGGTCAGCAACAGTTTCTGCCAGGATGCCTATAAGCTGCCACAAATGGTGTGTTTTGCCTTTGAAGAATTTAGCAGAAATGCAAGTAGGAGAAATACAAAATGTTAAATACATGGAAAAGCCAATAAAAGAAACTCAAACATCTGTAAAAAATGCACCGATAGAAGTGAGTGAGATGCTATGTTAAGTATTCTTGAATCATTGGTAATATTACTGTTAGCAAGCTAACGTCAATGTTAGCAACTATGATGACCTAACTGTTAGTCTAAATTGTTTTGTTGGTAGAAATTCAGATCAAAAGCGGGTGGTTCATGGATATTTTTCAATTTTAGACATCTGCAGTGATGCACTACATCACAGCAATGAGCGTCTATCCACTAAGACAGGTGTTGCGTTCTTTCTTACTCAATGCACAGTTACTTAAGTAATGAGTCAAATCTCCAGACTTGCCTACAGGATCAGTCAGAATCTACTGTGTATAAAGGAAATGTACTCACTCCTCATCCAAAGGGTTCAAACAATTAAGATTTAAGAACGAAACAGTGTTCCTGTTTAAAATTCATAGTTTGCATTTATAATGGTGCCCTCTTTGGATTTAAAAGTTTGGCAACTCCACCACAACACTGCATACAAATTCATTTGCAGACTTTGTGCATTACTGTCAGAACTTGGATATATTAGACCAATTAGAGACAACACAACTATAACAGAGCAGTAAATACCCCTGACATTTACAGGGTTTTCAGAAGATTGCCAGGTTAGAGTGTCGTGACCTCTTAATGAAGGTCTGCCAAGCAATCTGAGAGGTGGTTACAAAAGGTGCCCAGTGGTTTATGGGGAAACTTTCAATTTCACAAAAGACAGTTGGTGACATAAACTTTCTCCTTTCTGCTGGTTTAGAGACCTGGGCTCAATCCACTTAAAATCAAATACATATTAGTGTACAAAGATCTTAGTGGACACTTTTCAATGAGGGCCTTTCACCTGGATGATGTCTGGGTTGGATAAATATTGAGTGGATGAAAAAGTGATCAAGCTCAAAAATAAAATCAAAATAATAATATTTACCACAAAAATTGAATTTGGCTTGGCATTTACCAATCATCAGTACTTTTAAGACCTCGATCAGAAGTTCCTGCATCCTTATTACAGACAATCCAAGACTTAAACATGCAAGGCTCTTCATATACGTGTTTGTTTTGGCTATACTACAACTATATCATATGCAATAAAATGTGCAGTTAAAGGTTATGTCAATACTCTTTAATGGCATTACCAGGAAATTTGTGTTTAACCATCAAATAGAAAACAGAAAACCAAATATGATAGCAGAAGGTCACACACAGATCAAGGTGTAGCTGATGACAACTTCAAAAATAAGCTTTCAAAACTGTTCTCTGTTTCAATCTGGCAAATATTTACAACTGGAAAGTCAAACCTTTCACAGCCACTTTATTTATAATAAAAAGAAATATTGGTTGGTTGGTTTTGGCTTATGCAGATGTATAACTCATGTTGCCAGTTCAAATAGAGCATAAGAAAGTTGAATTCATGGTTAGACTTTCTTAATTCACAGTTCTCTTGTACAGTCTGAGGCTTTATATATATATATAAAAAAAAAAAACCTGTAGAGAGAGACAATGTTACTCATGAGTGTACTATTTACACAGAGAGACGGGATGAAAGGTGGATCTCACCTGCCAGACTCCGATAACAGCGTTGGCGATGAGGATAAGAAGGATGACAACAGGCTCAACAAAGGCGGTGGTTGTCTCCTCTCCCTCTTCAAACAGAGCCAACACCTAAACAAACACACAGGACATACATAACTTAGCATATGTCACATGGAAACTCATTTGGACACATCTCCAGGCTCAGCTTTCTCTGAAACAAGTTTTAGGAGAATGATTGAATGTTGAAAGGAATTTAAACTCATACGGTGTTTAGACAGAGAGGCTCCTGCTTAGTTTCTGTCAATATGTCATTAAAGGAAAATTGGTTTCAAAACCGCAGACCTATCAGGTCAACATAAGTGGTCCTACATCAACAGTTTCATGTTGCAAGTGTGAATTTTAATGGATTTCGAACAAGCTGGTTTTAAAGTAACTGATTATGTAAACATGAATGTTGGATATTTTTTCAATAAACTGAACCGTCAGTGCAGGTCAGCATGTTCAAATTTATACTAAAACATTACTCAGAAACTTGTCCATTTCTTCTCAGCTATTTAAACTGTGTTTTTCAACACTGTAGCTAACCGCTTTTAATTTCAGTTCTTACAATTAAACTTTTTATACATATCAGAGTACTGATAATTTCAGCTTTCTACTCCACAGATTACTTTTACCCATTAAACTCAATCAACTGTTTACTTAGCTAGTTATTTTACTAAATTTTATTGACCATCTTTGAATGACTGTTTGTCACTTTTTAAGTTCAGTTGAAGTAAGCTCAACAATTTTTTATTTTTTAAAATCAATTTTAACTACTTGTATTTATCTAGATTAATGTTATATTGAGCAAACAGCTAATCCATTTTCACTACCTGTTTCAACTTAGCATTCATCTCTGGCAGCTGGCTACTACAACCATACATCCGTTACTTTTCGCCATTTCAAATAATTTCTACTGCTTCTTTCACTTTTGCAGATTAAGATAATTATCAAACTATTATTCTGTAGTTTAACTCTATTGGCTTTTTCCTGGATACTGTCAAATAGTTGATTTACTGTTTACCAGTTATCTCAGGGGCAGCTGAACTTGGCCATCCATTGCAACTTGAAACTCACTCTGTTATCAATGTTTTATTGAGCAAATGGTAGAACATGCATTTTTTGTTTTTGTTTTTATGTTTTTTACAAACACAGTGATTTGATTGGTCAATTAATATCTTTGATTGAAATAAACTTTTTAAGTCCAGATGAGGCTACAGGATTCCTTTGCCACATATCACTCCAGCTTTGAATGGCTGTTCTGTCTACTGTCATCTGTCAATGTCAGACATTATGCCTGTAGGAATGGATTCCAATCAGTGGTTCAGGTGAAGTCAGCAGTAAGTGTCAAACAACAGTGCATAATGATTTCGTGAAACAGCATAAAAAAATTCAGCCACGACTTCTTTTTCTGACTTCCTTTTGTTCTGTTTCATCTCCTGCAGCTGTTTGATCGGCTTGATTCAGGTCTCAGTTCAACAGCAGACAATAAGTTACAAAAAATGCCTATTTCTGACTCCCATCAGCAGTGTGAACCTAAAAAAAAAGACTTGTGATTTCCTTAAAAATGACAATGTTACTTAAAAGTAACAATGGCAAGATACAGATTTGTAAGAAGTAAAAAGTCAAGTAAAGTCAGGTCTGTCCTCAAGAGGAGAAAACTATTTTCAAAATGTTTACAGGCAGATGGGAATTATAACCACTGATTGGCTTAGAGGATCTTTGTCCCTCAAGTTGTAATGCTTAATCTGGAACTGATGCTACCTGAATCTATAAGCAGATATCTGTTTAAATTAAGACAAAGATATCATAGTCAGATGTCATATTACCACCCTTTAGAGCCAGGGTGCTAACTGTGGATTTCATCCGCCTGCTTTTGCTCTCCATACAAACACTAAACGCTGCTTTAATTTATTGGTTGTATTTTTCTTGGGCTCCAAACAACAAACAGAAACCAGAACCTTTTCCATGCTCCACCGCACTCCTGAAACACAAAGGCTGTAAAATCCGCAGAGGCTGTGGGCTGTTCCTCTGCAGTAAATATACTGAGAGGCTGCATACATTTGGATTGACTATTACTGCGACAGAGAGATATCAACCAGCTGAGTTAAAACACATGAAAAGCTGATGTCTGTTACATCCTGCAGAAAAATATTTTTGCCAGTTGCTTCTGGCTTTCGAAACAATGAAAACTAAATAATTCAGATTTAATTATTCCTGTAGTAATTTCTCTATTCACTCAGAGTATTACTCACTGCAGTTTTTCATCTCAGTTTTTTAGTCAAACTTATTATCTTGGTAAAATCAAATCAAATGTGCCTAAGGATATGATTTAAAAGATCAGTGTGGGTATGAATAAATACAGATTAAGAGAATTGAGTCTCAAAGGCCTATATTAAGGAAGAACAGAACAACACTGCCTGAAATGATAAGAGCAACAATAATAATACAATAAAATCCAACAGAAAAATAAAATCTTCAGAAAATTAGACAACCAGGATTACCTTGCATGGAATAAGCTTATTCAAAGTCGTTCTTAAAGCTTAGTTTTTCAGGAGAGTGTTTTGTAGCTCAGCGTGGTTTAGATTCAGCACACCGAGGCTCTTGGGTGGTAGGAAAATTAAACACAAATTAACATTTACATAAGACTCTTGTGGGATCTGTTCTCTCTTTGGTGCAATGTTTGTTGGGATGAATGTGCACTAAAACATGAGCTTTGAATAATTTGAGTGACACGACAGTCAACAATTCAAATAATGAGCAAGAAATTTGTTTCACAGTTGGCTTGCATGCTGCAGACTTTAATACAGAGTTGAGAATTTGTCAGGGGACACAAACATTTCATTAAAATCAGTTTGTCATTTCTCAAAATAACCATGTAAGGCATCTTTGACTTTCCTGTGTAATTAACAACTCTTTCTTGAGATCTGATGTGGTATCCAACTGATGTGTAATGATGCAGAATAAGTGTGTGGAAATATAATTTACTTCAATATCCTGATTTTTTCTGACCTTGTGCAATGTCTTTCACATCCTTTGCTTCTGCAAAGCTCTGCTTGTGCAGGAGTTGATTGTAGACACTCATTCTACTGTATTTCTAACATTTCATGACCAGTTTAGTCCCATTCAGACAGGGATCTTTTCCTCAAGTGATACCTGCCTTTAAGAAAATACTCTAAAAATACACAAACAACCCAAACAAGTTTACAGTGACATTAAATAATGTTTCACTCAAACCTAAATTCAGAAGATTTTATCAAAGTTTTGGAAAAATTCAGGGGTTAGAGGTTAAGATATTCAATAATATCAGTTTGTAGGTTGTTCTATGAGAAGGGTGTTTAAAAAAACCTCAAAGCTTTCTTTTCCAAATTGATTTAGTCTTTGAGAGACATCAGTCTACACTGGTGACTTTATGTTCGACTGTGACGAGCATGATAAAAGTCTACAAGAGACAAACCAAACTCTAGCACAAGACTATTTGGGTATTTAAGGGCAGCAGAAACAGTTGTAAGTACATTATTCTTACCCATTTGAGTAAAATACTTGGTTTTGATGAGTCAAAATATTCATTTTGAAGTGACACAAGGGACAAGCTGATCATATCATACCAAATCAAGTAGTCCAGCTTTGATCAGATTTTAACTCGGGTTAATAATGCCATAAAATATTGTGATATTTATGGAAAACTTAAAAATAAAACAACACAAATAAGGAAAGACAGCAACAAGGGTGGATCAACACATTACTTCATAATTTATCTATTAAATGCAATTACCTTGCATGTCATCATTGATCTCAAACAGTATTTAGATTAATGGTTTATCATCACCCCTGTGATTGACGCTTCTTTGTAAGATGTTGCCTCATAACTGATGCTTTGATATTTCTTCTATCTTGGGCTTCAGTTGCATCACATCCTGTTTGCTACTCCCAGTAGATCTTAAGTTTCCTAACTGAACAGAAAAAATTGAGAGAAGGATCACAAAGTGTAAATGTTCAGTTGAGGCACAAGCTGTAATACAGAAAGTCTTGAATACCAGCTCTAAAAGTGATGGGATTACTTCAGTTAGCTTACTAGCAGTCTGCTACTTCTTCTTCATCTATCATGTTCAGAATTGCAAGACCAAACTCAAGATATCATTGTATGCTTATTTTTGGCACAATATCACTAATTTTGTCTTTTTAAAGATGGTTTTCATCGATGCTGGAATACTGCGATGGCTCTGTGTGCAGCACATTTTACCTCTACCCACTGATAATGTGGCAAAACATGAATGAGTTTCTGGACACATTTAAAATGAATGAAAACTGTAGCAAAGACGTTAATTTCCATCTTGGGCTGAGCTGTTATTTGGAAACAACAGTCATTACACCACTATCTCTGACGGGAAAATAGGAGCAAGATCCTGTCCAGACACCGCCAGAGGAGCTGGTGAGAACATCGGTGCTATTGCGTTCCTCACCCTGATCCTTTGCATAACCACCCACTTACTACATTAAGCCTTACTTCAAATGTTATCATCTTCAACATGAATATGCAGAATTTGGTGGGAAATTATACCAGCAGACGACACTAAACATTATCGCTCATTTGGGATCATGTTTCTCATCATCTGGTGAATACAAATTACATTTTTAGCCCTGTTTTGAAGATCTTATTTTTTCACCACTGGCCTTGGAGATTTAAAAACCTGGGTAATTTTCTACTAAATGCTTCATTATTGTTCCACAGGTAATTGCTAACTTTTTATGTCTGTGTTTTAACACTGGGCTGATGTCAAACAGACGGTGTCTGAGTTTATTTGGTGGAAAGTTTTTTACTGTGGCTGAAAATAACCCTCACAGAAACCGTGAGAAAAATGTACATGTAATATCAATAGATATGGCGAATTTCAGATACTGGTGGATGTGGTTCTTTGTAACAAGAACACTGATATAGATACTGATAGGACAGGCTTCAGTGACGTCTTTACAATGGTAGCAACTATATTCACACTCCTGTTACTATAGTTTTGTCACTTCTCTACAGACAAAAATAGCATGTGATGACAGTTAAACACGTTTTGTTTGAAAGGTGTCAGAAATTGCCTCTCTTCTGTGTTCACTCTTATAATACATAACTAAGTACATGTGTACAGGCACATGCACACAACAGGCCCAAGGGGAGCTTGAGCACCTGTCCTTCTTGTTTGATATTAAAAATGGCCTTTGTGTGTGTTTTTTTTTTCATTATTTCCTCTTAGGGATGTAAAAAAAAACAAAAAAACGTATACACACAGAAACACAAAAACACTACTTTTATCTACCGTACCTATTTTCTTATAATACAGTGTTGTGTGTGTGTGTGTTTTGTGTGTGAGAGAGAGAGAGAGAGAGAGAAAGAAAGAGAGAGAGAGAGAGAGAGAGAGAGAGAGAGAGAAGCCGCTGTCTTAAGGATAACTGATGAGACGCATCAGTGGAGCGACTTGAACCTTTGTGAGTTATAAAGCAATTAACATGACCTCCGTGGGGGCTAACAAGCTGCCTTCAACTTATTCAACGTGCTCAAATATGAGTCATATTACAGGAGCAAACCTGTTGATGAGAGTTAAGAATGATTAAATATGACAGCTGTCTGTGTTGGCTGACTATCTTGATACAATTCTTAAACTTCTTCCAGATATTGACTTTATTGTGACTTTGCAGTTGTAAACATTGCTGCTCCAACTAAGCTTCATAGCAGCGGTCACAGTAGTCCTTTCTTAGTTTTAGGGTGCATACATACTGTACCCTGCCCCTCTAATCACATGCACGCCCCTGCATGTACAGGAGATCTTAACAGAAAAATCCTCCCTCTGCAACACAGAAAGGGACTCTATACCTCCAGTGTTTCCACCATTTTATCAAAAGGTAGGTACAGACACTAAAATTACTGCACAACAAAAGCAGCAGCGTGAAAAACGGGTACGATTTGGATGTACTTTTCCCTGATCTGATGGGGCTTATCAAATGATAAAAGAGTAAATTCTCTGCAGGGTATTGAGCACAGGAGCGTACGTCACGGCAGCCTGGGCCTGGTCGATAGCTCATCATTCCACATCATTTGGGACACTAAATCTCCCTTCTGACTGAGCTGAGGGCAACAAAAGCAGTCCTCCAAGAGAGGACAATTCAAAAGGCATTTCATTCAGACGGGCTTCAATATCCAACTCTGAATGGAAGTTTAAATTGAGAATTTTTTCAGGTTTTACAGGACTCATTGAGGAGGAAATTTATCTCCTTGCTCTGGGCAATGCGAGGCAAAATAAGGCACATATTCAACATTTTGAATCATCACCAAAATAAACCTCTCCTTACAGCTTAAAACATTGCGCTCCTCACACTCCACATGCATAACCGAAGGCTGAGACACATGCAGACAGATGGCCCATTATAACTGAGCGTCTGAGCTTTGGAACGTCACACAGCGCTCAGCAAAATGGAAAAACACTTCTAATTCAGATCAAACTGATCCAAAGCAACACTCTTAAGGTCAACTATTGAAAAATGAACCACAAACAAAGAAGTATTAAAACTCAATTCAAAAGTGGCTCCACTTTTTGGTCCCCTTCCTGTTCTCCTCTGGCCTCACCAGCATGAGCTCAAGCTGACGTATTGATGTGGAAAACCAAATAAAAGTTCAGCTCTTGTTCTCTCTGCAGCTCAAAGAGAGGAAGTACCCTGATTGTTTCAGGTGGCTGGTGTGTGTGGCTACTTGTGAGGCTGTGCTGCATCAAAAGTCATAACTGAGGGTTGTATGCAGTTACAAAAAAAAAGCAATCCCAATTCAGAGAAGTTGGGGGAAAAAATGTTGATAAAAACACACTAATTAGTGAAAAACTAACATCAAATCAAACTGCATAATTTAGTTTTATGAAACAAGATAAAACACACTTTAAAGAAGTAACATGTTGAATATTAATTAATATTTAAAGAGACAACTAAACAATCTTAAACAAGACAACTCAAAAATCAAGTAACAGGTTTATATGATACCTGAGTTTAGCAAAGGTATTTCAGAGGGGCTGTTGGAAATATAATATTAAATGACTGAGCGAAATTGGAGACATTTCTGCTCAAAAAAAGAAAGGACAGTCATGATTTTTTAGACCCTCTACACTGCATTAAAACAAACATGGCACTTCAGTGGAAATTAATGCAAAGGCTCAAATCACTTAACTGTGAAAACAGGTTAAAACAATACCATACAAGATGGCCGAGTAGGTTAGTGTGCCCCATGTATGGGGACCACGGTCCTCGTAGTGGTCACGGGTTCGACCATGTGCTGCATGTCCTACCCCTTTTCTATCTATCTCCCTACATTTCACCCTGTACTATCAATAAAAGGCAAAATCACCCCCAAAAAATACTTTAATTATTATATATTTTTTAAACTATGCCATAAACAGAGGACACCATGTATATCGACATGATCCAGAAACACCAGCCACTTCTCTCCTACACTCTTTTTGGAAATCGTGGACCTGCTCTCAAGAAAGCAGGACCAACCTGTCTGTTTAAAGTGCACAATTGAAAAGCCAGCACTTGTGATGTATAGGTATGCACTAGCACCTATGGCATGAGTAGCTCACATGCTTCAGTAGGCATGATTAATAGCATATGCATCATCCAGAAAATACAACAAAGCAGACGTAGAATAAGTAGGCAGATGAAATCTGAATTCCCAAACTTTAGAAACTGTTCTCAGCTCCCAAACCTTTACAGAGCCATCCTTGTCTATCTCTCTGTGAATCCTCTTGTGAATTATGCACTAAATCAGCTGGATGTCTTACCCAGGGCTGTAAGAGATGCAAACTCTGTGAATATTCTGAAACAACAACTGAAAGGGAATTAATTTAGTATTGCCTTCAACAACCTTTCACCCTTTTTTCCAAACCAGACTACCCATGTTTTTCTAGCACATACAGCATGCTATTATTAAGAACACACTCAAAACCTGCCCTCTTTAGTCAGACAATAAGCTTTAGTCTTGTTTCATGCAAAGTATTACAATCATCTCAGTTTGAATATATTCAAAGTAGCAGCCAAATGAGTCCCAGGGTAAGGTTCAACTTTCACTCCAGCTTTCTGTCCTTTCCTGCCACTCCCTGTGATACTGAGGACAAAACAGAGAGCCAATGGAAAAGTTCAAAGGCTATAGAGGATTATGAGAACATAATATATCAATAGACAAAATCTGCAGCAACATATTCATCATTTAGAGTCGAATTAGGTCTCTTTAGCTGAAAACGCTGCAGGCAGGAGTGACATTGTAAAGCTTTACAGTCTATGCAGTGTTGAAACAGAGTCCTTGTTCCACTTTAAACAAGCTTTTTAAAGTAAGGACAGCCTGGTTTACATGAGGAAAAAAGTGAGCCCACGCTGCACAGCCCTGCACTATAACATCCTGCCCACACCTCCTCTAAGAACCTCTCACCAACAGTTAGAGAGGATACATTGTGTCATATACATTTTTAGAGCAATTTTCCTACTTTCAGGAATAGAAACAGCTATTCCATCCAGAGACACCAGGGACATGCTGTAACGGACGGAAAAAAGTCATTATGCAGGCAGGATTCCCCCTCTCCACCCCTCCTAGACCTTCACAGAGCAGGGTCACTGCAGTGCCAGGTGCAGTAGCAACAGATGGAGTTATGATTGATGGTTGTTTCCAGTTCGGCTGAAGGGCTCTACCTGTTCCCTTCTGCAGAGGCCAGAGTTAACAAAACACAAATACTTTCTTTTTTTTTTTTTTTTTACCATATTTAAGAGAAGCTTTCATGACATTTATACTAGATTTATTCTTACATTCCTGTCTTCATTTTGACCCATGTGCCTGTACTTTTACTCCTTACTTTTTACAAGTATGCTTAATTGTCAAGTAAGTATTAAAGAGTGAAATAATAATGTTATAATTTGCAGCATTTTTACACAACATCCAGACCAATTTTAACCCAAATGGATGACTGAAAGTAATGTATTTAATTTGCAGATTAATTTTTGTCATTAATTTCCAGTTTAAATTAGAATTAAAACACTCCTTTACATTACTTGAGACCCAGCAGTCTTTACACTAACAAAGTTGGCTAAAAAAAAGCTTTTCAGATGGGCTGCTTTTAACTTTGAGTTTATTTCAATTTGTACTTTTTCACTTCTTCTTCTGTAGAGAAGCTGAAACAGCACTTCTACTTTTACTACGGCCTATATTTAAATGATTATCAAAACTTGTACTGGAGTTCTCCTGCTGGTTCATCTTTATGACCTACAAAAGCATACAACATCATTAGGGTCAAGGTCAACTATTTTTATAGTTGTTTTCAAGAACTGTGACTGCTTACACTCAGTGTCTGGTACGGTGGATAACAAAGAAACAATTTTTCCACATCCAATATTGACATGAGTGATAAATGTGAATGATTCGGTTTTTCTTCAGACAACACAATATTTGCATGTACAGGACAAGATCAGCAAAATGCTAAAACCTATCAGTAACTTCCTTTGTGGAAAAATGTAGCTCTTAGGTTGGTGAAGCTTTAGTTCCTTGACTGTCTACTTGAGGTTGGCTGCAAAAACCAAGGAAACCCCGTCAAGCCTTGTATTAAAAAATCCCTTTTAACAACAGGTGTTAACATGTTTATAGCCTAGTGAAAATATTTTCAGCTTTCAGAGGCTGATTCCTTTTTACAGCACACACACACACACACAGTGTAAGACAGCAAAAATCAAGATGTTTCTGATCTATCTCTCTGATCTATCTCAAGGTAACCTACAGAGTCTGTTTCAGGGTTTGTCTCTTATCCATTATCAAACTCTGGTTTCAGTAAAGTCCCACCCAATTATATAAAATATTGGAGTTTTATCAGTTACACGACTTCCTTGAAGGCTGCTCCTGCTGGAACCTTGCTCACTGCTCCTCAGATTTCCTTCCTCTCTCCTTGATCCTCTCTCCAAGGAGCAGCAGTAGGAGTTTCTGAATGGTCATTAGCATAGATGGCCTGTAAATACTTCCTGTTTGGTCATGGACCAAGGGCAGAGGACCAGGAGGTATCACTTAATGGTTTCACGATCAAGCTACAGTTTATAGCTGTGACATAATTTGTCCACAGAGGCCCAAAACCCAACAAAAACACCAGACACTTTGTGGTACAAAAAAAAATACAAATACCCGCGTCCGTCTCTCACTTAGCCAGACAACACTATGTGGGAAAACCTATAATACAAAAGATTCAGCAAAAACAGGGAGCACTTACTAACAATGTTCTTACAGGAATAACTGCTCCCTAAAACTAATGGAGGACTCTATTAGGTGGCAATTTCCTGAGTGATGTCCAATTTGAGTTTTAAGTCCCACAGGAGCAACTACATTTGAGAATCAGATTAGATTAAGAACAAATAAGATGAGGGCTACTTGAGTTTTAATGATCCGTGTTATACTTACAAATGAGACACAGGCAGCCAGCAGCAGGATCCTGACCAGGAGGTCTTCAAACTGCTCCACCACCAGCTCCCACAGAGATTTCCCTGCAACATACAAAGATAAATAGACGTCACATTGTAATCCGTGAGAGAGAAATAACACTGAGGATTTCACAGGGAGGAACCACAGCGTCCTTTATACTTTAAGATGGAAAGTATTCTTAAGATGTATTGACTTGATTTTCCTGATACAGATAAGCAGTTGTAAAGACAATCCCCATGTTTACAGAGGAGTAATGATGTGTGTGCTAAGCAGGGTTTCCTCCCAAAGTTTAGCCCTTCAGTCTGCAGAGAAGAAAAGCTCTGAGCTCCAGACACTTAATCAGGTAGTAAAAAGGAGGAGGAGAAGAAGGACCTGCAGTTAGCTGGAAAAATCAATATTTACCTTCTTCAGCCGGGAGCTCTGTGGATGTCACACCACCACGGTTGTAAAGAAATCGACATTGGCCGGGCAGGAGAAAAGAGAGAGATGGGTGGGGGTATATGGTGGAGGAGAGAGACAAAAAAGTCCGTTAATATATTTGATAGACTTAGACTGGCTTTGAAATGCAAAGACATGCACATTTAGCCTTTTAAATAAGTCAAAGCAGAAAAACAGAGGCGAAAAACTTTGTTTTTAAGTTAGAGAATACCATCTGCATTTGTACTGTTACTACACACAATTCATGACTATTGGTATTCTACTGACGCAAGCAGTTTTCGGCCCTCACCTCTAGATATCTTGAATTCAAGCATTAGCACATTAAAAAAATGGCCTCGGGTCCTTTTGAAAACCTGATCCACACAGACAGTGTAATAACAAACAGCTTCATAAGACCTAACCAAGGCCTTTGATACCCATTTGATTGTTCATATCCTGCTCCTGAAAAAGGTTATCTGAGATCACTGAGGGTCCGTCAGCCTGTGAGTGGTTTTAAATCATCTGCAGTATTGGACTCAATATATCCTCTGGATGGGAGAGCGCTCGGTTAAAATGAATCTCTTTGTGGTCAAAATTCTTCAAAGTTGTGTGACATCAGAGCTTTTTTAGCAGAATAAATGAGCACCCAAGGAGTGTAACAAATTTATTTCTACTGAATGTGTTTTTATTAGTGATAAAATGCCTCTCATCTACCAAAAGACCATTTCAGCAAACTGTCAGAACTTCCCATAAGGCTACTAAAGGAGAAAATGTTCACAAATTAAAGACTGAAATTGACAGAGCTTTGGCAGTAATGAATATGTAAATGGACAGGAATTAGATTATCATATGACACAATACGATACAGTGAAATGCGAGTGTGGCATGTGCTTTATTGTTTTCACAATAGTTCTAGTGAATAAGAGCAACTATCCATATACAAACAGAGAAACGATACACTAAAGGGAACTAAAGGCAACATAAATTGCATTTCACTCATACTGCACAAGATCTGTGCCAAGCAGCTTCGATCGGAGAAGGGTAAAAAGATGTGATAAATATCTTAGATGGTTGGTCTATGTGTTTAACTAAATGTCAGTGTCTATAAAAAGTAGAAAGTGGACTTGAAGCTGCCATTCTACTGTGTAAAAATACTTTTTAATACTGAGAAAACGTTTGGATATAAAAATAGTGTCACTGCAAAAGCTGCACAGTTGATTCATAACAAAATGGTGAATACTGAAGGTCAGTGCTAGAAGCACAAGTCCTTCATAAAGTTAAAGCTGCTGTCGGGGTTGAAATAAGTCCTTGGGCTTATTGATATTGCCTCCATGTGTCCAACACTTGGAGGACAAACTTGAAAGGTTTCATGGCCAGAGGCAGCAAGAGCACTGTGTCCAGCTTTGTGTTGTATCTTAAATAAACCTCAAACTAAATGCAACACATAGCTAAAACTATGACAGAAGTCAGAGTCTGCAAAAGTTTTAAGACTTACTTGTAGAAGTAATTCACCAAAAAAGATCATAACTACTCAGTGTTTCAAATTTTCATGTTGAAGGAGTCAGAATTTGATTTGGATAGTAATTCAAAAATATACATATAATCAATTTTAAGACTTCATTATCTGTGCTGGGAATCTGTGGTTGAAAATCAAATTTAAAGGCATGGACATGGTCTTGGTGACATCATCCATTGGTCTCTGTTGAAGTGGTGCAAAGATGGCAGTCACCATGTTGGAAATGCTGACTCAACCAAACTTTTGGCTAATCTAGAGACTTACAAAGAGGTGGAATTTAAGCCTCAACCCGGCAAATGGCTACATTGCACCCACCTTTCTGTAAATCAACCATGCCCATGTTTATGCCTGATCATCCATATCCTTAACTTTAATACAATCAAAATGTATGAGTCCAAAAATCCATCCTGATACAGTTATTGTAAACTACTAAAAGAGCTAAAGGGCAAAAACTTTTTTTTTAATCACCAGGCTGTGAACATTTATAAGGCTGTTGAAAAAAACAACATTTTCACATCAGCTTTAACTGTCAAATGTATAAAAATGGGTGTAGTCTCTGTGACATCACCCATGACTTTTTGAGGCAGCATTGTTAAGCCAAGAGGTGACTATCGCCATAATGGAAATGCTGACTCCACCTAATTTCATCAACCAAGAAACAGACAAAGAGGTGGAGTTGAGGTAGCCATTAGGTGGTCATGCAAACACCTTTAACCTCCCCACCACCACCACAGAGGTCAAATTGGCCCCACTTTCAGTAATAATGACATTACATCTCAACTTTAATGTCTCAAAACAAATAAGCAGTAAAAAGGTTCATGTGTACTAGTGAGGAAGTTACCTACTCAAACCAAACCCATTTCCTGTTCCAGACTGAAAATATGTGTCATTTTGCTGTTAAAATTGGCCTTTTAACATCAGTTTTGGTAGATTTCTTTGGCATCTGGAGACAGCCTCAAGTGGACACTTGAGGAACTGCAATTTTTGCACTCCTGTATTGGCAGGACAGTGAAGGTTGCTGCCTGGGTGGAATTTTAAAAGATAAGTTAAGATAAGAAGAACTTTATTGATCTCCAAATGGAAAATCCAATTCCATTTTTAACTTGATATCTTACTCGATATCATTGTGTCAAACCAACAATTTTGGGTTGATGGTCCGTCAGTTAAAGTAGCAGCCACCTTATGTGCTATCATCACTGTTGCAGCATTGTCTCCATGGCCACAATCCTGTGCGTCTCCTCAATCTATCAATCTAACAAAACTAACCTAAATATAAAGTGGTCTAACAGGATGGTAATAATCGATAGTTGGTGCTCTATCTGGAAAGCCTTTTCAGGATGAAGGCAGCCTTTGTCAGCTCATCAGCTCATTGTCAGGCTTAGCCTTCACCAGACTTTGGTGATGTCATTGACATTCATGCTGCAGACTCAGACTCTGAACAGCCTGACTTCATTACTCAGTGATCAGTAGCACTAAACCTCCCTTTTTCTATCGTCAGTGTGTGGATAACCTTCTTCAGTAAACACAATACTTTGTTTTTTTTCCTTTCATATCATCTTGTCATTCCTCGTCTGTCATTTAAAATGAAAGGCTGTTTTTTTTTTTTCCTCAGGAGCATTTTAGACAGGCCGAGCATCCTTTCCTCTCCTCCTCTGATGATTTGATAACCAGAACTCAACACCCACCACACATGAGTCATTGGTGTGAGTAGAAAACACATCAGTCACTATCTAAATACAGTCCTATTGACAAGTGGTGTTGATCAGTGTCACCATAAAACAGACACAGATGTGATTAGTCACTGAGTTTGTCAGGAACACATCAAGTCCAACACAAAGACCAAACAGGTTCCCATCTAACAAATAACATCTATCACATCCAAAGAGCTCCATGAGTGATGATATTCATCTGATGGAGTTAATTTCTGCTCGCTTTTGTGTATTTTTCTGCCACTTAAGTCTTTGTTTTTGTTCTTTCCGGTAGAGTGGTAGTGCTCCTTTAAGCAGTGGAAACCTCGTGTTTCTCTGCATGTTTTGGCCAGACCGGGCTACACGAGTCTCAAACGTGACCCTGCAGAGAGAGTGGCTGGAAAGAGGAAGGGCCGTGACGCGAGCCTGCGGCCTCCTTCCAAAAACAGAAAGCCTCGCAGCCACTTGCATTACACGTGCCACCGATGGAGAGAAATTTATTTCACATTAAGAGTCTTGGGACGCTTCCAATGGTTCCAAATGTTGTTATTGGGTGGTCGGAAGAGTGCAGACTTCGCCAGTGGTAATGAAAAAGTTGTCTGATAGATGGAATAACTTTCCTAATTTGGTTTGTAATAAAACCAGAGGGAGAGAAACATATTATTACATTACAAACAAGCTATTAAAGAGTACAGAAGTACTTAAAAGGCATTAAAACCCAGAGCTTTGATTCGATAACGCCCCCATGAAAACATCATTTTTGAACCGGTTGACCTGCTTGCAGAGGTCGTATCTCAACTCCACAAGAGACCGTCCACCTCCTGTGTAATAACAGCTGATGAGTCATTGTGAAGAGCTTTTCAAACTTGCTGTCTGGAAGCTTTTCAGAGTTCAGGTTGGACATGGTTGAACTCACAGGGGACTTTTGGCTGCACTCTGCCCTCAGCAAAAGTTGAAATGTGGAGAAGTGGGTTCTGCTGTTTTCCACGCTCCACCAGTCTGACATAAGCCGGTTTCCCCATTACTGTGCCTCCCTGGTTGTATAATGTTTTTTATGGCAGACAGGCTGGCTGAAGGCTGCAGACAAAGACGGATTGAGTGAAAGGACGAGACAGACGAGAGGGGAAAGAGAGAGACAGAGAGAGAAGAAGGGAGGGAGGGAAAGAGCTGGAGGTGGTGAACGGGGTTCCCCGGCTTCCCTCTGCCAAGGATTCCCTCACAGTCATCTGGGCTGTGTCAACCCGAGGGCTTGCCCAGGCGCATTCCTGAATACTGACTTCACCACCCTCCCGCTCTCTTTCTCCCTCTCTCTTTTTCCTCTCTCTCTCTCCTTGTGTCCCCACAACACCTCCCCACCTACCCCTCTTGGCCCAGACAATGAATAAAAGAGCTTGTTTACAGGCAGCCCAGAGCAGAGAGGGGAGACACTTCCTGGAGACGGTTGCCAACAACAGCAGAGAGTTGGTTTCTGTGTCCAGAGAGTCAGGAAGGAAAGCAGGAAACTGGACATCTATCTCTCTGCAAACTGCAAGCTCAGTGCTGATAAAGAAGCTCTCAATAATGTGAGGCTGACAACTCGGGAACATTATAGACTGAAATTAATTGACTATAGTTTGAAGAATCTTTCAAAATAAAGGTCAAGTGCTGGATGAAGCCAAACCAGAGCTACAATTAATCATAGCTTGTTGTATTTTCACTGTCATTTACATCGGTGAGTAGAAGTTATGCATTGTCCCATTATGATTTGTGTTTTTTTTTTATCAAAGGCTCTCCACAAAAACATAAAGCGGTTATCCAGTGGCAAAAGTAGCTAGCTAAGATGAATTCCCACTGCACGAATTTCACAAGATCTGATTCCTGTATTTACAGTGACTGAAAGACTGATAGCTGTCTCTAACGAATGATCCTCTTCATTCATCATCGATCTGAAGGTGAGATATACCACAATGTATTTTGTTTAAAATCAGCACATTGCAAAGACGCTATTTCAATAACTGTTATGCAGCTATGAAACAAATGTCATGATGGTCGTCTAAAGAAACAAGAGAGGGAAATAATTCTGTGCTCATGTTGCCAGAGAAGCTGCCAACTGTAATCAAGAGACTAGTTAGCTGTTGGCTGACCACTGGCACCCATGGAAAACTCTGTTAACTGTATATTTATATCTGTAGTGTTTTGTGGTTCAGGCATTGAAAATCAAACCAAAGGGACCAACTAACCCTAACCCTCCAAAAGCAAGGAAACCCAATCAGAACCAGAAATGCCCATATTTAGTCAACATCTGAGCACAGTGAGATCACACAGGCCAATTACTGAACACCACATATTTACCTGCACTAAATGTGTAAAAGACCCATCTAAGGATGAGAGTTCAAAATTGACAAACGCTATGAACTCTGGGTGTAATTTATCAGTTTTATGTTCTGTGCTGGAACTAAGTTAGATTATCTGTGCCTTTCAAAAAAATATAAATCCAATAACATTCTGCTCTTACACTCCATCTGTCTGACCATGTCCATTAAAAATTACAGCCCAGATTACTGGGACCCCGGGTAAACATCACATCACAGTATGTTTGAGTTGCATTAACAAGCTGGAGTTCATGCCCCTCTTATGTAAACTTCAAACATGTGAAAGTTTTCAGCAGTTACCATGGTGACTTGGCTCATGCAATCTCCTTGGAAAACATTTCATGCCAATGTCTGTCAAAATTTACCAAGAATAATGGTTATGCAATCAGCAAAGCTTTGATGCAGCATGCGGGCATCAAAAACCCCCACACACTTTCTGTTGTGAACAAGCTCATTTAGCCTCCATATGCTGCTAAAACGCTGCTAGCATGTGTGATAGCAGCCAGCTGGGTGACTGAGCTGGGGGACACAGGTTGAGTAAGACTCAAGCTGGTTCAAGGCCAGCTCAGACTACAGGAGTTTTGATACATGATAATCTTAAATATGCACACAAGACATTTGAAAGTAATGGTGAGTATCTCAGGGATATGAACCTTTCATGATCTGGAAATAGCCTACTGTAGCTGTACCGAATTAACAAAAGAAGACAGCAAAACAAGTCTGGATAAGAAAATGTTTGTGAAACTCATTCAGCACTTGTTTATTTTTCAGGAACATGTAAAGACAGACTGTATATGTTAGTTTGTTGTAAACAATGAGCATGCTAGCTCCTGTTAGCCTCGGGGACTCATGTTTATCATTCTTTGGAGTTATCATTATGGCTCCGCCTCTTTTTTCCTGCTCTCTCATACTCGGTACAAAAGATCTGCTTGTGAAGTACATTACCCTCTATTATCTATAAAACTTAATTATAAACATGTTTGAAATTACTAGGGCTAACAGTGCCAGTTGTTCAGGAGGTTTACTGGACTTGTGGATGCGTTGCATTACCAATAATCCAGACCATAATCTAAACAGGCTAAGGCCTAAAAAGCAGATATACCCACAGTGATTGATGGAAGGATAGATCAGGTCTAAACAGGCTCAAAACTCCTGTGGTCGAAACCCAGCTGTGGCTTCTGCTCTAGGATCTCACTCCATCCACAAACCACAAGAATGTAAAACAGGCCTATAAATATCATGATGATGTAACCCTAATAACAGTCTACTATGGCTTCCTATATCCGCTCTCTCTCTCTCTCTGCTAATGTATTCCCCCTTTGGAAAAAGGTCTGAATGCATTAACCATATCAAATGTGAACTATAAATGTGCCCCTCCCTAACCTTGTTATCTCTGCTGCTGCTTAGAAGGCATGGCAGGCAACCGAAGAAGAGCCGTCTGCAATCTGACAAAGTCAATATTTCCTTCATTTAAGTAGATGTCAATGAAGGACTTCCCTTCTGATGGAAGTCACATACCACCATATCAAGTGGTGAATGTAAACAGTTTATTTCAAGCAGCCCCCAACTTCTGAACAATCACCTCAAGGAAGAGAAAGGGGATGGAATAGGAAGAGATAAAATGTCACTAATCACTCCTCTGCAGCACAATAAAACAAGGTCATGAAAGCTCTCTAGCGTCATCACAGGCCCTGAAATCTCTCACACTGAATTCAAGCTGCTGCGCTAATTCATCAAAATCAAATAAAACAGGAATTTATAACCAGGCTAGTTCACTTTTTGAAGACTGTTGGGCAAAAGCTGATACACTCATACACCTAGTAGAAACAATATTAATGGTAACACTATGGATTTTTGCAGGTTTAATGTTTATCATGTTAAGTTGTGATAAAGACCAAGCACAAAACAGGCAGGGTACATGAGGGAAGGCCTGCTGCCAACGTCCTTTTAAGGCAAGACAACCTTCATACATAGTATTGAAAAACCAAAGATCACAAAAGTAAAGCTCATCTGTCATAGGTTGCTGATCATGGAGATTAAAACCAAAGAGCATCTTAACAGAAATAACAATTTTGCTCTGATAAAGTATTACTGCAAATGGTCATACTGGTTTGCAATTTTATTTCTGCCAGAAAAAAAAATATTACAAAAGGCGTGAAAATGTTTATTAGAGCACCAAAAAAGATCTGTTTTGTTATTTCATGTTTTATTCAGGTTCTATTGCCATGTATCTTGTATTTGTTATGTGTATGGTTGCTCTTTTTTGGTGAGTAACTTTGTTAGCTGCTGCCTGTCTTGGCAAGAATTGTTTAGAAAAAGAATTTTGCGTCTCAACAAGTTTATCTCCCAGTCAAAGACTTATCTTATGATTTTCCATTGCACTTGGCCATGACGCAATCGAACAATATTCTGATTAACTTTATCGCCACCATCTAAGTCAACATAACTTCAGGGAGCATGCAGGTCATTTTAAAACAGGCAAGATTTCCATTAATATGCTTCTGGCTTTAATAAAACTAGAGGTTACCCTTTGATGTACAGGGGTTTGCAGAGTCTGCCCCAGGTTTTGACTACATTATGGTATTAACTATTGTAAGGATTCAATTGTATAGTTTAAAACAAATTTGTCAGCAGAAACAAATTTAGAAGCTGTTTTTACTGTAGACCATGTACAGAGTCTACAGTCTTCAAAGTGAGTGACTCAGACTGTTTCCTCTCTTTCTACTATCCACTGTCCAGTCCCTAAATTAAGGCACTACAGCTCAAAAAGTAATCTTTTCAAAGAAGAAGAACAGATGCTCAGGTTTTTCAAAATTTTAGAATAAGGGATAGAAGATTTTCCTGAATTACAGACTTAACTGTGAGCTGCGATGACATTTCACTAACCTAAGCCCAATGTTTAAACCTGCTGACACATCCAGACTCTCAGGCTGAAATGACTTTGACTGTAGTACAGTGCACTCTGGACAAAGAAGGACAATAACGGTCTCAGTTCAGCAAGAAACTGGAAGAGACCAGAGTGGGGAGGACTGATGAGATGTCCTGCTCAATACCATTTTATAGCTGCTGTATTTGATAAGCCGATCAACCTGAAACTCCCTCCACGGAGGTCACACTGAGAGGAAATACCACCAGCTGTCAAAGCTGCACTGAGGTAAGTTTCTTTATGAGGCTGCCCTGTCAGAAAAGGAGAATTACTCTGAAAGTGGAGATTTCATCTCTTCAAGCCAATTAAGAAAGAAAATGACAAGAGATTCAGCTCAGTGGCTGCTGCGGCTCCTGATTGGCTGGTCTGCTGCTGACATCATCAAGCTGTGGTCAGGGAAAAACACAGACTCCTCATGGTGTTAAACAGGGTTTGCCTGCTGCAGCGTCATTACCATATTTTATGTGTGGTCTCTGAACTTCTTCTTGTGAGATTTCCTTTTTATCTTAGATGAACATTTTGATGATTGATGATCAGAATCAACTTTTTCCGTGACAGGAATGCTTGTTCTTGGCTAATTTATCTTGAAATACAGCCTGATTTAGAAACTAGCTTGACCACAAAAACACAGATAATCTGCACTGTGAGAATTATTACAAAGACACAGATATCTATTTTAATACATTTGCTATTTAAATCTGCTCCATAACTACACACATATACAGCCTGTTGCACACTTAGTACGGGTGTTCATACTCCAAAACAGGCATGTTGCTGCACATTTCGACCCTTATAGTATTAGAGTTCTATTAGAGTGTTAAAGAGGAAAAGGAAAGGGCCTGTCAACCGTTTAGGACATGCATGAGGTGATTAGCACAGAGCTGATATCTCATCAGGGCTCACAGCTTCCTCTTCAAGGTCGCAGCTGTGCAAAGAACCATTTTTTGAACATCCCAACAGGCCGGCAAGGAGGATGGCACCCAGCCACCCAGCAGCCAATCGCAGAAGCTGAAAGCTGTGAAAAATAGTCAGCAAAGCCCCAAACGGCGGACTGAAATATCTGTGTTACCACCTCGCTATTTTTAGGGTTTATTCTAGGTTTAGAAACCAGAGCGCCACTTTTATCCAATCAGAGGGCTGGTACAGACCAACTTTACTAATCTAAGCCATGCAGTTCTGGAGGACGAACTGGTGAGCATTTCAGACTGTGGAAACACTTGAAATATACCCATACTACCACTAGATATACAGCTGTAAAGTCTGGTGAAACTTCTGAAATCTACACTTCAAGTGCTTCAAAGACAAATCTGTTAAAAGTCTTTCTTCTTTCAAACCCTGCCAATGAAGACTTAATCCTTTTTAACATGTACTACCTGTGGCTCAAAGCCTGGTAAACAGTGACTTGTGTCACATAAACTCACTGTTGTTCAGAAACACAACAGTGAGCAGCATTAATGCATTTGGAAACACTTTCTATCATTACAGGGATTGTGGACATTGTAGTTCTTCTGCAAATGCACTTACACTGACATAGAGCTGTAAATACTGACTACAGAAGCAAATAAGGCTGAAAATAGTCTGTAAGCTGCACAATCATACCATTTCATTTAGATTTCATTAAAAACATGGTTTCAATCAGTATTATGACATTATTACAACAATCGAAAAAACAGAAGTTATATGAAGACCTAATTTTGGAAGATTTCAACTTCAGTCAGACCAAATGAAGCTCTTCACCAGTTCAACAGTATAGGTAAACAAACATAGAAAGACTGTCTCTTTTCATTTTGGTATCTTTGTTTGGGAACCACACTCTGAATACTGAATACCTCTAGCCTATCCCTTTATATCCTTAGAGGACTGATGTGATGAATGTTGTCTTAGGGTGAATAATATCCTGAACTGAAAATTTAAATCCCAACCACCAGGTGAGAGTACACTATCGAAACAGTCAAAACTGAGCACAGCTCCTTTAACACTGCCAAACATGAGGTCACTGAGTCTGTGGTAAACAAGCCGCATTGGTGTGCTGAGTGTGACTAACATTAGCAGAGCTAGCCCCACAAGCCTTCAGCCCACATAACCATGTTGGTATGGTGGACTTGTTATATGATAGTTTAACCAGATGCAGCCGACATACCACTTTAGTTTCATTTTCTGGCTCAAGAAAATGATATCAAACAGGTAATAGAGGGTGACAGCATTATGGTAGTATTTAGGGCTATCAGCTGTAGCTGCAGCTCTACCTTGTGGAGGCTGACTGGGCAACAGCTTTTTTACACAACATATAACCAGTATTCTGGGCATGCAATAATGAAAAATACAAATGAAACAGCCAGTAATTCTGGTGCCTTAGTCATAGTGGCTTAAAAAAAGGGAGTAATGTTATATAAACTTTTAGTAAAGTGGTCTCAATGTGTTACAGAGGCATGGAGCTCATTCATTTTCCAATGCAACTTTTTAATGCTCTTTTTGCTTTGATAATCTGACCATGAGGTCTAACTATTTTAAAATAAATGCAAGATACAGTCAGGATGCTCCTATTGTGTTTGAAAGGTTGGATGAGGTGAGAGGTATTTAAATTGTCATGAGCAAATACAGAAGAAATGTTCAAGCACCAGTTCAGTACCAGTTCTTGTTTTGACACATTGTCGTCTACTTGCTACTCATTTTCCACAGGTTGATCTATCACCATCCAAACACATGACTGCTTGTGTTTACTTGTTCTTCCAGACAACAAAGATTTACATATGCAACTTTTCATGCAGCTTATTGTAGAGCACACAAAGCTTATGTCTCAGTCTCTATGTTGGATTGTCTCCTGTTCAGTTTATGGTGCCCTGAAGGCAGACACACACTGTACAGCATGTGCTCCGTGTACACATACCCCCCCTGCTCGAAACACAAACATGTTTAAGTACACATCTCCTCAGCGGACCTGGCTGTGTTTTTAGCGGCGAGTTGAAGCTCTGTGACTCAACATCATCTCAAGCAACAGGCCGTGAGTGACAGCTGCAGAGGTGGGAGGGAAAAGAAGACAAGTGACAAGCTCAAACAGGATCACAGCGTCTTTGAAGGCAGCCGGGCAGGCACACACAGAGCCCACTAGAACAGGGAAGTGACTCAACACCCAAAGGACTTCAAATTACTTTTCTACGACTTCGCTCCCTTTCCTCAGCCCACACACAACTCCAACACAGTCTAACTCTCAACTGGACCGCTTTCAGAACAAGTGAAATTAACAACTACTAAAAAAAAAACAAAAAAAACTGTGATCGGGAAGTTTACTGCGCTAAAAAGTGTGTCAGTGTGAAGGAGGAGGAGCAGGAAACTGTTTGTAACCCAAGTCAGGCCGCTGTTATGTCAAGTTGCAGATCAGGAAGTAAGACAACACAGAGCAAAGTTTCACTACAGGAAGTAGTTCTTGTTGTCGATGGCAGATGCAAGGGTAAAAAGGTCCATTTGCAATGACTAACTAGGGAGGATTACACCTTAAAACTGAACCTTTAGGACTGGATCACTTACAGGGAAGGGGGTTACTGCATTTCCACTTGAGGAATGATCAAACCAATCAAGTAATAAACTGGACTTATTGTCAGTGTCATCAGGTGGGGCTCAGGTTGCAGACTGGGTTGGCACAGGGCCTCTCTCTGCATGTTTGTGTCCCTAAATATGTCAAAAAGCAACATATCCTGTCAGAGAGTCAACATCTGCATCTAAAATTAAACACTGTATATCATGATGGTGCAATTACAAGAGTTTCCAGCTTGTTTGACCTGAAAATGTTGCGCAATTGTACTCCTCAGGAGGGAGTGTCAGGGGACATAACCAATCATTTTCAATTCTGTTATGCAGAAGAGTGATTTATTTATGTTTTTGATTAATCACACCTCTTAACTTAACTGCCTTTTATTATTTTATTAAACCTGATGACACAGAGAGATCAAAAGGTTTATTAAATTTCCCAATACATCTAAAAATCAAAATAAAGGTTTTCTTATCTTAAAGTTCTTCTGAAAAAAGAAAATGAATCAATAAATTACGTGGGACCATTTGTCAGTGAAATAAGGGTGAAAATTTTTGCTTTATGCCCCTCCCAAAAAAAGATGATTCCCACTCTTTGACACTTTGTAAAAACACAGAGACCCTTTTCTGAAATAGGGACTATGAGTGAGAGTAAAGGAGCCAATCATCAAGCCCCACTAGCTGTAACAGAACAAACATTCCCGACGCACCCACACACAAACAGAGGGAGAGTGTGTCTGTGAAAAAGAAAGAGGCCTGTTATTTCCCCCACTACATCAGAACCAACCCTTACACAATGAAAGTGATAAAGTGTCTCGTAAATTAAGGTGCTTGTAAACAGTAAATTAGCTGCATTTTTCAGCGAGTGTGTGTGTATGTGTGTGTCTGTAGTGATGCTGCAAAAAAAAAAAAAAAAAGGAGCTGCTACATTGGACCGTAAATGAAAGGTGTGAATTAAAGGTCAGCAGGCTCCTGTTTGCACAGCACAGCCTCCAGATGTTGCAGCAGCCTGAGCTCATTCTCTAATACCTCAAAAAAGGATTAGAAACTGTGACATTGTTCAGCAAAGTTTTACATTCAAAGCACATGAAAGAGCAGACACAAAGCCTGGGAGCTGAGACACTGCTCACCTGTCTTTACTTTCAACGTGGCTGAGTCAACCAACACTTGAGTGCCTCTCTTTTAAAAAGGATCTGCACCACAAAGATCAAGGTCAAATCTTTCTCATAATACGACAAGAGTGCAAGAACTAAGAGCCCTCGAAGAATGATTAATGAGACAGATCAGCCTTAAGTTTGAAAAGATGTTGCCCTGCATACTAATACGAGAAAAAAGGCCTGAAACCAAACCGTAACATTAAGTTATCTCTCAAAGTAACGAGGCAGAACACTGCCATTATGTCTTAATTGTTGACTGAGAGAGCAGAGAACACACTTCTACGCAGAGATGATCTGATGATGTTTTTTTTTATTCTTTTGCACTTCTGAATCAAAACATCAGCATGAGTTCTGCCCAAAATCAAGTGCCTTTGGATACCAGCAAGTAAGGAGTGGGAATCACAATATACGATACAATCATGATACAATACGATACGATACGATACAGTTGGACACATAGCCACCCCAGAAAAAACTATGTCAGGATACAGGGGCACTGCATAAGAGAAAAAGTCAAGTGGTGGGGCTCATGGAGCTATTTTTAGTATGGGGGCCAAAAATCTCTGTCATTTATATCAGCAAGACTCATGTATACAGATAAATACTGTAGATATCTGCTTTAACGAAGAATACAATATGTCTGAAAAAGGCTAAGTAGACGATTGATGTTGTGAGAACTAAAATCAGGAGTCATGAAGTAATGATGCAGCAGGTTAAATTAAAAGCAATAAATGCAATAAAATGCTGTGCCAAATTGGATTGAAATCATTTGAGTTTACGTGACTTGGTCCGATAAAGGACTCCTAACCCTTCAAAAGGCACAGTATGTAATATTTAGTATTATTAAACAGGATGGAACAGGCAGAATGGAATCCAGTATTCATAGTTATGCTTAACTTTGAGTATAATCACCTGTCTGTAAATTCTTTTTATTTTTGTTTTTGTAAGAATGAGTTTTTAATATCTGCATTGGATTGGGCCACTTACTCCAACGCTAACCCTGATAGACAAGCTTGTAGCATATATGTTTGATTCACCCTCGCTTGTTCTCAGGCAGATGAAAGAATTCACCGGCCGAAACACTAAACTGGGTTTTTGTGTAGCATAGGTTTGTTATGATGACATTTCGAACACAAACCGAAAGGGTAGGTCAGAGAAAAACTTGTTGATCAGCTGAAGCCTGAACAGAACTCATATACAGCCTTGATATGGAAAAAATTGGTTGTGTCCAAGTTGCCATTGTCAATTAACAGTTTTCAAATACACGTTTGTAGGAGGAGACAAACAGTTACAGGCCATGTGGTGATTAGATCACCTTAATTTACAGACCCAACAGGAAATCTACCAAAATTTGACATCTGAAAAGTGTCATTTTGGTCCATCACCTCAGCAACAGAAGGGGTGAGCAAAGGGGCATTTCACTCAAGCTATCCAGATACTGTTAAAGATTCCCATCTTAACTCACTGTACATTTCAATGCGCTAACAACCTACCATTAGTACTGGTTTAGCTCAGCCCTTTTGACATCCCCTGCCCATTTCTACCTTTCTTTCTAAATTGCCCGTACTTAAAAAAAAAACATTAAAATATACATCCTGAAATGTGTGAGTGAAAGAACTTGTTGCTGACGTTAAGGTAGCTTTAGCGAACAGTTATCTCACTGATAGCACTATTGTTTGTCATCATGACACCGAAGACTGCCTTTTCAGCACTTAAAATATGTCCGTTTGTCACATTTTTGCTGCACAGGCCACATTCATATTTTACAGGGGTTGATACAGTATGATCTCAGATTGGTGCATTAACCAGCATACTAATGGGTAGCATGGTTTGGATAGGAGGTCCATGAAATGGAAGCCTCCACAGCCCCTTGATGGAGGAGGAGGAGTGTGATGCCTGACTCAAACCCATCAGCACCTCCTCCTGTGGACACTCGGAGCGGTGCGTTGGTGGTGAAATGACAGGAGATCATGTCAATCTCACCTCCTGTTTGCCTCCTCTTGCCAAACCCAGACATACGCCAACGATGTGAGAGGAGTCACACAGCAGAGGTCTTGTTTGTGGACATGTTGATTTAGGTTAATGATCCTGCTGATAATGAGATCCTGTTAACTACGCCTCAGAGTGACAAACTGCATGCATGTTAGTGAGAAGGAGGGAGGCATACCAGCCACAAAACAGACACCACAAAACTACAGAGTTACAAAGTCAGCCGTTTGAGAGGGGAAGGAGCTGCTCAGAATCTGTGCATCACTCTGATATGACATGCACTGAAGACAGAAATGAATCCTAGCTGATTTATTGCAGTTTTTTACATTTTCGAGCCAAAAGAGACACAGCCGGGGACTAAAGAGAGCCCCAAAAAGGGAACAAGGGTATCCCCTCCCTGCTGCACGCATCTGTGCCGCGCTCACACCAGGCAGGAAGTTTAGCACTGAGATCGAAAGAGATGTTATCTGTGGCAAGACGTTGCTTTCTTTCCATGAAGTCATCACAAGCCCCTGGGTAGAGCGGCTGGCTGCAACAAAAGGGCTACTGTTCGACCGGCACAATATGCAGCCCCACTCTACAGCTTGGCCACACATGCAAATGACAGGCCGGGAGGGAAAGGTGTGGTGATGTCAGGTCGGAGGCTCAGCATGAAAAAACACCCATAAAACACCAGCTGGGAGTCAGGGATGATGAAGAGCTCAAGGGGGGCTGCACACTGCTGCATTCAAACACAGCTAAAAAGGAAGTATAATTCTGTTTCAGCCAATAATCCCTACCTGTGAGAGCACTTCTACTATTTTTTTGTGTATCACTCTTAATGTGTCAGTTTTGACTGTTATCTTGTAATAGGAGCTGGAAAGTATGAGCCATTTAGAGAACAACTGTTGAAAGTGAAAACAGGTTGTACTAGATTTTCTGTTTCATTATCTCCACCACCTCATCTTCTTCCACTCCAGTAGCCTGAGCCAGCCTGCTCTGCATTTCCTGATCCCTGAGTGTCAGCCTGGGATATCGGTCTTTGCACACACACACATACGCACACACACGCACATGAGCAACATTACTGTGTCAATACCTGGCTATGGAAGGCTGCAGGTTTGTTTGCAATGCAATAAAGCTGTCTTTATTGAAACACTGTACCTGCTATTTGGCATACTTTGACATGAGGTGACCACATGTGACGAGGGAAATGAAGAAAAGTCTCTTTGGATGAATCAATAGGAGTTAAAATAAAAGGTTTGGTCTGCATTAACAGCTCCTCTGTTCAGGTGTGTCAACTTTTCAAGTGTGATACGCAATGAATGATTTCAACACGCGCATGTTCATCAATGAATGTGTCAATGCTAGTGCGCCAGAAGCAGTGAGGTTTTTTTTACGCGCGTGGTTTACAACAGCCTGACATTCAGCGGTAGTGGAGGGATTTCCTGCCGAATTAATCGATCCATCCAGACTGTATAATACGCACCACCATCGCAAGCAAAGGGAGGAATTCATGCGTAAAAGGCTACTCACCGTTCGGTCCATATTTCTCAAAATTGACTTTGACCTGCTCCAGAGTCAGCCCAGTGTTTTCGTTCACGCCGAAGTTGTCCAAAACTTCGGTCGCCGATTTAGTGTGCGCATTTTCCATGGTGGTGGTGGTGGTGGACCGGGGCTTAGATGATCAGGTCGAAATGCATGTAGTTGAGAAACATCTACTGTAGCAAACGGAGGGAGCGCACGAGCAGGAGAGGTGAAACAGCGGTAATTTCCACCGATGGACGCTGAAGCGGCAGAGTGAATGTCCGTCACCTGTCCCCCCTGTAGAAACAAAAACCCTCCGGATCCGCGGAACAGACGCTGTTGTTGCTCTGTTGATCGACTGCTGCTGCTACTTCATCTCCATCTGAAGGTGTGCTGTGTGTGCGCCGGGGCGGACCGCCTCCTCTCTGATGAGCACTCCCTCCTGCGCTCCGATTGGCTGCGTGTACCTGAGCGCAGGGTTCAGCTGCTCCATGCAAACATCTTCGTCCATACCAGGAGACACACAACTCTATCATTCTTATTAATTTTTCAGTGTTTGCTGTTTACTCGTGGACAAGTTGTAGTTAATGCTGCCCAGCCATGCCCATCCTTCATAAGACAAGAGTAGAAAAAAAGACTGTTTCTCTTTTAATTTGTTGCTGTTTTTAATGCAAATTCTTATTTTTCTTTTCCCGTTGTCCTTAATTCAGTTATTTTGAATATTTCACTTTAAACTGCGATTATTTTTGTATTTTTCATGTTTGAACTTTGATTCTGCTTCTTTGATTCTCTCACCTTTGCAGAAACCTTACTCTACAGGAAGCTATCAAAGGTGCTGACTCCAAGAATGAGTCACTGTCCGTTTGACACTATATTACACATATAGCACTGAAACAGCCAAATTAAACATGTTCACTTCCTGGTGAAATAGAAAAAGGGAAAGTTTGTAGCATAGCTCTCTTATGATCTTGAGAGAGGTGCTTGAAGTCACAGACAGTCAAAGGTCCTGTGTTTTGGCTTGATTTCAGGCACATTGCCGATGAACTTGGCCATGGATGTTGTATTCTCCCTCCTGTAAGAATTTTTTCTACGAAAGAAAATCACATTTTGCTTTATCTGTGTCTTTAGTTTTGGTTAAATGAAACCACACTTGGTCCACATGTTTAGCCAACATTGTAAGCAACTGACCACCAGAATTCTTTGTCATGTAATAAAATACCTGTTAACTGCTGATTCAGGTTTATTTTCAAAAACTTTATTAGTCTATTTATGTGGATTATTATCATGTGGTCTGTTGATTAACATGAAGTGACCTAACTCACGAAGTGTAACATTACTTTATGGGTCCCACGAGACCTGGCAGCAGAATCAATAAAGTTGAACATTATTAATTTTTTTTTTTTTTGAAAATGCAGAATCGAGTTATCAATACAACCAGGTCTCGATCACTATCCCTACTTTTTGCACAAGCCAACCTCTTCTTTCTGGGACATGAGTAAGTTTAAATCTCATCCACCGGGACACACAACAGTTCATAGTTCATCCCCCAGCCATTGAATTACCCAAAGGTGTCGGGTGTTTAGGGTTACTTGTCGCTCCACTTCATGGCCTCTCCTCCCTCTGGATTAAGTCATTTCTTGCTACAAAAGACCAACATGGCTGCAGCCAAATGTAGAACTTCAGGCTTAAAACCGGTGTTCAACAAAGCAACAGGAGACACCATAATGGCTTCACAGTCAATGAATGAGCCCCACATGTTTGCAGAATATTAATTTGCAAATTAAAAAACTAATAAATGTTTTTAATTGCAGACTTCGATACATTCAGCTGCACATCAGTGCCGCTGGAGTTTAAGGCGACAAAGCGCTTTGCCCAAAGGTATCATTAAATTGGCAGGGTTTTTTTTATCAAGCCCTCATCCACCAGACTGCTGCAGTCAGGATGTGACAAGTACAACAGTGTCATCTGAGTCCTGAGGTTATTTTCACAAGGAATAGGTAATCCATGCAATATATCAGGATAGCCATAGCTCTGCTGTGAGACTAGTGCAGACCGAGTTAAATACGAATTAGACAGACTCATTTTAAACTTTAGTCGACAGCCACTCGGCCCTCAGGGCTCTCTTCACTGTGAAGTTAGAGCGAAAAGAGATAAACATGGCTTGTGATTACATTGCCTCTGGCACTGCATGGCAGCACCTGTGTCCAAAGATACCTGGAGCAGTTTGTGACTCTCTTAAAGATCTTTGCTTTTATTGCACTGACTCTCAGATGTTCACCGCTTTAGACAAAAGCGTCTCCTTAATGACACTGGGATATCGCAGTTTGTGGTTTGTAATAGCTAACCCATGTATTTGTTCAAGGAGTAAATACTTGTAGAAACAGCCTCTGAAGTCCCTTGAGGCGCTGCGAAAATATTGGAAAAAATTACTACATAACGTGTTCTTACAATAACATAATGTGCGAATGTAATTAAAGACACAAAAAGGCAGCGATAACAACCTGCAGCTGTCGCTGAATACTTTTTATGTTCCGCAGAAGGTCTTTGCAAAGATGGCAATGCTTTCTGTTGACAAGAGGGGATTTTGGTTGTTGTATTCAGCAACCAGTTCATGTATGCTACCATCTCACATAGCCGCCATTACTGTAGCAGCAACTCAGTGTCTCCTGTTACCTGCCGGCTGAGATAGCAGCCTAGATGGTTGGATTAAAACTGTTGGACAGCTGCTGCTGATGAAGGTACTAATTTATTATTATTATTCATACAGGCGTTCTGCTATAGGTAGCTGAGGTTAAAAGAGAGCTGAGCCTACAAAGTATTTTAATTTATCTGTCCATCCATGTACCACCTGTCATGAATAAGTGTTCGTGACCATAGACTGTATATACAGTCTATGTTCGTGACCAAAAGAAACAGATCGCTGATATAAGCAGCCAAAACATTTTTCCTCTTAAGAATTCCTGGGCTCACCCTGAGAGACAGAGTAAGGAGCTACAGTATCTGGAACCACTACACCTTCTCATCTAAATGAGCCAGCTGAGCTGAGGTGGTTTTGGGCATCTAGTTAGGATGCCCCCTGGTCACATCACTTTGGAGGTTTTCCAGACAAGAAACCTCTGAGAAGACCCCACAGCTCATGGTGGGATTAAAGATATATTAAATCCACTTTGACCAGGCTTTTGATGAGTGGGAGGAAATGGATGGATGGATTGGTGGATGATTGGATGAAGTTATCATAGTGGGTGTGGATAAAAATAAAAACCCGAAAACGTAATGAAGAAAAACAGAGAAAACTTTAACATCTGCCACACGAAAAGGAGACGGTGCTACAGTAATGGCAATCATACAAAAAGGAGTGAAAAACTGTTCAGCTCTCCTTTCAAGGGCCTTTAGTTGAACCAGTGCTGTTGGATACAATGGAAAATGAGAATTCAGCATATTGCCAGTGGTCAGTTTGGCTCAGGGTCCTGGTCCTGCTAATACAGTGAATGTGAAGGCCTCAAGTCGATCTGACCAACAAAGCACATCTGATAACTTGGTAACCAAGGAGACAAGTTTCTCAAATTTAGAAGGTAAAATTTTGACTCATTCTTGCCTGATTTTCATTTTAAGGTTGTAAGTTGAGACAACAGATGGTTTAGTTTAACACCCAGACTACAGAGCCATACTGTTGTCATATGTGTAGATTGTGGTGTGATTGCCCTCTTGGTGTAATATGAAAGGTCTGTCCTGAAAAAGTCATTGTCTAGATGGAAGCATATGTTGCTCCAAACCTGTACATATTGTTCAGTATTAAAAGCGTCTCCTCAGATGTATAATCCCTGGACACTTATGCATCCTTAGAGCATGCACTGATGATGAAATCCCCTTATTTACTGTTTATCCAAATTTGCACAAAGAAACATGATTCAGAAATTGCAGATTTGCTCACTCAGTCTCGCACAGAGTGAACAACCAGAACAGACAATGGCATAAAGAAATCAAATAATCCATGCACAAAAAGACTGAGGGTTTTGTAGTCCTGTCACTGGCAAAAGAGAAGCTAAAGAGAATCTCTTAAACTCTCACAGCTGTGATCTCTATCCTTGTGAGCTGGCCAGGCTGAAGAGAACAAGAACTTCCTCCTCACATCCATCCTTGTATCTCCTACTTCAAAGAAACATCATCTGAGCTCGAAGGCTGAACACCCTTTCTTCAAAGGGCATTTGCTGACACAAGGCCTGAACCCATGGAGTCCACTAATAGGACAGAAAAAGACATCTGATGTTAAGCAACATGGAAAAAGCACAGCTCTTAAAATTTCAGGAAAAAATGAATGCATGAATGTTGCTGTAACTTGAAGGCACGCTTAAAATGAGAAATATGACAAACAATTTTTTTTCATCATGATGAAAATATTCATGGTCCGTTTGTCCAACTATCACAAGGTTGTAAACCTTCACTGGTGATGCAGCAGTAATATTGTTTGGCTACGATTTCTTTTCCTGATACACGATCACATCCTGCTGACTAAAATCAAACATTTATGAATCTTTGGTTTAAAGACAATTTATGCACAAATTCACTAAAAATTATTGTTAATTGTAGTCTAGATGAGTCACTCCAGGCCCATTTTAACAACTGCTGCCAACCTAACAGCAGAAAAATAACATCTGCTTTATATGCACTAAAAAAAAAACATCTACCGTATGTGTGAATTTTTGCACCTTTGTGGGTTCATAGTCTAGATGAATCGTTTCCTCATGAGACTCCTTAACAAAACCATTGTTTTGAATATCATTAACCAAGAAGTGAACTTCCTGGAAAGTTCTCACTTCCTGGAAAACAGCAAAGGTAAAGTCATACAACCTGTACAGCATGTGAAACCTAAACTGCAGACTGATAAACTAACCTGCCCCTCTGTGCCATCAATCACAGCCACCTAAAATAGCTCACTTAGAATCAGTACTGGCTGCTTTTGTCACCCTTTGCTTCATATGTTTTTTGTACCTAACATACATCATTTTTCATGAAAAAGCTGCATTAGTTGTTGAAGAAACATCGCTGTCTTGAATCATTGATGACTTGTTGATATGTGGCCTAAAGAATAAAACAATAAAAAAATATCCAGATGATTCATCTTTTAGGTATTGTCTACAGTGTTCTCTGTGTTCATGAGGTAACAGGTGGAGGAAAAGGGTTTTGCAAGAATCCTCTTGTAAGGTTCATTGATTTTTTCATGCATTAAACAGATTAGGTGATAGAGTGTATGGGAGAAAACTCTCTCTCCAAATTTGTGTCAGTCGAAGTTGTAAGTTTCTTTTAAACCAGGTTTGCCCCTGAGAGTCATCTCTTTTTATAGCCACTCTCTCACATTTCCTGTGTCTCCCAACCCCCCCTATTATGTGAAATCCAAAAAAATGATCTTTAAAACTATATTTTTGAATGAAAAGAGAAAAATCCCCTTTTCAATTACATATGAACACACAGTACACTACAAGTAGGCACCTTGTGTTGAGAACTCATGAATAAACTCCCTTAGAAGACAGTATGATGTTTACAGTCTGTTTTACAGTGTGGAGTACAGGTCCTCCTCTGCCTCCTGTGGCCAAGATCAGAATTACAACTGAAACATGAGTTTTCACAAAGACAGAACCACATATAGGGGGGCTGTATGAAGAAGAAAAGTCAGAGGGTCCATAACTGTCAGAGGCCCTAAAAATATTTGCACATCAGTTCATATTTCTAATATTTTGTCTAATATTGAGGTACAGTCACAGTGCACTTATAAAATTATACATCTTATTCATTCATTTATCAACAAATAAATACACTAATTAATCAGTTTATTTATTGCAGGGGATTGTATTAAAGGGTATTTATGGGTGATTACCCTCTACAGAGATCTTAAGGAATAGATGAAAATTGAGGGTACAATGTGTAGAAATGAGATTATTTTGCAATAGTCAGATTCTGGGTTGAAACGCTCCCCTGCTCTCCTCTCCAGCAACTCACTAATAAATAGTTACAACAAAGTTGACTTTTCAGTGCCTCTGTAGAAATATGGCAGAGATGGAAGGAAACCCAAACCTACTAAGATAAAAAAAAAAAAGCTCAGTCTAAGTTAGCAAAAAAAAATAATAATTCTACATTTCTACAGTATATTGAGGCATTTCTATGCTAATTAAAAATATCTCAAATATCTCAGAGCATTACTTTCCCTTTTTGAATCAGTTCTGCTAAATGCTGCTGTTTGATACTACCAAGTTAAGCATTAATTTCAAGACCCTTTTTCAATAAAATCATTTGTCATACAAAATAATAGCTAAATAGTTAAAGAATGGCCTTCAGCACATCTCTTTCTCAGTCTTCACAACTGAGAAAACTTTTTAATGAGTTTTCTGATCGATTCACATTTTTAGTGCGTAACACAGGGCATTTCAACATCCAGACAGAGAGCAGAACAATCACATACAGGTAAATCCAGAAGATATTGTACCACATCCATTTGGTAATTTATTTGATGCGTTCACTTATGGTTTGCATCAGGACATGATGTTTTTGTGACATTGTGTGATGATTTGTGTCACCTTGGTAGTTATAGTAAATTAATTTGTTAGTTTTTACAATCTAAGCCATGGATGTTAAACAAGAGAGGTCCCAGGATGGAGCCTTGGGGAACCCCACATGTAAGCAGAATTACTGATCACTTCACCTTTGAAGCCTCATGTAGATTCCACCTTAAACTTTCCGGCCATTTTATAAAGTAAATATCTAGATTTCTTTCCATCACGTTATCTCGGTGTGAGTTTACTGCAGCACAATCCTACCTTGGTATGAGACACTAAAATGGGTCCACTGTAGGAGATCACTGGCACTGGACTGGGACCTTGATGGGCACAAAATATAAAAGGAACAAGGTGCTCCAATTCTGTCCTCTCTCACAGCTGGCCTCTTCTCTCAAAGTGTAAAAAGTGAGTATTTATATCTGGAGCTTACGTAACTTCTAGAGCTGCTGTCTGGAGGATGCTAGCTGCTTCATCATGTTCTTGGATGCTGGAGCCTACAAGTGCCTCCTCGCTTTTCACTTTGGATGTTCTGCCTTTGCTTCTGCATCAATACTCACATCCAAAGATTTCTATTTTGAAAATCAGACCTCATTGCTGATACCCAGAGATCCACTGCAGACACTTAGGCTACAACCAGGCTCCTCTTTCCCTCCTCTGCCCACTCACACACACAGTCAGTGAGATTAGTGTTAGTCATCTCCAATATCGACTTATCTCTCTCTCTTCCTCTCTCTTTAAACCTGTGTGTGAGTTTCTTTCTGCAGGAGCTAAAGCCCCTGCATAAGCCCGGCAAGGTGACATAAATTTTAAGAGAACCCCTCCATGAAAGGAAATCTCCACCCTGGACCCCCTCTATGGCTCACTCCCTCTTTCCCCTTACACACTGGGGGACTGTGCAAGCCTCAGTGCCAGTCACACAACATTTTCCACACAGCACTGTTGGACTCCCAACAGCATTTGCCTTCCTCTCTTTTTTGTTTGCAGCTTTCATTTGCATGAGGGAAATGAGCCGAGGCTGGCCAAGCATTCGAAAAAGATATTTCCCCTCAACCTGGCACATGATGGATCACAAACTTAATGTTCCTCCATCAATAATAAGATATTACGCTCCATTCTCACAGGTTTTCAGATTTCATTCACAACAAGATATTTCACACAAAAATAAAAACTAACCATCTTGATGTTTTTTTTTTTCCTTTGCACATTTGAAACCTCTTTGCAACCAGCACAAAAGACCGGCATGCTGGGGACAAACAGCTGCTGCTGTCATTGACTTTGACTCAAGGAGAGGCAATGCAAGTGAAAAAAAAAAAAAAAGTCTGGAGCAGATGTACCTGACAAGCAGCACAAGTAGCAACTCAACCACACCCAGCCGCCTCGCCCACCATTAATAACCCCCCCATGCTTGGGGCGCCGCACATCTGTGAAAAAGTCATCATTTTGACGCAGCAGGAAGCCCCTCAGCCTGTCAGCCTGAAGAAAAAAATGTGTTATGGCTGAGGAGAGGTGTTGGATCTTATTACCAATTTTATTATTAAAATGCTGTTCTCGAATGATATATAAAATAGAAGTATAGAAGCATTTAAAGTGGTAAAAGATTGTTACAGGCATCAGTAGGAACTGAAACAGACATTAAACTCCATCATTTTTCATTGAAGATAAATGACTGGAGCCTATTTTTCTCCTCTCATTTTAGCAATATCACTCTCAATGTCACGCAGTTGCACTGAATATCAGCACAGCTGTCGCTGGGTCATAAATAATCACAAAATTAGCACCACATTATGACAATTAGTGTGATGTCGCTTTTATACAACAGTCTGGCAATAAGCAGCAAATACACTATTTGTAAAAAGTCAAATTTGACTAAAGATTGTGAAATTCTAGTTTACAACTCAGCTGTGTGAAATACTTGAGTGTGACTGGTTGAAACCCAATGACACAGCAAAAACCACACTAAGCACATCATGAGTGAACACGTCAAATATCAAATCATTCAATCATAAGAACATTAGATTTTGCCATAGAAACTCAGGAAAGCCTGGACACAAATGTGAAATTAAGTTCTGAGCTCCAACCATAGACTGTATATAAAATGGATGCCATCTGCCTCCTCGCTGGGTGAAGCCACCCTGAGAACAGCACCCTCTGGTGACGGGCTGCAGTATGGGTCATAAATCCTGCCTCTTCCAGCAATCCCTATGGAGCTGTGGACAAACTTTAGAAATTAATAATTACACAGAATATAATTTTTCTCCCCCCTGCTTGTGATGTTGACATGTAGTTATTGTAAGACTGGTTTGTGCTCAAGTCCTCTTTTTTCTGTGCAGCTCACTTTTCAAAAGTTTTTAGGGGGTTCATGTTTTCTATGATTGACACTTGATACAGCTTATGGGTGATCAAAGATTGCGTAGCTCACCCGAGGGATACGCTATTTAAGATGAGCGTCATCACAGCGACTCTCCCACTGAATGCGCACAACACTACTGCGCAATGTTGGTTTCAGGAAGTCGGGAGAAAATGCAAAGTTACCGAGAGATTCTCAGCTTCAAATCCGTATGATGGCGGAAGGCGGAACCAAGTTGTCCATAGTATATACAGTCTATGGCTCCAACCAACTCTGAGAGGAAAAACAGAAGCAAAATAGCCCAGACCATGAGTGTTGGAGACAAAAGTAACCATGTTAAAAGTTAAGGCATGATGTCTGTATGGACCCTGTTGGAGGCAACTTTACTGTGACATCATGGTATTACATGGACGGAAAAGGAAAACTGAAGGCCAACCTGGACAGTGACTACAGAATAAAAGGCAACACATGAGTTCAAATAAGTCAGAATAGAGGAATCAACAGTAAAGACTCAAAACTTTCTCTTTTTTTTGTGTATAAGCCACCACTACCCATCAACAAAAACAGAGATAACTTTGGTCAGATGTATTAAGAAGAAAGGACGTGTGTGCAGCAAACACTTGAAATATTGTACTGTATATTTCCTGTTGAGTGGATGGATGACATCATGTATCGCAACAGTTATCATATACCTCTGATCAGAAATTGAGGCGGCATCAGGAGGAATATTGGATTACTCTGTAACATTTATTGATTTAGCACATGGGCCAATATTAGCTTTGCTAGCAAAACAAACCAGAGGAAACCTTTTGTTGGCTGTCTTCCTTTGTGTGGTAGTCATGGTGATGATAAGCCATAAATATTAAGACATCCAAGAACTCATACACCCTCAGTTTGTCTATTACTTGGTTTTTCTATCAAGAGTGAAAATCTTTCCATCTGTCCTCTGCAGTCCTGTCAAATCATCCATCCACTGAGAGAGAGCAAACAGGTCAGCAAGTTTGTCAGTGCAAGGTTATTGAAAGAAACAGTATCTTCCACTATTTTCAGAAGAAAAAAAGCAAAAAACTACTTCCCATTAAGCCCCACCCACCTATATGGTCCCACTGTTAACAAAAATTAAAATGATCAATAGGTGTGTCAACAGCAAAACTCTGAGAAGATAGAGCATGGTATAAATATTTTGGCTTTTTTTGTTTTTCATCTTTTCTAAAGTCAGTCTGATGTGAATTATAACAAGTACGCAGTTACAAGTTTAGACGTGACCATGAACTGAGATGTTAAATTTAATGTTTGTTTTTTCTTTCTTTTTTTTGCCCCATAGGAGTCTGATTAGAATCTGTTGCCATGGAAGCAGTACATCCCATGAAATCCGAGAAAGCATTATAATCAGCTGCATGAATAAAACCATTTATAAATCAAGAATTTGTGCCAACTTTTTTATGTTTTTAGCTCGTAGCTGGTTTTACATCATAAAACCACCTGCTCACGATATATGATCCCAGCACTGCTAAATCTACTTCGGCCCTCATGGACCCTCTTCTAATAAGATTACTTGGTCTGAGCCAACTTGTGTCCAATGTAAATGTCAATTGCGGGGGGTCGGTGTAATAGCAGCTGATTTTTTAATCCAATTTGGTGTCAGATTTAAAAAAACTGACCTTTTGGGCCTTAGTTGGCTGCAAATACTCTTTTTACTGATTAGGAGTTGCTGTAGGCCTACTTATGATAATGTCTCAAAGGACAAGTTTCTTTTTGATGTGAAAGACCTGATGTGATTTAACAGTTTTAATTGGATATAACTTCATAAGGTTGAGCTGTCTCAGTACTTACAGTGGTGTTACTTCTCAAAGTCTGGTTATATTTAACAGAAAGGTAATCTAAAAAGGCAAAAAGAGCAGCATTTTCAACCATTTTCCCTTTTTCAGTAAGTGTTTATGTCAAAATTCCTACTGGTGCCATTTAAAAAAGGTCGATAATGTGGGATTGACCTCCAACTCTCAGTTTTCACAAACTCAGAGTCAAAAAGCTTACTAGACCTCTGCAGTCTGTCACTGCCAGACTAATTTGCAAATACAAATGTAAATTGGTCTGAAATGTTTCAGTACATTTATCATTCACAGGTGTTATGACTGTGCTTAAACCATAAAGACTAAGCAACCAATCAGAGCAACAGAGGAGGGGCATAAAACACATTAAATTCATATGCCTTTCAACACACAGGTTTCAGATCTGACCAGATTCAGAAACCAACACTTATCTCTTTACCATTAATGTCAACGGCCTTACAGTCATCTTAAACCAAGGGAATAGTACATTTATTTTTATAAAATAAATTAAGAAAAGAAAAATCACCCTGATTTTTACTACCAGTCTCTTGTGAAATTTCCCTGTGAAGTCTGATGTGAGAACCCAGCAGGAAATTTCCAAATTAACCATTAAACACGAGGAGGGAGGTGATGGCATTTGTAGCATGGGACCAGCGCAAAACTGAAGGAGCGACACATAATGGAGTAAATAACAAACTACAGGACTGAACCTTTTTTGAGATGGAAAATTTGGGGGGCAACGCTCCTAAAAAGTTCCAGAAAATCCTAGAAGCACTCGTGTTAAAGGGTCATCAGTGTGTGGGATTGGATGCATCTTTGGAATAACAAGAGCTCTCAGATTTGTCCCAAGCAAACACCTCTGTAGCCCATTTATCTCTCCTGCTTAGGGCTTGCTGATCAAGCATACATGAGCTGATAAAAGAGTGTCTGTTGGTCTGATTAGTGTTGATATTCATGTGTGATTCATGTGTGATGTGATTTATCTGCATAACCTTTGACAGCCTGCTTTCTAAACTTGTCAATTTTCATTTTCTGTTTTTTATAATGTCACCACACACAGAGAGAAAGAGAGAGACACACACACGCACACACACACACACACACACACACACACACACACACACACACACAAACAGTATGTTTGCTACTCAATCATTTTGGACAGGATGAGTCACCGTGCAATGACGGTCAATCAGTCTGTCTGTAATGGAATCAAATGCTGCATATGAAGCAATTACCCCACTCACTGATTGTTTGTGTGTAATAGGCTGTTCTGTGCAGGGCTGTGCTGAATGCACAGACACACACACAAACATAGACACACACTCACATATAACCAGATCCTGCAGGGAAGGATGGACAACATGTTCATGATTTATTGTCAATATAAACAGAACAGGCAATATTAGCACAAATTAAAAGCATGGGACTGACATCAGAGTGACACCGAGAAAATATTCACAACCATCCACTTGGAAATGTAAGGTTTTTCTGCTCCTGCTGTTTCAGTTTTCGTATTTGCACAATTGCTTTTGAATACTTGTCAGGATTGGACTGTTTGACAACACACAATAAACAAAGATTTAGCTGAAAGTAACTGATTGACATTCAAGTACCTAATTTGTCACATCAAATTCCTTGTAAAACAAAAAAGTAAGACCTGATAATAATTAATCATCTGTGAGTCATTTCTGACAAACTCTAATTCACTAAATGTTTTGATAAGTTGTACATTAACATCTTGCCTGGAATCAGTGTCAGTCATTCAGATGGCAGCTCTTGTAATAGACAGACTGGTGACACTTTACTTGACACCTATCTTCACAACGCATTATAAATATATTTATAATACATTATAATCACGTTATAGCACTGTATAGCTATAGTTATCAACACTCATAAATGATCAAAATGCTTTATAGCAATAATCATTACACATTATAAAGCATTTTATCATGACCTACAAGGTCAGGTATTATAATGTGACAATGACGATTCCCACATAGATAATGCATTATACATTTATGATGTGTTATAATTTGCTTATAAACTTGTATAACTATCATTATAAACCCTCAACCCTCAATTATCATAAGGCTTTACAACAATAAGCATAACACATTACTATACCTGACCTTGTAAGTCAGGATAAAATGCTTTATAATGTGTTATGATTATTGCTATAAAGCTTTATGATCATTTATGAGTGTTAATAACTATAGTTATACAGATCTATAACGTGATTATAACGCATTATAAATTATTTATGCGTCATAGAGATAGGCGTCAACTAAAGAGTTATCGACAGACTTTCAATCTGATTTTCAGTAACACTCCTGACAACTTGTGGGAACAGACACTTTGAGAATCACAGTGAGATTTTAAGTGACTGTTAGTGTTTTTAGGACACTTTTATGCTTGCAATCTTTGGAAATTACTCTCTGTGAATCTGCATTTCACTTCAGTGAAATGGTTATCTTCCCTCCCGCACTGATAACCATTATCTCAAAATCAGCATCATAACTCTGGCTCAGCTGTCCATTGATGACTTTGTTCAGACTATCACTGTGTCTCTCCATCTTGAGACCTCTTAGTGCTGCCACCGTGACTAAAGACAGACCGTTGAAATAATAGACATGCAGTGATGATAACTACAGTGATGTCTCCAATTGATTTCTTCACAGAATATAAAGCCTCATGTCTGGCCTTTTTACTGATATCATGTTGGTTTTCTGTGGCCAGATGTGGCCATCTATCAATGTAAGGAAGAAGCTTGGGAGGTGAATAGAGTTGGCAAGTGCTTGCTCATCAATATACTGCATGTTATCTATTGTAGACAGCCAGCAGTATCCTCGTGTCACTCAAGTGGACCACCTCTGTAATTATAACGTTAACTTTAAAATAACTCAGGCTCCTGTGGGGAATTTGTTGCTGGTTATGACACAGATTTAAATTAATGTCTCTTTATCCTACGTAAGCAAACAAGCCCAGTGGAACAAAAATACCACGTATTAAAGATTTTCTGACCATGCAGCTGCTGCTGTGGTGAACATGGCAGATGAAGTAACTGCTTGCTGCAGCAGTGTGTCTTTGTCATTTTTGTTGTTAGCTCACTCTGCTGGATAGAAGCTGTCATCTTTGTTTTGGTCTGTTGAATCAGAGGCTGTATCTGTGATCAGCTGGAAAAAGGTCCAGTCAGAAGCCAGTACAACTTCAGATGGACTTTACAGCCTGCTCTCAGTACAGAAATACCAAAAATGGAAGTCTTTTGGATTCATTAATCTTGTCCAGCTTATTCTAGTGTCAGCAGATATTTGCTCTTTCGTATACTTTCTTACACCTTTGTGCTTTGGCATTTGAGAGAAATGACAAGATAAGATTAAAAAAAAAAAAAAACATTTCACCTCCTATAATGTGAGCAAACAGAAAAATTTGCTATCCAGAACAAAATAGTTTTTCCTTTCAGAGTAGATGCATATACAGTTTCAAGTACTCTTGAAACCTGCCTCAAATGAACACTTGAGAAACTGCAGTTTTTAACGCTTACACTATAATTTTCCTGACACTTTTATCCACTTCTTTGTCTGCTTCGTTTATCAAGACTGGGGGTTGCCTTTTGATAAGCACTGGAAAAGAAAGCAGATATGTACCTCTACTGTATCACATCAACATTCACCTCTAATCGACCCTCTAAATCAGTTTGAATGTCTTCTCAAAACGACGGAGCTGTAAATCTACCGTGCAATGGATTTACAGCAACAAAATGACTCAGAGTCACATCAGTTTATAAATACAAAAACTTCTCAACCGTCCTTGAGGAAAAAAAAGACAAAGCTGAATAATAAACTTCAGTGTTGAGCTCTGTCTAGAAGAAGGACTGGATTTTGCCTTCAGGATTTGCTCTCTTGTCTTGAGCCAAGGCCTGCAAATGCTAATAATAGCAGTGATGATCACCCTCTGAAGGCTCCTGTTATCTCCTCCTGTGCTCCTCTGTGCTGCCTTGACAGGTCATCTACACCAATTAACTCCAGCATGATACACCATCAACAAGTGCAGGGGTTTCAGAACTTTGAGCACGACTCTACAGCTGCTGGTATAAACATCCAAAAAGACGAAGACATTGACAAAAAGCTCTGTGGGCTCTGATATCTGTTTTTGGGAAAAAAGGAAGAAAGATGAACAACTATAGTATTCCCAATTTTTATTCTTGGTGTTAAAAATAATTTAAAAAAAGAAAAATCATTCTACAAATGAAAGACGTGATGGTTTGAATATCTAAAACCTGTCCCTGTTGTGATAATTGTTTGTGTTTCCTGCCCCTCTGATTATTTCTCCACACCCATCATCACTGTGGACAGGCTGGGCTGTTACAGACGATCAAACTAAGAGTCATCTGTGCTTCCCTAAAGAGCTTTTATGTAAAATACAGACACACATCTCCACGTTGATACAGAAACAAAGTGTCAGTTATTGTCAGATGACGCCAATTACCAATCAGTGGGCTGGGAAATAATGAGGAGGCAGCAGCAGCAAGATGACAGAGAGATGACCATCCAAAAATGGTACAAATTCAAGAATGTGCAAAAAATCCAACAGCCAAAACACACTGCAAACTCTAAAACTGAAGTGAAAAGCTGCTTTTTCACTGTGTGACAAGCAAACATTCATGAAAAGTTAAAATTAAACAAGGAAAAAGGAAAACACATGCAAAAGATGATTTATTGGTCTATTGTGACCAATGAAGTCAGTCAATCTGCAACAGCCCAAATGATCTTCATCAGGAGAAACATGCTGCAAATGAGAAAACATGCTGTAAACGCTGGCAAACCCTATCAACAGCAAATACTCTGCAAATAGCTACAGAAATAATGGAACTTCGAAACACAAAACCAGAAAAACTGCAGAAGACAAATGCTTAAATCAAGACTATTTTACAGAAGTGCTCCAGGCCTGTGGAGCTGCAGAGACAGCTCTGTTATTGACAACACAGAGAGAAGGAAACACTGTTATTTACACCACCCAGGGCTGAGTGTGTCTGGTGATCATGTCCTGATGTCCACTGTGCCAAAACACAACTATACAAAACATGTCAGTATGCCATTCAGCTACCCGTACTAAAAGCACCTGGTGTCCAGCTCCAAGTTTGAGAGTGTGCTAAAGCTTCAGTAGCTTCAAACAGCCCGGAGACTGACTTTATCAGGCCTTGGCCACTATAGCTTGCTTTGAGAGAGTGGTGTAGTTAACCAACAGGGACTAATGCTAAAGTTAGTTCAAATAAGTTGTTTAAGTTAGCTCTCTAACTGGGCAACACTACAAAAAGTTTTCTATCATTCATACAGCCAAGAGTGTTCTGGACTTTGACAGTAGGGATGAAGAATACTCAGTGGTCATAAGGGATGATTTGAAGGGATATCAGGCACAATAATCTCTCAATCTCTGTGGACCTAAGATAACTAACTCAAAGGAGCTTAAGGTTACCCTTGAATTTCCTCAGTTTGTGGAGGGAGATCAGCTGTTCCCACTCTGCCAGAAACTATGATAGAAGTGTCAACCACAAATGGAAAATCAGCACCAAAAAAGCTTACAACAGGAAAGTTATTCCTGTCAATTAAATTGTATGTTAGCATGGTGGCAACAGGCATCAAGAAATTATTGACAAACAGCAGAGTGGGGCAGAGTTTTAAAAAAATGAACTCTGTGTACGGTTAATCCTTCAACAAGATGATAACTTCAATGACTGTTTAGCTGTAATTCTGTTTAAAAGTAATGAAATTTCACATACATGGGTGTTCAAACCTGTCGAGAGACATGCAGCAGGTTATCTGTCCTAGCAGAGGAGGGGTCCAAGCACAGAGCCTTGAGGAACACCATGGTTGACTTTTCTTCTTTTATCACCACATGAAAACTCGACTAAGGAGCCCTAAGAAGTCCTCTTACTGCTTATTTGAATAAAAAGTTGAAAACCATTGAGAAGTTACTCTTGTAAGGTGCACATGAAAGCTGCTGCCTGTGCTGGATGCAAATCAAACACACACTTCCTCCTGTAAGACAGATCCCAGGGCGTTTTGACACATCATCCTGACATGCACTGTTCAAGCTGCCTAACAAGGAAGCAACTCTTATTAGTGTCTCTGCACTCAAAGTTACCACAGCAGACAGGGAGCCATCCTTGATCCAGCATCCCAGGGGAGACACAGTGTGCGTGTGTGTGTATGCATGTGCATGAGTGTGTGCGTGCATGAATGAGGACTGCTGTGTCCAGCAGTGTCTTGGCTCTCCCCTCTCTCTCCCATCGTTTTTAATGAGGGACAGATGGCCTCTGTCTGTCAGCACCTCTCCTTCTTCATCCATTCATCGGTCCGCAGGATAACGACACAAAACAGAGCAGCAGAGGTTGAACAAAAGTACACAT